CTTGAGTAAGGGTTCCTAGACGCAAGGTAACTATCTTTCTCTCAAGTTCACGGTTGAGGTGCCGATCTCCGAAAATTGATGTCAAATGCAACCGGTCTACCGTGATTTAAAGTTTCCGCTTTTGATCAAGGACACGTTCTTTACTTCCACTATTCTTGCTTCCAGGCATTTGTAAGAGGGGTGATTAATGTGACTAGAATTTAAAATTTAACAAGAAATAAAAAAAGAACTGGGCCTGGAAAGAGATGGAGCTTTACATGGTTGACAAAATAATTCGGCCTACAATTACGCATTTTAATTCAAAAATTTGAATTTGTTACTATATTACACGAAATATTTACGGTCTCCTTTGTCGGGGGGGGGGGTCAGCATAGTCACATATTATTTAATTTTTTTCACTGAGGGCATATCATGTGGGGTCAAGAAAAACCTGCGGGGTTGATGAAAGAGTGTTTTTGGTAGAGCGTTGATTTACACTATTCTGATTTCACTATCCTGCGAGGGAGCGTATCGATGGAGTAAAAAGGCATTTAAACACATCTAATAAATAGAGATTACACAGTGCTGTTCAGAATTAACTTTGCGATATTTTGGTACACCTTTTCCCTAAATTTAAGTAGGGGCACAAAACTTTGTTAAGGGCATTTTCCAAGCCGATCTGTCCACGCCTTTGTAGTACCTGTCCTAATGTATACTTGTACTGTCTTGTTCAGGTGTAGTTGTCCGGATATACAAGAAGGCATTGTCCAATTATACGTCCGTTGACGTATCCAAAAATGCAGAAAGGGGGGGGGGGGCGGAATATATTCCTGACATCAATATGTGCCCCCACCCACCCAAACATGTCAAAGGAATGGAAGCATTTAATTCTCTGTGCATGGTCGCACTCAGCATGCGGGCGTGTTTGACAAACTGACCATTGATTAAAAATAATTATCATGTCATGACTGGAATAAATTAAGTCGTTTTGGTCCTGGCGAAACTTGAAGGGAAATATCCAACTCGTTTTGTCAAGGGTGTCTGCCCTCCCTGCAGGGCGCCTAATGGAAAGAATGTAGTCTAAGGAAAGAGACCAGTTTTTCATTTCCTTACTAATAACTTCCTGTAACAAATGAGTTACTGTTCACTAACATGCGTTGTTTCCATTCACATCACATTTTTATGAAAACATTCCTTTGAAAAGTTACATAGTATAACAATAAAACCCCAAAGAAAATCATCAGTTAATAATTTGCACAAAGCAAAAATACTAGCATACAAAATGCTCTATCCAAAGTCATTTTGAAGCGCATATAGAAAACTTATAGCATATAATGTGGTATGCAAGAATGGCATAATATTATTATTATTACCACAGAATCACTTTGGCTCTTCATAGTTATGGTCCTCATTTTTACTTCCATTGTTCTGTCATTCATTGCAATGAATGAATGTCGGAAATAATTGCCCTCATGTCGTGCTGTGTTTCAGTTACCCGACACCTTCCAGAAATTGGGTCCAGCGCTACAAATTAAAGAATATATAATTCGCTTGACTTCAACGGTATCAGAACGATATTCTCTTGAATCAAACTATAAACTTGGCATTTGTCCAAAAGCTTATACCCTTGTTTTCACCTGCCCCCATGTTCAATTCATGAGTATAAAAACCCATGCCCGTTTCTACGACTAGTTAAAATTATAAATGTTCTTGGAATTACATTTTGCGGGTTGCGTATATATCCAGGGACAAGACAGAATATGTTATCATATTTTCACCTATAACACACATACCCCATTTCATTTGCGTAGCTATAATACGGAGTTTGCCCCTCCCACCTTAAGGGAGGGTTTAATTATGCGTGAGTATGCTACGACCTATAGAAGATTTATAGCAACTTTTTAGCAATGATGAATAACGCAAATCAAATGCCAGAGAGATTTTGATAAGCGAATATGGAATATAACAAAAAAGGAAATTGGCGATAAAACTAATGTTTGCAGTATTTGCAACAATAATGATCAGCAATAATGATCAACCGGTAGTGGTAAAATTGCGGTTCAAGGGTTTTGGTTGCAAAATATCCATTCAATATTGTTTAAATATTGCCTTCAGAGGTTTAGATGGCAATATTTCAACCTAAATTCGCAAAAAAGCAGAAATATATGCCCAAATGTTCAATGTTGAAGTGAATTCGCGATATCCATGCAGGCCGGATCTATATGATAATATACCAAATATATCAATTAGTAGGCGGTTTCCCAGCAAAAATGGATATCATCACGTATTAGTCAAAACACATTCTTTCACATGATTGTTAATAAGAGCTTCCATTTCATTTGTTGAGAGGGGGGCGTTTCCAAAACTGGTCTATACTATTTATTGAAAGTTATAGGCCTACATCTCACCACAAATTAAAAAGAAAATTTATGATAATCAGTCACGTACGGTCTTATCTGTAAAATATGTCTTGTAGTTTATCTCTTTATTTTTGATAATCAGTTTTATTGTTTATTCGGTCCATGCATGCATGCATCTTTGCAAGAAAATGCAGTGGGCGGCGAGGAGCAAGGCAGGTACATACGGATAGTCAGTCAGCCAGGCCGCAGCTTACCGCTGGGACTAGCGTTCTCTTCCGTTGATATTGCACCAGGGTAGTCAAAACGTCACATTGCCCTGAGATATGACGTCGTGATGGCTCAGCGTTGACGTAGGAATGGCTTGATTAGTATCCGTCAGTTTTGCAAATGATACACGACATGGGCGCAAAGCCATTTAACAGAAAGGGAAGGGTGGGTGTAAGATAAAACGGGGAAGGGGGGCACATAATTCCAATCGAACCCCCCCCCCCCCAAGGAGAGCTACCCTTAACAATAAATTGGAGGCAATATTGAGGGAGAAACAGAGTATGACCCTCACACACACACACTCCCCTCACAACTATAGGTGAGTTAATGTACCCCTTCAGGGGGGGGGGGGCACTGAAATGATGGAGGGTGGGCACATTGGTCTTAGTGTGAGGGTGCAGGTAGGGGTTCTATCATATTTCCCCTCATCTTCCGCCCCCCCCCCCCTCCGATTCTCATCTCTGCATGGCTGATGGAATCAATATAGTTATTTAGGCTTGTTGTTCAGATTTTTCATAACTACATTATTCTAGAACGCTACATTATTAATGGTTGTATCGTTCCACCTTAGGCCAAAGTAATTTGCACATACTCCGTCAATATCTCAATTAAATGTTCTTAGCCCCAAAAAGCCTGAAGTAAATGATTAATGTCATGTAGACTCTGAACTAAAGTTGTTGTCGTTTGATTGGGTTTTAAGGCAATTCAGTCAAAATTGACTATTTATGCCTAAAGGTCCAGTTACTGACCTTATAAGTTATATACCCACCATAAAGTGTGTTTTTTGTATAGCAATAAGAGTTTGACATTTTGTCAATCGAGAGAAATTGGGTTAAAATAGTTTTAAATCGTTTATCATGAAATTTGGAGGTTGTTGTGACCAGTAAACTAAAAACAATGGAGTAATAACAAATAAAGGGAATCCCATTCATTCATTCAATGAATGAAAAGTAAAGAGAAGACCACATGTTATGTCTGTTGAGACTCGAGAATATACCCTACTAGGTCAATTGTCTTATCTTTCTTTGCTAATTACTGAAACTTTTTTTTCCCTAAGACCAAAATCGTTTTAGAAATTTTATTCTGCAATTATTTTCTGTCATGAAAGAACTCAGATTTTTTTTTGCCAATTCAAATGCAGGCAGAAACTAAATCTTGCATGAGTGTTTTTCCTTTAAAAGTATATTCTGTTATTTAGGGGACAAAAATAGTCAAATGCTAGTGAATAAGATATATAGGCTCAGGACGTATAAGACTTATCTTTGGGGAAAAGATGCACTGGCAATCCAAATTAATTTTTCTTTGAGAGAATGTACTTTTATGACTTTTTTCAGCAGACAGCGAGTCAGAAAATGATGAGACCGGATACATAAGATGGTGAAAACAACTGCATGACTAGGGGCTGCCCCCTTTAATTAGCGTTGCTACATCCCATGTGCCCCCCTCCCCCCATGTCAATATTGTCCTCTTGAGTACAAGTAACTGCATGTCATCTCTGTAACACATTTTAATGTAAACATAAACATTTTCAGCTCCGTTTACATAATAAGTGGATATTTAGTGCTTCATCACAATTTTTGTATCTGGTGTGCCCGCCCCTACTGCAGAAAGGGGCTGTACCTTATGCACATATTTTCTACTTGACTAAAGTAGGCCTTGCCCTTAGAAAAGGAAAAAAAAAAGAGCCATGCTTTGCGCCGGGCTTTGCGTAAGTGTTTCAACCATCCTAATGGAGATAAAAAGCATTTTAAGGTCGTCAATCTGAAAAGAAAGTAATAATTGTAATAATACAAAATAATCAGTAATTTGATCTCTAAAAGAATAGACCTATATAATTTAATTTGGCTTATAAAATTATTAATATGTATAAAGAGAAGGAGAAGGAGAAGGGGAAGGAGAAGAAGAAGAAGAAGAAGAAGAAGAAGAAGAAAAGGAAGGTGGAGGAGAAGAAAACGGAGACAGAGGAGGAGGAGACAAAGAAGAAGTAGAAAAATAAAGAAAGAAAGAACAAAAGAAATAAAGGAAGAAAGAAGGAAAGAAAGACAGAAAAAACAAAAGACAGAAAAAACAAAAGACAGAAAAAACAAGAAAACAGAAAAAACAAGAAAACAGAAAGTAGAAATAAAATGATTTTATTTCACTTTTATGATAGTGTTTCTTGTGACCTTATTTTCTTATTTTACTAGTAACCTTTTCTTTTCATTTCTAACTTTTTGTTAGATGGTGTTATTATTCATCTGTAAAAATAGTGATGTATTAACATTTTTACAAACAGAAAATTATACACGGGAATGACGATGTAAACTACTTGACTTCGAACGAAGGACGGATCTATATTTTCACGGTGTCTGTCGAACTACATAGCGGTGTTTCTTGCTTGCTGCCATCTGTTGATGAAGGCGTTATAATTGTTTACAAAAATTACAAGTATGACGTCCGAAACCGAAGTCACTAATGTTTTTCGGGAGCTCTCCGAGAATGAACAGGGGACTTTTCTCGATGCTTCAGAGCTGCTCCTTAAATATGTGAATAATGTGATCAGGTGACTATAATTTTTGAAGGGATGTTGTGCTTGAAAATATAAGTAATGGAGTATCAAATTCAGAAAATTTGTTATGCAGTGTCCCATACGTTAAAATCTGTGTTGGATTTTAATTTCCAATTTTTAACTGTTTAGATACATAGACTAGATTCTAGACCTCTATGTAGTTGTCACTCCAGCAAAGCATAGAGTCAATGCTAATGCGTATTGACCTCTAGCGCTGTATACTTGTTAAGAGGCAGATATTATTCACAATAGTCTACACACACTAGAGTAAAGGAGGGGGTAATCGACCATCTCCAGTTTTCGGCCGATTGGTTGGATGCATGATAAAATCCCCTTAAAATACATCGCATAATAGCATATATCCCACACATACCATACCATGCCAGAATCACTGAAGAACCAAATTTGCTATGGAAAATATATCCTAAAATATCACATTTTAGCGGTGTAACAGGCGGTCCCGCTACCCGAATCTGACAAATCAAGTATCTTACGCGTGTCTGTAAGAAATATGGGTACCATAAAATGAGCTTTATTTCAAGTATTTTTCAGATTTAAAGCCCTATTTTGTGCGAGTCGCAAGCTCAAAAGTATCTCATCGCATGTATCAAATCAATGCAGCCGGACACCGCAATGCACACACGATATCTCTGTCTAATTCAGATTCCAATTTACGATCAACGCAGTGCTAGTTTTCGACATGGCGAGCACCGCACGTAGAAGAATCCCCTATCCAACTCAGTGAACGGAAATACGCGCCGCTGATTGGCTGATCGCGCGACCCTCGCTTGTCTGCTAGCTGCGAGGCATGGGCAATTCGCTACACTGTGCGCGGTGTATTGTACCGTGTATTGTAGCGGCCATGTTGCGGGAGCGGGGCCTTGCACTAAACTCGAACACCAAGCAAAAATTGGCGACCAAAGACACATTCAGTGTATATGGTTTCAACGATGTCGCTCTCTACACACTCATGTCGCTCACATACAATTTGCACGTAGCTTTACACACACTTCAACCTACACAAACATATCCTTTACAAAAACTTCCGATGAAATCATCAAAAAATATGATTTACCGAAACAAAGAACCACCATACGATTTTGCTGAAAGTACCTAGAAATATCGATGACACCGATGGCGAAAAAAATTGTTCAAAAATCAAAGTCGGGATGGAAATATAACGAGTTTGATATCAACGTAATCGAGAAGTCGCCGGCAGAAATCATCGCACTCATAGGTTTAACATTGTGGGAAAATATGCAAATGAAATGAGTAAACACCCAATCAACTACGAGCATCGTGATGCTAGCACTTTTATGAATGAAAAATGACTCCAGTCGGGCTTGAGCGAACAGAAGAGCGCATTGCGCATGCGCGAGTTTTGTGTGTAATTCTTCTTCTGCACCGGGGAGCTCCGGCGAGGGATTACTGCTCTGCCCGCTTGTGCTATAGTTAGCGCGGAAACGCGCGGCGCATGCTTGCCCTTCCTATTGACTTTGTACTGTGGTGGAAAACTGGCTCGCTATGTCGATAACTGCCTCCGAAACAGTGAAAATTGAAATTAATATTGTCATGGCAATTCGTGATTTTTTTTCTGGGATTCTTTTTTTGTTTAAATAATAATAATATTTGCTTCATGATTTAAACAAGAAATGATAATAAATAGGAAAGTAAAGTGTCCCAAAAATAGGATTTTGTCTTAAGTGGTCGAAAACCCCCTCCTTTACTCTACACACAATTGCACACTAATGCACACAATGAACAGTAGGAGCGCTGGTGCGAGAATAAGGATCGTTCGCATAAACGAGGATCGTCTTTTTAAAGGGGACAGATGCGTCCGCAAAAATAAGGATCGTCCGCATTTTCGTTTCATATTTCCGATCCGCGCGTTGGCAATGCGACAAACGGATTCCGCAATGATTTCCTTGATGCATTTCACATTTACTTTGTACAGAGACTTTCACGTTATGAGTGATAAATCTTGGGGAAGACGGACAACCCATAAAATCAGATGGTGAACTGGGGTTATTTTATTACGCGGAATCTGTTTTTCGCATTGACAGCACACGGTTTGAGAACTCGAAACCCACAGAGCACCAATGAAAAAACGTCTGCGAAAATGCGGAAGATAATTATTTTATAGGACGTAATTGCTGCCTCTCAGCAAGTATACAGCGCTAGAGCTACACAGCGCTAGAGCTACATGTTGGTCAATATGCATTAGCTCTATGCTTTGCTCGAGTGGTTTAATCCAAAATGCCGGGGAACTGCCATTTTCATGATGCCTGGTTGAATAATCCGACATGTACATACAAGCAAAATCTTTACTGTATATCCCGCATTTGCCCCTGGGAATGTCATGAAAAGTCATGGAAAGTCATGGAATTTTATTTGGCAAAAAGTATATGAACCCTGCCATTAGATTTTCACCCTTTTTAATACGTGAAATGTTAGTGATGATGATGATGATGATAAATATGAGATGATAATGATGTTGAAGTTATTCTTGGTGGTCTTCTTCTTACTATTGCCTATGAATGTATGTCAGGGTAGGAAATGGACGCAACGTATCTCTAAAACTTCTAATTTCAACTTCTTTCAGGCAACCAGATGTGACAAAGTACCGATCCATTCGTCTCGGAAACAAGACGTTTGAGAGGCGTGTCATGCCTGTATCTGGAGCATTGGAATGTCTTTTCACTGTAGGCTTTGAGGAGGTAAGGTTTAAAATGATTCCTGAAAATTGGAATATATTGTTAAAGGTATAGACCAGTTAATTAATGGAAGCTCTTATTACCAATCATGTGAAAGAATATATTTTGACTAATGAAACAAATTTGATGATGATACAAAGTTTGCAGGGAAACCGCCTACTAATTGATATATTTGGTAAATTATCATATCTATCCAGCCTGGATAGATATCGTGTAGTCCCATGTACATCTTTCTGTGTACAGTGCATGCTTGTAACTTTAACAAGACAGGGCCAAATTTCTTATCATTTTGATGATTCCAGAACCTTGCAGTACACACCAATATGCTAGATGATCAACCTTTTCTAATCGATTCCACAACGTTTCTTTCACAATGCAATCGCATGACAAGAAGTGGTCTATACCTTTAAGTAATGGGCTTGATGGCTCAATGGTGGAGCAATTGTTGTATACCGGTAACCATTAGGTTGAGTCCTCATGCCCTTTGTAAATGATCTTCAATTACCAAGTTCCCTGGATGTTGTTTAAAACCTTGGGTCCCTTTGCTGCCTTTAAATCTACATACATATAGTTTGCTACTTGATCTTTGAAAAGTCAGATAAAACAAACTCTTCAATGAGCATTGTTCCTTTAGTGAGTAGGTAGAGGGAGTCTTTCAGGAAAGCAAAGTAGACCTGTATCTTCTTGAATTTCAGTTCTAAAATATTTCATACTGAATGAATAATCCCATAGAATTCCCCTGTTTACAAGATATTAATTTTGATTAATAAATAGATCTTACAGTATCATGAACATTTCTGAGTTCATGGCATTCATCTTTAATTTACTAGTACCTTGAGAAGTATCATATTCCTAACTTTGAATTTGAATCTACTTTAATACCCTGAACGGTTCCCAATTAATCATCTTCTCTTTTATATCTTCTACAGGATGATGAAAATATTACACTGAAGGAAACCTCTCCATTAGATGGAATAAGAACCTTCCAGAGATTGTTGGCTCAGGAAAGGCTTGTTCTGATATCCAACCAGATTAATAATCTCATATTTGTTCAGGTATTTTTGCATCATGCTATTATTTTCATGTATATCATATTTATTTGTATTAAACTTCTCCAGCATTCTAAGGATATTTTGTGAGTCATTGTGGGTAGATTTCATTTAAAGGTAATACAAAGTTTTGGTTGGGGTCATGAATTTGGTTCAAATAAAGATATTGGAAGCATATGCGATTCTAGAATATTAAGTGATCATTGTCGCGGTTGAAATCGAGTCTAAAGTGATTAAATTGTAAATCCTAAACTTTTTATGTTGTATAGCTCCCTCTCAAGGTCAATATATTGATTTATCTATAAAACAATGTTTCTTGACTAAAATCTACAGATTGGCTATTCCCGTTTGGAAATTTTATATCACAACTACCGGTACATATTCTGAGATTTCCATGGTCGCAACTACCATTGTATGGCCGTAGGCGCTATTTGAAATTCATTAAAAGTTTACCGGGAGCACCGGTAAATTTTTATATTCAATTTTTTTCGAAAGCAGAAGTGTTTTAGGGGCTAAATTTACTAGTGCTTATAATACATCCACATGGGCATCCAAACATGTCAAAACTTTAAAGAATCACTATCCAGCCAATTTTCAAAATCTCCCAAAACTTTGTAATCCCTTTAATCTTCAGATTGACAATAATTATTAGTTACCATGTACCTTGCATCTCACATGACTTTGGGTGTGGCTTATGAATCATCTTAGTTTCTATTTTGCTTTGTGTCATTTATCATATGATAATACATCTTACTTATTGATGCTGTAGCAATGTAGTTTCATCCATTCTCATATTGATTGTCTCAGAAACACTTGTTGAAGTCAGTAATCTTATGCTATACAGAGCATCGTAGTCGAAACAAGCTGAATCCTTTTGAAAATGATAAAGTCCCATTGGATGGTTGTATTACTTTAGGAACACAAATATATTTCATTACTATGACTCAATAATTTCTTCAATTACATTGCATAATTTTAAATTCTGACTTAGATTTAATAAGAGAACTATTTCATTTTTTTTAATGATTAATTATTCCTGACAGGCTACAGAACAGAGCTTTTCTCAGAAGATACACAACTCTGCTGAGCATGTGATGATGTATGAGGATCCTCTTCTCCAGCAGAAAGCAAGGGATAAGATACCATATGACGACCTGAAGATGAAGGCAGACCAGAGACTTCACCGCATCTCTTCTGCATCATCAGGTTAGTTTAAAGAGAAGGTTGAGTTCTGGGAAGAGGTGAAAAATAATTTGTGAGCATTATCATTGTATTATGCAAGTGTGGAAGTACATCAGATAAAAAATGTTCCCTGAAAAGCATGGCTCTTTAAATGCCTAAATATTCTAAATATTGCATGTAACATCATAAAAATCGGGACAGATTTTTACGCCACATGTTCGTGAAGTCCGATATACATCTTTCTGTGTACAGTGCTTGCAACTTTACCAAGACTGGGCCAAACTTCTTATCATTTTGATGATTCCAGAACCTTATAGTACACACCAATACCTATATGCTAGATGATCAACCTTTTCTGATCGATTCCACAACGTTTCTTTCACAATGCAATCGCATGACCAGAACTCAACGTCATCTTTAACTGTGCCATTGCTGTTGGTTCTGATGGTTTCCGCCAGGCTTGGTGTGAGAGGGCTTCTTGCTCTCTTTTCTGCAGCTCTACTTACGTTTCTATGATTCTGATACTTGTGTGCATCATTTATATTACTCATTTATCACTTGGGCATGAACTCAAATGATTTACAAAAGAGATAACACACTTGCAGCTCTCAATTGACAACATATACATGTTCGTGTATAGACACAATATGTTGACCATATGTTGCCTTTCGATAACAATCGGATATATAGCACATAACATTGTGATCGCAAATTGGTTTTTCCCTGTACCGGTACTTATAATTCATGTATTTGTGTTTTGAGTATGTTAGGATTTGAGAAAATGATATTGTACCTAAATCAATCATCACTTCTTGTTAGAATGATAATATATTTGTCAGAATTATGTAATATGATTAATGCAATAAATCTGATGCACTATGCATCACCAAAGCAGCAGTTTTGAGGTGAATTCTTAGGATAGCTGGAATGACAAAAGTTTTCTTTGATCAGAGGGACATCCTTTTACCTTATGTAAACTGGAGCTAGTAATAAACCATTGATTCTCCATGATTCCTCTAAATTTTTCAGATGATAATGGAGGGATCCTCCCTGATCTCAGAGACTGTCTTCTCCTGGAGCTGATGAAATGGTTCAAGGAGCGGTTCTTCCGCTGGATGAACTCTCCCAATTGCAGCTCCTGCGGAGGAAAGACAAGAGGTGTGGGAAATCTACCGCCGACAACGGAGGACCGTCGATGGGGGGCAGGTCAGGTGGAGGGGTACACCTGTCAGACGTGCAATACAATGGAGAGATTCCCAAGGTGTGTATTTTGAAACTGTTTGAAGTGGTTACTTAGATGAAAAGAAAAGGATAGTTGATGATATTGAATGTTGCTTTGATATTTCAAACATAGAATTGGATTTGTATGTTCTTTTTCTTTTAATACATTCTACTGAATATGACTCTAAAACATTACAGCAAGTAGCACTTCATTACTTTGATTCGCCAATCTTGTTGCATAATGCAGATATTAAAAGGATCTTGAGAATATGTATGGTGATAATGCTGACAATTTGTAATCATATTTGATAAGACCATGTGAATAGCAGTCTTGAAATCACAATTCATTTCCTCATCAATTCAAGTTTCATTATGATATTTCTAGTGACATCAACAATTTGAAACAGGGTCTACTTTGTCAAGAAATGTTTAGCAAGCAGAAATGTATAATGTCATTGCTTTGAAGAAAATTCTGTCAAAACAATCCTCCCTTTTTTTGCCACAGATACAACCATCCTGAAAAGTTGTTAGAGACCAGAACAGGGCGATGTGGAGAGTGGGCCAACTGCTTTACTCTCTGCTGCCGAGCGCTGGGGTTTGAAGCTAGACATGTTGTAGACTGGACAGGTATGTCAAATTATTGGTGTGAATCGAGTCAGGTGCGATAGCTCAGCGGTAGAGCAGTGATCTTGTAATTTGGAGGTCCCGGGTTTGACTTCAAAATAATTGTGCCAGTCCCCTTCTGTAAGGCATTAATCCTCATCAAGTCCCTCAGAGAGGACTTAAAGCCGTCGGTCCCCTGGTTGCTTTCTTACAAGTATACTCATGCATTCTTAGCAGTCAGGTAAAACAAATAATCCAACAAACCAACCAATTGTTTTTACTCATGTGTGACTGAGGCTTCTATATGGTCATATTGCAAACTGTTTGACTCGATGTTGCATATTTAGGTGATTTAAAAGTGCAAAATACACATAAAACAGAAAGTTAGAACGAACAAGTTCTAAGTATTAAAAAGAGATAATGGATGATGTCAAAGTTATGGCCATCACCCACATGAATTACCTTATTCATCACCATTATAATGATCGCTAAATCAAAATGTCATGACAATCATCACAGTTATTCATGAACAACCTGATTTAGCTACTGTATAAAGATTACCCAATTATAATGATCACCTTTATGTTTCGTTTTGTTAGCTGTGTTAGTCGTAGATATCTGTATTAAAGAAAACCTGTATGTAAAGATAATCTGCCCATATAGACTGCTTTCCTTGCCTCCCTTCAGTAATCTTTACATATATATATATTGTTACTGTATTTCATCTAAAGTGATTGGTGGAATCCTCACTCAATCTTTGACAACCTTTTCTTCACATGATAGATCATGTCTGGACTGAAGTGTACTCTAACTCTCAGAAGAGATGGCTTCACACCGATCCATGTGAAAACTGCTGTGATAAAGCCTTGCTATATGAACATGGTTGGAACAAGAAGCTTTCATACATCATTGCTTTCTCCTTTGAAGAGGTGAGGTGATGGTAATGATGATGACGATGAGGACTATGGTGGATAATAATTAGTGATGATGATTAGTGATTAATGTTAGTGGTTCTGATGATAATGATAGTGGAAATATTAGTGATAATTAAATTGATGGCAAGGGGGATGATGATGGTGATGATGCTAGTAGTGATGATGATGATGATGGTGATGATGATGATGATTGTGATGATGCTAGTAGTGATGATGATGATGATGGTGATGATGCTAGTAGTGATGATGATGATGATTGTGATGATGATGATGGTGATGATGATGATGATGATGATGATGATGATGGTGATGATGATGATGATTGTGATGATGCTAGTAGTGATGATGATGATGATGGTGATGATGCTAGTAGTGATGATGATGATGATTGTGATGATGATGATGATGATGATGATGATGATGATGATGGTGATGATGATGATGATGGTGATGATGCTAGTAGTGATGATGATGATGATTGTGATGATGATGGTGATGATGATGATGATGATGATGACGACAACGACCAATGATGATGACGATGATGATGATGATGATGAATATGGGGGATTTTTATCAGTGATGATGATTGGTGACTAATATTAGTGGTTATGATGATAATGATAGTGGACATAATAGTGATAATTAAAGTGATGGCAAAGGGGATGATGATGGTAGTAGTCATGATGATGATGATGATGCTGGTGGTGGTGGTTGTGATGATGTTTATGATGATGGTGATATTGTTGGGAATGACAATAATGATGATGATGAAAGCAATGTTGATTGAGTGGATGATTATGACTATCATGATGTTTGGAATAGTATTGATGGAAATTGTTCGGCCGATTATGATACCCTGATAATTATTGATGTAGTGATTATGATAACATAAGATAGGAGAGTATGATGTCATTAGAATGATGATGGGGATAAATGATGGATGAAAATAAACTGTTTCTTTTCTTCTTGATTGTATTTTACCTATGAGGTTGTTGATGTGACATGGAGATATACTGCAAAGGAGCAAGAAGTGATTGGACGAAGGAAAGAATGCAGAGAGAAATGGCTGATGGAATCAATTGCAAAACTCAACCGAAGGGTGAGCCTAAAGCCCCTTTCACACCGGATCTGCGTAGAGTTGCGTAGTGTTGCGTACTGACTACGCCGAAGTTAAGCTGCGAACTCATGAATAAATTGATGCTTCGGCGTAGTCCCTGCGTAGGTTCTGCGTAGGCTTGCGTACGATGGCGTATAGTTACATACTCTGTGCGTAGGCACCGCGTACCTACGGCGTAGGCAATTGGCGTAGGGTTACGTACGCTTGCGTAGGCCTGGCGTAGGGTTGCTTACGGTTGCGTACGGTTGCTTACTGTGTGCGAAAATGCCATGTCAAAATGCAATAGACGCTCGTAGGAGCCGCGAGTATAGCCATTGGCGCTTTATAAACATATATAATAAAAAAATATGTTAAAAAGACAGTTCAATTTATTGTATAAATGAACTGTGCGTTGTACAAAGAATTGTACATGTTATTACATGAGAACATAACTTGATCTTAGTTTAATAATAACATTCTGACAAACTGTGACATCCAAGGGGCAGTTGGTCTCTTTTGCATGCGTGAAATAGGGCTGAAACGCCAATTTGCGTAAAATAGTGAGTGCAGAAAATAACATTTATAAACCTGCCATAAGTTTTAATAGTAAAAAGTGGCATTTGGTACATGTTTTTGACCGTTAAATTTTTAGTTTTTTTAGTAGGTATTAGCAACTGCTGAGGTTTTTTTGCAGTAATGTTAATTTGTTCAAGATTTTATTTTCCAAAAAATGCAGACATTTTTGTTGATGTACTACATTATTGTACTATGTATCATTCAAAAGGGTAATATATGAACTTTCTTTTGATGAACATTGCAAGGTCACGTGATGTGATTTGATACCTCAGAACGCCAACAAAAGAGAGCGCTTATTTTGATTTGTGAATAAATGTGGACAGAAGTCTGATATTTGTTGACTATATCCCTTTTTTCACATATTTGTAAAATATCATTCCATAACAGTTTCCTGAAAGTTTGAAGACGATATCTGTTGTCCTTTGTCCGTAGCGTATTTGTGTGTGACAATGTAATGATATAAATGTTAGTCATTTATTAGATTTAAAGAAATACTTCTGACATACACACTCACTCAGTCTCACTAACAGAGTGAGACAAAATTATTTCTTTGCTCATTTCAATTAAACAAAATTATATTACAAACATACAAACAGGACCACAAACGTACACACAAGCAAACAAACCAACACAAATACATACAGATTTCCACAAAACATAATAAAATTTTCGCATGAGGCATCAGTTGATGAATCTTATCTCTGTTTATTATATCGACAGCCAGAGATGTCAATTATCACAAATTGAATAAACCATAACAAAACAAAACATGTCAGTCTGAAATACCTTGTAGTAGTACAAACAGAATTACAAGCAAGAATGATCAATGATCAATACCTGCCAAGTTTACATCCAGGTATATACCAAAAAAAAATCTTTATACCATACGTTTTTAATGCTTCGTCGGACTGGCGTAGGGTAGCGTATTGTTGCGTAGGCTTGGCGTACATTTGCGTAGGCTTGGCGTACAGTTGCGTAAACTTGGCGTACAGTTGCGTAGTAAAGTCTACGCCGAAGGTACGCGAAAAAAATTAAACATGTTTAATTTTTTGCGTTCATCTCGCGTACCCATTTGCGTCCCTCCGCATACAGTTGCGTAGGGTTGCGTACGATCGGCGTAGGGTTGCGTACGATCGGCGTAGTCGCTACGCAACTCTACGCAACTCTACGCAAGGCCCGGTGTGAAAGCCCCTTAAGACAAACAATATATATTTTACTTCTAACACCTTGGTAGGATGGAAAATACATGTATAAGGCTTGGGATTATCAGAAATAAAGTTTGAAAGGTCATGATCCTAGGCTCAGAAACAGATCACAAAACTGGTTTAACTAAATAATGTTAATTGACCCTGATCTCCTACATGCATGTGATACCGTTTATTGTTTGACAAATAATGCTTTGTGAAAAGGATTTAATAAAATCTTATTGTACCGTATGTAGAGGGGATCAATAACCTCAGCTATGAGTTTTGGTGTGTAAACTTGCAAAAATAACTATACTGATGAAATATTTAGAATTTATATTTTGAATGCCGGGTACTAGCATGGAACCCTCAAAATACAGAGCAAAATAATATATCATAATTTGTCACCTTCAAATAAAAAGAAGTTATGTTGACCAAACACCTTCAATACATTTTCAAGAACAATCCTTTAAAGCCTATCTGCACTAGTTTGGCCAGGAGGGATTAGACCTCCCTGCATGGTCACTGGCAGGTGGTTATCTCATCAAATCAGCTCTCAATGAACATTAGAAAAAGGGGATCATGGGGGACCATCGAGTACCGCTTAGGCATTGTTGGCTATATAGAGGGTGCAAGTAGATACAAGCAGTGCAGTTACGCTTTAAAACAGCATTTTATGTATTCCACTCTTAGAGACAAGGAAACCAAACTGGATCAAGGAGGAGAGAGCTTGAGGAGCGGTTTGGTCATGAGCTGGTGGAGTTCCTCTCGCCTAAGATGACACAAGATGGAGAGAGCCAAGGAAGATTGTCGGGTTCGGCCGCTTGGAGGGTGGCCAGGGGAGAGAGTGGTGCTGGAGCATCGACAGGGAGTAGTCAGGTCTGTTTCTATGTCAACAAATTTAATTTGTCCGTGTTTGATGTATGTCCTCTGTTTTTTAAGTTTTCCTCTTTTGTCATCAAATTTCTCTCTATTTTTGTATTTCTGATTATCTGTGTATTAATGCCCCTTTTTCAGGACCTATTTGTCCTTAAGAATCATTAAGAATCAGAATATCTATGTCATGTCTCTTGGGCTTTATGAAGGTCCTCTCAATTTATTCATTGATTCGTATTTATTAAAAAAAGGAGATGATTAATTTTTGTTGTTTTGTAGCATTCTGGAAATAGATGCATTTAACTTAAAATCGCTCGAGGGGAGGGGGCGGGTGATATAAATACTGTAACAAAGACCTTCCATGATTGACAATATTTTTCACTTTTTTCTTCTTTTCATCTAGACAAAGTATGTCTTTCGTCCAACAGAATCTGAGAAACGTGAGAAGCTCCTCCATGTGCGCTACAACACTGCCAGGGATAAGTACATCAGGATATCAGATGGGAATCAGGAGACAGAGGACTGGGAGAAGTGTGCGTTCACCAACATTTGTATGACCAGGAAACATGAGATGGATTGGCAGATGGTAAGATCATAAATGTACTATGTTTGAGCTTTTAGAAAAATGAGAAGCTTTTTGAGGATGAAACAATACCAGAGAGGGAAGGATAACTTATTGTCTTACTATATTTATAGGTAATAATAATATATAGTATTCCGCTTTTATATAGCGCTTGATACAATGTCTCTATAAAGCGCTTTACAGATAAACTATTACCCCTGTCATTGGATTCATTGCTTGCCCGCACACAATGTGTGCACAATCTCCACTCCCTGGGAAGCATTCCAGCCAGGGTTACTTGACGCTCAAAAACTGTTTGACCAACAATGGTGATACCCATCTCTTTCCTCACAGAGACATGTTAATGGATGAACATCATAAGCTTGTGCATTGATAAAAGGATCCCTCAGAATTGTCATGCTGTTATCAAAACCATATTTAACCTTAGATTGTTATGTTATGTCTCATGTTATTTGAAGGCTGTATAAAGTCAAGACCCAGTTTATTGAACATTGATAAACATTAATATCATTATGTCTTCTGCAAAATACTTTACTTTACCCATTGACTACTAAGTTCTCTCATTACAAATAGGCTTAAGACAGGGACTACCCGGCTTGTATAGGCATTGGGTTGAAAGATAACAATATAAACGTTGCATTTGCATACCGGTACCTACTTGTACTTCTGGTCTAAAGGATTTTCCAAATAGCTGTTGTCATAAATAAAGAGTTTTTTCAAACACTAATTGATCTTTCTTTAACTTTCAGGTATATCTAGCCAGGGAGGAGTCCATGGATAGGGGCTGGATATCGTGGAAGTTTGATCTGAGCGGATCAGGTTTGGTGGTGGATAAGGTCAAAGTTCGCGCCAGCAGCAAGATCTACGAGAATGCGGAGGTCGAGTGGATGCTAGAGGGGGATGGGAATTCTACAAATCTAGATGGATCAGGTAAATTGATGAAACTGGAAAAAGATGATCCAAAAGTAGATTTTTTTTTCTTCTACAAAATTGATGTGAGATGACTTGAATACCTAGAGAGAAGGTCAAAAGCAAAACAAGAGTTAAAGATGTAGGATTTAATTTATGCGAATGAGTTTAATAAAAAAAAAATCTTCAAATTTACATTTGCAGGCTCTTCGAGTCCTATGGCAAGCAAAATTTGCCCACAAAGAAGGGTACCTAATGAATCAACCACAAAATGTTCTCCTTTTTCTTATTTATACATGTACTGAAATGAAATTTTAGTAATTTAAAGGTAATACAAAGTTTTGGGAAATTTTGAAATTTGGGTGGATAGTGATTCTTTACAATTTTGATATATTTAGATGCCCCAGTGGATGAATTATAACCACTAGAAAATTCAGCCAGTAAAACACTTCTGCTTTCAAGAAAAATTGAATATAAAAATTTACCGGTGCTCCCGGTAAATTTCGATAAATTTCAAAAAGCGCCTACGGCCTTACAATGGTAGCCTGGACCATGAAAATCTCAGAATATGTAGTTGTAGTATATAATTTCCAAACGGGAATAGCTAATTGGTTAATTTTAGTCAAGAAACATTGTTTAATAGCTTAATTAATATCTTGACCTTGAGAGGGAGCTATACAACATAAAGAGTTTATTATTTACAATTTCATAACTTTAGACTCGATTTCAACCGCGACAACGATCACTGAGTATTGTAGGATCGCTTATGCTTTAAATATGTTCATTTGAACCAAATTCATGACCCCATACCAAAACTTTGTATTACCTTTAAGCCCCATAAAAAAAAGAGAATCAATTGTGTCATTAAAAGGGGACTTTTGAGCAGAAATTAAGAGTGCAGTAGATCTTAAACTTGATATGCATGTATTTGTGTTGATCAGTACATGCAACAATTATTCATAGTGGTCGTCGCTTTATCAATGAGATATTTTTTACATTTGTTCCAGATGCCATTATTGAAGTAACAGACTTGGCTGGATCCGTTCACATCGAGCTGAAGGCAGAGCTGAGCGGAGGGTCGATGTGGCAGCACACGCAGCTGTTCAGACAGGGAGAGGATGCTAACAATGAATTCCCTCTCGATGTATGCCTCTACCTCAAAGAGGGTTGAACACCTTCATGGCAGATATCAGATAACTTGTATTTGTTTTATCGGCAATATAGAGTACTGGTCAGACATAAAGCTACTTATCCCTGATTTTACTACTACTTTTATTATAAAACCAGAGTCACAAATATTTTTCATGGTCCAGATATGTGATTGTGAAGGTTTCATGCTCTAAACTAATTGATTTGCAACTCATATTTTGGTAATTTGCAATGGTCTTTTACTGTGGAAACAACTGTGTTTGAACTTTCATGTCCTGAAAGATTTTTCAATATAAGGCTTTCATACATACATGGTGAATATGGTAACAAAAAATGAACGAGGAGTGTGAATACTTTGAAGGCAATGCATAAATTGTGTGCACCATCTCCACTCTCTCTTTATAAATAGTTTTTCAATGCACCAAACACATTCGTGCATGCCAGCCAATAACAACATTCTTTTCATTCTCCCGACCCTCCCTGTAATTTCACATTACCGGTACCTTTTAAATGTGTTCAATGTCTGTCTTGAACAGTTGTAGTGGATAGATAATCAATCATGGAAAAATAAAATTGGGGTCAGGTATTAATGAATTTCTATTGTAACAAAAGGAAATTCAAATCATGCAATGGATGAAAGCTTTCTAATTTTATAAAAAGGAAAACGAGGTCCACAATTTTGTGGAGGTGTAATTAGTTACCGTTATTTTGATATTCTGAGCAAAGGAGTGTTTGAGTGTATGCAGAGATGAAAAAGTAAATATTTTAATTTGGAGATCAGGGTTCTTATGTTAATTTTGCCTTCGTTATTTACGTAATTAGTAGCACAAATCAGATGAGAAATTTATCATTTAATTAACTATTATGTTTTAATTACATGAACGACAAAAAATATTCAATGTAATGCATTGTCTGTTTCTAGTTCTGAACAAATGGATATGCAGGCAATGTTAGTCCTGCTGTATTAGGTACAATTCCTAGAACAATTCTGTTGAAATAGCCTTGGATTATTGTCTAAGAGTCCCTTAGATTACATTATTAAATTTCAAAGAATTTGTGTCCGTCCTCAACAATTTGCTCTCAAAACATTCCAGAAAAAAAGGGAGAGCCGTTTGTTATGCCTCCATCGAATGTATGTTTATATTAGGCGAGTGAAAAGGTAAATAAAGGGCGAGAGAAAGTAAGACGAGGGAAAGAGGAAGAGGGAGAGAGAGAGAGAAAAAGGAGGGAAAAAAAAAGGGGGGGGGGGAGGGAGTTGGATACAAAACACATACATGTAGTAAGTTTTAAATAGAGTTTAATTGATTTATACTTTCAGTTTAGAACGTAATATACGTGTAGAAGTACTATTGACAGTAATTTTTAGTTTATATGTATAGAAAGGTAAATTTATATTAAATTCACTTTGAGAGGCAAGTCTTCTTTTACTAGCTGATAATATGAATTAATAAAATGGATCATGGCCATGGGAATGCAATACTTGGTAAATGTATGCTCATTAAAGGAGCAAATGCATGCATGTGTTAGACATTTACCTTATGAATAATTTATTTTTTATTTCTGTTTAAATGTTACAAAATGTATGTTTTTGAACAAAAAAATTTCCACCTGTATTGCATTTATTGCACCAATATATTTTACCAATATTTATACATAATTTATGTGGAAAATTTGACGAACTTAAGAATTTCCAAATGCATGTATTTATTCCAGATTTATGTCGAAAATGTGTTTAAGCAATTTATTTTATGCGAGGGATGTCTCTACATTTTAAAGTACTTAATGTACTTGTATGAAAAATGTGAAATGTATTATCATCTGTAAATTTTGATAAGTATTATCCTCGAGGTACTTGAGATACATTTTCAGGTTTATTCTTATGTCATTAAATGTGATATTACATCATGACACACTGAAGCTCCGTGTTATAAATTTCATTTTTATGGTTTCACAGAAATAACAGAAAACAGCTCAGTGACTACAGTTCTTGAAATAAAGATCTTTTATTCCTCTATTCATCAATATATAAATTACATCATATGAATCATTTCTCATTGGTCGGATATTCTGATTGTACACCTTCACTAAGGAATATAAAATGCATATGACGTCTCTCTTTTAGTTATCTTTTTTTTACAAACATATAACATACATAATGACATCTTATCCCTCACTCATACAGAATACATTTAAACAAATAGCATTAGTCTCCTTCCTTCGCACTTACATTCAATAAATTCTACTTATTAAAATCATAAAATAATATATGAGTGGACTCTTTTACAGACTATTCCAAAGAAATACATGTACCACAATATTTCTAAACACAAACCTTGCAAAAAGACGTAATCCCTCGCTATACATGCATATTAAAGACAACTTGCAAACTATCTTTCTTCACAACACAGCGCTATCACCATCTCTCTATTAATATATCCATTGATGGTATGGTTTTCTTTGAATGTAGTATGTATTGGGCCTTCTGGCTCAACAGACAAAATGTTCTGTTCATATATTTTCCATGATGGCCATATATATATATATATATATATATAGACATTTGTTAGTGTACATTGTAAGGCTAGTTTAGGAAGATAAATGTTTGCTGATATACAGGTAGCTACATGTATATATTTTTTTTAATGCGGAGAGTCAGAAGGGCTTAAATTTATTTTGCTCTCCGGCTGACAGAGTGGACAATATTGTTGTCTGGATGCAGAAGTAGACAATATATTAATGAAGGGCACACACATACATACTTACAAAGGTGCCCTTTTTTAGATATAGATGTAAAGAAAAAGTGAGAAAAAAACTCAAGACAGTTTCACATCCTGGAATACCATGTGACCTAATGATGAAGGCATGATGTTACTGAAGTTTTGATTTAGTCTACATGTATTATTAGGGAGTAATAATTCTTGTACAAGTGTAAACTGTTGTACAAGATTACAGTTTGAATAGTTGACATTTAGGATACTTAGTTTTCATATGAAGCCCTACAATCTTCTTCAAACATTACTATTAGTTTCCATTGCATCTTCAATATACTTATTTGTTATGTTTGTGATACATACACGTTTGCCATAACAATTCTTAATTCACTGAAAATAACATTAAAATATCAAAATCATTTATCGTCTAATTTCTCACAGAGGCCACTTGACTTAAGCCACAAGAATAAAAATTAATTTACTTAATTCAATCACATGCTGCAAAATAAACATTTACACACAAATTGTGTCACAGATATATTCCATTTATCTCTTTGCATGATAACTCTTCTCCACAGATTTATATTACATGAATACGGAAAACACTAACACAATAATAATAATAGTACAAATATTTGAACTCTGACACCATAGATGTATTGATAATATAAAGTGTACATAAATATTGCGATAACACTTTGGAATGAATACAGACTACACAACAATGGTTTACGAGGAGCGGCAGGATAGCTAGGGAAAATACAAAGGGGAACAAATTCCACGACATTTATCGTTTCCTGCTCTCTGAGAACGTGATGAGAAATTAGACTCCGAAATATACTTTTAAGTTCTAACACTTGTGCAGGTTTTTGGTGCGCTTTCCTGAAGTATATATACAAAAAAAAAAGGCAGATAGCTAGGAAAGAGCAGGGTTTATATTCACAAGCATTTAAATATACTTAATATATCACAATGTTAATAACCTAGACAAACAATGAACATTATATTTGTATGTGAATCAGATAACCAGACAGAATATCAAATCAATACACACTTTTATTGAAAACGAAATGTACAATAGCGTTCAGAAAATTCTTTTCTTGCAACCATATAAGGCATACATGCAACAAAGGCAAAATAATTGGCTGCACTGAAAATATTTAAGCATTTAACTATATATTTCTAAGACACTGCATCCAGCTCTGACAATGCTAGAGGAAAAATAAATTGCAGTATAAAATGTAGTTAAGTATAATTTTTCGAAGTGTGCTAACATATTTCTTTGTATTAAAGGCAAACATACACATTTTCTTTTATATATCATTGAACAATCTGTTCATCTGAACTTGCCACCTGTAAACTCCACCTACCAAAATAAGAACAGCTACCGGTATATAAAATTACATGTAGAGATATTTAGGAGCAAACATACAACACACATATAACTTGCAGGGATGCCAGTTAGAATTGATCAGAGGGCTTGAAAATCACCTAAAATGAGCTATTTTGCTATTTTATTCTGAAAATAACTCACCAGGGCCTGAATTCAGGCTATTGCCTGAAAACTGGCATCCCTGAACTTGTCACAGGCTGTCTCTTGCAATGTGACATTGAAATGTACATTGACTAGTTTGTACTTCCCAAGTATCAAGACATATTTATACCAATCCATTTCCTATTTTGTCATGATTTAAGAATGTACCTACAATGTACAATACTCCACAAATCTAAACGAACAACAAAAATATAAAAAATATTATGTTCTGCATGATGAGCATTATATCAGTAACCTTCAGCAAATATCTAAACTCGACTACAATGACATATATATCTTTAAAAAAAAAGAAAAATCCACTTTGAGAATATTTGCACTTGGTATTTCAATTCACACAACTTTTACAGCAAAGTAAAGCAAGTTTCAATGGAAACGTAACCTCCAATAACACACCACTTATAATTTACAGGCACGTACATGCACAACTATAATTTCAATATAATCTTTAAAGAACTATAAGTATTTATTGATAACTCAGTAAGTAACTATTTGATTTGGCTTGTTATTCATAATAAAACAGATATACATAAGAGTAACACATAACTATCTCCTTCAATAGATGACAACGGGTTGGAGGCGGAGCAAACATGTTTACTATCTTCACAAAAGAAGGGCTTTAGGATGACACTTTTAAGCAGAGTCAATGCACTTCTTGTTCTGAACAGATAAAACTAGTCTCTCTCTCCCCCTCTCTCTCTCTTTCTCCCTCTCTCTTCCCCCCTCTCTCTGATAAAGGACCTGGATAAGACAAGCTTTCCCATGCACACTTCAAGTTTATCCTTTGGTCTACATGTATATAATGTACATGTAGCAATGTTTTTTTCACTGTTTTATAACAGAAGCTGTACAAGATGTATTTTTCAAATAAAGGGCGAGTTCCTACATGTGTTGCATAAATATCCTTTTCTTCAGGTATCAAAATGGAATCATACACAATCTCATTTTGTGTATGTGAGTAAATGTAGAAATGAAATGCCCTTTTTACATGCTGGAGATGTTATATTTTCATTTATAATTAATTTTCAATGGTTTGAAGCAAACTTGAAAGGATGTAACAAATGTACACAAAAGCTCAATCCAGAGTTCTACATTTCACAGGTGAATTCGGAGGTAAAAAAAGAGACAAGGTTTTATTAATCTGTACAGAGTTCCCAAGAACTTCATAGGCTTACAGCAGACAACCGTTACTTGCATTGCCTTCCGGTATTTAAAACCATCCCTGAGAATAGCAGTGGTTTACAAAATGAGCTGTCCATTTCCTTCTTCCCTGATCCTCAAATTGACAATTTAACTGATGCATTATAGGCTGCTACATCCAACCACCTCAGTATTATAAATATACATGCATGACCTCTCTAATAAAGTACTGAAGTTAGTGACTCTTTTTTAAAATAAATCCACAGTAATGATCAGCTGAGTATGAAACAACTTGAAATAGGGTCATGGGCCAGTTTTCTTTTTTATCTTTTCTACTCATTCTAAACTGACTAAATGTATTTACAGGTATAAGCTATATAAATACCACATGACTATTGATCATTTGAGTTTTCAACTGGAAAAAACAGAATTGTGTTTGGCATCGTTATATTATAAATCTAACATTTTTGTGAATTTTAGATGAAGTGAAAAGTGCAAGGACAGCATTTATTTCAGAAAAGGTTTAATGTATGAAAAGTGAGAGGTTGGCATGGTTACTCAAATACAAAAGAAGAAATTTAAAAAAAAATTACCACTTTTGTTGTACCATGTCTATTGAGTTAAGTCAACATGGTTCATACATGGTTTGTACATGTATGTGCATGCAGCATTTATATAAAGAGTCCTATCTAGTCTGACCTTACTTGACCCTACAAGATATTTGCCTGACAATATTCATATTTACCTTCTCTTCACTAATACAGTCGAACCTGTGTTAATGATCTCTATTAAGGCCACCTGTTTATAGGGGCCATGCATTTTGTCTCCTTTGAGAGAGAAATGCATGTTGTAAAACCTGTATAGAAAGGCCACCTGTCCACACTGGCCACTTTCTCTTACTAGACAGGTTTGACTATACCACATGACCTCCTATTGACCTACATTTGACCTCATTTGACCTCTACTTCATTCCCCAACTCTCGACAAAGACCTTTTGAATCAGCTAGCTTGGTGTTTAGTACAACCCTCAGGTATGGTTCTACTCCAGCAATGTGTTTAGGTCCATGGTTATGTGGGGGGTCCCTGGTTACATGAGGAGTCCCTGGTTACGTGGGGAGTCCAGCGTGAAAGGCATCTTGGTTGATTTCAAGCTTGGAAGACGTGAGGATTTCTTCTATCCTGAGCTCTGTGTTCTCACCCTCTGCAGGAGAAATAGAAAGATTATACATGAGTTTGAATTAAGACAACAAAAGTTACAAAAAAACAGTCAGGACTGCTAAGGTGAAAGAGATGCCCATCATAAACAAATTACAGTAACAGGAAATAAGAAACAATGCAGTTTGAATATGTGAGTCAAATTGCATTTAAATGATATAAATAGAGTAATGAAATCAAGTTAAAACTAAAGAAAATGCTAGAAAGTCCTCACGTTCTCAAAGACAAGCTGACTGCTCTGGAAATGTATCCGAATATCCCTTAACAGCTATTCAATATTCAATACATTTTGACATTATACCTTTCCAATGTAAGGTGTAAAGTAATTTGAGGGAAAAACGAGCATAGTGTACATCATGTAGAGATGTTGTGGTCGAGTGGATATGTCACCGGACTGTGGATCACAGACTAATGTCTGTTGCCAAGACATTGATCTACATTTGTCACTCTCCACCCAGGTGTTAAATGGGTACCTGGTAGGATGCGAAAGTTAATGTGGTTAGATGAGCAAGTGTGCGCTTGTAAAAATTGATGCCTGGCTGGAACGGTCCCTAGGGAGTGGAAAATGTGCATAAATTGTGTGCAGGTAAGCCTGGATCCGATGACCAGGGTATTGATATATCTGGAAAGCGCTTTGAGAGGACCTGTGGTCCTGAAATGCGCTATAAAGGAATGAACTATTATTATTATTATCATTCCACTCACCAAAATATTTTTCTTGCTTCAGGAAGTCTGTCGATGGATACGATGATGAGCTTACCATCCCGTAAGCCAGCTAGTACCTGGCTCTTTGACGGTACAACGGACAGACAGTGAACTGGTAGCTGAAGACGCATGGTGGTCACTGCCTTTAATCTTTGAAGAAGAAAAAAATATATACATAATAGCGCAAAATTCCTTTTACACTGTACCAACCACTGCTTTAAGTTGTTAACTGATATATAACTTATATAAAATTGAAGAATAAATAAGGGACAACTTTAATAGATATTGACATTCTCATTAAATAGGTAATATCCTTTAGGTCACTGCTAAGATTATGATATACTGGGGCAAAACAGACTAGCTACACACAGGAGAGCCAGCAAATCATATATCCATTGTTTCATATACAGTACATACTATTTATATGTTATCGAATCAGAGTATTGGGCACATTAATGACATAACAGAAATGAATAATACAACAAATAGCAATTGAAGTAAACAGCTAAACTGGTTCCATAAGCTTAAAAAAGGAAAGAAAAAGAGACATATAAATGTCTCCAATAAAAGAAAGGAGAATGAAACTTACTCAAATATCTTCCTGAAGCATATGATCCCTCTACTGTCGGAGGTCAACAGGAAGTCTTCTACGACCTCCATGTCGGTGAGACACCCTGCATTCATCTCAGTGCATAGATGCTTGCCGTTGACTGAATACAGATGAAGGCTGCAGTGATCCTACAAGAGATAGAGAAACAAAGAGTTATGAGGAAAGTTGTAAACATGTACTATCCTGGATCACACATTATTATATCCGACTCACCTTTAAAAATATTAAAACTGTCAAAAATGTTTTGCTCAAAGAAGAGTACAAATAAAAGGTGACAACAAAAATTTGTGTTCTTTTCCAACTTCACTACCTCACTGCAAATACTTCACATAAGCTTACAGAACTGATCAGCCTATAATTCAGATTTTTTACCCCCACCCCTAAAAAAAAAAGGAGGGAAAAATTGTGAAAGTGAACTTGAAATGAAAGACACGTCAAATTTGAGATGGAATGCAACCGTGCATGTAAGATCATATCATCAATAAATGACCCCAAATTAAAAAAAGGAAAATGGGCAATCAACAAATAATCCCACATGAATGTTGAGGAAAATTCTATTATGATAATAATGATAATCTGTGAAAGTGTTTGCTCTAAAGAAACTATGTAAACTGAAAAATTGAACATTCCTGCTGACAACATTCCCCTCTCGATAATGAGTATAGTGTATGCATCACAATTAAACATATTTTTCAAAGGTCTCACAAAGCTGTTGTCAAAGTTATGTCTCCCTACTCTCTCTCTCTCTCTCTCTCTCTCTCTCTCTCTCTATCTTGCTCGCTCTGTCTTTCTCTCTCTGTCTTTCTCTCTCTCTCTCCATGTATATATCTCATTTTCTAAAGAAAGATCCAACTGTAATACAAAGTCCCTGTTAATTTAGAAGAAAAAAACACAACATGCAAATAAATGGATATATCATTGAATACATGGAACACAGATGTACATGCATCAATTGCATTCTGTGTAAATCATAAACTTTGTGTTATTAGATTAATACAATTTGCTATATATACACACACTATATGCAGTTGCTAGTTTTAAAGCAAATCAAACATAATCAGGTGTAAAAATTTGATTGAGAACAAATACTTCTTGTTGCAAGCTTTATATAATTCTGATCTTCCTAATATTCATGACAGTTTTGATTAACTACAAATTAATTAAATAATTTTTATCCAAGTATAAACAATTTATTTAATGATCCTTGATAATACATTTTTTTGCCATTAAAAATCAAAGGCAGTTTACTTTCTCTTATCTATGAATGAATATGCCAAATGAAAAAAAAAGTCATTTACTAAAAAAAACTCTGGCTACATGGGTATTGGTACAAAATGTATCCTTTTTTATAAGCATTGCAACACTTAAATTTCTTTCAACATGGCCAGAAAATACTTAATCAATATATTCATACACATGCTGTCTTTTCTTTCTCTACTTTAAATACCACACACCATTTAAAAATTGGGAAGAACTACATGCAGACAAATGGGGCATGCAGATGTTGGTATCGTATCTTTAACAAAAAACGAATAAATTGAAGTACAATTAGTACACTTTGCCCCTCTCTCTCCTCCCCCAGAAGAAACTGCTCACTCACATCATCAAATATTTAATTGATTAATAATTAGATGCAGTAGAGAACATATTCTCATACTTTATAAACCATAAATAATGCACATTACATTTTAAATCAATTATGCAGCCAAAACACATTTTTAAAACCATGTACCGTAGACTGTTAACTATAACAATGTTTAATTAGCATTGTTGATTTTTTAAATCATTATTTATGCCAGGTTAGTTTTAACATAATGTTTGCAAATTAAATTTTAAATAGACAATATCAACCATTTAAATATGGAGATTAGCATGAGTAAAAAAGAAAGAGTGCACTTGAATATTACCTTTATCATCAAATCTCATATTACTTCATGGAGGGAAAGTATTAATTAGCCAAACATGTACATATATGTATGACTTGTGCATCTTTGCATCTTTTTGAAAGATTTCTAATCTTGCTCATTTGTAATATTTTAATGTTGCTAAATTTGGTATTATACATGACAATCCCATGCTATCCATCATTGTTTTCCAAGAATAATTTCTTGGGGTGTACCCAATAGATTAGATGGTTACATCTTGTAAATGGCTAAAAATATTAACACTTGTAATTCAGTGTCATACATAATCTAAAATAAAAACAAACAAATACAAACAGAAACCATAAAAGAACAGTACATTCATATACAACACAAATTTTTAAATGAAAAAAGCGTGCATAAAACAAACACAATAAAACAAAATGAATGAAGAGGATTTTAAAATAAAATTCAAAGAATAAAATAAATCAGTTGCAATACAAATGGTTTGCTTTGAAAGTGAATGTTTTTTATTAATAATATGGACAATATTCAGCCTGTGTACATGAAGGAGTTTGATAAACATATAACTTGGGACTCCACACTGCTTTTTGTGTGTGTTTAGTGTCCGAATTGAGATTTTAAAGGTACGTAGGCATGAGACCCATGCTGCAGTTTGAAACTTTGTAGGTCCTGGGCCCCATTTCATAAAACCCATTATCAATAACAAGTTACAATAACTGTTATAAGCTACTGATATTTCGGCATTCGATTAGCTGAAGGCAAATTTGCCATAGAAATTTAGCATTCGTTATTGATAACAAGTTTTTATGAAACAGGACCCTGATCTACAGTGTAAATGAAAATATTGAGTGCCTATGTGTCTCAGGCGCCTCTTAACGTTAAGCCCTGCAAAGAGGGTGAGTTTTATTGCCTTGAGCATGATATTATTCAAACTTTTTTTGAATACGTGAGGCTACTGCGGAAAAGAAGTTTACCTCCTGCAAATCACAGCTCAGTGCTTATTCTGCCTAAGAAGGCATTTGATCTACAGCTGTGTGTCTCTCAATGCAACTCACTGAAAATGTAGTTAACACTTTCAGCATTCTTTCAGGCAGCTAGGCTATTAAAGCTAGGGTACAACTACTGGATTTGCTTGCTTTACATGTGTCGTGGACTAGATTTTCTAGAGAACACAAAATCTGAGAAATCCCAATGCAATGATATACACTGATTAAAAAACACAAGCACCATTGACTTTGTGCTCTTTATTTCTGTTAAAAATATAAGCCAAGGAAAGAAAGGAAACCTTGCTGGAGGGATTAACCTACAAAAAATTGAGACCAGTACTCATTTTGAACATAACACAGGTCAGGAAAATGAGAAACTAATAAATGTCAATGATTCATTCCTCTTTAAAAGAAAAACTGATGACTAAAGAACCATAAACAGGAACACAAAATGGAAACAAACAAACATGAATATTCATACACACATACCCACACACTCGCTTGCAATGGTTAGTAGACATATGGAAATGAGATTGAAGCATGTTAAATACTTGGTTAATGGGTGAAGAAAAAAATGAATGGGTGGGACTATTATAGGTTCAGAAGGTTAAACTGCCAGATGAAAGGATTATGAATATATGAGCATCAAAGGATTAAAAGATGGACTGACTGACAGACAAACCGATGGACCAACTTACCGGAGCCGGTTTGCTTGCAGCAGACTGCTTGCTTGGGATACCTTTCCCCTGATAATGTTTAATAGACAGAGATATAGAACGCAAGATGGACTAAGCTACTCAGATAAACTAGTCTACCACAGTGTAGTTTTGGCTGTAGAGGTTTGTTAGTCAGTGATGTAACTGGGACTACATTGTAGGTCCTGGTCTCTGCACTCAAGGTCCTGTTCTAAAAGCTCAGGGTTTGTATGGCATGTCTATTTCCAACATTAACCAAATTCATAAATTCAACCGTAAACCCAACACTACATCTCACCCTGACCCTAAATGTAACCTAAACCAAATTGCAACCCTAACCTAAACCCTACAGTATATCTTTGACAAATAAACCTTTTGGTGCAGGAACAAATGTCGGCTCCCTGGCTCAGGACACTAAAGAGTACATTTTTCTCCCAATGCTATTAATTCCAGGCTTAGAACTTGGACTACAAGCCTCGGTTACATCACTGATATTGTTAAGTAAGGTAGGTGCTGGATGAATTGTTTTTTAATAAGCCAGTTTTCCACAATGAGGAATAGAGCTGACAAGGAAGATTTGACAGGAAAATATCAGATTCAATGAAAAGATGATAATAAATGGTCATATATAATAATGCCACATATGAAGGTGGAAAAGTTTTTCCTGTCTATCACCCATTAAGTTAAATAACAGATTTTTAAATGGTAGTCATAGTTTGATAAGAAAAGAAATTGGAAATTGTTGCTTCCCAAAATAGGGTCCTTCTCTACAAAAGGTAAAGTCTGAAATAATTTTGATTGAGAGAAGCTACATGTACGTTTATTAATTTACTAAAACCATTATACGAGAACCAAATATAGTTTTCACTTTAATCTTAAGCAGCATATGGCACAATGTGTCATGACATGACATCACTATGAGTCCATGCTTATTTAACATGTGGGGGAAAAAAAGGATAATGAACAATCAATGAGTGTTTTCTCTTCTGGATACTACTAAAGATGGATATTAATTCCTTTGGGAAGATGATTAACTTGGTGTGTTTCAGTTGGATTAAAAAATGAAGTTATATTTTTGCTCAAATGAAGTCAAATGGGATAGGACTTAAGGGAGGTGGGGAAGGGGGGATCCTGAATATTCTGAGTATCACACCAACACAAAACAACACATACAAATACAGTGTAAGCCATATGACTTACACATACCACACAATATATAATATAACTACACATTATAAAGTGAAGAATATAGGCAGTTCATTACAATATAAAGATGTGAAATAAAAATAGAAGAGAACACTGGCATTTGCTACCTGGTAAGGAGATGTACCTAAAGTGGACAGTTAATTATCTTTGGCAACAACAAAATATTAGGGCAAAGTCATGACGCATTTAGAAAGAAGAGGAGACATACACAAACACAAACAGACCCAGTAAAACAATCACAAGTCAACTCAGACAAGAAACAAACACCTTCACACACATACATTTTGAAGTAAGATAAGGTTTGACATTTATAAGCTTGTGATCTGTGGAATAAAGGATTTGATGTTCAAAGCTTCAGCTACAGAAGAATTGGATGGGATCTAGGGCAACCAACCCCTTGAATGAATGCCTGCATTTTTTTTGCTTCTTATCTAGGTCGCGTTTCATAAACAGTTGCGATTAATGGCAACTTATTTCCCAATTAATCGCAACTAAGAGATATAGGAGACTGCAAACTTGCGATTGATTAGAGGACTTGCCATTGATTCGGATCAATCGCAGCTCTTTTGATAAAAGACAGGGCCCTGGGATTTGAATTGTATACAAATAAAATGACATATCTTCAAGACATACATTTACAGACTTACAAAAACAGAGGATATACTGGTAAAAGTCTATGTTACACACACATTTCTTGTACACACAAACAGAGACAAACAAAACTGTCTAATAGCTTATAGGTCTGTCTTATGGTGAACTTCAGATCTAAACTTTAATGCTGAAAGAGATAGAAAGAGACATTTACATAGCATAAGTCTGCAAGATGTGCGTGATTTGTTTCATACATAGCACACAGCATTATTAAAGAGAGGATATTGATGTGGCTAGATAGATGGTACATGTATGATGAACAGAAAATGAACATAACCTGTGAGGGGGAAGTGCCTATTAAAGAAGGGAAGATGATTAGACCCACAGATAAGAGGATTTGCACACAGGGATACGGTATACAGTATTACAGTACATGTATTCTGTATGTGCTGTATTAACCCTACACAAGTAGACAGACTTAAGTATCCCCTGACTGACAAAGAACAAACACTTATGGTCAGAATAACATCCATTTTTGAACACATAGCAAATAACTATAAGCAATATGGGCTGACAACACAGCCATGATGTACAGGTACATGTGTATATACGTCACTGCACTGACAAGTTGAGAATATGGCGTTGGTGGTCATTGCATTGTAATATGGATTCACTCCTTCATTTTAAAGCACATGGTATCCATCTTGCCCACATAATTGGACATAATGACAGATCCCTAATATCTCCTCCCCCCAAAAAAAACTAAAACTAAAATAAAAATAAATAAATAAATTATTATCACCAAAAAAAAAACAAAAAAAACAAAAAAATATGACAGACAAAGATACAGACAGACAGTCAGACATAGACATACACACAAACAGACAGATTTAAAAACTGAGAAACAAATAGATTTTCAAAGAAACTGATGAATGGATAGACACTCAAAAATAGACAAGACGTACAAACAAACAAACATACAGACATATAGTCAAGAAGAAAAACAATCAGACAGACAGACAGACAAACATACAAACAGACAAGACCTACCTGCATATGCTTGCTAGCAGCAGGCTGTCTAAGATGGATGATGATGTGTCCCTCCTCTGAGATAGCCAGACAGGGGATGGAGAGGGGGGCGTTAGGATCATTCGGGGGTCTCAGGGTCCGGATGTAATGGCCCTTCAAGATCGTGTTGACAATGATGGTACCATCCTAACAAAAGAAAGCAATAAATAAATCTTTTCATCCATATACAGGACATGACTTTAAAGAAGGGAAATTCTGGTAAAATCTTCAAAAATACCCAAATACGCTGCAGAACCTAAATCCACTGAATTAATTAAAAAAAGTGAAGCACATGCAATTCATATTACATTGCACTATATAATATTTTATTGATTAAAAATAATAATAATCACTTTTATAGGGCGCTTTATACAGGCGATTCTAAGTGCACAGGTGGTACTGTCTGACTCAGTATAATTATTCAACATTAAAAACACCTTTGACATTTCTATCATGACCTTGAATTACCTTTGAAGCTGACACAGCCATATCAAGCTGAGAGCTAAGAGCAACACAAGTGACTTCATCATCATGACCATAGAGGGTCTGGATGGGTTTGTTGTTGATACCACTTGCCACACCATTCTACAAGGTAAACAATAAAAGAGATTAGTGGGATAGAAAAGTTTTAAACAAAAATAGAAATGAAATAACAACAAAAAAAATAATGTTCAGTTGTCACTAATTGTGGTGCAAATTTGTATGTAAAATTTTCTCAGTCCTTCATTTAATATCAGTATCACTTATATTGTGCAAACATATCTTGTTTCCTAAATCAGAGGCACATAAATAATATACCCTGCTTTACTTTAACATCACTGTCCTGATAAAGCATTAGGACAAGGTTTTTTTTTTCTTCTTCTTCAAAGCCTTACCTGTGGCAAACTGAAAATAATGCATTACCAAATGACATTAGTGTATTGTGGTGGGAAGTTGAAACTTGTTATTCATGGTCAGCAACCCTGACAACATGAGCACCATTGCAACTCTTGGGAAACGAACAATACTGCTTCTCATATCTAAACTGAATAAGTTGGACATATAACACTTGTTATCAATGCCATGAATACAGAACAAATGTGCTCATAGCTAATGTCGGAAGAATGCAATAATCTCTGTAGCTTATATCAATCTTTGTAACTTGTTATACAGTGAAACCTGTCTATAAAGACCACCCAATATAGGCAGGTGGTCTTTAAGTACAGGTGTCTATAGTACATGTTTCAATGAAAAACCATTTTCAAGGGAAACAAAAAATGTGGTCTTTGTAGACAGGTGGTAACTAAAGCAGGTTTAACTGTACCTATAGAGCTTTATGGAACAGGGTTCACTTGCAAAGCCACCTCACCTGATACGTTATCTCCCAGACCATGCAGGTGGTGTCACGTGACCCAGTGATGAGCTGCATGCCACACCCATCCAGCGCTATGCACGTGACGACGTCCATGTGACGAGTGACGTGTGCGACGAGACGGCCACTGCTCTTAAGGTTGAACACACGCAGGCTGTTGTCCCAGTGTCCAACTACGAACAGGAGACGGGCGTCGTGTGTCGCCACAAACAGCTTGGCGGTCACATGCATGCCGGGTGCGAAAGGGCCACTCACCAACTTCCGAGTTCTGCATTAAAAGAAGGACAAGGTGAAAATGTTAAGTTCCCCATGTGCATGTATTTATATCAGATACCTTTAATGTTGACAATTTGTCTACAATAATCTCTCTTGCACATCTTTTTCACTGTACAGAAAATAATATAGTTACTTTTGACCTCATTCAATATTTTGTGGAGGACATGCAATGTTTTATTCATGCAAACATGAGAAGGGGACCAGGGGTGTTGTGTCAATATACGTTTGCTCATTCTGTATAAGTCTATAATACTAACGGTTCTATTAAAGGGAAATTAGAATACTTAATGATGATGCTTGATGTTATCAGTTTCTTTTAAATGAGAAACTCTTTAAAAATGTCTACCATTTAATGTAAGACAAAGAGACTAGACAACTTTTAAAGAGAAGGTTGAGTTCTGGGAGCTTTTTAATTTTTTTTAAAATGTTAGTGTGGAAGGATATCATAGAATAAATGTCCCCTGAAAAGATGGCTCATCAAATGAACCTCATATTCAAAATATGACTGCTATCAGGAAAAGGTTGCGAACTCCACATTCCCATATACACATTTCTGTGTACAGTGCTTGTAACTGTTAGCAAGACTAGATCATCATCTTATCATTTTCATGATTCCAAAACTTCACAGTAAACACCAATACTTATGTGCTACACGATTAATGTTTTTGAATTGCTTGCACTCAGTTTCTTTCACAATGCAATCACATGACCCAAACTCAACTTTATCTTGAACATGCTTACATGTACTACCAAGTACATTTGTAGTTTTTTACAGCTGTATACTTATCAAGATGTACCATATGAGCAGCTTGAAATTGTTTTCTACTGCACAAAATAATACAGGTAACTAGAGACATGCTGGGGAAACAAAATCTATCGTCATTCCATCATTCCAGCTCATTCCCGGGCAAGGCAGCAGAAAAAGAAACCCCAAACCTCTCGCTACCTAAAACTAGGAACCTTCACGTCCATGGGGCCCGACAATAGAGGGCGTGTGATTTTATGTAGGACCTTGGAGACGAGCCCGAGGGGTACATACTTGGAGCTGAGGAGGGTGGAGTCCCGGTCAAAGGTGAAGTAGTTGGAGATGCTCTTGTCATACGGGAGCCAGCTGTGGGTACCGACCACGCCCTTCTGAGTCACGGTCACCTGAGCAAGGAGGGAATTAATATGAAAATGAGTCTTTAAAAAAATTGTCAGCATTTGTGAAAATGCCATAACCCCTATAGGCATCTGTCTTATTTACAATAAATGTATTTGTTTTTAAAAAATTCCACAAATCAAAATATATGAGACAAAACTGTAAATACATATAATCTTGAAAACTAAGTTTGAGGTACTCTACAATAGAAGTACAATGAAACACACTTTGAAAAAAAAAAGGGATTAATCTTGGAACACAAATTGTCTTGAATATAATGACATGAAAACTCAAGCTGAAGAGTCTCTTTGAACTCACATGGACACAAAGGGAAACACAGCAGAGAACTGAATGGCTGAGGTTCCTCTTTTATCTTTGGGGTTTATCCTATGTAAAGTACATTCGCAAGCACAGTAGAGCATCAGGAAATAAGTGTACCATTGAAGTTGGAGATACAAAGAAAGGGACACACAGACTCCACCTGTATTTCCACTATTGATAAATGTAACAGTTATAGGACAACTCTACCCAGAATAGCTACTGCTGTCTCATGAAGGCAGTAAGATGACCACAATCTTGGGTTTAGTGAAAAACATGTAAAGGTATCTCTGACTACACACAAGCTTGGATGAATTTAAGGTAGTAAAACAGACAAAATGCCCAACTACACAAAATAATCACTATCTTCATAAGTTCCAAGTACATGGCATAGATATCTAATTGTTACATACCATGGTATCAGGCATGCCTTGATAGATGAAAGACTTAGTCTGACTCTTGGGTACTCTCACATAGACCAGTGGGTCATTGTCAGCCGTTGATGCCTGGTAAAGACAAGTATTATGATTGTAAAAAGAGTAAATGGTGCTAGTAAACATGATATTGATGTTTTTTGAAATTCAATTAGCATCACACAAAACCACGGAAAAACTTCTTGCTCAGATTGTAAAAGCATGACTTTCGAAATTATTTGCATATTACATGTATGAATTCCGGCATGGATATGTTTCATGATATTACCATTAATGTTATCATTACCAACATCAACACTATCATCCTAGTCATGTTTCATGGACCAATGACTCTACTAGAAGTTTGTCTAGTCTTTATTAAAAGAGATGATGGAAAATTCACATATACACTTGATAATTACTTAGACAGCTGATCACCTCCTCACCTTCGTTTCATAACACTTTCATAGCAAATATAATCATTACAATCACAATCCTCACCATCACGACAATCTTTATTATCTTCAGCACTATCACTGTCATCATCCTCCTTATCATCATCATCATCATCATCATCATCATCATCACCATCAATAATCCCCCATTTCCCTCATTTGAAAAAGTTAAATAATAGGTATATAAAACATACACAGAGAGTGTACATAAGCTAAAACATGGGACTCATTTGACCTCATTTGAAAAACCCTCTATTTACCCCTACCTTCCTTACAATAACCACCCCTAAAATACCCACCTCCACAAAGAAAGCCTTGAGTTCATCCAGATGCTCAAAGATGTTGCTGAAGTTTGGTTGCGTCCTCATGAGCCCCTTGGACCTGGTGCTCTCCTCCGGTGATGAGGCAAGACGTCTCTGAGGGTGGGGTTCCTTCAGGAGCTGGCAAGGCGTCTGGCCAAAGTTATTGATCATGCCTTCTACGGCCTGACGCTGAATGTCATCTTTGATAGCATCCAGGTCCACAGCACCTGATATCATCAAACCAATCAAGTATCAAAGTATCAAGTTTATTTGTCTTCCAGAAATCATATGTAACAAAATATGATATAGAATATAATAATAACAGTACAATGTAAAGAAATATGAGGAGACCTTGGTTGAAGGAACAGCTTGTTAAAATAAGGCCCTTCAGTTGATGTGACAAAGAAAACTGATTCATGAATACAACAACAAACAATATATGGAATATATAAAGCTATTTACAAAATACACTCAGAAGACAACTACCCAACGATGCATCAACCACAGCATGGACCTACTGAGTAGTAGGTCCATGACCACAACAACTACCCGAAGATGCGCACATCCCCATCACACCGGGTGAGCTAACAAACTCACTGTGTGTTTGAAAATAAATGTCATATGAACATGAACAACCTAGCAACAAGTAAATAAGCAATTTGCAGTAAAACAGCTCCATATTCATGAAGGCTTTTTTTTGTTGGTGATAATAATTAGCCAAAAATTGAACTCATGTTGACAATCACTCATATTCCATATGATGCCAAGTATTCTTGTCAGGGTTTCTGTTATTTTTAAACAAAGTTAATATTTCATTCTTGACACTGGAACATGTACCTTTTATAAACTTGAGCTAATATAAAACAGTACAAAATCTTCATACTCTAGCAGTAGTAGAACCTTTTAAGTGATGATTGATATATCAATACAAAATCAACTTTCAGAACAGCATCCTACCTTCATAAGTGCAGTAGTAAAAGACATTGAGAGCTTCCACAGCAGCAGGTCCCTTCTGCTTGTAACCAAAGATCAGATCTATCCAATTATGGAGATGGCTGGAAACATAGTCACTCTCCTGTACAGAGAACAGTCAATGAGGGGGTATGAGTATCAAAGATCTAGCTTGGTGTGCATATTATAGACATGGTACTTGAAGAGAAAGTCTAAAAATAAGCTTGAATGGAACTACCCTTAATAATTCCATTCATAAGAATAGAAGTTAAATACAATAGGTAAATAAAACATACACATAGAGTGTACATAAGCTAAAACATGGGACTACATTTTTCTGTTTGTGTCATAGAATTCCAGTCTGTGCCATTAAGTTATTTAAACCCTTAAACACCATGCACTAACAGGTCAGCAAAGCCATTAAATCAATTAGTTTTAACTAACAGAATCTTACTCAAGCCTTCTTACATGTATGTACATCTGCGTAGAAATAACATTAAGATACTTCCCCAAAGTGAGAGATGAGAACTGTTTCCAGAACTCTGATGTAGTGAGAGATGGGTGATGCCCAGGACATTGATACTGGACACAAATACTGGGGGGCGTTTCACAAAACTTGTCATCAATGACAAATGACAGTTTTTGTTACAAGCTACTGAAATCCTTGCTTCTGATTGGTTATCAACAGATTTGTCACTGATTTTTGTCATTTGTCATTGAAAAAAGGCTTTGTGAAACGGGTCCCAGGAGTATACTTACAAGAGCCTGTCTGTGCTTGTGGATGAAGTCTTCGGGGGTCTTGGCCCACTTTGGCAAGATGACATCCTCCACTGGTTCTCCCGTCTGTAGGCATCCAAGGTCAAATTCTACAGAGCAAAGAAAAGAAAGCAGGAAGAGAACTTAGTTAATAATTGTATACTTAAGATGATTGATGAATCATCTTTATGTTTGCAGTTATACAACCAGGGGACCTACACCTCAAAGCCCAACCAGAAGGACTAAGTAAATAAGGATCTGTCTTACCCAAGGGCAAAAGCAAGCTGACTGTGTTTCAACCTTAGGGTCTTTTCGTCCAAAGTCAACAGCCCAAACTATTAGTTCATCCCTCCTTCCAGAATCAAAACTCTTAACCACCACATTATTTGGAATATATCATGACTGTGGCATTAGAAGGGATTTAAATCTGTGTAAAAATGACAGGAGTTAATACACTTCTGCCTCTAAATAGACGATATATTCCATGACATTTTATGGGAGACAAAGGTCACTTGTGGTAGTCTACTATTTTGTCCAATAGTCAAAGAAGGCAAGCAAAGCCTCAAAGCTCCCTCTCTGACTATTACAACCTCATTTTCTTTTAGGTACAGTGTACCTTCAAAGAAACCATAACAGAGAAGGGCATCCAATACTTACGGTTTGCATTGACAAGAAACTCTGGCAAGTAGAAGAATTCTGGGATGAGTTCCTTGACGTCATTAGGGTTCTCCATCAGTGTATCCCATAGAGACTCGATAGAATGGAACTGACGGTCTGCACAATCAAATCTATCAAGGCAAAAAATAATAAAAACCTCAATATCTGCCTCAAATAAAAATTCAGATAATGTCAGGATCATAAGCACTTTAAATACATATATGTACATGCATTGGCATATTGATAAATGTTGATTACTTTTACAAAATTGTCAGTGGTCAAGTCCACTGTCTCAGTATTTTGACCTGTGTGTTACAAACATCAAAGTTGTTATTATACCTGATGAACCTATCAAGTGGACAGCCCTACAAGAGCCTGGATCACATCAAATTCCCAAGGAAAATATTACTTGAGCTGCTAAGTTTTTTCTTTAATGTTGATGATGTATGGGACAGCAAATGACCAAACACATTGGAATTGACCTCATACATGTATGTATCTATAGGAATGATTCGATTTAAATACATTTATAATGGGTTAGAGTATACTAGGGCTCTTGAATAATGCTATCCAATTTATCATCAGTAGTCAGAGTTCCACATGCCCAAATATACAAAGAATCATAACATGACCAATCCATCCACATATGACCTACCTTCCACTCTGAAGCTGGATGTGCAGCATTGTGAACGGCTCCATACGTACAAGGTAGTGCATGACCCCTGCTGCATTAGAGTAGTGAGTACCGTAGTGGAACTTGTCGATAGTGCCTGATGGATCCTCAAAGTTCTCATACCTGTTGAAATTTGACAAAATCAAATCAAGATTAAAATTTATGAGAATTCAAAAAAAATTATCTCTAGTGAAACTAATTTATTATTTTCCAACTTTTCAAAAATATAAGACAATTTGTAAAAACTATCTCTAGGCAAACTAATTTATTCTTTTCCAACTTTGTTTGACTTCAAGAACATGCAAGGGGCAGTTTAATTGACTATTTTAACATGTGTCTATGGAACATCGAACATTAAAATGTTTGGCAGTCCACAGGTCAAGTCTCGAGACAATTTTTTTTTTCAAAATCTGTGTTCGACATCATAGTTGCACTGTGCACTAAACTATCAATTCATATCATTACAGTTATATCAGTACACACATGGGTGAGACTGTCTTTGTAGCTTTTGATTAAACAATAGATAGGAATTTCAGATGGCTAAAAGAGCATGTCAAAACATGTGGACTACTATCATATATATCATAGTCATAGCATTCATCAAAATAGCTCAATATGAAAGAATATCTTACTTTCCCTGTACTTCTGGAATGTGCTTTGGGTTGACAACCCCAACTGGTTTGGAAAGGTCACGGAATACTTCTGGGTTCTCAAGGTCAAGCTCTTCTGAAGAATAGTCCGACAGGATCCATGGAAACTATGTGTGTTGATCATAACAATTTTGAATTATTATCATTACTATTTAATCAAATTTCTCATCATAGACACAATCATCACAATTATTACAATTATCATTACCATCACATCACCAACATCACCTCACCCTCATCATCATAATCATGTTGATGACATCATCATCATCACCACCACCACCACCACCACCACCACCACCACCACCACCACCACCACCACCAATACCACCACCACCACCATCATCAACACCACCACCACCATCAACACCACCACCATTACCACCATCATCATCTCATCCTCATTAGCATTACCATTATCCTTAACACTTTCATCAGAACATTACAATACATTTTAATACAATCATCACTACTAACACAAATAACATATTGTCATGGTCCCCACAATCACAATTTATTTACTATCATTATCCTCATCCTCATCATCATCATCATCATCATCATCATCATCATCATCATCATCATCACCATCATCATCATCGTCATCATCACCATCATCAAATTCCTCATCCTCCTCCATCCTCCTCTTCATCATCTCAACGCACCACTGGATACTGGCTCAGGTCATTGTACGTCCTCCCTGCTATCGTGTTGAGCTGCATCAGGTAGTCAAAGTTGGAGATCTCTCTGTTAATCCACTTCTGAGTGAGACCTGATGCCTTGAGAAGGTCTGCCGGGGACTTGGCTCCAGTGTAGTACAGATTGGGAGGTCTCAGGCTTAGAATCCGGCTATATGCCTTGTTTCTTGTCTGTAAAAGCAATAAACAAAACCTTGTGAAGTCTTGATGACAAACTTGGTTAAATGATTTAGAAAGGTAGACATAGTTCAGGGGGTATCTAACATGAAATTTAGCAAAAGCATTGCACTGTTTAGATTACTGACATAATTCACAAGTCACATTTGAAGAATGAATTGCTTAAATTTCAAGATTTTTTTATTTTATAATTATAAAATTCAAATCAAACGTTTTGCTCCAGGACTTTGAGCTTTGGTCGCCACCTTTGCAAGAGAAGGGACCATGTACAAATTTCAATTTGATTCATGTGATAAAAGCAATATACTCTTAGAGTAATGTTTACATGAAGATACTTTCCTCCTGCATCCCTCATAGTACTGAGAAAGCACTCAGAAGCATCATACAGCACTCTAAATTCAGAAGTTTAATGACCTCATTGGCTTAAATTTGTATGGTCCTGATGATCTGCTTACCTTCCTGTCCTTGAAGTTGATGAAGTAGTTGGTTTGGTTGATGAAGAACACCTCAATGGCACTACGTCTCAGGTTGTAACGACGCAGATGGACCTCTCTCAGATGGGACAGCGACCACTTGAAGTCTTGACCAAACACTAAAAGAACATTAAGAGACAATGAATTAATATCAAGGCTATATCATGATGAAAGTAAAGCATCTTTAGCTTCAGGAAAGGATATTGGGGCCCACTGACAGCCACAGCTACTTGGGCAATCTTTAACCAAATTGTAAATAATATCTGTGATTAAATGAGGTCAAATAGATATTATTGATTCCTAATTCCCTTCTAAAGGTTCACAGGAGGCTGGGAAGAACATTGAGTTAAGGGTAACATAATAAAAAAGCTACAACTGACAGCAAGTCTACTGAATTGAGTCTTTCACACTCATTAATCTTTCAAGCATTTGACATTGTGCCTTTCGAAACTACAAAGCCATCTGCAATTCATTCTTCTTAACAATGCAAGCCTAAAGTCAAAGTTCTTCCTCATGGTTGCTTCCATTGTATAAAAAATAAAATTCATGAGAGAAATCAAAGCTGTTTGCAAACATTATTTCCTTGCAATTATATGATCATCTATGTATATCTTTTGATTTTTCTATGATTACATTGCCATTCCTCTCACCTTCCTCTTTCTCCGGGCTGGTATCATAAAAGTAGACGTGAGTGGTAGTGATGTCCAGCTTGCCCGGGATGACGTCCACCAGGGTGATCAGCTGGCATTCCTCAGAGATGACCACCTTCTCCTTGACCGTCTCTCCTTGCTCCTCCCCACCGCTAGAAAATTACAAAAATACAAATTAAAAATACTGCTTCTAAACTTAGTATAAGATGGGGGGGGGGGGGGCAGATTAAGGGGACAGATGACAGATGGGGAGGAGGAGAGGCACAACTGGCCTAGCCCCCTCTTGGCTCTCTTTGGAAACTGAATTGGCAAAAATGAAGTGCACATCAAACAAAGTTGCCCCTTTACTGAGTAATTTTGTTAGATTTGTGCCCCTCACCCTTAATAACAAAATCTAGATTTTGTCTTTGTCAATGTTTGCAATACGATGAGAATAAACTGAAATCTATTGATAAGAACTTACATAGAGGGGAAATAACCTTTATCCATGCATAATAGGTATTTTGAAGTCAAGCTGTATAAAGCTTTTAAAAACAAAAATTATAATATTCTGTAGTTTAATCAACACAACACAGGAAGTACCATTATGTCTGATTAAATAGCATTGCTTATGGAGAAATTTGACATGTCAAATTTGGGGTAGGTAGTAAATTTTATGAACATTGGTCAGTTATAGCCACTTGAAATAAATTCACAGCTGCTTCTGACTGTATATTGAGTCGACACTTTTATGTCTATTAGCTGACAATAATGGAATCATAGATCATGAAGTAACGGACCAGCTGACCAATGAAAAAAATCATTGAACAAATCCTAACCACTAAAATACCGTCCTTCCTTACCTTTCCACGTTGACCAGGTTCCATTCTTCGTCTCCCAGTCGGTCATCTTGTAGCTCCATGTCGCTGACCCTTGCCTCTTTAGCCACACCCAGAGGGAGAGCTTGAGAGGATTCAGTAGCTACACCTACAAAGTCAAAGGATATCAACTATTAAAGCCCCACTGCACTACTTATAGCTACTTGCGCCCTCTATATAGCATACAATGCCTAATCAATGCATGTTTGATCCCCATGATCCTCTTTTTCTTATGTAGTGGAGAGCTGATTTGATGAGATAACCACTTGTCAGTGACCTTGCAGGGAGGTCTTATTCCCCCTGGCCGAACTAGTATAGTCAGGCTTTCAAGCCAGTTAGAGAACAGACAGTGATGCTTTCATTTATTTTATTTAAAAAAAAATCATTGAGAAATGTATTATTTCATCATAAGCAGCGTTAAATTCTATACCAACCAAAAGTAATCAAGTTATTGACAATTTTACAAATACCTTATACCGGAAAATTGCCAAGACGGATGTGTATACATGGGACAATGTTACAGGTAGACAACACCCTTAGACTGAATATAGTCCCAATATTTCATGGTATGCCCTTGTTCACCTCAACAAGGCTAAAGTAACTTTCAAATGAGCATGAATCACAAAGAAAAAGTGATTTACATACCTGTGTTATCTCTCTGCTGACTAGCATCTATGTGCTGATCGTAGTTGTAGTTCTGCATCAGTTTGAGCCTCATCCGAGAGAAGTTTTCCTGCGATGACAGCTTCCAGAAGATATCCTGTGGATTCCTGTGGAGATAGAATATGCCAATGAAAACACATTTGTGATATCAGTCATAATGTCTATGATATTAACGAATTGCTTATCTTCTTGTTTGTTGTTTTCCCCATGGGCAGTGTCCACACACCAGAGGCATCCGATTAACCCTTTCGCTATCTTTCTTTTTCTTGAGCCTTTCTACATTCAGTCTTTGAGTACCGTAAATGGACTCGGAGGAAAATTTCTCTGTAATCTTTAGTTTTAAAAACAACATTGTTACTGTTATTTGTGACAAGTTCACAAGCACTTTAACTGCGCCTCGTAATAAATTAAAATCCTTCCCTGCATGGCTTGGGTTTCCGAAAGGTATACCTTACCAAACGCTGAAATAATACGCGATCTGATCTGGCTTGCTGCCTTCGGTTTTGGTCCTAAAAATAGGGTGCGTCTTATACACAGAGATTTACAGTACCTTGTGTTCTATTTTCCATTGTTTAAAAGTCCTGTAAACAACACATCTGCACATGGAGGTGACAAGTATGTCTATAATGGGAGATCAAAGCATACAGCTTAATTTGTGTGGAAGTTTCTTTGTTATAAGTGTAATATCATAAACTGTTGCATAAAATATATAAATATTTGTTCTCAACATATTCAAAATCAAGAAAAGATAATATTTCAAATTATGTCATCATGAATATTCGGAAACCTAAACCCTGGATCCCCAAACACAAGCAGAAATAGACAACACCTACCTCTCTGCCCATGCTCCCCTCTCACCAATCAGGAACCTCTTTGCAGCCCTCCATTGTCTCATAGTAGACTGATGCTGATTGGTTAGCTTGATGCACGTGGAGGCGTGTCTTGCATTCTCTGTCTTGCACATCGCGTTGAATGGCTCGATCACCTGGGTCTACAAACAGAAAACATTCAAATGATAAACATATATTTCACACAGGAAAAAATTGCTTTACACACTGAGTAAACAGCCTAATGAAGAACAAAGATTATATAATTTTTTTTATAAATGACAACAAATCATAATCATATTGTTTTATAGAGATACTAAAAACAATTTAAGATTAGTATCCTCAGAAAATACCAACCTAAAGAGAAAATAGTACATTTTAAATATTTTACAAGGTAATCTTTGATATAACATACCCATTTGTACAAGTGTCAGTCAATGAAAAGATTCTTCACTTTGCAAGTAAGTAGCCATATTTATCTTTTTAATAAAAGGCAGAGTATCATAACCATAGGGTTAAAACAACACTTGCAGTCATGTAATTGAATGTGAAAGGCCTGAAGTATCTTTATAATAATAATAATAATAATAATAATAATATGCCTATTTTACCCAGGGTAGTCTCATCAGTATTAATACTGTTCTCCCGAGGGCCCTGCAATCACATTATTAATCATATTATATTTATGACCCATCCTGCCAAGGAAGTGCATGTAAGATAAACATCAACCAGGTTAGCATCCACATTCTTCTTCAATGGCCAAGATGTCAAGTTGATGTTAATATATAAACATGTTTTATCGGTTCAGAGTTTTCAATCCATCAGTAAAGTTACAACAGAGGCTACAACATCACCTCGCAGTGAATCTAAGCTTGTTCTATTCCCAGTTTCAACATATCAAGCAACATTCTTTTTCTTTCCCTTCCAAAAAGCACACATCATGACTTACAGTGAATTTTAGCTTGCTCTCTCCTCTCTCCCGCTCTCTCTTATGGATATTGGTGTTGAGAACGTCAAAGCACTTCCGCCAGTACTTGGACATCTTGGCTGTGATGTCCGAGTAGTTGTTGGTGATGTACTCATGCATGAAGGGCTGCACCTGTTAGTTTAAAAGCAATATGTGATACATCATAACCTTAAAGTCTCAAAAATTTTATGAAGAATTTTCATATGTTTCTGTATGATAGATAAACCAAATTGAACTTCTTGAATATCTGAATCAATTATTCAAAAATAAAATCTGGCTTCTCTGATTTCGGCAACTTTTCACATCTTTGCAAAAGCAGAAACTCTAGGATATATCAACGATCAATGTGATTTTTGCTCTTTTAAATCATTCATGCTTATACACATATCTGGATAATTAATAATTAATTATTAATGGATATGTATACGTGTGTATGTGATATACAACAAAGAAATTAAATAACAGTCATTTTCCTGGCAAGAAATTGTCATGAATTAAAAAAAATTAAGTGATGTGTCGGTTGCAATTAAATTATTACATGGCATAAAGCTTTTGCAAATCTTAACCACTCGTAAAATTTGTTGACATTTCATGCCTGCAAATGTGTCTGCTTATATACAGTAACTCAACATGTAATGGGCTACAGTATATTGCTGAAATGTCATCATCATGTTTAATACCTGTTTCTCAATGTACATCCTCCACTCCTCCGATTTGCAGTACTCCTTGAAATCCTCAACGAACGTCGGACTGGTTTCGGTGGACGGGAGGTTGACCAGGAACGATGACATGCCCAGCTCATCCCTGTACTTATCAACCATGGCCCTGGCTAGAGGGATCATGTACGCAAAGGTATCCTCCTTTCCTGTATTGCGCAAACAAGAAATTAAAGTTTCCATTCAATCATTTTAATTTGTGTTTTTTTGCTTATCAATGTATGATGGTTGACTAACTACAGATTATTATGATACTTTCTTTGGCAACGTTTGCTCCAGAAAAAAAGGGAAAAAAAGAAGAAAAAGGCCAATGCACCAAAATCTGCTAAGTAGCCCTGGGGCCAGCATTGTTACATGATTGAACAACACATGCTATAGCAACAACTGCACCATAGGCAATATCCATCAGTAGATTAAGGTCTGATTACAACCCTAGATCCAGAACTGCAACTATTAAACTCTATCCCTAACTCCAAACCTAAAACATTATCACACCTAAATCCTCACCTCATATTCTTTATGAAATACAGCTGGGAGCGAACGTTGCCAGAGCAAGTGTCATAATAAATGTTAGACATGTTATAGATCAAGCAAACGACAGTATGTTGTATTCCATTGCAAATATAAGCCATGAGGTACAAATAGCTGGATACCGAGTGGGCAGTTGGGCAATGCATTCATGCACAAATTTAAGAGCTTGTGCCAAGAGGCCTTGATAATGAATGTAACAGAATTGTCTTGTTAAAGTTCCCCAATTATATCCTTCTTGCTACAGGATTGAGACACATTGATTATATCCTTGACCAAAGTTAGAAAATCAAAAGTTGTAATTGGGGCTTAGAAAATCTTGTTTCTAAATAGCAAATAGTAGAAACATTATACTGTTAAAAGTTTGATCCAACATGAAGTAAACCTGTTTGAAACATCGAGCCCCTACTACCACCCATCCTCTTTAACCGGCGCTATAGTTCTCTTTAGAACTATAGGCTCAAAGAAAGATTACCAACAGTCCTTTTCAGGCCTACACACACACACTCAAGAAAGGAAGATTACTGACAGGTCTTTTCTGGACTCCCCAATCCTCCCCTCTCTCACATGGTGCAACCGTAAGCCTACCGTATAACATGAAGTAAGAGTCTTACCATCTGTTTCATCCAGACTTTGGATGAGGGCTTCGTCTAGAGAGCCTAAGAAGAAGCATGCTTCGCTGGGTGACGTGATGGGACGAGACTGGATCAGGTGATGTAGTCTTGCAGATGCCATTGCACAGATCTACAATAGGAGGAAACAGAGCAAAGCAGATGAGATGTTAAGAACTTTCAAATCTTTACACTTTAAAAAAAAATACTTGAAAGGTCAATCCAGGATTAAAGATAAACTTGAGGTAAATATAGAAAATAAATTCACACAAAATCCAACAAAACCTACACTGAATGTTCAAGATTAAGATTAAATGAGACGTGCCAAATATTTTGGTAGAAAATGTAAAGTGGCTGAGTAATGAGCATAGAAAGATAAGGAAATCTGGGTAAGTAGGCCTGACACCATGTGCTTAGCACAGGTCACTGTGTGCAAATGGGAGTTGTGGTTTGTATTGAAGGTGATGCCAAGGAATTTTTTGTGCATTTGTTTTTATTTCACTGGTTCAAACTACCAATCTACTGCAGGATAAACAATCCAGAATAAATCATAGCAAGTTGTTCTCAAAATACGTTTCTGATACCAGAGCTCAAGATTAGTTCTTTTTAATTGGTCATCCTTATATGAAAATGTATGTACCACTGTTGGTAAATAAATCAAATTAAGATATCCATGAGCTGTGTGCATCAGTCCAATGTATGCCTCATTCTTGATAAATTCACTCCTGGAAATCTACAACACACTGGTCATGAAAATTAAGATAGAGCTTAACAATAAAACTGACAATTATTGAGGGTTAAATCTATGTTTTGGTTAATCATCATTTCCATAAAGAGATCCTTCCTGGGAAGCACAGCCCTGGAAGATACGAAAACTTGTACAATAAGAAAAAATGTGAACATGTTTATTACTCCCGGTAATCAAGAGAGAATGTTTTTACAAGATGCAGCACAAAAAACAAGCGTTAGAAGCAGATAGAGCCCTTGAAAATATCCCCTCATATGAATTACAACTTTGCCCACAGAAACCGCTGCATTGTAAATTAATTTATATGATATATATGTTTTCAAACAGAATTTAATTTGTTACATTGCATTGTAAATTGATTTATATGATTTATATGTTTATAAACAGATTATTGATGTACATCAATGAAGTTTAATAAATACAATACAATACAATACATGTATGACCCAATCTGGCACTCATGCACCGCTCAAACACATGACAAAGTTAATTTCTATCCTCATGCAATCTGTATACACTCCTCTAGACCGCTAGCGCAAGATTTGAAGGCGATATTGCAATTGCGTTGGGTCAGAGAATGCATATGGTACTCACATCACGGTCATTGCAAAAAGAAAACTTCATTAGCAGCAGTACTCCAAGTTTGTATATCTCCTTTCCCTACAAATCAGTATGGAAGGACGTAATTGAATTCTATCTAGTTCAGCTGTATATATTCTCTACTAAATGTATAATTATACAGTTGTTGTTGTTGTTGTTTTAGTTTTTAGGCGTGTATCATTCAATTATGTATATTGACGCCAAGCAATTCAATCCTTTGATTGTTAGTTGTGGAACATGCATAATATTCAGAAGGGGTTAAATTTCAATCAATCAACACTCTAAAATGAGTTGAATTATTTTGGCCTAGTAGCATTCCCAGAATGGGTTTCCTTACATACTGATGAAATAGCAATTTTTTTCCAAAAGTCAAAAGAAAATAAACAAATACAGTAGCAATTGCAAGGAGCCAATTATATACTCATATGCACATCCCTCTCTGATAAATGATTAAAATACATATACAACTTCTTCCTTATTCTAAATCACACTCTCCCCTCTTTCATTTTCTCTTTTGCTAATCATCTTTTCCTCTCCTCCCTCTCTCTTTCTCTTTCCCCTTCTCTCTCTCTCTCCCTCTATTTCTCTTATTCTTACCTCAAGGTTATTGTGAGAGGAGAACCTGAGCAGCAGTCTGAGTCCAAGATGAGACATCTCCTTCCATTCCTCGATGTGACTCGTATCCGTCCCTCTCTCTCTCTCTTTCCCTTATTCTTACCTCTAGGTTATTGTGAGAGGAGAACCTGAGCAGCAGCCTGAGTCCGAGATGAGACATCTCCTTCCATTCCTCAATGTGACTCATATCCGTCTCTCTCTCTCTCTCTCCCTCTATCTCTCTTATTCTCACCTCTAGGTTATTGTGAGAGGAGAACCTGAGCAGCAGTCTGAGTCCAAGATGAGACATCTCCTTCATTCCTCAATGTGACTCATATCCGTCTCTCTCTCTCTCTCTCTCTCTCTTTCCCTTATTCTTACCTCTAGGTTATTGTGAGAGGAGAACCTGAGCAGCAGCCTGAGTCCAAGATGAGACATCTCCTTCCATTCCTCAATATGACTCGTATCCGTCCCTCTCTCTCTCTCTCTCTTGCTCTCTCTCTCCCCCTTATTCTTACCTCAAGGTTATTGTGAGAGGAGAACCTGAGCAGCAACCTGAGTCCAAGACGAGACATCTCCTTCCATTCCTCAATGTGACTCGTATCCGTCCATACTTGAAGGATGTCCAGAAGGTCAACTACTCCTTCCTCCAGCTGTCAAAGGTCAAAGGTTAATCAAATCAAAGACAATCAGTCCTGGCCTTCTTTGATTTGAAAAATGTAATGTTTTGAATTACACTTTTGGGTGGTAACAAATATAAAGTTAGGAAAGTTTCACAAGGCCACAAAAACTGACAATAGTACATCACTTTGAAAACCTCTCTGCCAAATAGATTTGGCTATCTGGTATGAAATTATAATTTGACACTTCATTTTTTGCTGCCACCATTGCAGCCAGAAAACCTATATAAATATAAAAAATATCTCAAATTTTGTAGTAAATTTGTCCTAATATTTGTCAACATCTGAATCGAATGTGAATCAAATTTTCAACACAATATGATTTCTTCTCATCATGATCATCATTCTAAATCATTCTAAATCACCTTAACACTCCAGCTTGTTGGATCAGAGCCAGCGACACCGAACAAGAAATCATACACCAGCTTGACAAGATAGAGGGCGTTCTCTGCGTTAGCGGCCGTTGAGGTCCCAGCAGCCCTGATGGCCCCTGCAGCGCCCTCTAGGAGCTTCTCCAGCATCTGACGCTTTATCTGATTGGCAGGACGGAGGATCTGATGAGAGCTTGAGAGGTCAGCGATGCACTTGAAGATTTGACCTCTGGCCTAGTGAGGTCAAGGGGGGAAAAAAAGGAATGAGAGGGTTAGAGACGATAAGAGTGAAAGCGTGATATTAAGAAGAAAAGAAATGAGAGCAAGACAGGGTTGGAGAAAGTGGGAGGAGGGTGACACGATGAGAGAAAGTTGGTGAAAGCAAATAGGTAGAAGAAGTTTTTAAAAAAGAATGAAAAAAAAAAAAGAAGGTATTTTCACCATACACTTTACATGAACCTTTTTAACCTAATCTACGTACAACAACCATTAACTGTAGAAAATACTGGAATCACGGAAGCATTATAAATTTAGGAAATGCTGATTAATTGTAAGGAATAAGTAGTTTCTTTCTCTCCTACTGATATTCCAAGGTTCTAATCAAGTAAACAAAACATCACCTTTAGACAAGCTAAAACATGTTTGAGCACATGAAAAGTTTTGTACATCTAGACAAAAATAAAGTAAGTTAGACATAATTTTACTTAACACATTAGACTCACAATCCATGTATCCTCTGAGCTTCCATCGACTCCTAACCACATAATCTGAACACAAATCTCTATCAAGGTATCTACCAAAGTCTGTTCATTCCTTTCCTTCTGAATGATACCGCCAGGGCTTAGATCATAGATAGCGGTAGGCTCATCTCTCTCCGATAATAATGAAATATTCAAATCAGATGGCCTCGTCAGGCTCACACCACTATCAACAGCACAGAGTATGCTAGAATCGTCGGGTGTGTCTATGCTTAATGTGCTTTCCGTTGCAATGGAATCAGTATCAACAGATATAGGTAACGACCAGCTTGAATCGGACTGGGTTGGAAATGTACTTGGCATGGAAGGTGAGTTGTCGGAATTACAGTGTGTCCGATCGATTATTATTTGTGTTGTACTTGCGCAGATCGGCATCGTGGCTGCACGGCTCCTTTCCAACTTGTCTTGATCAAGGGATTCCGAGTTCAGAGAAGCCGACTCGTGATACGCAGCAGTTCCGTTGCTCGTCGTTGTGATCGAGTTTGAAAAGCCCTCTGCTGTGTTCGAAACGGATGTGAATGGTGGATGGTTAGAAGTCAAGGGAATGGCATCCATGTCTTCAGTTGTCAGACTGTCCAAGGACGACTCCGATGCCTGGAGCTGTTTGGTACTGAAGAAGCCGTTCATCTCCACACCAAGGAGGTTGTTGTCATTGTCCTGTGTCTTGATGATGAGCCGGGCGAGGGTGTCCTGCCACCCGGGTATCTTGGCTATCTGTGTCCTGGCGTCAGGCTGTGTGTAGAGGATGTGAAGAAGCTGGGTGCAGGCTTCTAACTTGACCAAGGCATTGGCTGAATGAAGCGTCTTCAGAACAGCAAGCAGGCCTCTATGATTCAGTTGACCCTCTGGAACAGAACAAATTATGTCATATGATGTCAATACTAGAATCTCAAAATTTCAAGTTCTATTCCTTAGAGACAGTATTCTTTCTTATTACGTTTTTTCTTTTCTCTTTCACGTGTTATGCACCCTTAAAAAAAAAATCATCACTTTCTTCTCTTTACCTTTAGTAACAAAACACAAATACTGTATTTCACTGTACAATCTTATTTTTGATAAAAAAGACCAAGAACATAAACATTGTTTTTTTCAGCCCAATATATCCAAAGAGTAAAGCGTGTATCAATTCAATGTTTAAAGGGAACCTAAACCTCCATACTAAGTTACTTTTATTGTAAAGTTTAAGATATTTGAAAAATATCAGTGAAAATTTGAACAAAATCTGGCAAGGAATAAGGAAGTTAGAGCTTTTTGAAATGACTAGTCACTAGAGGGCGGTATTCAATTTGATGACATCATCTGTGGACAACTCTCCATGCCTTGTGTACATAAAATTTCACAATTTTTTTGTTTTCTTCGTATTTATTTGTGTTCTTGATCCGACTTCATAATATGTGAAGTAGAATATCATTTTACATTCTATATCTTGCTTTCAGGGTAGTAGATTATCTCAATCACAAGAAAGAAGGAAAAACATGAAATTTGAAGTACAAAAGGCATGGAGAGTTGTCCACAGATGATGTCATCAAATTGAATACCACCCTTTAGTGACTAGTCATTTCAAAAAGCTCTAACTTCCTTATTCCTTGCCCAATTTTGTTCAAATTTTCACTGATATTTTTCAAATATCTTAAACTTTACAATAAAAGTAACTTAGTATGGAGGTTTAGGTTCCCTTTAAGTATATGATTTATCACCCTCCTTAGTAACAGTAGACCTGTATGTAAGACTACTTACAGAAGAAAAGAGAAGTGACAGGTGGTCTGTACGTAAACATTTCATTAGAATATATTCCAAATGAAAGACAGTTTAAGTGGAACAAACATTTATCAGAATAGACATTAAGTCTTCCCATAAGGTCGTAACCAAAGCAGGTTTTACATTATATGTAAAGAGTATGGTCTGACCTGTGACCAGTTCCACAAGTGTCCTGGCTACCGACATGCTGACGGCAGCATGTTCCATGAGTAAGGTTAGACCAGAGAATCCAATGTCTTGCAGACGGATCCTAGTCTTGTTCTTCTCCTGGACCTTGGTAGAGTGTAGCATCCCAGCAAACAGCTGAATGGAAGAGTGGGAGGGGGGGGGGGACAAAACATTGATAAAATCATAAGGAATCTGCTATTATAGGTGAGGAGATGCAATAATAACTTGGTTGTTTGAAACATAAAAGAAGAATACAAGAAACGCTATAATGCATCTTGGATAGGATGCTATATGAAGGTGTACATGTAATGTGTGGCAGAGTTATCACCTATGAACATTTAGGACCCACAAGACTCTTCATAAAGAGAAGGGGGGAAACTCTGATGTAGTGGTCTATCTGTGCAAACCAGTTAAATTGAGAGGAAAGACATCTGAGGGATATACACTGTAGTGATTGAGTTTGTCTTTTTACTGCCCTGTATAAAGGGTGATGCCAAATACTTAAAGATTAAGATAAACAAAGAATGACATGGGAAATCAAAGATGAAAGTAAGAACACCCCCCCCCCCCCCAAAAAAAAAAAGACACAGAAAAAACAATTTTCATAGAAAAAGAGGAGACGCGATGGCTCAGTGGTAGAGCAGTGATCTCATAACCGGGAGGTCCCTGGTTCGAAACCAAGTTGATGCACTAGTGCCCTTTGGTAAGGCATTAATCCTCATTAACAAGTCCCTTGGAGTTGCTTTCTTAGCAGCCAGGTAAAATAAACCATCAAACTAAACCAAAATCAAACCAAACCAAACAAAACCAAACCAACATGAGAAAAGTTAAAGATGGTACATACCTTGAGTACTCTGACCTGGACTCCATCTGAATACTCGGGCCTGGTCAGGAGGACATATAGGAGGTCTGCAGAGCCATGCTCATAGAGGAGGAGAAGCAGCTGATCCTTGCCTGGAGTCTCCATCAGGGACAACAAAAGATCCAGGGCCTCCTCAATCTAGAACAAATATCAAAACAATGAGAATTGAAGAAAAAAAGAACTTGAAGAACTAAAACAAAAGGTATAACATTTCATCTTGAAAATATTTGAAAAAGAGTTATATTCATAAGCCATTAATGCTGCTGGTACAATCTCTCATGAAGATCATTTAGCAGCATGATTATCAGTTTCTACTCTTCATTAACACACAATTTCTCCCCGCTTGATAATATTATATTTTCGATAAAGCTACACAAGCTACACAATCATGTACTGCCTTATTTTTAATGAGTAACAACCTGTCGTAAATGAATAAGTACATTTATATCAAACAAGCAGTAGTAATGTCAAAACAGATGTATATGAACCTAACTCAACACAACAGACAGAAACAGATCTTTTACAAAACATCAGCCAGCATTGTTTCAAAACTTGCAATTAGTAAAATTTGATGGTCCAGAACTTACCAGGGCCTGCTCCTTCACAGCTGCGATGAATCCTAGAATACACTGCAGCTCCTGATGGTTGATACTGCGGTAGACGTAGTACCGGATCAAACCTCGCAGGGAATGTCTGATGGCCTTGGAATCATCTACTGTGATATCTGTGTCACCACTGCGATTTAAACAAAGCAAACAGAAAAGTTGCTTGACATAGTTTGGTACTATATAAAATTTGTTCACATCTATACAGTTCTTCTCATACTCAAAATAACACAAAATTAAGGAGACCAAGAGAGTATCGCTGTTAGCGTGAACCTCTATCACTAATATCTCCCTCCCCCTCTTTCTCTCTCTTATTATCTTAACATTGATATCTATCTATATATGTGTACCATAGAAGTACTGATATAAAATATACCAGATATATAATTATTTTGTTGATGCAAGGAAACAAATACCCTTTAGCAGCTGTATATGATCTTTAATATAGAGTATTCACCATTTATAATATTCGACCTCATTCATACCTGTAGTATGCTCTGATGACATCTAGCATGAATTGCACTCCATATGCCTTGCGAAAGGTCTTCCTGTTATCCTTGATGATTGTTGCTAAGTACTGTATGTGACCTGAGTATACAGATGGGAGATTAGTGAGAAACATGATCTATGGAAAACACTGGTAGAACAAACATATCTTAATCTATAGAACCGCATAAAATGAGTAATTGACTGTATAAAAATCATTAATCTGGGGTTCAGAATAATAGTTGCGGTCGATATACATGTAGCGTCTTTCCATTGGATTAAAAGCAGTCTGACATTCCATCCATGAGTCAGTGTTAGAGTTTAATACATACATACAAGTTACAAGTTACCAAGAAGTGATGGTGTGAGTTTGGTGAATGCATATGTTTTCAGAAAATAATGTTTTCAAATTATGTTTGAATTGTTCTACTGTTGGTGATGATTTCAATGGAGGAGAGAGCCTGTTCCACAGTTTGGAAGCAGTAGAGGAGAAAGCTACATCGCCAGCTAGATTCCTCCAAATATAGTCATAACCTAATTCAACAAGAAGTTATTTGTCGCATTACAGCTTTGTTTTTCTTTTAGTTGCAAAAATTTCAATATGTATTAAAACAATATTATATAACAAGAACCAAAGGAAGTGGGTGGTGGAACAACAGGTCATTACAGGAAAAGAATAATCAGCTGATGAGCAAGACTTTTGAGATTAAATTAAAGATAGCAACAGAGATTTTGGCTGCCTAAGAATACCCGCTCGGAAACAACAGACCTGAATATTTTAGAGATAACTTCCCTTTATCTCTCTCTCTCCCTCTTTATCTCTCTCTCTCCCCCTCTCTCTCTCTCTCTCTTTCTCTCTCTCTTTCTTTCTTTCTCTCTCTCTTTCTCTCTCTCTTGCTCTGTCTATCCCTCTCCCTCTGTCTCTGTCTCTCTCTTGCTCTCTCTCCCTCTCTCTCTCTCTTGCTCTGTCTCTCTGTCTCTCTCTCTCTTGCTCTGTCTGTCTCTCTCTCTTGCTCTGTCACTCTCTCCCTCCCTCCCACTCTCTCTCTCTCCCTCCTCTTCCTCCCTCTTCTGTGCTGCATTGTTTACCTATCCTAACAGGGAAATCACTCCTGCTCCATATCCTGAAGTCAAAGAGAAGGTGACGGTGAGCCGACTTTAGGAGATGAGGGCTTCCTGCGCAGACAGACTCAACCAGGAGTTGAACCGCCATCAGGACATTGACGTCTATCAGGGAAGACTCCGCCTGCAGGAAGGAAAAGGAAGGCGATGGCAATAATTTAATGATTGAAAGTATTTTGATGATTTAATCAGCAACAACACAACAGCATTGACGATGTACCAATTAATAAAAGGGCAAAACTATGAAAAAGAAAAATGATACAAAAATATTATTATACAATATTCTTGGATAATATCAAACTAATGACAATGCTTCTTGTGGAGAACAACAATAATGCTAACAAAATTAATGCTTACAATGAAAATATTAAAGATCATAAAGATCACTCTACACAGTAATACTAATTGATTAAATAAAAATGCCACCCGTCTCTAAAATTGTGTGTCAAAATCTTCATCCCAACACATAATTTCAAACATCAGATTCCTTGAGATGTTGTTTAACCAACTTTATACAACTTCATTTTGGTATAACACACATTTCCTCAGACTTTAATTTGAGATATCTAAGGTTGGGTATTCAGTGGGTTAATTACCTTCTGGAGTAGAGCTCCTATTGTCGCTAGACCTTGTGTTTTGTGAAGGAGTTCTTGGTTGATGGAATGTCCAATACAAACATTCTTCAGGAGTGATAGAAAGCCTGAGATACGATTCCTCTCTAGCCGTGCCTCTGTACATAAAACGTGGTACACATGAATGAGTCGGAGACTGACTGGTTAAACATTATAGAATGTATCAACATGACAAACTAGGAAACAAAATAATAGCTCAACCCATTTATCAAAATTCTTCTGTAATTGGCCTCCTGATTCTGTCAATGAATGAATGAATAAATGAATGAATGAATTAATCGATCCATTGACTGGTCCATCCGTTCGTCCGTCTACCAATCCTTTCATCCGTCCATCAATCAAATCAATCAATCATTCAATTAACTTAATCAACATGCACTTACTCAATCACAGATCACTCACTCAAACACTTATTAAATCAACCAGTCACCTAATCAACCTTATAATAAACCATCCAATCAAACATTCAATAAGTAAACTTACAATCTGATGAGGCCATCATTTGGTGTCATGATCAAGATCATCACTACTTTTGTCACTATCACCACAATATTTATCATTAACTTCCATTAAAGAAATGACGTAGTCGGGTGGTTTAAGCACATGACTTGCTATTCAAAGGTCGTGGTTCGATCCCCGACACAGCACTAATGTCCTTTGGCAAGGCATTAATCTTTATTTGCCACTCAATACCCAAGAGAGAAATGGGGACCTGGTAGGATGACAAAGCATTTGTGATAGTAATTGCCTATGCCCTCACGGCGACCACATGGTAGGAATACTCCCCAGGGAGTGGAGATGGTGCACATTGTGTGTGAATGAATCCGATGACCGGGGTAATAATATTTGTAAAGCGCTTAGAGACGATATACAGTACCGGATTAAGCACTATATAAATTGAAAATTACCTATTAACTTCCATCAAAGAAACTCACCACATTGCATATTCATTGGTAGGATCTCCCAGTCAGTGTCCACATTCTCCACATTGACTGATGCTGTTGGGGATTCTACTTCCTCTGGGGTCGTGACCTCTGACCCTGCTTGGCCTTGGAGTGACAGTTCCAGGAGGGGAAAGAGTCCCTGCACCCCTCCTATGCAATTCAGTACATCCTGGAAGTTGAGGATAGAGTATAATTAAGATATGTTGCACAAATAAGATTTACATCAGACCAAATCTCTTGTTTCTCATCTCTGATATAGACTTGTACATCTTGATCATGTTTGAATATGAAGGATCTTCATCAAGTTTTCTCATTATCCCCTTAACGCATTTTTGAATTTTGATTTCAATGTTTTTTTCAGGTACATATTTGAAATATAGTTCTCATGAAACTGCTAACTAGTTGTGTAAAAATGAATAATAATTTTTTTAATTGAATTAAAGAAATCTAAAATTTTCTACGAAGACTGATCACAGACACTTTTCTTCCAGCTTATTCTACATGTACATTAACTCTACAACACTGGAGTTTGAATTTCTGCTGAATGACTTTTCTAGCTTTAATTAGGCCACATAATTGTGAAGGTTGAATTTCAGCTTGTTCAAATCGATGAATTCCACATAAAAATAACAGTTCTCTTACATTTGTGAGTAGAGTCTGTGAAAATGGCAGCAATGGCCCAGTAATGGTTAACTACTCAAATACATGGGTGCCTACCGTAAACACGCCGTCATCATGAACCTACCTTGAGACGACCAGTACTACAGCTGTGACCCGTCAGAGAGCCATCATAGGGCTGGTTCCTGGACAGATCCATACAGGTACTGTCCTTGCAAGCCTTACCATGGTAGTAGATCAAGACCTTGCTGTTCAGGTCTGCCAGGTCGGGGTCGTCGACCTGAAACAAGGTCAGTACGTTGGGACCTATTGGAAAAAAGAAGGGAGTTTATTAGAGCTATGGTATGTAAAAGATGAGAAATATCTGTTTAATTTTTAGCCTATAATTGATAACCATTACCTTTCATGTCCTACCTTTTCTATTGCACTTTTGTACATATTTATCATGTATTTCATCTTTCGCACAAGCTTACGCCTTGAGCATTTGATCGTCTAGTGGATTTGGCACCATACAAACCTTACATGTATGTATTATTATTATTATTAATATTGTTTCATTTATGAATTCATACAATTTTTTTTTTCTTTATTGGAAGTCTATATCTTGAATAGCTTAGTTTATCAAGGGAAACCTACATCATATCATTTGGACGCAAAAATGATGCCTTCTGATTCTTAGGGCATTTTTAATTAAACATATCAACAAAATACACGTAATCATACCAGACGAAAACTGTTAACAATAAATATGTCAGAAACAGGAAAATGACAAAAAATTCTTGAAGTTGAATGCATACATGATATAATATGCATGATCTTCTTTTCAGATGCTTAAATCTTAGTTTGTTGCAGCAAGCCTTTATCCTGTACCTTTTAAAAGTAATGGACAACACATATACTCACCAGCGGCATAAAGTTTCTTGACCTGAAGTGGGGTGAGGGTATCATAGAACACACACGCACTACCCATCTGACCTTGCAGTGACCTTGAGGAACCCCATTCAAGGTACTTCATGTCTGCTGGAACCATGCTGATAGGGGTTTCCTGGGAAATAAATTGAAAGGTCAGATGTCATTGGTTAAATATTGAATTGAATTATACAGTTTAGTAAAAAGACTTTTGTGGATAGGTTGCTTTTGATCAATAGTATATTACATTTCATTTAGAACATACACAAACACACACAAAAACGGCCACAAGCCTTAAATTCTTGTAATCCCTTTAACGTTACCTCTGACATAGACTGTGACTGGCCTTTCAAGACACGCAGGGTAAACGGCCTCTTAGACGAGATGGTGGTCGTCGATGTCGATCGCGGTCTCATCGCGACGGCGGTGGAATCAATCTCATCCTCCTGCTCCAGGGAATTGAAGGTCGGCGGAGAACTGATGAAGCTGGAGACAAAAGGCTGTGCAGGAGAGAATGATATCAAAAGAATAAGTGATGATAACTTGAATAGTATGATTGAATGTTGTTTATATAGATGTTATAGTTACATTAAAGAACTGTCTTGCATATTTCTGAACAAAGCCAAATTTAAGAATAAGGAGTTCTTAATTCCCCAAGATACTAGGATCGGTTACCCTGTTTGGGATACTAAAGAATGTTATAAAAACATATTTTCTGCATTCGAGATCTTTTAAAATCATTCAATCTTCTATAAAATTCAAATATGGGGTGTGTACTGGTATATGTGTCAAACAATGCTACTGAGACAGAGAGAAGAAGAGATAGAGAAAGTAAGAGAGAGAGAGAGAGAGAGAGAGAGAGAGAGAGAGGGGGGAGGGGACAAAGGCATTCAAAAGAGAGAGAGAGAGAGATAGAGAAAGAAAGAAAAAACAATAGATGAAAAAGCAAAAGAAAAAGAAAGATGAATGGCAGCAAAGATAGTATTTTGACAGAAATAGACAGAGAACTTGAGACTTAGACAGATTGAAATATGCAAAACAAGATTATGACTTACCTCTCCCATGGCAGGAAACTTGAGCTGTGATGTTTGCCTGAGATAACCATCAATAAAGGTGGAAAGCTGACTCTGAACAAAGGGACGCTTGGAGCCATAGTGGACTATGTTTACTTGATGCTGCATCAGAAATAGAGATACAGAAAACTTTTATTGGTTTGAGCAATAAGTATAGTTTCACCTTCTACCGACCTTTTGATCCATTCCTGCGAATGATTCAGCTTGGCAAGATTCATAAGAGGGGAAATACTTGCTAATTTCGTAATTGGCAGACTCTTGAACCATGTTTTAGATACCGAGTTCAAATGCACAAGAATGTTGCACATGACAAAATTGGAAAATTCAGAGTGCATGCAAACTAAATATCAAGTAAATATTAACCAAAGTCACAAGATTTGATCACACCAAATTATTTGGACACTGAGCAGTAAATAAAATATACAGGTGTTTCTAGTACTGGCTGAAAATGTGGCTTGTTTTAAGCATGAATTTATCTCATTTATGATCCAAATATGCTTGTATTTTACCGAACATATCCATGTTTATTGGACATACAGTGTAACATGAATTTATATATTACTGCAAATAACTCCAAAATCTATGTAATCATTAATATTGGAATATTGAACAGGGGAAAAAATGATCAGTTCTTACCCAGTTATTATCAGTGATTGGATAATCAGTGAGAGAGACAGAGAAGAATTCTTTCTTGGTGCAGATGGCTACAACCAGGACACCATCCAACGTGAAGAACGCTTCAAACCCACATCCACTGGCAGTGTAGAAACTAATCAGGTGAATGGAAGAGAATCAGATCAATAATAATAATGATAATAATAATTTGCCGTTCTTGTAAAACGCATATCACATTTACATGTATGAGATCACATCTCTATGAGCTTCCAAAGGACTTTGGATATTATTACCCCTGCTTTAGCTCTGGCAACCGTAGCGCTCAGAGCATTCAAGAAATGAATCCTACCAGATACCCACTTACTACATCTGAGTCGAGTGTGACAAATGTAGATTAATATCTTGCCAAAGAACATTAGTGCCGCAGTGGGATTCTAATTCTGTACCTTGTGGTTCACAGTCCAGAGATTTATCCACTAGATCACATCAACAGTATAGTACAGTATCATAAAACAGTTACTGTACACCGAGTTGTGATTGCATTAGTGATAACACAGTAAGTAACTCTCTATGCCCTTTACAGATATTATTCAGTCCAAACCAAGATCAACACGTGTGCACACAATGTCAGCCAATCTTCATACTTACTTACTTACTTGGGTATACTTGGGTGTAGAGACTGGAAGCTTAGCTTATTTGTCCCTCTTTACTGTTGCATCCCGTCTCAAGTATGGTTCAAACTTAATTGGATTGTTTTTCCAATACCTTTCTAGGGATGACTTGAATTGGTTAATGGTGGCAGCATTGACTACTTCCTTAGGCAGTGCATTCCAATTGTTTACACTCCTTATTGAGAAACTATACTGCCTAAGTCTTGTGTTAAAACGTTGTTTGACAATCTTAAAATCATGTCCTCTTGTTGTTGATCCAGTGGCAAGTTGAAAGAATTTTGAAGGATTCACTCTGTCAAAGCCTTTCAGGATTTTGAATATCTGTATCTGGTCTGCTCTTTGTCTTCTGTAAGCCAAAGTAGGAAGTTGTAGTTCTCTAAGTCTGTCTGGGTATGCTTGTTGTTTCAGTTCAGGAAGAAGTCTGGTGGCCCTCTGCTGGACTTTTTCTAGTATGTCTTCATCTCTCTTGAGTATTGGGCACCATACAGAGTTGCAGTATTCTAGTGTTGGTCGAATAATAGTTTTGTAGAGACTAAGGAACCCCTTCTTTTGCAAGGCTGAAAACGACCTTTTTATCATTCCTAGCTTAATGTTGGCTCTCTTGGCAGCATCTGCTGCATGGGTGCTAAAAGACAGGTTCTGTTGAAACAGCACTCCCAAATCTCTTTCTTCATCGTCAGATGGAACTGTAAATGTATTTGTACCAACAGCCAGTGTGTATTCAAATCCTTGGTTCTTTCTTCCATAATGAAGTACTTTACATTTACTTTCATTAAAGGGCAATTGCCATACATTGGACCAGTTTGTTACGGTGTTGACATCCATCTGTAGCAAATCTGAGTCGGCTTTAGAGTCCACTGTCCTGTATAACTTGGTGTCATCGGCAAAAAGCTTCATGTGGGAGTCAACCGTTGATGGCAGGTCATTGATGAAGATATTGAACAATGTTGGTCCGAGCACACTTCCCTGCGGAATACCGCTTGTCACAGGAATGGATCTCGACTCTTTCCCATTTACTGCAACTTTCTGAGTCCTGTCTGAAAGGTAGTCTTTAATCCAGGCAAGTAAGGGACCTTCTATTCCATAAGACTGAAGTTTACATATGAGCCGTTGATGTGGCACGCTGTCGAATGCTTTTCGATAATCCAGATAGACGCAGTCTACATTATGCCCCTGGTCAATGACATCTGTCCACTCCTCGCAAACTTCTAATAGCTGAGTCGAACAAGATCTTCCAGCCCGAAATCCATGTTGTTCATCACACATTAACTTGTTCTGCTCTAAATGATGTATGACATGCTTTCTTACTAGTTTCTCCATAGACTTGCAAATAATGGATGTCAGACTCACAGGTCGGTAGTTGGTAGTTGGTAGTTCATTCCTTAACACCTATAATCATAGTTCTAATATAACTTATGACTGTTTATTTGTTTGTGCAAACAGAACACCACACAACTGCAATGAAGAGATCTTTTAAATAAAAACATTGCAAACAATTTGAAAGTAATTTTTTTAATCCAATCACCCCTTTGCCTACTGTAACCAGGTGGTTTATGTATTAAACACATGGGGAATATTATAATTCAGTATTCAATGGGTTAAATAACAGAAAGGTGAGTACCTGTAGAGCTGCCTTCTGTAGAGCCCCTTCTCAAGGGTGACAGGTGTGGTGTTGAGACACACCCATGTATGAAAGCTGAAACTACTACCGGGCCACTTCTTGATCACTGGTATTGAGATACCCTGTACAAAGAAATGAGAGAATATGTATTGAGATATCATAAGGAAACATAAGGAAAACAATATGTACATATCAGATATCTTACTGTGTACATCAATGAAAAAGGAAATACATGCACACGTTTGTCCAGAATATCAACTGGACGAGCTATACATGTAGTAAACAAAATGGTTTTCAATATTTATTTTCCAAGAATGAATTAAATAAAATTACAAATCAATGCACATGGTAATAGGGGTTATATAAACAAAGAATTAAAATCCATTTTGAAATAGGCTTCTGTGCAGAGTCTGTCCTTCAACAGCCACCTTATGAAAATCAGTCCCATTGCTAGTGCTCAAGAATGGACATACATTTGCTGTCAATAAAGTTATTATCACTTATTGTCAAGAAAGATATGTTGTTCACTGTATGATTAGGGGAATAAAATAAGCTCTTATAAAACGGTATCATGGAAAACATGGAGTATCTTACTGTTTCATCGGCTTGAAAGTCAAAGTAGTGATGAGCGCTGAGCTTGCCCTCCTTCCGAGCCATTCTAGACAGCGCCCTCATGAGTCTCGTGCAATTACCAGACAGTGATTGGTCATCCTCGCCTCTCATCAAGCCAATCAGAGTCTTGAGTTGGGATGATGTAATGCTGTAAGCTCCAAGTGACTCTAGTAGGCCTATTAACCTCTCTGGATTAAAGAAAAGAAAACAATCAGAGAAGAACGATTGAAGTCAGTATCATCATGAGATAAACATAAAGTACCTAGAGCATTTATGAGCTTTAATCATGCGAATGACGTGTATGTGTAACTGATCTTGGCGTTTAACTGCCTTGGTAAAAATTGAGAAATTTACAGAGAAATTAATGTTTATTCAAATTTTCATTTGGTTTTGAGTGACAAGCTGAACAGAATATCTTTATTTGTGGAGGTGTTGTTTTCTAGTTGACAATCATCAGATTGGTATGGCACTAATATCCGTTGACAAAAATTTATCTACATTTGCCACTCTCCACCGAGGTGAAGTAAACAGGTACCCTGAAGACTGCTTGAGCACTTATCATGATACTTGTAGCTAAGCTAAAGGTGGGGGTAATACTATGATTGCAAGGCCCAAAAGAAGAACAACAAGGCTACCTGGGATAAATATGACTATAACAATTTAAGCCACAAGAAAGAAAACAAGATTTATAGAACACAATATTAAAGAAGTAGTTGATTTTTACATTCTATGATTTTATTCAAGCTATTTTATTATTCAAGTCTAATTAGATTCACATCATACCTTCCGTTTTCCGATGCAACTGTTCCCTGCACTGCAGAGCTCTGATGACCCCTGACACGATACCGTCATAGCAACACTGCATGCGGTTATAGTCACATGACACGCAGCTGTGGGCCAGGCCGTCGACGACAAACTCCTGTAGGGTGGGGTTGTGATGGATGAGGGGGAGGAGGAAGAGGAGGAGGGAGACCACGCCCGTATTCTGGATGAGCAGCTTGTTGTCTGGTTTGTAAGGTGTGTCAAATACCTAGGAGGAGAAAAGAAAAAAATTTAAGCCTTGGGAAAGTGTGCATTTTGTTATTTATGATTCTTGGTGAGAAAATGTAGATCTTGATCTTAATAAGATTATGTTTGTCACAAATAAAGCAATACAGTAAAATGGAAATTATGAATGATTTTTATACATTCCTCCATAATATTCTTTTCTTTCACTTTAAAAAAACTTGAATGTCAAATTTCATTTAACGAGGTGACTATATTGATACATGAACAGCTTGATGTGGTCTTATTTAGGTATATTGTGTTATTCTGTATCTTGCACTGTAACACTGTTAAACCTTCTATAATTTTGCAATTTTTTTTTTTCTCTAAAAGTATAGAGTAAATGAAAGTAATTTAGAGCCATGATGTATTTAACTTATTGTTAACCCTTAGTTTGGTGTCTTGTTTCATATATGTCTTTCAATACAGGATTTCACGAGAACAGCTTATTGCATTGGTCTAGTTTAAGAAGATGAACAAACACAGTTTACCTCCATATTGTTTTGAAACATCACATGACATTACCATAAGTGACCTTTAGATTTGAACAGAGAGTGGATCTTACGTACCATGTCCATCAAGGTTTCAATGAGTTCCTGCGATGGAGTCCCTAGTCGATCGATCAGCTCCCCAAGCTTGTCGTATCCTATCGTCTCTTTGAAGATCTCCTTGGCGTAAAGAGACCCGTTGAGAATAGCACCAAGGAGATGAACAGTGAAGAAGACGGCTAATTGCTTGTTGCCATCGGAAACCTATAACGATACAATATTACAAGACTTACATCTCTTGAAGACTACATGTTTGTAAACAGACAGATTCTTAAACATGATACTATAGGAAAAATAGTTGTGTGACTGCCATATGCAGAAGAAATAAAACAATACTATAATGAGAAATACACAAATAGACACAAACTGTTTTATGAGAAATATAAGAGAGAGAGATAGAGAAAGAGAGAGAGAAAGAGAGAGAGAGAGAGAGAGAGAGGGAGAAAGAGAGAGAGGGAGAAAAAGAGAGAGATATATATATATTCTAGTTCCAGGTAAACCGTTATACATGAAGACATATAATGCAATGCTTAAGTATGGTCTAGTAAAACATTTCTTTCTCAGAGTGGTTTGCAAACATGCCACTATGCACAGAACTGCAATTTTTTTTTTAATTTTTTTTTTTTTTTTTTGGGGGGGGGGGGGCAAGAATTCATTTATCTATCATGAAAATCAAGCAAATAGACCTACACTTAACCCATTAAAACTACCAAAACAAATTCTATCATTAAGTAACATCCATTTTGGATAGATCCATTAAAAAAAAATAGGACAAAGACTTACCGTTGCTGTTTCTAAGATGGTCAATAGAGTTGTGAATACATCTGCTTTGACAAATGCCCTCTGGAGGCTGCTCTTGTTGCTGCAAGAATCTAATAGTGTCTGAGGGATGCTTCCTGTGAGATTAAAGAAGCAACATGAACTATATCTTCTCTAATTGGTGCTAATAGAAGCAGACTAGAGTTGAAAGCTATGAAATACCAGAGTCGTATCGAAATGAGGTCGATGTGACAATCTATTACATTACTAATCATTTTTAGCTTGTTCAAAGTAGTCTAAAGATGTACAGATTGTGTCCACAGGGATAATTGAGATGTCTTTTTGTTTCAATCACAATTTATGATTTCTCCTTCATTCATACAAATTTTTCCAGCATTTTATTTATATTATACTAATGATATTTGGTGCTATCAGTGTAATGTATCTTGCTCTTGTGTGTCTGAGTGGGAAGATATGTGACTTCAACACAAAATAGCTTGAAAACAATCTTCAAAATGAACTTACTGAATATTGCATATTGTACATCACTGTTTCTATGGCTACTCCTCAAAGCCTGAAGAAGCTGCTCCAACAACTCACTCAACTCTACCTGCCTCTGTTACGCAAAGAAAATTAGTCAAATACAAATGAATCAATATAAAGTTCTGGCATTATTTAACAGTGATATACATGCATAACAGTGAGTAACACACATATACATTTCAACAATAAAATACACCTTTAAAGACTTAATTCATGGAATCACAAAGCAAATCCAACTGTGACTTGCTGCTCTGTTTTAATTGATACAAAAATATTGAGCTACATGTAGCAATTCTGATGCTCAGATTATTTCTTTAATGCATCATTCCAAACACCCTTTGATAAAAACAAAAATTGTCAAAGAAAACCTGAATACAACAATTTTTTAAAGCTCTCATATTTTTATGACTCCCCCATTGACAGCGTTAGTGTAGATAACAAACGCCTGTGTAATTCTTTATATTTCTGTATTTAATTTGATATCATCGACTCATACAAGTATATCATAATGAGGAGTAAAAGAGAGAAAATGTGAGAGAGAAAGAGAGAGAAAGTGAGAGAGAGAGAGAGAGAGAGAGAGATATAGCATTAGTTTAGAGGGATAGATTTAGAGGATGGAGAATAACTAAGTGCAGGGAAATTCTTTATATTTCTGTATTTAATTTGATATCACCGACTCATACAAGTATATCATAATATATTGTATGCTACAATTTCTTGTAGTTTCCAGAGAAATGCTGTATGAGACTGGACTCACTTCTTCAGGACAACAGCTGTGTATGACCTTGATCATTTGTACCAGACATCGGAGTACCAGCTCCGTAACCGAGTGTTTCTCAGAATCAGGCCCTCTGGTCACGCCATGGTCCGACTCGCTCGTCAGCAAGCGAAATAGCATGTCGACTGTAGGGGGCGTGGTTGCCATCTGTGCGTTGGGCTGAAATCATAAAGAGAGTGATTTCATTAAGGGTCATTTAGACACAAGTTTCAAGTCTGCTAAATAATAACAAATTCTAGAGCAATCACAAAGACCTTAGAAAATGCGTAATAGATTTATCAGTGATTATGTGGAGTGATCCATCCCTTGGGATAAAATTGGACGAACATTGTACAGCTAGAACATCTCGTCATCATTAAAACATTAATAATAAAAATGAATCAATATGAATTTAAATTCAAATTGAAACAAAAAACTAACACAGAACTAGGAGTTTTATTCATGCTTTGATTGAGACATTCACTACAATTTCATGGGGAATAAGATAACCATTTCCACATCAAATGATGATTTTGCTAGTCCTTTACTAATCATAATCAAGAATTACAAAAAGGGGTTTCTCTGGAGGAAAATAAAAAGGAACATTATGATTACCTTTGAACCTGTGACGATAGCACCAAACATGTGAAGGACGTGACAATGAAGGCCTGACTTGATGGCTATCGACCAGGTAGGATTAGACAAACAATCTAAAAGAAAACCAAAGAGATAAAAAGAGGAGAAATTATGTAGAGTTCTGTTCTTGATGTAAATTAAGCTTACACAATTTACACATGTAAATGTATTTCAGAAGACATATTTTACACAGCAATTACCATAGAAATAATGTGAAACTAAAAGAGGCATAGATGACAGTGGAGAGAGAGAGAGAGAGAGAAAGAGCAAAAGAAAAAGATGGGTGGGATGGGTGGGGTGAAAAGAATGAAGCAGACACAATAGTAGAGAGACATTTAGTATGAAAAGAACAGAAGAGGGAGAGAGAGAGAGGGGTGAGAGAGTAAGAGAGAGAAATGTGTTTGTGTGTGTGTGTGTGTGTGTGTGTGTGAGAGAGAGAGAGAGAGAGAGAGAGAGAGGAAGAGAGAGAAAATGTGAGAGAGAAAGAGAGAGAAAGATAAAGCATTAGTTTAAAGGGATAGATTTAGAGGATTTAGAGAATAAAGTGCAGGGAAAGAAAAGAAAGGGAGTTCAACACAGAAGAAGAGGGTTGAATAATACGCAAACTGAAGAAAAAAAGGATAAAAAAGGAAACATTTAGCCATCTTTCCTTTTAAATAATGTTCAAAACAGCGCAATGAATTCAAGAAGAAAAATAATAGCGAGAGACAATATGATATAAAACATCCAATAAGATATAACAAGAAAAGAAAAAGGAAAAGGAAGCAAACATGAAGTTACCAATAACTAGGACGGTAACCTTATCCCTCTACTGCCAGCGATACACCACTCATACTCTGTATAGCTTCCAATCAGTGGAATGCGATCTTGCCCAGAATGTCAACAAGGTACTATTTGAACAGCAAGTATGTCTGTAGGGCACATATCTTTTTCTCCATTATCATATCAAATGGTTTTTAGCACCCTTACCAGGGCATCGTTTCCATTTGACGCAAGTACATAAGCTCAATGGTAACATTTACATAGGAAAAAACATGTACGTAAAAAAAATATAAATCAATATAGATATACATTTGTAGAATATAAATGTTTCTGCGTTATACAGAAATTTTATAATGTGCACTGTACAATGCACAAGTACATGTATGATCTACATCTGTACTTTATTTTTTCAAAGTAAGCCAGCACACTAGACTGTATTGAATACAAGATAGATATGGCAATATTAAGGTTCATTTATAAAAAAATTAACTTGTAAACTGTCTAATTTTATCATTCTTGATAGAACAGAAGAGGAATTTCTATTTACAATGATCTTCTATGCTGCCAATTTAAAGGATATATTTAAATATATATATATATATATATATTTATATAAAAGTTTAATAATTCCATTACATCATGTGTGCTCAGGCCTTATTGCAATATGCTTACAATTTTAACCATGACTGTGGGATAATTTTGAAGGTGAGCATTTATAAACTTTGTTTGTCTTTAGCAAACACAGTGGAGGAGTGTACAGAATATTTGCGACAAGGCATTTAAAACACACCTTCTGACTGAAGACAGACACCAATTTTTAGAGGGCAAATACATGTAGGATAATGAATTGTAACTAGATTTTTTTTCTGCCTCATTTAATAAAGTCAATGAGATCATACCAGACCACAAAACCCTATATTTCTAACCACTTGTAATGTCTACCTGCTTTTCAAGTACACGTACCTAGAGTCAACAGGAAATGAATTGATAACACAAAATATGCCAATTCCAAGTATTTTGTAATATTCTTGAGGAGATATACATGTACTAAGGTGAAATACAACAGATTTTGTTGCATTCCCATAATACAGCTACATTTCTGTGCAGGTTTGCAATGTTTGTATTTTCTTTAAAAATTCAGGAAACATATCAAAAATATAAAAAAACTCATCAAATTATTAACAGGTTCAGTTTCAGTTTCTATGCCATCAAATTTAAAAGGAGCGCAAGCAGTCGCAGCTGTAGAAAAGAATAGTCTCAGCAACTTCCTTCTCCCTTTCATGAGTTTTGTAAAAAAGAGGACACAATAATGAAAATCCAGGTTAATAATATGACGCTTTCAGTAATGCCTAGCAGAGAATATTTGTATGGTTGCAGTGCTACATAGATTATCAACTATTGTTGTCATAAATTACCTTTCATATTAAGCTGAAGTGAAAGCTGCAGAGTGTGTTTGCTTAGTTACATTTTAGAGTGATAGATGTGGAATATATTCACATTTTCAAATTGAAGCCTCCATTAAAGACACAGTCAAAGGCAACCATTGGAAAACCTTAGCTCAATATATTGAATTTCTAATCATACTGCTCTATTTTACTATAGAAGTTAGAATTTACAATCAAGATGACAGACTTGTTTATCTTTAAAAACACTTTCAACACAATCATTCCATGTTTGTGTTTTGGCTCAATTCATTTTGATTCAGAGCACTAAAATGTACTAAGTACATGTATATGAGAAATAAAAGCAAAAAAAATTCTGCACACACTGTATCCATTTTCCTTGCATGACCATATTGCAGTTGATGGAAGAAATTTTTAAAAGGAAAATGTGTTTTAAAATCCTGAATTGGCAACAAGTTGAGAGGTTCAAATTATTATTTTTTCATCAGAAATAGGCGAATTCTTTTTCTAACTTTATCACAAAGTTCCTGCACATAGATATTGTTTTAGAGTCATTTCATTTTATTAAAACATTGTCTGTAGCAACACAAGAAAGTTATTACTGTTGCCAATTTGAAGAAGAAGAACAACATGTGATCAATTTTTTCAACAATACCTGTACTTGGCACTATGACACTCATCCAAACTCTCTTATTCTCTCTATTTTTCTTGTGCCCCTAGAATTGAATTGTCTAGATAGACGGCGCTATATAAATGCCTATTATTATTATTATTATTATTATTATCAATTTAGCCGCTAATAATAAAAGATTAATCCCCATCTTTGACACTACGTTCTACGTTTACCTTTAAATTAGAGCCTGCAGCCTGAGAATATATCTGCTACATGCACGGTTCATGTAACTACAAGATCTTAATAATGAAAGCTGTCATACCACACACACGCCTTGCCTGAAATGCTTGCCCTAATGGCTCAAAATTCTTGTCTTAACTTACAGCACTTATTCACTTACCATAGAAGAACGGCACCACCTCCACACTTAGGAGAGCTGGTCGGGAGCTTTGGGTCGTCTTTCCGACATGGCTGGAAGAAAAAAATGTAACATACTTGATTATTAATCAATCAAGGGATTTACAAGACTGTATATAACGTATGAATCTACCTAGTTCATGCAAAGGAGATTCACCTTTTGACCTTAAATGTGAAAACTATCTGGTAAGGTACACTAAATTGAACTGAACTGAACTGAACTGAGGAACATAATTATAAAAACAAAGGGATAACAAACTTTTAGCAAAACACAACAACAAACAAACAAACAAACCAAAAGAAAATCCTACCATAACACATAGTACTGTAATATCACAAAGATATACACATACATGTATACATGTACATGTAAAGGCCTACTTCAGCAATGCTCAAATATTTACGGTGCACTCATCATATAAGCAGTATGTCATCTGATCGATCAATAATTTAGAATCTAATTTGTCTAATAGTTAACCTTTGTATATTTTTATTGCACCTGTAGATCAAAGGCCACCGTGGTAACACTGTCTAATATAAACTTGTCATATGTCCTCAATATTCTTAAAGGATGGGAAGGGCATTGAGTCAATACAAAGGCATACATTTGGTGTGTACAATATTGGCATATTTCACTGGCAGAAGGTAATAAGTAACCTCAAGGAAAACTTTCTTAATCTTTAGTACACATGGGGGTGTTTCACAACGATCCTAAGTCGAACTTAACTCTAAGTTGGACTTAAAAGTTATGGAGAGCCATTTGTATATTTAAAATAAAATATATTAAAAGGCGAAAATTCAAGTATTTTAGACTTTTTATGAATTCCACATCAAGAACATGAAATCTACTTGATAATAGAAAATGTGAATGATTTGTATAAAAATGTTATGCCTTTTATAATAAATTTTACAAAATATTTTCATAGATGCTAACGGCTTTCCATAATTGTTAAGTCCAACTTAGAGATAAGTTCAACTTCTTTGTGAAACACCACCATGATGAAATAAATAAATTGTGTAAAGAGAACTTCTGCTGCTGTCATGAAAGATGTTAGCCTCAAACGTGAACAAGGTATTAGTACATTTTCATTTGTCATCTGTTGACAACTAGATGGGCATTCATTCAGGTAAACTGTACAGAGTGTACGTTCTGGCTCTCAAAAGAAGATTTTGTCTCTTTAGAGCCAAAAGGGCATTAACTCTGTGTTGAAGTATAAGAGTTAACGCCCTTCTGGCTCCAAAAAGGATTTTCTTTACACCTGTCAGTGTACAATAATCATAAATAAGGTGAATACACTTGTGGCTTTGTGTTACTCACTTTGAGAGATGTCTCCTCCAGAGGTGCAAAGGGTCGTACATACATTCTAATAGATGCAGGGAATGCTGGATGAAGTTCACAAGAAGCTCTAGGTATAGACCTTCCTGTGATGGAATCTGGAATTAATTTTTTTTTATGAGATGCACATTAGAGCACAGAATGCTAATTCTTGTCAATTCACATTTGATAACTGGCTTGATTTCATCATATTTCAGACACAACAGGATGCCATTTTTATATTTTGACCTTTATAATACCCCATGCATTTCAATGATTTAGAGTATAAATTAGCACAATTATTCAATTGTCTAAATGATTCACCATCCCCTCAAAAAAAAAATGACAACAAAACAAAAAAACATTTTAGACATAATATCAATACTCAAACAAGATTTCTTCTGAAGCAATTGAGGGGGGGGGGGAAAAAAAAATAAAATCAAAATTTTTACGGACAAAATTTTAAAATTCAGTTTGTTTTGATTGTCCAATCCTGGAAATACAAATACAACTTGCAAATTGTAGTCTGACTGATGATTGTGTTACACACTAGGCCTACATGTTTTCTATTTTCATGAAGAAAAAATTGTTATGGTAGAATAGGAAAAATAATCTTCTTCAAATGTAATGAATTCATTTCACATTTGTAGCAACGTAATACCTCCTTGCATGTACACGTAAATATATGTGACAGTATGATCTCTAATAAAAATTCCTCTTTCCCTCCATGGAAAATCATGAAATTGAAATCAAATCTTCAAATGCATGTTTCATGAGACTTTTGTTCAAATGTGTTCCTAAAGCTAATATTATTCCTCTTGTGACATCAATTTCATCCATTATGCATGGAAACAAATCTCTAGATATCATTCTTCCATGCCAATTCCCACATAATTGTAAAATAATCCTCCAGCCTACGTAAAAGGACAGACACATCGAAGAGAGACATGCCGAAATTGATTATTCTCCTGTCCCAAAGGCAGAAGTGATCGCTGTAACTTATTCTTGCAACCGAGCCCGGGCTCCTTGCTTCTTCCCAATTATAAGTTATCAGAAAGACATCAGACAATCAGAGTTGAAGGAGCTAGCTAGTGTCACTGACTTGTCATTCTAACTGATGGAAGGTAAAAAGGATCCTGGCGAAAAGCTACAGGAGTATATGGCTTCTCACAATTCTGTGGGGTGTTTCACAAAGATCCTAAGTTGGACTTATCTCTGTTAGTTGGGCTTAAAATTATGAAAAGCCGCGAACATCCTTGAAAACATTTTGTAAAAGTTATTTTAAAAGGCATAAAATGTTGATTCAAATCATTTATATTTTCTATTATCATGTTCTTGATGTGGAATATATGAAGTCTAAAATGCTTGATTTTTTGTTTTTTGATATATTTCATTATAAGGCTACAAAGTGCTCTCCATAATATTTAAGTCCAACTGAGAGTTAAGTTTGACCTAAGAATCTTTGTGAAACACCCCCCTGCACTGGTATATTGAAGCCGGTCAAATTGGAAAATTGTACAACTTGTGACATCTGACTATTAAAAACTGAACTAATTGTGAAGTAGAATATGTGCTGTGACTTCTGTCCTATTTTTTGCTAATATCTAAAATGACAGAAAACTTAAGGGGTTAAAATGTCAGATTTACAAACACTTTTACCTCAAAGTTTATGTGGATATATTGCAGAGAATAGCTGCAAGGATGTTCCCAAAGAAAAAAAAGAATAATACAGTACTTTTTCTTAAATTTGGTCACAAAGTTATGCAATTCTTTTACAATGCAGTCACTACTCACGATAGAAAAAATTCAAAAACAGGAATTTTCAAGGATGATTTTAAGCCTGTTTTTACTGTTATCATGACTACTGAATGTGCACATACTGTACATATACATGTAGATGTCTGTTGAACAAACAGGCTATCATTCTACAAGTTTTGTTCAATTCCTTATAAACAATCTGGTGGGATTAAATTGAATCAGAAAAGCTCAGAAAATGTGAGACAAAATAAGGACGTCGTTCATTTATTGGAATCAAATTAGACCTGTCAGTGCCACCTCATAAGAAAATTCAGACATGGCCTCAAAAACCATAATATGCAAGAACACACAAACAAACAATAACAATTTTTTTTTACATGCAAACTGTCAACGACAAATGACTGGTACACACATAAACATGATTTATCAAAAATTTAAACAACTACATTAAATGTCCATATTCTCTCTAGTAAAGAGGACTTTTAAAACTGAATCTTGATATTCCTGCAATGATATTCACAAAATGAGCCTTTCAGTAAACCGTTAACATGGTTGAAATGTTACTTATTATATCAACATGCAAACAATCCTGAAAAAACTCTCAAACCAAAAAGATATTTATGGTTTTAACAGTAAATTCTCCCAACCAATTTTTTGAATGTTCCCAACCGTTTTTCCATGAAAGTAAGACATACATGTAAAACAGGTTTTTTTTAAATCTGTCAACACTAAAAAGAGCCAATATATTTAATCAAATTATAATACTAATATAGTTGGGAGAATTAACAAATCGTTCAGATAAGTTTTTCCCAATTGTTATCATTAATAATGGTCTGATTTCCCTCAAACTTTCAGATTATCTTTAATTGTACATTTACTAGCATTGAAGTCACTACCTTAGCACCATTTTCTCTCATCTGAACAATGTTCACAGAATGAGCCTTTAAGGAGCTTCACATTAGTAGCCCAGACAAGTGTTTTCTTGAGAAAGCTTAAGTGTTTTACAGTAAACAGGGAAGATCTCTGGCTCTTTGTTTTGAAATCCCTACGGATGTACTTGATAGGGGAATGACATAAACAGAGAAATAAGGGATGGTGAGACTGAGAGATAGACAGAGAGAGAGAGAGAGAGAGGGAACAAAGAGCGACTAAGAGACAGATGCGGAAAGACAGAGAGACAGACATGCAGAGAAAGACAGAGAGACAAGAGGACAGAGAGAGAGACAGAGAGAGACAGAGAGAGAGAGAGAGAGAGAGAGAGAGAGAGACAGAGAGGTCACACGAAGGTTGATTGAAAAGTATTGTCATTGACTGTGCATATAACTGTATACATTGTTTATTATATGTTGGTTTATACGTCAAATGCCAAAGAAATCAAGAAATTGAGGGAATACCTGAAAATGGAATACATCTTGGGACCGAATGAGACAGAATTGCAAAATATGAAATCCATATTCCAACATACAAGGCTACAATGTAATCCATTCATACAAGCTTGCTCAAGGTATCCCTGCTATATAAAAGCAACACCTTCAGTGAATAAATATATGATGATATCATCTAGTCAATGCAGATCAATGTCTAGACAAAATCAATTAACAAGTACATATTCTGCAGGGGCTGTATGGTATTTTCTTCATAACCCATTTTACAGAACAACATTTGTGAATAGGGAGTACATGTAGGGCATACTGGCATTGGTGCCAAATTCCAGAACGGGGTCAGACAGGGAGAGAGAGAGATCGAGAGCTTATGGTTCCTCACCGTTTTAAAGGCAGCTGTGGCCAGCGGAATGATGTGCTTGAAATATTCACAGGATCCAACGAGGGCAATGTTGTCATGGTGTCTGGAAATAAATAAAACAAAAGGAAGGATGGTTTAATTAGACATTAAAGGAAAGAATATAAAATGATTAGGGAATAAAATATTGTGACATAGAAACAAAAAGTACAGAGGGCTTTGGTGATTCAATATTTCCTCCAGGTTCTGTTTTGTCACTGAAACAGGGCATAGTTTGGACTTGGGTCATCATAAATATGTTTTAGGTATAGGATTTAGGTATAGGATTTATGATAGGTGTGTACACAGTGTTGGGTTCATGGAATGTATAATTCGACAAGTGCTTTAAGTAATTGGCAATACAACAATTGGCAGCAGAGCATATATTTTGCATATTCATAAATTTTTCTGGTACAACTACACTGTACACGTACAGGCTATTGGTATGTTTCCTCGGTCAATTCAAAAGCAACATGCAACAGTGTATTTAACTGTTTAACCAATTTCATCGAACATTTACTCATTTTGAATACATTAAATTGTATTTCCACACAAATTCAGTACAGTTTCGACTTCATATAATTTATATCTAGTCTACAGTACTGGTATGTTACCTCGGTTGACATGCCGAAGCGCACAAACCAATTAGGCATGTTGCATCCATTGTTGTGAGGTACTGAAGTGCATACAATTTGTTTTTCATTAGCTTATTGTGACACATCCCTTTTAAATACACACAGCATTTGTACAACAATCTATTTTCCAACCCCATTACGATATATTCACTGAAAATAATGCATGGATATTAAACTTAGCCTAAACTAAAGTTCAGGGCTCCTACAAAATAAAACCTTTATTAAAACCTAGATAAGAGCTACATTGTTATGACGGAATACAACTTACACAATATGTTGACAACTAGCTTTTTGGCAAGGTTTTAAGAATACCGCTGCAGTTATTTACATAATCTTATTACAATGTAACAATGTACACCTGTACATGTACATGTATAGGGTCGTGAATAGGATATATGCAATGCAAACCACACATACATGTACGAAGGAATACATTATTTTTTTGTATACTTATTTCTTTCCCCTGATTCAGATCTTTCAGTTTTTAGTCAAAATATGACTTACCATACTCGTTGCCACACATAAACAGACAAATCGTCATCATGAAAAATTGAAAGCAAATATTTTGATGCATAATGGATTACATACATTGTACTTCCAAAGGCCTACAAACACTGTAGCTGAATTTCCAGGAAATGAATTTGATGTTGTTCTGTCATTAATCAAATATGGGTAATTACAAGGCTGCATACATGTAGACTATCAACCTTGCTCAAGGGAGAGGTGTGTTTTCATTATATAGAACAAACAATGATTTTAAATGGTCAAATTCCCTCAACAACAATTTTTTTTGGTTATTTGAATACAATGTGTATACATTTATTATATTATTATTTTAATATTATAATTAGTATCATAAATATCATATTATTATTATCTTATTATATCATTGTCATAATATTTTTAAATTATCATTATAATATTACCCTATTATGTCTTCATCTAAGAAAACAAGTGAAATATCTTATGTATACATTTTTTAACCTCTTAAAATATATACTGTTCAATATAAAACATTTTTTGTGATTATAATTATTTTAAGGTATGGCACTAATGAATGATTCCCTTTTACAAATAAGAATTATTCAAACAAGATTAAATTGTAGATATCTTTCATAACTTCATCCTGTTCAGTTCACATTCAATAATGAGGTTTCAAGGTTTTAATAATCTATGAATACCTGGTTATATTATCACTAGCTTGGGCACAATTGCGCTTTTGGACAATCTCAGGAGAAGTACTTTGTGGATATGTTGCTTTTTTGGCAATACATCAAGATTATTGAATGGTTACAATTATGCATTGAAATATAAACTATTTATTGCTAATTGGCCTTAGAAAACCATATCAGAACAAATTTAAACTAGGCAAAATTAGCAGAAAAGGACAGAATTCATATGGGCATTTCCACGGTAATAGGGTACTTCTGTGTGTGAAAGAATAAAGCGCTTACAGAAAAATTAAATAAATATCCTGTGGCTTTCTGTGTTTTTATTTTCATTGTTGATGGTATAAAGAAATAAAAAAGACAATTCCATGCACTAATAATGTCATTTGGTTGTGTTGTCCTCTTTTTTTAATGATTATTATTAAAAATTCCAAAGTACAATCAGTAATTGTTGAGTGGTGTGATTTTGAGGGTGATGCAAATAAAAATTCTAAAAAGAAATTGATGTTTCATGTTTTGAAAAGAGATTTTGATGCGGGTGGATTACGGCATTGATCATAGTTACGGCGATTGAGCTTTAAAGAGAGAGAGTGAGAGAGTTGAAAATTACATTGGCTGAATGAGAGATTCTGTCCACCTGTGTTACGTACGTTCAGAGTGAATTTTCCCACAATTATTAGTTGTGTCACCCAACAGTTTTATGTGCTTTGCAACTCTTTTGATGAAGGTTGAAATGTAGACCAAGAAAAAAATCGTCAAAATAAACGCAAATAGAGATAAAATCTATTCAAAATTTGGAGTGCAATATTCGGTCCAACTCACGAACGTACGTAACAACTAAAAAAACGGACCGTGGCGTCCGCGAATATGACGCATGGATAATCCACGTATCAGTCAAGTGAACCAAGGCACTGCAACGTTTGATTGTACTTGCAATCCATGCGCTGACTTCTACAATCGCGGGGCCGTGTAGCTCTATATAACTTCTGTCCAGTTTGTGCGTACGTTCACGGTTGCTGGTAGTTAGAACGACACGTACGCACGATGGACAGAAATGCTATTCGGTCTTATTTACGTACGTTTTTTCGCTGGGTTTCGTGAGCAGCAGACGACATCCGATCGTAATCATTGGAGTATCAACTCAACATTAGATTAGATCTAGGCTTTGAAAATCGTGGAATGGTACGTATTTGTTATTCAAAATCTTTTTGAAATACAGTAAAAGATCATGTTTCCGAAAATGAGTCATGTGTAACTTTAGTGGTGTACGATTATATTTTCCTCTTCTTGTCTAGCTAGTGGTCTGCTAGTGCTAAATTTTAACGTGTAGTGATATTATTACATTACAGTCCCATATGTAGCTTTTCATGTATGCAACACTGGTAACTCTCGCCGATCTCGCATTTTCAATAGGTGCAACCGCAACCCAATTTAGCTGCAGATGATACCCAGAATGATGTGATGACCACCAGACCAACTGGAGATGATACCCAGAATGATGTGGAGATCACCGCCGACAGACCAGTGGCAGATGTTCACCAAGCAGCCGATGAGTACCAATGTGGAGACTTTGTATTGATCAATATATCAGTCGGCAAACGTGGAAAAATTCTGGAATACGTTGGAGAAGTAAGTTTGTATGGTTTCATTTACTTGCAAATTATTTTTATGCTTAGCTGTGAAATAAATGTAATACGAAAATCATTACAAATTTCTTGTTAAGAGGATTGTTGAGGAATTTATTTAACATTGGAATAACCTGCACAATAAATTATTTTACTTTTCAATGGATGACATTTTATACACAAGAATTATTTCATTATTGAGCCTACACTAAATTATACAAAATATTGCATCTACATTACCTGAGTCATATCATTGCATTGATACTTTACAATCCTTCTGTTAATCATTTAATGCCTTCATGTTTCAAAACCAGGAAATATCTATCTGTTTGGAGTGAAAATGTGCATGATTACTATTAACGTGAGAAAATCTGAACAAGTCAAAAAAGAAAAAAAATACAAATACATTTAAATTTGAATTAGCACAATGGATTTTAAACTCACGATTTTTTTCATCTTTAATTCTTTTGATTTCAGGTGAAAGATGTTGTGGGAGAAGATCTTGTCATCAAGTACATGGCCAAGTCGGAGTCTCATCCGGGGCTATTTATATGGCCAGCACGTGAGGATGTGTCTCAGGAATGTAGAAAACAGATAGTGAAGAAAATGCCTAACCCTGTCCTTCGGGAAGACATCAGCAGCACTAGATTACAATTTTTCACCTTTGCAGAACTCTCCCCAGAATCATGACTTGCTCCATACAATTTATGAATGTCTTATTACTCATAGATTGGTTAATAATGAATCGAGTCATTCCAACTTCTTCAGAGAACTTGTGTAAAGTCCAGCACACCCGATATCGTCCCAAACCATCGGTTTTAAAATCCTTACAATATTCTCTGACTCTCGTGTAAGAGGAAAACCTAGAACTGCGTGTATTGATGTTAAAAAGGAGACATGATTAAATGGCTGGATCGTGCTAATTTATTGTTCTCACGTTGTACTTCAGTAAGGTTTTAATCACCTCAATAGACTTGTGTGTTATGAAAACAAATAAAATTCATGGAAAATTGGCACAAAGACACAATTATTTACTGAAAATATTTAATGAATGCTCAATTGAATTGATGCATTATAATATGCAAAATAACCCATTGAGTATGCAGTGTCAAATCTTTTTTGAATTTCAGATCTGAATTACATCAAAATGATTGTTATAAATACATGTATTTGATTTGAACTTACTTGAAATGAATGATCATAATTTTGAGCAAAAATAGAATTAAATAGAGCATTTATGAAAAATGAAGAAATATAAAAGGTAAATATCATACACATTGTAGTTAGCAGATAAAAGAACTCTAGAATAAAAGCATACAAATCCTGTATAGACAATTTGTAATTAACGACATGATGTTTGTGAAATATCAATGAATAGTGTTTGCCTTTTATTCTATATTGTGTCAACTACTTTCCCAGTCTTGATGGGAATTGATTACAAGCTAATGCTTACATGTAGTGAAATGCATGCTCAATTGTTTAACAGTCTGTCATTATTGGGCTCTGTGTCCGAGACACATTTTGGCTACTGACTATTAAAGACCTAGACTACTTTTAAATTTGTATATAAGGTTTTGTGAAATTTCAATTTCAATGAAATGATTAGTGTTTGCCTTTTATTCTATATTGTGCCAACTTCTTTCCATGTGACTATAGTTACTATCTTATCATTTTTTAAATTTGAATTTGCAATTCAGGTGTTCATAATTGTATAAATTTATATAAATGGTTCATCCATGGACAATTTAAGTTGTACACTGAAGTTTGTTGCTTGCTTTTGCAGTTGGTCAAAAGATTAATGAGAGGTGAGATAAGATTTCAAAACTATCAATTAATCTATTTTACAGATTTACAAACCGTATATCAGTTGGCAAATTCATTGATTTCATTATACTTAATAATTAAAGACCATTCACATTTCACTTATTCTCCACAATTTAAAATGATCAATACAATGAAACATTTTAACCTATGCAACGCTTATGAATATATTGACTATGAAATATGTGTCCCAAAACAGAATTCAAACAAACGTTTAGATGCCTGTTCTGTCCAACCGTTACATACGTTCCCTATTCTTATTAATTGGTTCCAACATGCATCAACAATTATAACTTCTAGATTTTATTTTATCCTGGAATATATGAACATAGCATCAACATCCAGTACACAGTGACACCAAATTAATAGAGTACGCACCATTAAAACATGTGTGAAAGATTTATTCATTCAATAATACATGATACATTGCAAACATTCCTTAAATATTTGTTTTTCTGATTCACAAAAAAAGCTATAAAATTTTTTTAAAAAAGAAGCAAATTCTGAGATGATTATTAAATTGATGTTTTATTGATACTTAACTCACATGAATGAACATTGCATTTATATATTGAGCAAATAATAAATCAGAGGTAATTTAAGTTACAAATTTCTGTCCAATGTTACATACGTTCCCCCCAATACATGTCCTACTTTACGACCTCTGCAAAGTTAACATGAAATCACACTTATCTTTTCCCTCATAAATATATAGAATATAGATATTGGACAAGCAAAGGGAGAAATTTGATTGCTCTAGGGGTGAAAACAATTTTGACCATATTTACATCACAGAAGTACCCACTTAACATGGAAATGCCCATATCCCCTTTTGTTTATTTTACTCCAAGTCTGGCTCTTATGGAGATAATTTTGACAAAAATCCATGAGCATTCATAAACAAACTTATGAAAATGAAACTAGATGTATGGGCAGATTTACAAATTGACTAAAGGCATGGTAATTATCTTTCTATAGTGGATAGAAAGAGAGATTTACTTTTTAAATGCAGGCTTGGCTTTTTTTAAAAGGGTATTTTATCACATACATGTGTGGTACACCTGATTTGTAGATTAATGGTTTAGTGGCCAATATGTACACACATGTACATTATTATGCCTATTCAGAAATACAGGATCAATTCTATGGAAACCTGATACACTATGTACATGTATGTTGCTATTATTCCTAAAGCAGAAGACATTAATGAATGTTTGTAACTTTGTAAGAACGGTAAAGTGAAAAATGAACACAATATCACGTTAAGAATTGTAAAGCATAATGAGTCTTCATTATCTAATTTTCTTCTGACATATTATGTACACAGCAGGCAGCTAGGCACTGCTTTATGCAATTAAACATGATCGACAAAGAAATAATACAAATATTACTTTTGGAATAGATCGATGAAAAATCCATTGTATTTCTGTCAGGAACATATAAATAGAGGCTCTGTTGAGGGATGGCATGTATACTGATGACAGTTTTCATTCTTTAAAGCGGGACTGCACTACTTGAGAGCTGATTTGATGAGATAACTACCCGTTAGTGACCAGGCTTTAATTGACTATCGAACTTACATGTATGCAATAAGTTTATTCATAAGAAATAAGAAAAATACGAGGAACAGAGTGGCAAAACTTTAAAATAAATCAGACAAATGATAAGAAGATAGAAGAAGACAATGAACGTTTGAAATCACTACATCTACATGTGTATGTAAATCTCAAATTGGCAATTTGGTCAGTGTGTTGTGAAGTATTCACGGTCTGCTCTAGATCTCCCATTTATCTTGTACTATAATATCATTAATGTTTTCCCCCAAGTGCCTTCTCCTTAGGGCACTACTCTAGATATATCATTGTAGGATGTACAAAACATGTAGGTCCTCCAAGACGAAAAGAAAACTATTAGAAAAAAAAAGAAATTGTCATTTTGTGCATTGGAGCAAACGGTATTTTGAAAAGGAACCTTACTGTACACATGTTAAAAATAGAACCTCGATCAGGCTGTCTTTATGAAATTGTGAAGCGAGCGTGAAGGTGTCCAATTACCAGGGTGTTATATGATCATACTTGAGAAGCAAGATTCATGTTACATACTTTAGAATAAGGGGGTGTTCCCATTGAGTAGCAAAGCGTTATAATCCATTCAGCTTAGGCCTAGATTTGGGCAGCATCCCATTAATTTTTTCACACAACAACCTTTCTTGACTATTGACTAGTAAAAAATGCATGATTGCATATTTTTGGTAACTGGGTAACAGTGTTTGTACATGTATGTGTGTCTTATGTACCTACATGTACATGTAATTGCTTTTGCATACGCTATCATTTTATCTATGAATATGGATGTATGTGTCCACATTTATAGACAAAGTGTAATAGATTAACCTTTATACGGTGAGTGGAAATTTGGGCCAAATTTCTTATGATTTTGATGACTCCAGAACCTTGCAGTACACACCAATGCTTACATGCTACATGATCAACTGTTTCTGATCCATTCCACACCTTTTCTTTCACAATGCAATCATCACATGACCAGAACTCAACTTTATCTTTAACACTTGAATGGAGGGGGGGGGGGGGGTGGAGCAATCCCTGGTATGGAAAGTTGCAAACATGAAGAAAAAAATAAAAAAAATAGCAGAACACAATGTTTCCACAATATAATTGACATGATAGAAATCTAAAAGACCTTTTAATTGCAAGTTGATACTAAAAATGCCACGTTCTTTGATTAAAAATCACAATTTTATTACAATATAACTTACTGATTAAAGATCATCCATATCTTTCATACACTTACTTTTACAATTCTTGCTTGAATAACTTTACAATTATTGCTTGAATTACTTTATTTCTAATCATTTGCAACATATAAAAGTGCATATAAAAGTATGAAGAAAAAAAACCCCAAACTAACCAAACAAACAAATGAAACAGAGTCCTTTAGAAATGCACACAAATGCATATCGACGGCTCTGTGTCATATTCTCTCAGTCGATCACTCTTGATTGACGTAATGTAACATTTGTAACACAAAACACTTGGAGAGAATATGTGATACGTAAGTGTACCTCTACTTAGTACTTATTGAATTCAAACTAAGTTGTAGACTATATCTATAGTTTGCATACAGTATTAAAAAAAGCTACATTGTGTGCAATGACTCATTGTTATTCACTATTCAGACAGCAAATATACAAAGTACACATGCTACAATGTGTAAGGTTGAAAGTATTTCCTCACTTGGGACAGTTTTTGGATAAAAGTAAACCATTCATAATACCATCTGACCACAAATCATTGGCAATGCATTGAAACTGCACAGAGTATGTTTTTGTAGCCAACCCAATGATATTGTTTGTTTCATTTTCTCTCTCTCTCTCTCTTTCTTCTTGGGGGGGGGGGGGGGATTTAAATGAGGACACAACAGAATTAAGCATGCACATATTTTTGTTTCCCCTTCCCTTTCTACTTGACTTCCTAAATATAAGAGTAACTGAGAAAAAAATTGGCATGAACCCATCAATTTATGACAGGCCATAAGATCTATATATATACTGTATGTTCAAATGTGTGGTTCTTAAGTTGTTTTCATGTATCCGTGTAAAAATTCTATAATATGGCCAGCACAGAAGTTATTGTTTTGATGTGCTAACTATATCATTTTTAAAATTCAAGTGCACCCAGAATTTAATGTTTATGTGTCAACTAGTCTACTCACATGTTCCTTTTACCTACATATACATTTTAAAGTGCAATTTAAGAGTATATTTAGGAAAATTACCCTCTCCGGAAGTAACATTTAAAGTGTACTGATCGCCAGAATATATTTTGGTATGTATGCTAGGGTTTCTATATCACTGAACTATTGTGAAAATATGAGCTTTCAATCATACTTCCATAATGAGATAATACAAGTTAAAATACAATACCAATCAACATAAAAAAGACTAGTGAGTAGTGACGCACTAGTGATGCTATCGCATTCGCTCATATAGAATATGGCCCGCACAGAACCCGAGTTTAAATTGGATTCCGAGTGTGGGAATTTATGTTCTTATTTATTTTCTTAGTGATCTCCGTTACTATGCCAGGAATGGTTTTTTATTTGATTGATTTCATACATTCTAGCTGTACACAATTTTTTTTTTTTTAGGTGAGTGATACACTTTAAAGCTGATAATCAACAACAGGATACTAGCTTACGTACAGCCCGATGCAAACAAAAGATTAGTTATTCGTTCATTTTCATGACTAATCACCTCTATTTCTTTGATCTGAAAATAACAATACTACCTGCAATATTGCAATAAGCACATGTCTTTCAAATCTGTGTAACGTACTGCAGATATACTCCCATGACACCAATAACTACATTATACATGTACCATGCTTTATCACCTTCAATTCTTGAATCTCAAAAATCTCAATCTTACCTGCATGTTGCGATGAGCACCTGTACAATCTGTGTGGCGTACTGCAAGACGTCCCAATCAGATATCACCTCCTTGCATTGCAGACTACAGGATGCCAGCTCAACCACCAATGTCTCTAACAGACCGTCTGGGAGGGTCGCAGAGTTGGGACCACTTAGTGTCCTCCTGCAAAAGAAATTACATAAAAAGTTTTAAAAGTTTTTTTTAATTCTTTTATTCAGGGCTGGGATTTAAAGCATTTTCTTTCATTACGCAGTAAACTACTGTCAGGCAGAAATATGTTTCAGATTTTATTTAATATAAAAGAAGTAGGCAAATAATTTGCATTTATTAAACACATCTTGGAATACTATCTTTCCTTTTACATACGTACATGTACATGTATTCATGGCATTGACATGTCACGAATGAAATGTTAATTCCATCATGAAACTATGAATTATAATGGCTTCAATGGAAAGTCGTGAAGTGAATTGCAGAAGCAACAGGTAGGTACATGTACATGTATGAATTGTATAATTGTTGAGCACTGATGCAATAAGGTTTCTTTATACACTTGAAAACTAGTTCATCTAACAAAAACAATCATAATTCTAACTTCATAGTTTTAGAGTCAATCCTTGTGAAATTTACAGGGGGATACTACAGTAGTAAAGCCTGACGTACAAAATGTAATTGAGGATGGTTAAGGACTTATTCAGATGTCACATTTTCTTTAGACACCTTGAAGATACATACACTGTACACTAATTTCTATTGTCAGCCTGCAATAATGAACACACTAATATACAAAATATCCTCAAAAATTCAAATTTTTGTCAAAACATTTTAACATAGAATTGTAATTTTTCTTGAAAAGATATGTCAGGGAGAGAAAGAGACAGATAGAGGGATATGTAGAGGGGTAGGGGGGAGGGGGAGGGGGAGGGAGAGGGAGAGAGAGAGAGGGGAGGGAGAGAGGGGAGGGAGAGAGGGGCATAAAGAGAGAGAGAGGGGGAGAGATAGAAAGAGAGAGAGAGAGAGAGAGAGAGAAGGGAAGGGGTGGAGAGAGTTAAAAGAGGAATAATATAATTTTTCTGTTCATAAATAAATGCCATCTGTTTGACTAGGGAATGATTTTATTGCATAACACAGTATTCACATGGCTTGATAGTGTACGACCATTGTATACGTAGGGATGTCAGACGCTCGCGCTGCAATCCTGAAATCGAGCCATCAATGTGCGTACGAGCCAACGGTGATTGTAGTTGAAATAAAAACATGCAATCTTTAAAAATTCATTAAAAATCAAAATTAGCAGGAAAGAACTAATTGATTAAGAATTACCGTAGATTAAAGTTGTATTCCAATATTGGAAGCATTTTCTTCACAAGTAGAATCGTAGAATCAATCAAAATATGACAGTAAAGATGAGCTCTAATTCGCCCATTGGCCCTTTGCAAGCGTTTGAAAGGCATTGTGGCACCCATGGCACTGCTTTTCTGTGACTCTCTGAAAAACTGCGCATGTTTACATCAAAATCTGGAGGTGATCCTGGGGTCACACAATGCCCAAATTTGGACATGCCATTCATGAAACTTAAGAAAATAATCCATGTGCGTTGACTTTTTTGCCTACCCCATACTTTTAATATATTTGAGCAGTAAAAAAAAGTTCCAATTTATAGCGATCTTTTTCTTATAAAAATGAACTTTTTGCAAAAGTCAATGTTAGTATATTTATAAGTGCTATTCAAGCTATCTTTGAGCCAAAAATCTAAGGGAAATTCATTCAGGATCATCTACAGATAATCACAAACTTCCGATGTATACTACCCAAGACTGAACAACCGTAAGTCTTGACACTCGCCCTCAACCCCTGGTGATTCTGTGCTGAACACGTACGGACCGAACAAAATATTTGCAGCTAGAAACTACTTTCCATGGATAAATTGAGAATTTTGATCGACTACAAACGTTGAATATAAGTTTTTCATAATTAAAGACTCCATTAGTAAAGCAATAACTCAGTATTTATTATAGAAAAGAAGTTGAAATGTTGAATGTGTGTACGAGTGAAATGCCGGGAGGAAGTATAAATGAAAGAAAAGCGTGATGTTATCATCAAGCCGCAATGGCCACGTGCGCGCACGTGGAAATTTCCATTGTAAGCGCCGGCATGTGGCTCTTCTTCTAAGTGCACAAACTCCCTCTTTAAAAAAGATAAAATGCAAGAAATTATTAAAACAATGTTTCAAGGGAAACTAAACACTGTTTCGAGGGAAATTACGTAGAAATGAGCAATTCTAGTGACTCAGCTGTAATTGTAAATATACAGGTGTTATTCTCCTGATACATTTGTAACATTACAAGAGGTTTTCTGGACATTTACCATATTTGTTTTCCTTTATCAAAAAGCAATTTTACATGTACCGGTACTTGGAATTGATATATTTTTCCACCATGACAGCCAGAATTTTAATCCAAGTTTACATTGAAATATCATCTTATATTTGTATCGCTGATTATTTGAAAATCTTTACTTGAAAATCAGCAATCCTCCAGATCCTCAAATCGATCCTCAAATTTTATCAGGAAACATTTTTCCTGTGATATTTTTTTTTTTTTTAAATCTTTGTTTTTCTTTGTTTTTCTTTGTTTGTTGCCATGGCAACCTTATATTTTAATTTTAAAAATGTTGTGGAAAGATGTCCCTGCCATTATCTCGGAATGCAAAGTGTTTTGAGTAGCAATTTGATCTGGAAAGTAAATACCGGTATATTAATTTTTAAATATTTTCTTATTTTCTTTGTTTTGTTTCCATGGCAACAATATATTTAATTTCAAGGTTTCTCTTAAAAATGTTGATAAAAAGAATATAATGAAGAAAAGTTCTGTTGAAATTTCAATGAGAAACAAGATATATTTTTTGAGATATGGCACATCAAACAATGCTTGCAATGTTGAGGTATGTACTCTTTACTATGTACTTAAATTACACTCGGTGCCATGCTTACATTGTAATTTCCTATGCAAAAACTTCAGGAAATACCCCTAAATAAAAACATTAAAAAATTAATATCTCGAGAATCGATTTATATTTTGACTCCATTTTTTTTCCATATTGAATGATAAATTGTGTTCTCCAAATACAGTGCAAAATTTTCATGATTTAATGGACTTCAATTTTTAGTCTAACATGTACCATAGTTCATTACATCAAACATATGAACTTCACTTGCTTACTTTGCATGCACAAAGTGATTTTAATTAAACCTTCCTCTTTGCTCCGAAACTAAGAACCTTACATGTAGATTGTTGTCTGAGTAATATTGCACGGGAGCATGCAATACACACTAACCTTCTTGTCTCTCGACTAATTAAACCGCAATAATCTGTGATTGCTTTGTCCTCCAGACAACAACAACAACAACTTGTTTCATACACTATTTATGAAACCAGATCAAGTGTCTTTACTCTGGCTAGGGTTTCATTAAATCTGCGTATTGAAATAAAGGCTGCTCAGTGAAGTGCATGTGCATAATACAAAGAGGAGGATATTTACTCTTGGGTGACTGTTTACTGTGAAAGTACAATAGATTTTGGCTGTGCACCAGTAGATAGTAACAATGTAGTGAGTCAGTAATGAATGAATGAGAGATCAGAGAGAGAATGACTTCATGCATGTACATGTACATGTACAGTATGTCCAGTGTACACTTGTTCATGTTCAGCATTTTGATGAGTTAATTAATCTGGCAAAGCGAGATTATTAATCTAACTACATGGGGGTGCAGCATTGTTTCATTTTGTAAATATCTACCTGTAGATGTACATTATAGTCTCATTGTTCCTAATTTATTATTTCATTTTAAAATGAATAGGACTGTACCCTGTATTCTCAGATGTACATTGTTGTAACTAGGCAATGGTATGGAAATCTTTATTTTTACATTTAAATACAGAATGTCTCTGTTTTTTAATACTGAGTACAATTGTATATATTTAGCCTAAAATTGTCTCTCTTACAAAATGGATGGTACTATTCATACATGCATAGACTTAAAATTTACTTGGGTTTCTTTGTAAATTACAAAAATAAAGATACATTTCAATCAATTATTATATTAGGTGTTCACACAACTTTTGCTTTCATCCATAAAGTTGTACATTTACAAGATATCCAGACATCTCTAATGCAAGCTATGCCAACAACACAGGATCAACATTGAACATATGTGCATGTATAATGTATGTCTGTTGAATTTGTATCCACCAGGATACAGTGTACATGTATTTACATCTACAGGTCTAGCATACAGGATACATGTATAGTGTATGTTCTCTTATTTACTACAGTACATGCAAATATATTAACACACTTGTAAAGTCATTAGAAAATATTGGCACCTTATATGTCGTCATTGTCGAGGAAAATCTAATTGAGAAGTACATGTACATGAGCTAGCTGTCACAGGTAACTTGTATCAGTATGTTCCTTCAGATTACTTCTCTCACCAATTTTGTTGATATAAAATATATCTTTACTATTTGATTTCTTATTCTTGACATACATGTATATATAAACAAAGTGTCTCTTACCCTTCTGCTAAATGTGTGAATTCCAAATCGATTGAAGCTGGGTATTGTTGGAGGAATCGATCCACATACCTCTTGAAAAACTGGATGTCTCTCTGTAAGAAAAGCAGAGAAATAGCAATAAATATTTATTTTTTACAGGAAATATAACAATAATATTAATTAGGAGAGGGCTTGACATTAACAAGCGCCTGGGACACATTGGCACCAAAAATCCAAGCCTTGACTTAAAAGAGTTAAATCCAGACCCCTTTTCAAACAAGTTAATGCAGAGTCCCATTGAGTTGTTATTTCTTCAGATTCAGACCATGAACATCTCTGCAAAAGTTTACATTTATACTGCATGGCACATGATCATTTCAGGTATTGCAGTATTTAAGATGCAAACAGAAGGAAGAAAATATAATTAATGTAAAAGAAAAATGCATCATCTTTAAATCATTTCAAAATGTGAGGGGGTAGGGGCCTTGGGGGTCATGCATACATGCAGGAAAGACAACTAAGTATTCCACATAGTCATTGACATATCCTTTCCAATAGAGTCTGTGTGGTTTGGGGAACATTTCAATTTCTTTCGCATTCATTTAATTATGCATGAGAAACATTGCCTATATTGTGATACTGGCTTATCAAACTCGGGACACCTCTCATGAGCTCTACTTTAAATGTTAAAAACATTTGAAATCTCTTACAGTTATAATTTTGGTGTAACAAAATATGGATCTAAAATTGTCAGATGTCAGCAGTGAATAATTCAAGTAGTTTTATTTCAACTGTCTTTGCTGCAGTGTCAAAGAAACCTGGCCCAAAAGTATATAAAGGTCGTCTCAGATGAAGATCTTTAAAAAGTGTGAATCAATACTTCCAGTTCTGCTATTGTAATGTAACCTTAACAGTGAATACAAACAATTTCCTGCCCTATTTTCTTAAAGAACTACACATTTTCTTTGTTTTGTTTTTAAATTTGTTGGGGAATGGATTGGTATTGAGGTTAAAGCAATCTTCTTGAACAAATTTAAGCTGAGAGGAGTTGGTCAAAGAAAAGGTGATTTCCCAAATTTCAAACGCTTTCTTCAATAATTATTACACAAAACAAACAAACTGATACTGATCAAGGCTCCAAGAAGAATTGTGTCAACCTTTTGTCTTTTCATTTTCACTCTTACAAGAAGCCTTCTTTACAGTTAAGCGGTATGGGTAGGGGGATCTTTTTCAAAAATATTTATTGTTATTCATCTCTCCAGGCCCAGTACAGCCAGCAGATTAATCTTAATGTTTCTACAGTTAAAATAAATAAAATATAGAAATGTCTAAATGAATGAATCAATAGCAAGATTATCAAAATGAGTGGATAATTTGAGTGCAATAATTCCTAAACTTGTCGAGCGATAAAGTAAGAGCTACAAAAAACAATTGAGAAGAATTTGGTAAACAGTTGATCGAAAGTCTATGTTTTGTTTTTGTTTTGCTTTTGGGTAACATGGATAAAAACAGTCATTCATTCATTCATCATTGCAACAACATGAACATCAACACTATCATCAACAAAAACAAAATATGTCGATATCATCAATAAAGACCAAAGATTGATAAACCCATGTTCCAGCGCTTCAAAGAGAACCTCACATCACGTCATTCGAAATCATAGCATCACAATAGTGTAGCACAGCTCAGAACGGTCGTGACACACCGGGGGTTGCGCTAGCCCGCTGCCGCTCCGGCGTGGACAAGTATCAGTGCCGCATACATGACACGAATGGGAGTGCGATTGTCGATACCGGTGAACAGGTGAAGGAAAGGAATGCGGAAATGCATATTTCCATGCAGTTTTCTTCCTACCTTTGAGCTATAATGCATCCATAACTCATACATCTGCTCTTGAGAACCCATCCTGTCCACCTTAGATAACTGTCAGCTATCGAAGAGGCCTAAATCTACAATTATTGCAGAATTTAGGTTCGGCAATCGAGGAACAATCCAAACCAAGTCACTGAACAAGTGACATGTTGATTATGTTGTCCACGAAATTAACGAGATTATAATGTCTCGGATTAGACGAGAAACCGCCCCCTTTTCTTGCGATTGTGAAGTACTGCCACAATTATTATTCTAAAAATATATATCATACTTTATATTAACTTTAAAAATACAAAAATAGTTTTAAAGTTATTTATAAACGTATTTGTGCTTTAAAAACTTTTAGTATAGATATTTAAAAAAAAAATCAGTATGAAGTTTTAAACTAGCATTTACAAAGCTAAATTTAGCGGTGAATTTTCTTGTTATTTTGGAAGAATGGGGAGCAGGTGATACAGAGGTCATGAGTGGGGGTACAGACGTCCTTGCAATGGACACAATGTATGATGACCCGGCTTTCCCCTTCTTCTTAATTAGAACATGCCTTCAGGAAATAATAAAATCCATATCAAATGTCTGCTTTCAGAAAAACAAAATGAGGGGTTGAAGACTTGCCTGAAGTATGACAAACTTTTTGTTTTTTTAGTTTGGCAATAGATCTCATCCCCGATCCTCATACAAGACGATGTTGCGAAATTAGTCATCACTCATAAAATCGCTCTTATCTCTGGACAGAGTCGAGAGAGAAGAAGAAATAGGGGGAGGGGAAATAAAAGAGACAATAAATTAAAAAATAAAGTAGTGAGAATAACGGTGGAAGGTGGTGGCCCAGGGGTAAAAGAAAATAAGGAATAGAGTACGATGTAATTAAAAAAAAAAAAAAACATCATTTGGGTAAGCACACCTCCCCTTCACCATTTAAAAAACTATGTCTCATAATATCTTTACGATAAACCCCCTTTCATTGAAACAGCATGCATATTTGGTGAGGAGCCCTCCCTTTCCCCTTTTTAAAAATTATGTCTGCTAAGAATATTTTAATTCCCTTTTCATTGAAATAGCGTGCACTAGTATGCCTCCTCGTTCATGAATTTTATAACCCCTATATTTTTTACCAATATGTAGGACATGGAAGGCCATGTCCCCCTCCCCCCCCCCCTCCTAGCTGGCAGGACAAATAAACTTCTTGAATCTGCTACTATTGTATCTCTGATTATTGCACGTATTAGGACAATTATCCCCTGGACAATCATCCCCCGGAGAAATATCCCAAGGACATCACCCCCAGAAAATTACCCCCAACCATCCCAGAGGACAATCCCCCCCCCCCTGGAAAATTGATTGAGCGTCTAATATATGGAGAAATGGCGCAATAGTATATAACAGGGGTGAAATATGTCAGTTATCATTTGTTCTGTCAATCATTATAATTTCTGTAAATCATTATTATTCCTGTCAACGGTTATTAATTTCAGCAACAACGACAATATACGATGACACCATTATTTACCCTTTTTTCTTCATGCATCTTAATGGTCATGAACTCGAATTTTGAATTTTGTTTTATTTGTAAGTCATTTTCCCATTTTAGACAGATTATGTGTATTCAATGTAAATATTATTCTCTCATAGATGAATTTCTGCACGTGCTTCATCAATGTTAATTCATTTATTATTTTCATGTAATCCCCGTATAATGATTTTTTTTTTGAAGTATATTATGTATTTTTTCATTATTGTTTTTATTATTGTACTCTTTTCTCAATTGAACCACTGACTGCGACGAAAAAATAATAAACCCGTCAATTAAATTCATTTCAATTCAATACCCCACCACACAAGTAACCCTAATTCTAACTCAAAATCCCAATCTGAACACTTACCCTAACCCAGACCTTAACCCTAAACCTGATTAGGATCATCTCCCTAATCCTTACTACGACGAAAACCATAATTCAATTCAATTTTAGATTTATTGTTAAAAAAACATGGCAAAAGTCCAAAAACTAATATTTTCATGTTTACAGTAAAATACTAGAAAACATGAAACATGGTTATAAAATATATTTTGACATATTATAGTAGTTCAATGATATAAACTAAAAAGGAAAATGTGGCTTCATGCATAAAAAAAAATGATATACAATTCTGGAAAATATCGGAAAAAAGTCAGAGCAATGTGAGATACTTTCATTGGCTAAAATTTGTGAAAGAGAGGTCCGATATGGGGAAAGGCCTGTGGCAAATTTCCTGTATGCTTAATTTACTCCTTCTTCATAAATATGTATACATTATATTATTTGAGATATTTGTAGAATATGAAAAAGATTTGCTGAAAAATTGGGGAAAAAATTGCCTTGAATTTGAAATCATATTTTTAGCATAAGCTTTGGGTTCCAAAAGGAGTCAATTGTGCCCCAAATTCTTCCAGTAGCTATATGTGAAAGCCAAATCATGGAAGAGAGTGAGAGATGGAAAAGGAAGAGAAAGAGGGGGGGGGGGGGTGAGAAAGAATAACAAGAAAACAGGGGCGGGGACGTGAAGGGGCGAAATTTCATTTATTATTTATTATTTAACGACACCACAAAAACTGCGCCTTTATCAGTCAGCTAGGGAGTACCAGATCGAAAAATCTTAGCAACAACGCAAACAAGATGGCTGGACGTCGGCTGTAAATTATCAATTTTTTGCTCGAAATCTTTAAAATCTGGGTAAGGAATGCTTATTCATGCATATAATTCGTACATCCAAGTTATTTTACACTTACAGAATAAACTTTGATGATGAAAAATGAGTGAAATAATTGAAAGAGAGCTGTTCTAACTTGGATTATCGCGAGAGCTGAACAAATGCAAAGTTTGATTGAGATTTGAGTGACGATTTGTTTTTGCCAGTGCAGTGAACGAGATGAGTGAACTGAGTGAATGTCAATTGATGTTGTTTCCTGATTTTCTCACAATATCTGATAAGATGTAAAAATAGGGGCAAACTGATGGAAAAAGAAAGGAATAATGGTCATGTAACTGAATTTTCTGTAACATTGGTTGAGAAAATATTGACAAAAATTTGGCTATTTTTGGATGGTGTTTTGATTTTGTTCGGTTGATTGATTGCTAGACCGAATTTTCTGTCTCTTTCGTTCGTTAAGCCTCTTATTTGGGTAGGGTCGGCTCTCTCTTTAGAGACGGAAGCCGACTAGAGTAAAGGAGCCCGTAATCGGCCAGCTCCAGTTTTCGGCCGATTGGTTGGATGCAAGGTAAAATCACTCTAAAATACATCGCATAATAGCATAACACATATCCCACACTAGACCGAAAGCTTCAGTCTCTATAATCGTCGGTTGTTCCACTGAGACTACGTCTGGCTCCACTAGACCTCCGGTTATAGAGACAGAACGATCGCCTATGTCAGCCTGTGTTGAACTTATTCCGCTAGATTTTAGCCGCTAGGCCCCTCCCACAAACTTGCCACGGCCGTATTGTTATGCCCCCAAAATCCCCCAAAATGTCAATTTACCTCGTTCATTTCCAATTTTAAATTAGGCCTAGGCTATAATACATCGGTTCCACTTACTAACTGGATTGATATAATCCGTTTAATGGTCCCTTTTAAGGAAATTATCGGTCAAAATCGACATCCATGTTGAAAATCTTGCAAGCCGTGTTAAACTCTCGCTGCCGTCAATCTCATCCCTTCTAGTCTACGCCGAAGGCAAAATGATTATGAAGGAAAAACTGTGCGCCATCTACACGTTCGTAATGGCGTTATCACAGTTTTTCCTTCATAATCATTTTGCCTTCGGCGTAGACTAAAAGGGATGAGATTGACGGCAGCGAGAGTTTAACACGGCTTGCAAGATTTTCAACATGGATGTCGATTTTGACCGATAAATTTCCTTAAAAGGGACCATTAAACGGATTATATCAATCCAGTTAGTAAGTGGAACCGATGTATTATAGCCTAGGCCTAATTTAAAATTGGAAATGAACGAGGTAAAATGACATTTTGGGGGATTTGGGGGGCATAACAATACGGCCGTGGCAAGTTTGTGGGAGGGGCCTAGCGGCTAAAATCTAGCGGAATAAGTTCAACACAGGCTGACATAGGCGATCGTTCTGTCTCTATAACCGGAGGTCTAGTGGAGCCAGACGTAGTCTCAGTGGAACAACCGACGATTATAGAGACTGAAGCTTTCGGTCTAATCCCACACATACCATACCATGCCAGTGTCACTGAAGAACCACATTTGCAATGGAAAATATATCCTAAAATATCACATTTTAGCGATGTAATCGCCGGTCCCGCTACCCAAATCTGAAAAATCGAGTATCTTACGCGTGTCTGTAAGAAATATGGGTACCATAAAATGACTTTATTTCAAGTATTTTTCAGATTTAAAGCCCGATTTTGTGCTAGTCGCAAGCTCAAAAGTATCTCATCGCATGTATTAAATCAATGCAGCCGCACACCGCGACGCACACACGATATCTCTGTCTAATTCAGATTCCAACTTCCGATCACCGCTGTGCCTGTCTTCGGCCAGGCGAGCACCAGGGAGCTCCGGCGTGGGATACCTGCTCCGCCCGCTTGTGCTGTACATCAGCGCGGAAACGCACGGCGCGCGCGAGCGCTTCCTATTGACTTTGTACATGCGGCCGTAAACCGAAACGCTCGGCCGATAACGGGCTCCAAAACAGTGAAAATTGAAATGAATATTGTCATGGCAATTCGTGATTTTTTTCTGGGATTCTTTTTTTGTTTAAATAATAATAATATTTGCTTCATGATTTGAACAAGAAATGATAATAAATAGGAAGTAAAGAGTCCTAAAAATAGGATTTTGTCTTAAGTGGCCGAAAACGGGCTCCTTTACTCTATATGCATTCCCTTGCTAACACCATGGCCATTTATGGCCATATTTTTATGCCCCGAAAATCCCCCCAAATGTCATTTTACGAACGAAAGAGACGGAAAATTCGGTCTAATTGATTGCCTGCTAGCTGTGACCAGGCAGTAGGGGCGCTGGTCCGAGAATAAGGATCATCCGCGTAAACAAGGATCGTATTTGTAAACGCGAAAGTATGTGTCCGCAAAAGTAGCAAAAAGTAAGGATCATATGTTTTTTCGCAGACGTTTTATATTTCCGATTCGTGCGTTTGCGCTGCGAAAAACGGGTTTCTGCAATGATTTCCTCGATGCATTTTACATCGAGATTGTACAGAAACTTTCACGTTATGAGCGATAAATCCTGGAGAAGATGGACAACCTATAAAAGTAGCGGTAAAGTGGGCTTATTTTCTCATGCAGAATCTATATTTCACATCGCCAGCTTGCGGTTCTGGAACCCGAAACTTGCAGAGCTCCTATGAAAAAAACGTCTGCGAAAATGCGGACAATCCTTATTTTTTAGGATGCAATTTGTCCACGTATACGAGGATATTCTCGGTTATGCGGTCGATTCTCATTCTCGGACCAGCACCCCTACTGGTGACTCTTGTGAATGTGATTGTATGAGCATGATGAGTATGACTATGAAGAGTGAGTGCAACTGTATTATGACATGGTTCAAGAATTTCTGTTGTTGATTATTGTTATTAATACATTCATCTAAGAGAGAATTAGAGTCAACTTTAGAGCCCTGGATTAATTAATACACTGCCATGAAATTAGACTGCCAAGACATATTGACGTATTAAATCTAAGGCTCATGTACAACAGTATTTTCAATGGTTTGCAAATTGTGCGGTTAGTTTTCTGGATCTTATGCGCTGGCTTTTACACGCTGTACAAATAGTGGTCGTGGCTGTACGAATCATAATACTTAAGGTAGTTAGGTAGGTGTTGCAAAAAAATTTTTTTGCCCCAAATAAAATATGCATATACATGCAGATTCTACTTTAGATCTACAGTGTATTTCACTTTCAATGTACAAATATTTTAAGTGACAATATAGTGATAATACATGCAGAAAATTAGGGAAAAAATTACTTTAAACAATTCGGGGGCAACGTTGATTTATATTTCATTAAAAAAAAGTAAATTAGTTCTATGTTGACATTGCTTTTATATTTTGTTCTTCTAATGATGACTGTGATCATGGTTGAACAATGACCTAGCTCAAAAGTTTCACTGCTTAACTAAAAAACATGAGTAGGCTTTCAATTGCACTAAGTTTTCCTCCTAAAATTTACTTGTAAAAGTTTGTTCATACTTGTAAGTTGTAGTCATTCTGTAATAGACAATTTTTTTAATATTAAGTAAAATGTCCTGTATTTGAAAGCTACATGTATATCGCCCAATAATAATGGATGTACTGATTAGAGTACACCTCGACATCATGCAAATTACTGTTGTTGTTGTCATTTGGTTTAAGATGGCAGTTTTCAATCTCCCCTAGATTACTTGCCACTCTTCAAAGGCTGTTAATATTGGTTACTGATGGAGATAGAGGAAGTTGAAGGGAACAAAGGTTTTCTTCTTTTTACTCCTTAATCAGTACCCAGAAGATCCTCATGTAATGTTTAAAAAATGTCTACAAAAGTCATGTTGATTAAACTTACAATGATCAATACTAGCAGTCACTCACTTTGAAAGTTCCTCTGTCATCATTGAGTAATAAACATCATAATGTTTCAGACAAATCTGACAAGTTTTGTAAAATAATTGATGTGGCCTGTAGTGCAACATTTTGTTTTTCTTTCTTACCTCAGGAGTGCTATTATAAGTCCCTGACAAGAGAACACCCCCATCATGCCAGTGGCGGTGCCCAGGAGAGCCTCTTCTAATGTTCACCACAAGACAAACCATTTTGGGATAGAGGTGGTCAAAGGGTTGACGTGGAAGGGATGGGAACCAGGTGGGGAATACACCAAGCATGTCATCTTGAAGAATGTGCAGGTCAAGACGCAGAAGCTGAAATTCAGGTAAGGGGAGACACATGTGGGAATGAGGAACATTTTGTGAGTTTTTATGAATATGTCATTTTCAGTCGGATGTTTGACTTTGTGATTTTGTGACGTCTTTACCTGCTTATCTTGACAGATTAAAAAAGCTTGCATCAAATTCCTTAATTGGTTGATAAGTTTGTATTTATCATTTGTCCTTTTCCCTGTAAAAGCTATATTTCTATATTATTACTTAACCTAATATTTTAATCCAGATTCAACTCATTGTTTTTTTTCCTTCAACTCTTTTTAATCCTTGTATATGCTAATTAAAGAATGATCTTGCCTTGTTGATTTGATAAATTGAGTACCTTATCATATGAATATATGTGATATTTTTGAAATGTGAAATAAATTTCATATACAATTACTTTATATTTCCATATTTCTTTCTCCTTTTTAGCTCTCCAAACACAAGATTCTTTTCCACCCTCTACCCTGAGCCCATTGTGCTGAGTGCAGGGACCAGCTATAGTCTACCCGTTACATTCAGACCCCTGGAGAAGAACATCTATGTGGACAAGATTGAGTTCCAAGCACAGGTGAGCCAAAATACATCATTTTAAGTTCCAATACCATGATGAAAGTATCGGTTGTGCTTTACATTGTCACAATGTTTTTTTTTTATTGTTTCATTTGTACGTCAATCTTTCACAAGATGATATTTAAAGGGTCAATATAGATCTAACATTTTCATCTTTGTTTCCTTTGTGTTTTTTTTTTTACCTTTTAAGAGTCATTTACATGTATGTGAAACTTAAATATAAGCCCCCATACTTTTTGTTTTGTTTCTCTAAGATACCATGATTGTTATTATTTTCCCCTTTTTTTTGGGGGGGGGGGGGGAGGGGTAGGGGATATTATATGGGTGTATTGGAATGATATGTGTCTTATGTCAGTGGATTATGTACATGGAAACATGTTTTTAATTTAAAGTATGGCATCATAAGAAAGATTTAATTTTACCAGATAACATGGATCCTGTACTATATATATTTTTTCAGGATGGAGTATTTCAGGTACCTATGCAAGCTGTGCTTCCGAAGCATGAACTCTCTCTTCCCAGCCAACTTAACTTTGGCATGTGCGCCACAAAGGACTTTACCAAACTCACATTTGAGCTCTCAAACACAAGGTATAGTAGTCAAGATAATGAGGGTTAGACACATTATAGTTGGGAATGAGTGGATAACATTTTATTCACTGTAGATTTTACTGATAGTGAGGATAGAATCCAAATTCATATTGATGAAAGCAGATAAATCATATAGAAAAGTTACAGTATATCCTAGTTTTTACACCATGATTATATTGTCAGTACCATATGTCTGTGAAGTTATTGAGATCAACTCTCCATTTACATCAATCTGTTTAAACTCTACTCTTCTTTATTATTTTCATGCGAGAAGAAACATGAAATTAATTTCTTTTAAGTCTCAAGTTGATGACACTCCTTTTAATAACCTCATAGTTTGGAAGCAGTCAGTGAATTTTATAATTATTTATTTTAAATTTGCCTATCACATTCCTTTCTTTTTCACCGTACAGTGAGCTAGTAACAAAGTTTGCTTGGTCTGTGAGCTTACCTTTCGTGTTGGAGCCATCGACAGGCACTCTGGATCCCAAGTCAAAATGCACCATCACTGCGACCTTCAAACCCACCTCTGCTGTCGTCTATGAGACGGTGGCTGAAGTTCATTATGGATCGGATTCCCTGACTTGTAAGAAGATGCTCAAATTGGAAGGAATAGGTGAGTGTTCATCATCAAAGGAATCTTAATCATGGTATTTTCATGTGAGATGGGAGGAAATAGATATGTGTAAATTTTTGTTGCGTCACGGTTTAATAGGGTTGGTTTTAAAGTGCATATGGTATTCAATTTAAAATCAGAAGTTTATATCATACATTCCTTTTCATTAAAATATTCACTATGACATACAAGTATTTGTTGACACCTCATGCTTAAAGCTTACAAGTATGAGCAACGTCGATCTGGCGCTGCTCAGTGGCTGCCGGGCTCACGATCACGATTGGGCAAAAAGAATTTCCGTGTCGGTTAATAAAATTTGGAGTGGACTATTCGGCTATTATTATTATTATTATTATTATTATTATTACCTGCTTTACACTATGAGATCAATGTATAGTGAAACAAAAACATAAGCCTTCAATTCTATTAACTTATTTATAATAATTAGTTTCATCTGTTCATGAGTGCTTTTCACGTTTTTGTCAAGTAATACAAACATATACAAAATGCAAATCAATCATTGGGATCCTTTTTTCCCTTCACCTTTTATGAGGTGTCGAATGAAAGGTCTTTTAGGTTCATATGATACCACCTTCAAAAGTGATATGATATGATAGGCAGTAATCATTATTAGTCATAGCCAAAATTATGCACCATTTCTAACTATGTGTCAATCTATCCTTCAGGCAAGCTGCCTCACCTACTTGTCGCCCAGGCTGGTAGGCATCCCAGAGCCATGGAGAACCTCAACATTGAGAGCGTGGTGTCCTTTGGTGATGTAGCTATTGGATCAACAGCAGAGAAGTGGATCGAGCTTCATAACCTTGCTCCGGTAAGAAAATAATCTCTTGTGGTAGGAAAATTATTTATTTTTAGGGGGATTTTTTTTTTCCTCTTTGTTGTGAAGATTAATTGCATTTGTTGCTGTTCTATAGAGAGAAAGGATAATTACTGGGAGTTTTTTTTAATTAAACCAAATTTATTTTTTATATCAGAGATCTAGAAACAGATATCATGATATGAAATCAGGTATTTTGCTTTTAGTGTTAATATTTTGATGAAATTACCCAGATATTATATACATTTATTATCATCAGTAATTACCAACTGAAACAGTTTTAGTTTTAAAATTTACTTTTTGTGTATTAAATCTTGTTGACTACTGCAGTTGATGACATGCCATATAACAGAATGACAAGTAAGAGATACAAACTTATAGTTATAGGATGCTAGAGTGTGTTAAATTCTGTATTTCATGTAATTGGTGTAAAGTTGAAATTCAATGAATTCATGATAAATAATCTGTTACAGATATATACTTGACTTTAACCTTCTATATATCTTTTCTCCTCTACAGGTAAATTCTCCTTTCAAAGTAGACCACCCCACAGCAAGTACAAGAATTGACACAGTATTCTCTTGTCACCAAAAATCAGGAACCGTCCCTCCAGAAAGTATCAGCAGGATACCGGTAAGTTCACCCCTACTTCCTGAAATAGAACCTGCCAAAGAATACATTGTTCCAATAGTTTTTATATGGAATGAAGAATAATACCCCATTCACAGTGGCCTCAAACACCGCGACAGCAGCGGGACTGTCCCGCTGCTGTCGCGGTGTTGTCTTCAGTGTGAAGGCTCGGACCCGTTATAAACTATCGCGGGATAACACCGCCTCGCGATAACGCCGCGACAAACTATCGCTAGGTTCGCCTAGCTACAGCAGCGGGACAGTCCCGCTGCTGTCGCGGTGTTTACTCAATGTGAAGGCTCTCCGCTATAACACCGCGACAAACACGTGTGATTTGTTTACTTACCTATCACTGACCTTTTTTCTCCAGCAATGGGGAACATAAAGTGAAATAGAAATAAAGTAACCAGTGGATTTAAATTGATTTTATTATTATGTAGATATTATAATTATCCAAATAAAAATATTTCACACTTCAAAAAATTAAAATATTTTGACTGGAAGCAATAAAAATGCTAGTTTTTTAAAAAGTAATATGATCGAGGATACAAAAAGCAACTTGACACGTTTACCTTTTGCAAGCTTGCCTCATCGTTTTTCCGTGCCGTGCGTGTTTGTTACGGAGGTAATAAAAATCACCCGCTGCAGCGTGAATGGGTACATGATATTTATCCCGCTGCTGCAGCGGGATAACTTTTCTACTGTGAATGCATTTGTAGCGGTGTTATGGCAGTGTCGCCGCTCCGCTACAACGCCGCTACAAATTTCAAAACCACTGTGAATGGGGTATTAGTGGAATAGGTGTTCATCTCAGCTCTGAGAAACTAATTGCAAATGATGACATTCGACTCACTGATGAAAAGCTGACTCAAGTTTTTCATTTTCCTTTTTTCACTTAAATATCTTTATAATTCATGTGTCATTAACTTATAAATGATAAAAATACTACAATGATACTTTTCCTTTTCATTCTTATCTTGAAAGTAGAATTTTTCTAACTTTACAAATGTTTTGTTTTGCCATTTACTTTTTGAATAATGAAAAAAGAAACACCCAAACCCTAACTTTGAGAAAACTTTATCATAAACCTATATGTGTGATTAAACATTTTTAAAGGAATTTTACCATTGTGTCTTATTTTGTGATTGGTCCACAGGTAAGCTTTACTCCAAACACAGTAAATGAGGAGAGTGTGGACTACCTTCACATTCAAGCTATAGGCAAAGTCAGCAAAACCATTGTCAAACTCCATGGCAGATGTAAAGGTAAGATTTCTTTTCTCGAGCATATTTTGCAATATCAAGGTAGATATAGAGCCTATTATAGAGAAGCATATGTCTTACTTTATGTATGCCTTATCCTTACATTTATTGTACCAATTAGAAAGCCAAGTTGTGCTGGTATTTTCAATTTAAAAAAAAATAGATTTCATAGTGCTTCATTGAGAATGGGTTTGATTTGTCAAAATCAATAATTTTGTGATTAATTAGAGACAACTGTAGTGTACTTTTCAACATAAAATAACCAAAGATAAATCTTACAAATAACATTCAGCACGGCCTTCTTCTGTGTGACCCAATTTCTTGGATATATTAACCATTTGTGTCTGCTTGGAGATTTTTATCATTTTTTGTGTGTACATCTACTTAGTCTAATATTGTTGAGCAATTATCATCAAAAAACAGTATGTAATTGAAATATTGTAATTAATGTGTGTCTTCTGATTAATTTTCAGGCCCTGTGGTAACACTGGGTTCAGAGGTGCTGAATTTTGGCCTTCTCAATTTGGGTGACTCAGCCACCAGGACTCTTGATATTGTCAACCAGTCTGACGTAGCAGCATACTATCAGGTAGGTATTTTCCTAATCCCCTTGTGATAAGTAGTTATTGCAATTTCATCTAGGATGTAAATTGAAATTGACATATTATGTATCACAAGCTACTTTTCAAATCCCTATTCAATCAGCAATGATTAGAATAATATCATCTAGAACAAAGATATTAATGAAAAGAGTGAGGTAGTGAGAGAGAATAGTGAAAGAGAGAGAGAGAGAGAGAGATAGAGAAAAGAGGGAGAGAGAGGGGGGGGGGGGAGGGAGAAAGAGAATGCAAAGGTGGGAGCAAGATGGTTGGAAAGCTTCATTTATTACAAGTAATACAAGAAATATTTAATACTTTGTGTGAAGTTAACCAAGTTCTGTATCTTTTATTTGAGTGTGGATGCTATACCGTATAATCTCTATTCAAACAAAAAATAAAAAAGTTATATTCATCCCAACCAGTCTTTGTTAGGGATTATCATAGCTGCCAACCATATCTATTTTGGAGCAACATTTCCTATTTTCTGGCCTTCAAGCTATTGTTTTGAACCCTAGATTTCTGTCTTTTTCTGAAATATTTGATGTGAAAAGTATATATAATATATATAATATATATTCCTAATTTTTGCTGTGAAAGGTTGACAGGTGGATTATGCTTAGTGCTTAGTCTGACTCTTTATTCTATTTTACTTACAGTTCATGATAAACGGTCAGCAGAGTGTCTTTGAGATGAGTGTCCAGTGTGGTAAGGTGAAACCGCACACCACTCAAACCCTTATCGTCACATTCACACCGTCCCATCCAATCTATATGTTTCATGCTTAGTCTAACACTTTATTCTATTTTACTTACAGTTCATGATAGACGGTCAGCAGAGTGTCTTTGAGATGAGTGTCCAGTGTGGTAAGGTGGAGCCTCACACCACTCAAACCCTCATCGTCACATTCACACCGTCCCACCCAATCAACCATTATAGGAGAGTCACATGCCTTGTACAGAATCAGGTAAGTTTATGTAATGCTGATTGGTTTGCATGGGAACTGGGAATAGCTTTAAGCCTGTCTGCACTACTTGTATCTACTTGCGCCTTCTAGATAGCGTGGAATGCCTAAGCGGAACCCGTTGGTCCCCCAAAATCCCCTTTTTCTTATGTTAATTGAGAGCTGATTTGATGAGATAACCACCTGCCAGTGACCATGCAGGGAGGTCTAATCCCTCCTGGCCAAACTAGTGCAGACAGGCTTTAAAAGAAGCCAGAAGAAATATCTTGAAATTGTTGTGTTTTATATGTGTCAATCAAATATAATGTTTTTCATAATGTGAAGTTATGATCATCTATGGATATTTTTGTTTTAGAGATGGGTTTCAGGAACAGCTGAACAGTTGACGAGCATGAATATAAACTAATGATAAAGATGAGCAATGACGAAATCAAAGACATTTAAATTTTTTGCATCATGAGTCAAGAGTTGAAACCCCTCGACTAAAACACATCTCGAAATTCATGTTTTGACTGTTGAGTGCTGTACAAAGATGTTAGCACCACCACATGGAGTTGTTGACAATTGTTGATGATTTTCCTACATATTTCTTCATCACAGGACCCATTGTTCATAGACATGATCGGAACATGCCACACAGAGCTGTGTAAGCCAGCTGTTCTTCAACCCATCCATCTAACCAGATACCGGCAGCATGTAGCTGGTGGCTTTTCTGTCTTTCCTCCTGAGGTAAAAATACAATGAATTTATTTTTATTTTCTATTTATTTAGGTTTTATTTCCACATTAACTGCATATAAAAATAACTTACAAAGTAACGCATATACAAGGTAACAACACATATCAATATATTTGATAGAGGTGTCGTGGTCGAGTGGTCGAGTGGATAAGTCACCGGACTGTGGATCACAAGGTCCGCGGTTCAAGTCCCGCCGCGGCACTAATGTCCTTTGGCAAGACATTGATCTACATTTGCCACTCTCCACCCAGGTGTTAAAATGGGTACCCGGTAGGATGCGAAAGCTAATGTGGTTTGATTAGCAAGTGGCGCTTGTAAAATGGCGACTGGCTGGAATGCTCCCCAGGGAGTGGAGAATGTGCATACCTTGTGTGCGGGCAAGCCTGAATCCGATGACCGGGGAAATAATAATATGTTGTAAAGCGCTGTGATACACATGTATGTCTGTAAGAGCGCTATATAAATGCCAATATTATTATTATTATAGATAGGTGGTATTGAAGCAATAAAAATGATTTTATGCAAGTCATTAAATACAAAGGATGCTAATTTAATCTACAGTAATGAGGAGAAAACCTTAGAAGCATTATGCTTGTGAATATAAGGTTCCCTAATATATGAGATCATGTAAAGATGTTTCTGATTGTAACAAGAATATTGATATATAATAATTGTGGTTTGTTTAAATTGTGGGTAAGTCCAAGGTATTTAGTCATTTTCAGTCCATATGGCTCACGTTACGAAGAATGTTAAATAATACACAAAAATAAGGAATGGATGTCACTTTCCTAAGTATTCGGTCTGGTCCAAGCTGTAGAAGAGCTTTCAACTTGATGTATTCATAAAGTCTACTAAAACTTTGAGGTAGTCATTAATGTCTGGATTGGCCCTTGTACACAGATGTAAGATAGAGGAAAGATTCAGGGCAAGAAAAAGGAAGAAGCAACTGACGACTTACATAGGGAGAGAGGATATAGAAGAAAAGTGACAAGATATTGTGAAAAATTGTCTGTACTCATTTGAAAAATTCATTCTGTAATAAAATGATATGCTTTTATTGTATCTTTCATCTGATTTACTTAATCTTTTGTTTCTAGCACTTGAATGAGATGGTGAAGGATGGGAAGCTTAAATTGGATTCTAACAATTGCCTGACACATCCTTCGGCTGAAGCTGTGGAAGATCTCGTACAAAGCCCTACACCACTCCCTGCCATGAAGGAATATTTTGATGATGGTAGACATGGGGAATATACAGTAAGTTTTGGACAACCATACTATTGATTAACTCCTATTGTGCCACCAGGTTTTCAATGATTTAACATAAGTAAATTTTAAGAGTAAAATTTTTAGGAAAGCATTTTCAAGATAGAGAATCTAGATTTACTTAGTCCTAGTGTATAGTGCACAATCGTTATTCTTTTTTAGATATTCCATCCACGGTGTGGAAGGCGTTATTTCTAAATCTTTAAATGCCAAATTATACTTACAAGTACCATTCTGTTCCAGCTCTTTTTAAGCTGACTATGAAAATTCATGTGCTTGCTTAAAGTTGTTGATTCAAGTTCTAACAAAGATATACATTTAGGTAAATTTTGATTTATGAACCCTTATAGCACGAGCCCATCAGTAGCTAATCTCTATATGAACATAGTAATGTTTCATAAAATCATTTCTGGTATACACAAATACCTAGAGCTACAGGTTTACTCCAATCTAACCTCAAACTCTCTGCCACGTCTCTCTCCAGCAACCGGTACATGTGACCATCGATACCACCCACGTTGACTTTGGGAACGTGCAAGACCTCCGCCGCCCCCTCCAGAAGACCCTCAACATCACCAACCACACCAAGGGCAAGATCACCATCACCTGGATGGGGGATGAGAACCACATCTATTCCATCTCCCCCGTATCAGCCGACATCCCACCTCTCAAGATGACCTCCTTCAGGGTGAACTTCAAACCAGTAAGTGGAGTTCTCCTAGGTAAAGAGGGAGAAATAGAAAACTAAATAGATGATTGGTTCTACAAAATTGTAGAACAGCAGTGAAGCTCTTTTTGTTTTGCACTCATCAGGGTAAATTTCAAGATTGAACAGAAAGCCAATATATTTAAAGGAACAAAGCTTGCAAAAAATAAAGGGCCCTAATTGGTTGCCAGAAATAGATCCATAAATAGATTGTCTGATGGATACTATCAAAGTTACGTTCCAGTACATCATTTCAGTCTCAGAACTTTCATAATTGTGTTCATAATCCTGTTTTTTATCTGTTCTTTTTTCTACGTTCTCTCATTTCCAGAATGCTCCCAACCAATTCTTTGGCACAGAACTTGAAGGTTATGCATGTTACAAGGTAAGAAATAGTAAGATATCATCACATGAGACACTGTGGAATCTTTAAACATAAACAGTGCATGGAGATAATTAATTGTTTATTATACGCTCTCTAAGTATTGTTTTATTTTTATTTATTTAATTCAAATTTAGTTTCATTGAGTTGAAGGTTTTACTGAGATAGATTCTAAATATTCTAGATTGTGATCTCATTTTAGTTTTTTTTAAAGGCCATTTGTACTAGTTTGGCTAGGAGGGATTAGACCACCCAGGAAAGTCACTGACAGGTGGCTATCTCATCAACTCGGCTCTCAATTATCATAAGAAAAAGAGGATCATGGGGAACCAATGGTCACCGATTAGGCATTGTTTTCTATATAGAGGGAGCAAGTAGCTACAGTAGTACAGTGGGCCTTTAAAGAATTCCTTTTTGTTTCTTCGATTCTCTATACACTTGTTCTTGTTCCTTCTCACAGAGCATGAGAGACTATCGGTTGGTCCAGGATGAGACCTTCTCTCCACCATGGTGTCTGACCGTTGCTGCGGTGGGACAGACATTCCAACCAAACAACGAGACTTTCCTGCCCCGCTACACACTGGATACCAAGAAACTGGTAAGTCATAGAAGTCTTTACTTATTGGGTTCACTGGGAATATTTGTGTAGGAGGGTAAGAAAACAATAATCTATATATACATATTTTTTTTTAAATCAAAATCAAAATCAAAATCAAATATGTAATGCTAAGCAGCAAGGGAACATCCACTTATCCAAAACGCTTTGTAATGAAAAATTGATGACTTATCCAAGCCACTATTGCACAGACTAAGATTTGAACCCATGTTTTCCCAGTCCAAGTTTGTCGCAATATCCACCGAACTACAAGAATCTCCTAACATAAATATATATTCAAAGTATTGTACCGTGTTTACTAAATTGATTACATGATACAAACATATATTCAAAGTACCAAATTATACCTTGTTTACTAAATTGATTACATTCAAACATGATGATATGTAAATATTATTGTTATCATTAGGTGTTTCCTGCTGTTGATGTTGGGGATTCCATCTACAAGACCATGTTGCTTAGTAACGCAGGGACCACGCCCATCCATTACACCATCCCAGATGACCCATCAGGGTAAGTAATTCTCTATAGAAACTTTCAGAGTCAGGATCTCTTCTGATTGATGATAGTCATAAGCATACTCATTTGTGTTTTTGTTACCCTTGATAGGCCATTCAGTTAGCAAAGTTTTATTTGCTGGTAGAAATACCTTTAACTGATTACACTGGGAAGGTCAAAAAGTGAAATGTGTTAAGTAAACAAATTTGGCATATTTAATTTGATACATCTGACGACTCATATTGGAGTTGCCAATTGCAAATCCCTTATTCACAAGAGGTGTGATCTAATTCATTTTTAGAAATTTAGATGATTTGATAAAGGTTTTGTTGTAAACATCTTGTATGATTTGAATACAACATTATTGTTTACGGGATCAAGTAGCATCCAACCTTCATTTATGGTAACAGAGATCCACACAGTTATTCCTTCATTGTCAGTAACAGTGTTGCAGTATTCTATAAGCAATGTTGGGGCCAACATGGTAGAAAAGTAAATCATGCTCATTTTCTCTTCACAACAGAACCTTTAAGGTCAAGCCGTCCTCCGGCTTGCTCCGAGACAAGCACCAGCTCTTTGTCTTCAAGGTCATACCAAAGGTCAAAGACAAGACCCTCAGACATCAGTTCAGCTGCAGGCTCAACGACTCAGACAAACACATCCAGACCATGGATTGTCTAGGGTCATCGGAACAACCCAGGGTACTGCTTGACACAGAGGTATGTACATTCATCTCATCAGTGAAATAATGATGTACAGATAAATATACTGTCTGCAGAGCTAGAAGGGCAATACATCTATGTAAATTTATATGAGTGAGCATCATTCTGGCCCACTTCAAATGATATACATAATGCTATAGATGATGGGAAAGCTCTAGAGAGCAAGTATAATAAAGACTGTATTCTCTGCTGATACCTACAACCAGTAACTTTCCAGAATGTTGTTCTTTAAATCCCTCTGATGATCTACCGTATCTAAATAGCTTGCTGTAACTGGAATTTGGATTTAACCCCATTTATTTTAGGGAAACTCTTTATTGGGAGTTGGTCAACTTTCACCAAATGACGAGTGTAAATCATTACTTTCTTATATATTTCTAGGGGAGTGGTGCTATTATCTACAAGTAGGTATTTTGAGAATAAAGTAAATAATAAAATAAATAAATAAAAAACGTTACTTGTAAAGCGCTTACCACCGAAGTCTCTAAGCGCTATAAAGTGACCACTCGGAAATTGCAGTCACATTTCATCAAAATTGGGAAGTTTCTACCCAATAACCGTTTACTTCATGAAATAGAAGTAAATTAGTGATTATTAGAAATTGATCTTATCAGCATTTTCCATTAGTACATTAGTAGATGACATGATATTCACTGCTTTGTGCTTTATTTTGCAGGGTGTCTTGTACTTCAAGAGTACATGCATTGGTACCTCCTCTCAGAGGAGTTACAAGGTCAAGAACACATCTCGGATTGCTCTCAAATACCAATGGAAGGTACCTCACCACCAGAAGGATCTACTCTCTGTCTACCCAATCACTGGTATTATACTGCCGAATGAAACACAGGTACAGCTACAAATTGTTAAATTGTTAACCCATTGTCCATAGGGACAAGGTGGTTCTGAATTAACCGTAGGGGGATGATAAAATAAGATGAAGTGCTTAAATGTTTGTTTTTATCTCTAACTAGCCAATGTTGGGTATCATATTACTTACAAGTTTTTGTTCAAGATGAATATTTTACTCTTTTCTCTGTTTTTTGTTATATTTATTTCATATCATGTATTTCATCAAATTGGATATGTGTATCATTGTTCTTTAAAAATGAAATTATTTGCAAGCAATATATGGAATTTTTCTGTACACACAGCATCTTTTTATATTATGTAAACTAGAATTTTTGTTCTTGAAAGAGTGCAGTTTCAAATTCATTTCTCTTTGAAAATGATAATATCCTCTGCACAGGAGTGTGCTGTATAGATTTTAGTCTTGCATATCTTCTGTTGTGTAAACACTTTGAATGACTTTGTATATCAGAGGAAGAATGTACCGTAGTTGTTTTTATGAAGGCTAGACGTGCCTATATTTACTGTTGTTTCATCCATGTTTTTCCTTCAGTCCCATGTATGGACTTTCACGCCCAGCGAGGAAGTCAAGTACGTGGTCAAGCCGTCCATGTATGTTGAAGACATCAATCACATTGGGTAAGTAAGGCAAATGAATCATGTGAATCTTAATTTTAAATTGGCAGCCTGCATGTACAACAGCTAGAAATTGGTGAAAGCTTGAACTTTTTAAAAGACTAATTATATGGTATAAATTCTTAAACCTGTTTCAAAATAATGATTTTTAATTAATTTGATTTGTGATTTGTTTTGTATTTCAATCAGATCTCCTCATCACTCCCAAGACTGAATATACATTTGTTAATGTACCATTGTTTGTGTAGCAAAGAAATCATTGCATTCATTCATATTTTAGCCTGCTTCTTCCGTATCTCTATGGTCATGTATCCTCATTTTCAATGTTATTGTAAAATCCACATGTTTCATTTTGTCTGCATTTATGCAGGGATCTGACAAGAAGGAAAGCCTTCTTGCTCAGAGTTCTTGGTGAGGGATCTATTGGAAGAATCAAGGTAAGATACAGAAATGATTAACAGTCAGTTTGACAAATATTAATGTTGTCCACATATGGAAGGAGTAAATCCTTATTAATTTTGTGATGACCTTTTGTGCATATAATATCGGGTATTTTGATTGATAATGTACAGGGAAAGGCCCCCCCCCCCCTCATAAAAAAATAAAAATAATAATAGATATCTATGAATTATAGTAATAATAATAATCATCAAAAAGAAACAAAATACAAAAACATTTAAGGACATTGCAGTCATATATGGATCAGTGTTTCATTTGATAATGAAATCTCTCTTAGCTGATTAAGGAAATTCCTACCATCATAAAGGCTAGTATTATTTAGAAGATAAGGTTACAGATAACCATGTACATTGTTAAACAACTTTCAGAATGTCTATTTCATGCTGTTAAAGTTCTCTAGTTTCTTTAGTAAAATGACAAGTTAAGATATTATTGGTTACTACTTTCTATTATTTTTGTTGTTTAGTGTGAAGAACCTGTGGTAGACTTGTCTGACGTGGTAGTGAACACCGCAGTGAGCAGAGACATCGTCCTGCATAATAACAGCAACTGCAGCCTCCACTATGAGCTTAGTGTGGAGCAGACCATGCAGGGTAGCTATGCAGAGGAGGCAGCTGAAACAGATGACCTGGGTAGGTATCTCATGGCATTGCATGACGTATGTTCTGACGGCAGTCAATCTGAAGTAAAGTTGTAATGCTAACCAAAGTCCTAACTTCAACCTTGGACCGAACACTGTACCTAATCCTAAACCTGACTCTGAAGTAACACCCTATCATTGACAACAAATAAAACCCACAGCAATTGTCATCAGAGCAAATGTCAAATCAGAACATTTTAAAAATGAAACATTAGATATATAGGGCTTGTCTAGGAAGTACATATATTGGTACTTGAATGATTGATTGAATATGAAATACGAATGAAATATTGCTTATTCAGCAATATATTTATGTGTTTTGCAACATTTTCTTTTTCTTATTTTTGCATTGATGTCTGCTGAGAGCTAGAAAGGCATTCTTGTATAATTTAAAACAGAGATTTTGAGATATGTACAATGTTTGTCCTCTTTTTCCAGCACTGACTTTGGACAGAACAAGGGACGTCCTTCCAGCCCGTTCAAGGCGTGTCATCCGGGCCACCATCCGCCCTGAGAGGCGTCTTGGCTACACCTTCTCCATCGGCTACCGTCTCCTGACCCCATCCATCCCAAATTTGGAGAGGACACAGAAGAAGGATGAAGACACAGAGGGGAAGGAAGATGAGAAGAAGGAAGGAGAGAAGAAGGAAGAAACGTCAAAGAGTGTTTCTGAGACGAGCAAGGAGGAGGGTGTCCTAGTCCCTGTCAGTGACACGATGCACCAGCTTTGTGAGATGACTGCGGTAGGGGTGTACCCAACACTCCAGATCACTGATGCCCGCTGCTATGGCAGTGCCGCTGGGATTAGCAAGGCCAGACTCTGGAGTCTGTTATCCCTGGATAAGTAAGTTACTTAATTTTGGATGATTATAAGCAGAGACTTTGCCATAAAAACAGATTTCATTAAATACCATGTGTTTTATATTTATTCCTTTATTGGCTATCTCTATTCTGTAGCCAATAACCTTTCTGAGTGTTAACAGCATGCTGCACAATTAAAGCTTGATAAATGCAGTATTCTGGGCTAAATTTTAATATTGAGTGCATCCATCAGTTGTATTTTTTTAATGAAACAATAATTCATTCAAAAATATGTGTTCTATTTTCATTTAAAGCCTAAAAAATTTAAAATTGAAGGAGCTAAAAATATCAGATTCTGGCTTGAATGAAACTCATTGTTACATGTGTGTGAATGAATACTTAGAAGGCAGCTAGTCAGTAGGAAAAAATGTGCCAAACTAATATCAATGCTTTCACTTTTCCCCAATTAGTTTGAACTCTTGTCTGGATTCGGACCCCTCACCTGTAGAGCTCATCTTCTCCCGTGTCACAAAGCACAACATGCGGCGTAAGGCTGTGGTGTTAACCCAGGCACTGCTGGACTTCAACTTCAGTGCTTCACCGGTTGGAGCAGAGCCTTGCATCGTTCATCTCATGTTGGAAAACACAGGCACTGTCAGTGCAGACTGGTGAGTTCTCTTCTGCATTTTATATATTTCAAATATTCATTTAGCAGCAATGACAACATCATTGGATTTAGATTGATCTCATATATATTTACTCTCTGTGGAAAAGTCATCATGATACAGTCAAACTTGACTACAGCGACCGCCCAAGGGAAGCACAAACAGTGGTCTTTGTATGCAGGTTCTTTTAGTACATGTTTCCATGAGAAACTTATTTTCAAGGAAAACAAAAAATGTGGTCTTTGTAGACAGGTGGTCACTAAAGCAGGTTTGATTGTATATAGAAACATGTATTTCTATAGTTCAGAATTAAATTGAAGTGGGGAATGGAATCATTAAAACCCAAGTGGTCTGTTGGAAATGATTCCATATTGATATACATCAAATTAACGGCGATTCACCTTGTTTAAATTTTTAAGCATTTGTTTAATATGTTTAGATTGTTGCTGTAGTCTTTAAACTATCAACAACATGCTGTAAAAAAAGATCATTGCAATACATTCTTATGCCAGTTCTTGTCTTGTTCTTAATAACATGTAAGTAACTGACCTTACACATACAAATAATCAAGATTGAGTCTGAAAGTTTTTAGTGTTTAATAATTGTTTTTTTCTTTGTAGGGCTTATCTGTTTCCAACCGATCTCCAGCTGGAGATGGAATATTGGGCTGAGACAGGAGAATTTGATCATGATGAACTTCATGAGGTATGTCACGATTATAAATGCTAGCAATCAAGATATTTGAACTAACCCTTGTCAAAATGGAGGCACATTTAGAACAAGTGCTCTTTTGTTTATCCTGCAGCTACATTGTGAACTGTAGCAAATTTTATGTTAATGTGTATGTGGATGTGGAACCCTCACAATAATAGTAATTTCCAATGAGGATAGGTACCTTAACAGAAATGGCCCTTAAATTAAACCTTGTAATTGGGTTTTAAGTCAACCGATGTGAATAAGTAACATGACATCACTCATTTAAATATGTTTGTAGACATTTACAGTATGAAACACTTTATCACCAGCCATAAAACAAGAATCGTGATATGATTATTTTCCCTTGATCATCAAATAATCACAAAGTCAGCCCTCAAAACCCATCTTTTCAAGCAAATTTGTACTGAGTCCATGACTATTGGAGGAGCAGGTGCCTTTGAATGTTTGCAACAGATAAATGGCGCCATCCAAGTGCTGTGGATCATCATCATCATCATCATCATCATATTTTATTTGTTTGTTTTGCTTTAGATGAGGATCATGGATAACAAGCTATTCACTGTAGAGCCAAGCAGTGGATCCCTTATGCCCGGTCAATGCCAGACGGTCACTATGACCTACTGCCATGAGTTTGCAGGAACAGACAGGCTTCCCGTCCTCTTCAAGATCATGAGGGGCAGAGAGGTTCTGGTAAGTCGACTGTCAACAATTTATCAGTGAACTGACTTCACATCACATTTCTGACCTGTTAGTAGTATTCAAATGTTGAAAGACCATTGAGACTTACTCTATATAGCTAAGTTACATGTTATAAGAAAACACCCACATATTACCCATTTGTAAAAGTATGTATTTCATAGATGGTCTCTCCGTTTAATATTTTCTATCTTTATATTCCAAATGAACTTGATGTCATCCTCAACACAATATGAGGTCTTGATACTATACTGATATAAAAATCAGTTTTCGATTAGACCATCTATGAGTCCTTTTGTTGGTGAAAGTAAGCTCCAACAAAGTCCATTCATGAATTGTCCTTGTGTTTATATAATGGCTCAGAAACGAACTATTGTATCAATAGCCTGACTGTTATTTCCTTTTTAACCTGACTTCTTCTAGCTGAACTTCACTGGTGTGACGGTAAACGAGGACAGACGCTACGTCCACTTCCCCAGCAACAAGCACATGTTCTCCCCCGTGCCTATAGGTGGCGTCATCAACCCCAAGCAGGTCTATGAGCTGTATAATGGTGGAGGTATGGAGGTCATGTATCAGCTGGACCTGACTGCTTTGGATCAAGTTCAAGAGGTAGGAATTTACTGTTTATAACAAATTACATTGTTGTTAATGTAATATTTGAGTAAAATAATAGGTCACTGTTAAGAGTCAAAGGGAATCATATTAAAAGAGATATGAGAGAAAAATAGATAAATTGTTAGATAGATATGATAGATAGGTAGGTAGGTAGGTGGGTTGGTGGGTAGGTAGGTGGCTAGGTAAGTGGGTGGGTGGATGGGTGGGTGGGTAGGTGGGTGGGTGGGTAGGTAGGTAGGTGGATGGGTGGGTGGGTGGTTAGGTAGGTGGGTAGGTGGATGGGTGGGTGGTTGGGTAGGTGGGTGGGTGGGTAGTTAAGTGGGTGGGTAGGTAGGTGGGTGGGTAGGTGGGTGGGTAGGTAGGTGGGTGGGTGGGTGGGTAGGTAGGTGGGTGGGTGGGTGGGTAGGTTGGTAGGTAGGTGGGTGTGTAGGAGGGTGGGTAGGTAGGTGGGTGGGTGAGTGGGTGGGTGGGTGGGTTGGTAGGTGGATGAGTAAGTGGGTGGATAGGTGGGTGGGTAGGTTGTTTGGTAGATGGGTGGGTTAGTGGGTGGGTAGGTAGGTAGGTGGGTGGGTAGGTAGGTGGGTAGGTAGGTTGGTGGGTGGGTAGGTAGGTAGGTGGGTGAGTAAGTGGGTAGATAGGTGGGTGGGTAGGTTGTTTGGTAGATGGGTGGGTTGGTGGGTAGGTAGGTAGGTGGGTGGGTAGGTGGGTGGGTAGGTAGGTTGGTGGGGGGGGGGGGGTAGGTAGGTTGGTGAGTAGGTAGGTGGGTTGGTTGGTGGGTGGGTGGGTAGGTAGGCAGGTGGGTGGGTAGGTAGGTGGGTAGGTTGGTGGATGGTTGGGTGGGTGGGTGGGTAGGTAGGTAGGTGGGTGAGTAAGTGGGTAGATAGGTGGGTGGGTAGGTTGTTTGGTAGATGGGTGGGTTGGTGGGTAGGTAGGTAGGTGGGTGGGTAGGTGGGTGGGTAGGTAGGTTGGTGGGTAGGTAGGTTGGTGGGGGGGGGGGGTAGGTAGGTTGGTGAGTAGGTGGGTTGGTTGGTGGGTGGGTGGGTAGGTAGGTGGGTAGGTTGGTGGATGGTTGGGTGGGTGGGTGGGTAGGTAGGTAGGTAGGAAGAAAGAGAGAGAGAGAGAGAGAGATGGAAAGGGGAGGATATACTCAGCTCTGTTGGAAAGTTTATTGTCCTTTCATCAACTATTATGTTTTACTTCTTTGAGCTCTACTTTTTTGATTTACTTTATTGACAATTAAAATCAAGTTTAAATTCCCATGTTCCACATATAATCTTATATTTACAGTAAAGTTCCGCTTTTATGCATAGGACATACATATGTTTATATTCATAAATGCCATTTTGCAATTTCTTGTCATGTAGGAAAACTTCAATCACAGGATCTTTGATTGCCTGAATCCCAAGGGTGTAATACCAGCTGGTAGAACAGCCAAAGTGGAATGGATCTTCTCTCCACTGGAAGCAAATACATATATGGTAAGACACAGCATGCCTAGTAGCTTGATGCAAAGAACATTAAAGTTTTCACCCGAATGTAGTATATATGTATTTACTTGAGTTGTACCACAAACTTGTTTTCCTATATTGGAAACAGTTTATGTTACACCGATAGACACAATTTTACTCATGCTGTTAAGAAAGGATATGGCATGTCATCAATTGTAATAGAAAACATGAAAGAAGCTGGAAATGCTTTATTGATACTATTTTAAGTTCATATTTTTAGCTGCATGATAACCAACCAAGAAATAGAGTTGGACTTCATATTAATGTACAATATTACTTGCTAAGACTTTTACATGCAAGACCTAATCTACTTTTTGGAAATTGGAAAAAATTAGAATTAATTTCAGTTCAAATTAACTGATTCACTGCATCTTCCAGGTTGATGTCCCAATCCACATCATTGGTGGTGACACCGCCCTGATCACCTTCACCGGTGTGGGCTACGACAAGCGCTCCCTAGGCACCACCATGCCCATGACGGACGGCACAGAACTGACCGGTGTTCCTTCCGTCCAGAGCATCCCCCTCAGGGAACAGCTCCTGTATGCCAGCGAGGAGAGAGTGGCCTTTGGGAATCTTCCACTGTTCAGTGAACAACGCAAGGTGGTGTACTTGACCAACCGCTCCCCCAGCCACACCGTGTCCTTTGAGTGGTATGTGACATCAGAGGACGATTCACAGGTGAGGTCTTTCCCCAGTTGTGTTGTAGTAACATGTTTGCTCTATTAGTTGTATGTCACTTTGTTTGTGTTGAGTAAATATCTTACTCAGTTACATCCTTTTCTCTGACATTTCCCTGTATGTAATGGATCCTAATGACAGAATAAAAAGTGAGAAAAGCTTTTTTTTATTAATTAAAAGATTCTTGTTATCCCTCCTTCATGATAAGTAATATGTGCCACTGGTAAACAAGTATTTCCTAGGCTATTATAAGGAATCTTAGCTTTCTTTTTGTACTTTGATTAGTTTGTGACTGTTAACTTCTGGTATTTTTCCTTCCTATCCATCTTGCAACTTTTGGTTGAATTTCAATACATTATCTCTTCAATCTTTTACTCCAGTGTGATCCTATTCATTTTCATAAGATTTTCACTCTCTGTTAGTATGTACACTTTACTTTAACATTTTTTTCTAGAAAAAGAAAGGATTCAACCTACTCATCTTTTTATTAATATGCTGATGATATTGATCGCAACTGATAAAAGTAAACTCTTTTGCCCCACGACCTAGGTGCTGGACATCCAACCACCCAAAGGAACTCTTCACCCAGGAGAGGGCTGCATGTGTAAGGTGGTCTTCACATCTATAGGAGAGCCGTCATTCTATGACCTTGATGTCATCTGTGAGGTAAGTCATCGGGGGAGTGTTTCACAAAGACTAAGATTAAGCTGGACTTAACTTTAACTATGGCAGGTCATTTATGCCACTGGTTGCTCTCACCATTGGTCTCTCAAATATGATCTTTAGATAATATTTTTTCCTTCAACATTAAACTATCAAAATGGTAAATTCTGAAGATTTGTTAACACAATTTGTAAGTCCCTTGAAAAACCAATGTTAAATGTTTCATGAGATCACTGAAGGTTCATGGGATTTAAATCCCGCTCCATGCCAATTATCTTGGCCCTGTTTCATGAAATTGTTATCCTTAACTAATTACAGTAATCAAAGATAATCTACTGAAATCATTACATTTTAGTGGCTGGAGGAAAGTTTGTTGCAGAAATGTAGCAATTGGTATTTATAAGTTCATGAAACAGGGTCTTGATATCTGATTCTATCAAAGTCAGTCAGTGTGACATAGGATTGATAAACTATACCCTATTTATCTACTTATGCCTTTGCCACTTCCAATGTTCAGTCAAAACTGTTCTCATAGCAGATCTCACACATATCTCCCTGTTATAAAAAATAGTATCAAAGTTTTATGGCATGTACTGTTAAGAAGGGACACATTTGCTTCCCTTATAATGTATTTTGCTCCTAATCACATTCTAGAATATTGACTTTAGTTTTGTTTTCCTTTTGAATTACGCATTTGCTTCTTTGCCTGACCTAGGTTGCTGATGAGACAGTCATGGCAGAGTACAGGAAGGCGCTTGAAGACTGGGAGGCAGAGAGAGAGAGGCAGAAATACGAGTTCACCATCACTGAGTTTAGTGATGACACACAGAAAGACGTAAGTAACCCATCCTCTATTTTTAGATGTACTTGGATATATTTGGAGCGTATCTTATTTTAAACTGAGTACTATTCAAGGTTTCTAAATATCCTGGAAATTGGGGAAAGTCTGAAGGATGAGTTCCTTTTTGCTAGTCAGGAATTGAAAAATAAAATTATCAGTGAATTTATTTACCCTAAAAGAACATTTTCAGTCTTTTATAATTTGTCTTGTTTCCGAACAGGATTTTGACTTGATGAATGGCTATGGTGAAATTATAGCTCGAAAAGGCCCCCTTTCATGATCCTGAAATCCTAAATTCTTTCAAGGATCAAGGAAAGAGCATGGAATATCCTGGCAACCATGACCATTATGTAAATACAGCAATATTATTTGCCTTATTATCGATGTGTAATTTGCTTGATATTCAAACAGGGAAGCAGCGCAGGCCCTGAAGGAAGGAGTCGCTTTAAGCGGGAATGCACCCTGGATAGTTCGCCAGTACCTCCTGAAGATTTCAAGCGCTACCAGACCCTGCCGCCCATCAAAAACGTCAAGAATGAGAAGGAGCTTGATGAACAGTATACCCGTAAGTGTTGCTGTAGAATTTATCCTTAAGCTTACATCACGAAGAAGTGATGCACAAAAATGTAGTCAGTCCTCACAATGAGTTTTTTGATATTCCAGTGCAATATGCTCACCAAAATTGAACTTTATAGATGGATAGAGATATAAAAGACTCCTGATAGTATATCATTTTGAATTTATATCACTAGATAATGTTGCATGCTATTAACAGATCAACTGGGAAAGACCATTTAGGTATTTGGAAGCTTTTATTGATTTGAAGGAAATTGTAATGTCAAGCTACCACGTATATATGTATGTGTCTGATGAAGAAGCGAAGTGCAATGAATGTTACTGTATGAACGTCAATGAAGGAAGTCCTGTTGGGTAAAACCACTTTTTCTTAAACAATGATAACAGCCCTGGAAATATCTTGAGGCTCTAAAAACATTTTTAATTTTTCAAATTTGTTAAAAATATTGGGATATAAAAAATAATTTTGAACTTATATTGTCAGATTAAAGTTTGCTCATGCATGGGTATATAGAGGGCAGCACAAGGACGTAAGCACAGGAGCATAATACCCGTTGGCTCAGTGTTATGTAGTGATCGCCAAGTTGCCTACTTCATGAATGACTACATACTCACGCATGAACATCTTTAATATTGCATGTGGTATGTACCATTGCTTGGAATCAGGTACCCCCTAGAAAAAAAGGAAAGAAAAGATCCCAACACTTTAATCTCTAAAACACTGACTACACACTGAACCACCTGAATTTTGAATGTTTAGGTGAACACTCTGCAAAAGATGGCAGCAAGCTGTGGCCCAAACCTGAGAAACCAGAGACGTTTGTCATGCACCTTGGGGTGACAGGACGAACTCACACCATTGCTGAGTTCCAGAGCAACTTCCCCAACGAGGTCCAGAAGTTCTTCATTGATAGGTACTGTAAATATTTACTCGAAAATTCGAAAGTGTAGTCTCTTTTTAAAGTATTACATTGTATGATAATGAGAAAATAAAAGCTTGAGATTTTTTAATCATTTTTACATAAACATTGCTCTCTCACATGTAACAGTATGTTGCTAAATGTAATTTATATGTTAAAGTTTGTCATTAGTATTGTAGAGTTGAGCTTTAAAAACTAGTGTCACTTTGTCAGCTCATGTGATAAAAGTTTTGCACATGGCAGTTTTTGAAATTTGTTGCAAATTAAGTTCAAAGACATTGTTTTATTGTGAGACTTTTTCCATTAACATTTGCAAAGTGTTTTAGATTTCTTACTTTTTATTCAATATGCATTTCCATTGGGTTGGAGTCTGAATATTTTTCTATCCAGTCGGAAAAGATAAGAGTATTGGGCCACTATATACTTGATAACCAGTGCTTGTAATCTGTTTTGCCTTTTCTAGGGGTATGAGTGAGAGAGTAATCACAAGTGGTAAAGGAAAGCAATCACAAAGAGATGAATCCCTGGAACCTGAAGCCTGTGATGAGATGGCAGCTGGAGTCGTGGGTGAGGTCATGAGCACTATTGTCAGGTATGGTCATAACAATAAAAACTCACTCTATCCATCTATTCCTACATGTATCATACTATCGTTGATTATCTTTCTTAAATCCTTCCATTTCTCTTTAATTTTTGTATTTGAGCTTTTAGCATTGTATTCAGAGATGGTCAGTGAAAATTTGTGTAGTTTGTTCAATCTATCGTACCTAAAGAAATAAGTCATTCTCATGTCTACCTCATTTTCAATGCTGATATCAGTTATTCCAGCATCAGAGATGCAAAAAGAACATTCTTCACATTCTGAATTCTTAAATTCAATTTGCCTTGTTCAAATGCCACCTTCCCTTATTTCTCTACGAGTATATGTACAGTTGTGAAATTAGTCCTTGTTCGCATATTTAAAGTTTTGCTATGCTATAATCAACAATATTTTTTTTTAATGAAGAAACTTATCTTGTTTTTGTCATTGCAGAGCATTGCTTGATGATCATGACTTCCATGAGGCATTGAGAGACATCCCTAACGAGCCTATCCCATACTTCACTCAGTTTGGAGACAGACCCCAGTCCCCCGCTCGGTTGGAGGATCTAAAGATCATCTCGCTTCCCCCTTCTCAAGCTGCTCAGGTTAGTCTGGCATAGATTCATAACGATGAAAAGATTCTCACCATAGTGATAGAGTATAGTGATATAAATTTTGAGTGAAGACAAATGCAGTCCTAGGCATTTCCGTTCGGAACATTAGAGAACATTAAGGAACATTGATAATTGCTGTTGGATGATAGCAAGAAGAACAAAATTATTTGCATACTTTTAAAATGAGAAACAAGAGAAAGTAACTATCTCACAATATTTTTAAATGGGTGGGAAAGAGCCAAATTTCAAGAAAATGCAGAAATGCCTACCTCAATGAATACAATAACTTGCAAATTTGTTAAAGATTGCTCAATGTGAGAGGTTTTTTTTCTTTCTTTAATCTTTGTAGTTTATTGTAGGATACATCTTGATCACTAGAATAACAATTGAATTGAAGAGGATGATTTTCAAAAAATTGAACTAGTGACAGTAACAATGATAAATTGGTATATGGTAGTCAACAAAATTGATAATCATCTTGATTTTTTGTTTTCCAACAGCGACATGAAGCCATGGAGAGCCCCTCCAAGACAGTCCAGATTGAAATGGAAAGTCGGGGAGTACGTACACCAGATAGCACAGCTGATGGGGTGCCCAGCAGAACGGTGATGCGTGATTCTGTTACTGACCAACCTCCCTCTGCTCCTGCTGGTGATGATGTTGGTCTCATGACATCAAGGTATCATATCAAAGAATCATATACCTTGTGCCTTTGATAATGAAGCAAAGGGAAATTTCACGATAGGCAATGTACCTCTCGCAGGAACTCTCTGTAGTGTCCATCATGTAATTTCAGGATTCATACAATTTCAGGATTTCTAAATTTGCATTGTACTTGTCAAAATTTGTCTTTTTGTATCTACTGTGTTGTTATGAAGGCGCTATTGAATAGTTTGCTCAGCCATACAAATCTGTTGAAACTGTAAGATATCCTGTACTTCCTGATGTGGTTTTTAAACAAGGAATACATTACTTCTTTGTGTGTGATACATGTAGTTCTCTTTTTGAATATCCGTTTTGGATTGCATGGAGGTTCCTTAAAAAATTGTGGCCATTGAAACTTGGGTCTATTAACAGTTTCACCTACTTGATTGATAAGAACTTCCATCAAATCTATTTTTCTCCAGGTCTGTGCTTCAGTCATCCCCTGGAATGCACACAGAGTATGACTATCAGATAAGCTTGCGAGAGGAGAGGGAAAGACTACAGCAACAGAATCTTAAGAGGTATGTACCCTTCCACTGAGTGAAAGATAGCTTGTTAATTTAACAACTAATTGCATTCTTTCTTCAATTTAAGCACTCTCTGATTCATATTTTACTGACATCTTGATACTTGACAGTGTTTATTTTTTTGAATTTCTGTCCTGAATAATAAGATACAGATTAAAAGAATATCCAATAACATCTGTTGAGAGCCAGAGGGTGTTCAGTGTCTGTTACAGTATATGAGTTAAAGCCCTTGTAACTCGCAACAGTTGCTGTCTTTACCAGAACTATGCTTCATGTTAAGAATGTACATATATATATATGTAAATTGTTTTTAGTCTCTTTTATCATCATTGCTGTAGGAAAGGGATTTATTTCTTAATACATATGACTTCTTTGTTGTCTCTGTACAGATTACCAGAGTTTGCTACCAGTGTGGAATCCGCTCTTGAGAACACCCTCTTCAACATCATGATGGAGGCCTTCGGGGGAGAGATCAACCTGACTGCGAGACCCCGCCTCATAGCCCTACCCCCTTCAACCCCTCCCCGTACCCCACCCACCGGGCCAGGTGCCAAACCCAAGCAGGCCTCTGTCATAGGGGCTTGCACCAGACCGGGGTCGGGGAAGACATCCAAAGGAGAAAGAGCAGGGTCCGGTGGAAAGGTGCGGTCCGTGGACACGCCCAAGGTCTCGGTGGAGCTGGTGGGATCGACGGGGAGGAGGGGAAGTCAAACCTCTCAAGTAACAGCAAAATAATAGAATTGCCCTCGTTCCTGGAAATATCTTTTGGAAATCAATGTTTAACAGGTTGAACATCTATGTGCACATGAATTTTCATGTCTTTCATGTAAAAAATACATTTGTGGCCTTTTCTGAGTTATTTCTTCAGCTTTAAATCAAATTTCCACAAATGATTTTCAAAGTACAGTGTCATGTTACATCAGAATCTGTTGAAAAGGATATTAGTCAATTGCCGAATTGCTGTGATCTATATTGTGGAGATTAATGCTTTTTTTCAGAAGATGAGGGTAACTCAGAAATGCAGAGAAACACCTTGAGCTCAGGCAATATAGCCCTAGAATATATGTAGAATGTACTGCAATGAAGGTGGGTTTGAGAACAAGAATGCATAGCTGCATAATCTGTTGGTATTTATTTGGAGAGGAAAGGATTATGTAGGAAGGAGTAATGAACCGATATTTCTGTATTTTATCAACAATATTTTACTTTCCTATGAACAAACACCTAATTACAGTGTATCCATTGCAGAGGAACAATAGTTATAAATTTAAATCATTCTAAAGTTTAAAAAAACAAAGGACTATGAGAAGGAATGACTATTGTGTACCTGTATTATGGTAATTTTATTTGGGCATTTTGTCACCATGATTGTGTATTGTATAAAAGATATTCCTTTTGTAAAGACAAGTTTTGACCTTTAAACATGAAAACTTAATGCTGTAGATGGTTTCTATCTTCTGCTTTTAAAAAGATATTTGAAGAATTACTTCACTACTTTTCTGCAAGAAAACAAAATTGTTCTAAATATTGATGCTGTTTACTTATCATCACTTATGGTACCCAACTTTAGTGAATAGTTAGTAAGAAAGAAGTATACTTTTCTTGATCCTCTACCATTTTTTTGAAAGGAACCATAATAACCAAGGTCTTTATGTGATGTAAGATTAATGATTAAGTTCAGTGTGCCTTTCAAATGCCTTGTACCAACCTTAGAGAATATACTTAACTAAACATTCTTGCTTATTTTTTCTTGTTGGATTATAATCCAAGCAACATTGCTTTTGCGTATATGTATAAATGCCGATGTGTGAGCAACCGTCCTTATATGTTAATACTGTAAATATTTGTACATAGATACACATACCGGTATTCCTTTGTTGAGATATTGATTTATGTATATGTTTGTTTATGCTACTAATTATATTGAAAATACTGCACCTGGCAATACGGATATATAGTAATAAGGCTTACTGAAGTGTTCTACCTATATATATGTACAAACTATATCCAATGATTCAGTTATACTATCAAAGAATTTAGCATAAAGATCTCAATAATATTTAGAAGTGTAAAGAAGTATCATCTCAGAGATGTGAACCCGACTATTAAAAGATTCAGACCTGTAGGCCTTTAATACAGGTACATGTATATGTAAATGAAGAATAATGACAGTCTAGAAAACAGGTCTTTATACACCTCATGGGGCCGTATTATGACAGCAAACATTCATTCTATGTGTTATTGTCTACCAGCATGAAACAAAATTTGATATCTAAATTTGCTTTAAAGTTTGCACTATCACCATCTGTTCTGTAAATAGGTAAATTATATTTTACTCTTGAGATTTTGTGTATTTACCAGAAAACTTTGTTTACATTTGAATAAAGTGTTTCAGAAGTGTGCACAAATTGAGCTTTTATCTTTTTTTCATTTAAGTAATGTTTTTAAGACAAGCTCAGTAATGAGATTCCATCATCTTGCAATTAATGACGAGAGACATTTGGTGTTTTTTTAATAACTTTTTGTTTATTGTCCATAGGGATGTCTCCTGCTAAAGTTATTTTGTAGATCATGAGATGACTAGATTTCCAGCAGAAAGTTTTGAAATAAGAGTAAGTAACCCTGAAGGCATATTCTTCGCTATCATGCGTTCAGTCATGCAGGCATATATGGACATTGCCTTAAACCTGTGCAATCTTAGGAAAGGATCCCTAACATGTAGCAATTCTTATTTTTGTAGACGATAGATGGGGAAATTCAGAATAAATTGTTGATTTGTTGGAAGAAAATTATGAGGTAGACAGTTAGAAAAAGATGAACAGGTGTATTAAGTGATATTAAGCAAGCATTGGAAAAAAAGAGAGCGAAAGTATGTATGTATGTATATTTGTGTGTGTGTGTGTGTGTGCGTGCGTGTGTGGGTGAGAGAGAGAGAAGGTGAGATTGAATAAAGGCAAAATTGTTAATCTAGGGGAATTTTTCTGAACACCTGTCTAAATACAATTGTTACTCCTACACTTACAATCAGCAACTCTATATGAAGCTTTTCATTCTATATAGTTCCTCTCAATCTCCATCTCTCTTTTCTCCCACTCAACCCGATTATTGCTTCATTCCCTTGAAGAAATGTACCGGTACATGTACATCAAGATGTACACTGCCTGGGTACAATGTTAGAACAAGTGTTTTCTCCCCTTTTAATCATATTTTCCTCTCTTCTCTCTCATACTTTTGCCCCACCTCTGTATCTCTCAGACTATGTCCCTTACTGTATGTCTCTTTCTCTCCCATTCATTCGTTCACTCTCTTCTCCCTCGCCCCACCCCCACCCACTCTCTCTCTCTCTCTCTCTCTCTCACTTTCTTTCTCAGTCTTCTATAATACTCTGTCACTCTTTGGCTATTTGTGTCTGACACTGATGTTATCTCAGAGGCCGGCTGGACTCCCAAATTACTGTGTATTGAGATAGGTTCCCGAGGTTTGATAACTCCTGACAACAAGAAAAGACTTATAGATATGTTGAAAACATGTAAATGCAAAGTAAGGTATCCACAACTGAGAAATGAAATCTTGAAAACCGTACTGTTTGGGTCGTATGTTATTTTTTACAGCCGGTCGGAACGCACCTGGCAATCACAATATCACTTGGGAGTGTAAGTGGTTTAACTACTTTGTATGACTTGCAATAGCGAGGCCTCTTTCTCTCCCTCTCCCTCTTTCTCTCTCTCTCTTCCTTTCCCTCTTTCTCTCTCTTCCCCCTCTCTCTCTCTCTCTCTCTATCTCCCCCTCTCTCTATGGGGGACAGGTTCTCGTGGTTTGATTACGCATGCTACTATATTGACAGATATGATGACGGTACCTGAATGTAAGGTGTGGCATAATTATGTAATTGGGAAAAGTAATATTTCAAAAGTATATTCTGTGGGTTTATATTGTTTTTTACAGCCTATCTGAACTCACTTGGAATCACTACAACACTTGGCGGTGTAATTGCTTTAAATTAGGATACGTATATAAATTGTTATAACGGGAACTCCCTCTCTATCTCTCCCTCTCTCTCTCTCTCTCTCTCCCCTTCTCTCTCTCTCTCTCTCTTTCGCTCTCTCCCCTTCTTCAACTCTCTCTCTCTCTCTCTCTCTATGGAGATAGGTTCCCGTGGTTCGTTCGTTCGTGTCTCCTTAGATCAAGATTACTGTAATCTTTGATCTTCGAACGGTATGTAAATGTATTATGAGGCATTGCTAACTAAGAAAGTAATAATTATTTTTGTTTTTGTTATTTTGTTAGGAATTATTAATGTTTTCATTTAAAACACTGATGTTATAATGTTCTCTTTTCCGTTTTGTTTTTGTGTATTGTAATTGTTCAACCCTGCATGAGATGCATTTAATGTAATACAAATCTCTGTCCTGGGTTTTATGTCACATCTTTATTATTATGTTACATGTATACTTTCTTGAATAAAGATGAACAAACAAACTTCAATAACACTTCTCCGCACAGAACTGTTACAAAAATAGAACTTTGAAATACAACACTATGCCATAATATTCTTGAGGTACAATTGCAAATTTACTGAATGGTACTTCAGGATGCTAAATCTCTTTTCTCTGTATCTCTTTTTCCCTTACCGTATGTCTCTTGCTGTCCCTCTTTCTTTCCCTCTCCTCTCTCTCTCTCTCTCTCTCTCTCTCCCTCATACTCTCTCTCTCTGTCTCATACTTTGTCACTCTCTGGCTATTTTTGTCTCACAATATTGTTATTTTTTCTTATCAACACAAGATTGTTACACCTTAAGATATGACGCAATACCATACAATTCTAGAGATACAATTGCACATTTATTCAACGGTAATTAAGGATTCTAAATTTCTTCTTGAAAATTGGGAACACGCAAAGCGTTGAGCAGATAGATATAAAAACATTTAGATTTTGCCCCAAACATTCTTTATTGCATGGTTAAATGAGTTGCATTTTTTCTCCTTCGTTTCGCATTGTGATGATAAAATATTTTGCCAATAATGTGCAATATAATGCCTGAAATTAATATATTATTAGTATTCTATTTTAGAACTTGTTGATAAACGCTTTTGGCACTTGATATACAATCAATACATACAATAAATAAATAACAAAAACTTTTAAATCGAGTAATTACAGAACAAAAAAGAAATAGATTTTGAAGGATTTATCCCTCCTACTTTTTCTTTCTACATTGATATTACAAACTATACATACAGCATAGGAGAGAGAGATAAAGTGTAAAAACAATCTGTTTAAATCCACGGTATATTTCTAGTTAACGCCACTGCACGAGTACTACATATTGGAGGTAAAGCAAAGCTAGAACTGCTGTTTTAGAGTTCGCAGGAGGGAAAAGAAGAAACTAAATGCATTAAATTACATGTGAAAGGTTTATACTTGACAAAAACGCATCTACAAAAAGATTTTTACAAAAGTGAAGAACTACAAAGTAAACAAAACTACAAATAAAAAACATTAAAGGTACGTTTGGCTGCCCAAACACAATGCGCAAAAAAAAAATCTTAAGCAACTTAATATTTCTACAAGAAGCACTACAAGCAGTTCCAAAATTTCTTCTTTTCTATAAATAAAAACTATTACTTTCACTTAACTTATCGCTTAATTTCTTTTTCGTTGCCACTGATCATGTAGAATATAATGCATATATTCCAAATGAATGCAAGGTCATTATTTTATATGTTTTTCAATCAAATAACCACCACAATTATTTGATTCTGAAAAACAATATCAAAACAGATGCCCTATAAATACGTTTTATCAAAATTTCAATGAATAATTCATGTATAATTTCCACCACACTGCAAACGGAATTTATGTGTCCACCACAGTCACAAAACTCCTGTTCATTGTTCTCATAAATATTCATTGAAATGTTGATAACATATCTGCAATTTATTCTCCTTGCACTCATTTGCATATTGCTTATATAAAAAGTCATTGTCATTTCATATCAATGACTACTTGATTAGTCTCCTCAAAGTTTGATACATTCTCAACATTTGCAAATCACTTTTGATTTTACATTAGTCTTCACTATTTATTTCAAATAGTTCATGATTCTGTCACTTATCAGCATACAAAAGTTGCATAGTCAGATTCATAAAAATAGGTGGTATATTCAGAAACAAATTTCTATGAAATATAGCACCACAAAAGGTACATTGTCTCCTTTTGAATATAGCACCAAAAAGGCACATTGTCTCCTTTTGAAACTGCTTCTTACAAAATGGAAGACTATTATATGTAAAGTCACATGACCTGTATTATCATATAGCTCTCATATGATTTATGTCATCAAGACATATTACAGATTTACGGTTCATTAAGGCACATTGATGATCAAATCAATCAACTCTCTTTATACATGTTATTGAAAATCAAATCAAATTAAATTTTCATTTCATAGTCTGGGTCCTCCAGCGTGTATTATACACTATCAACAGATTTTATTCCAGTCGAAAAAACGAGAAAAAAAGAGCTTTATAAAAAACTCATCTGACACCGACCGTCGGAAAGAAAACAAAATTTAGCGGAATTATTTACATCTATGTCGGTAACAAATCATCATCACCCGCAGGTAAATGGCATGATTCCATGATAAATATTACATTACATAATAATCTTGTTTACATTAATTGTGTGATTTCAAGTTGCTTTGAAAAGTTTAACTTAGTTACGCTTGTTTTATACAAAAAATGTTACAGTTCTCCTTGTACGAAAATGTTGGTCGTTTTGTTTGCTTGATGGTAAAGCAAAATTAACTAACATAATACGTACGCATTGTTTATAAGAATGACAGATAATTCATCAGCTTTATATGGTATTGTTTCCATATTCACTTCTTATAAAACATAAATCACTTTGAGGCATATCCAATCATATGCATTACTGTATTGTCTTTAGCCGGCGCAGTCATTACCAAAGTCAAGCAGGAGAATTCTCAGACATATTTCTGAAGAAAACATTCCAAAATAGAGATTTATTATGTACATATCAAATAATCATAAAGAAATGAAAGAAATCACAGTTTATCTAAAATCATGCAATGCTAGGAGGAAGAAATACAGAATTATCATATATTTTTATTTTGTAATTTTTCGGAGGGTTTTAGAATTTTTATGAATAATTTTTGGATGAATTTTAGTGGTGTGAAGAAAGAGGCTACACTAAAACTACAAAAACTATCTTCTACTTTGAGAATTTGGCCATCCGGTTAGCTAAAGCTCCACCTCCTCGCTTAGGGGGAGGGGGTGGGGCTGCTGATGGCTTAGGGCCGGGGCCTTTTCCTGCTTGATCTTTGTTGGGTGGACTGTCCTTTACAACTGGCGGTTTGTCGGTGCTAGATGACGTTTTTGGCGGGGACTCTGAAAGAAAAACATAAACAGGCAAGGTTTAGAGGATTTTATCAACCAATTTAAGTTAATGGCTTCTATTTCCCCGCGGTCATTAATTATTTATTTCACATGTCAAAAATGTTTCAAATTTTATCGGAAGTTAACATCTGTTAGAAGAGGTTATATTTATCTGCAATAAGAAACCTTTGCTTAAAGCTATATGACTGTGATGACTATAACAAAGTACTAGGAAGTGTGCTATAATTCTTTTAGCTCATGACGCGTTTTGTAAACCAAACTAACAGAGTTGTGATGAAAAGAATGCAGTACTATTGAAATTTAAGTTAAATTTTCTGTATCTAAGACACAATGGATACATTTTCGATGCTATATGATCATCACTTTTAACATTCATTCTTTCAAGTAACCTTATACCTTACCCCTAATCTCAACATAAACAAAACTTTGTTTATACTGTTTTTCAGGGATTGTCAAGGGCTTAAATATATTTGGGGTCGCTAAGAGGGTTGGAAATGCATTCTTAGAAACTCAAATAAAGGGGTAAAACTTTTGCAGTCACTTGAAAGGAGAAAAGGGGAAAGAAGTGTCAACCAATTGCAAAACAAGCTCTTTTCTTTTTGACCACACAGGATATTTTTTTAAAGTACGTGCTAATTGAATATTACAAACTATAAGGATAAATGTCAATTATAAATACTTAAATATGATTTTGACGGGTGAAAACTTAAGTTGGTGAGATGAAAGTATGCAATAATAAGTCAATGCTTGGAAAAGGAGAAAAGATTGCAAGTTTTCAAAATAAAATGTGCGCATGTCATCAAAGGGTTTTGTATCATCACTCCATGTAGGCTACTTGCAAAGGTTTACATTTCATTTCATGAAAAGGCCGCTCCTTTGGAAAGTGCAAAACTAAGCTGATAATGTGCAGTTTTCCATACAATACTAACTGCCTTAAACAAAAATTTTATCGTTATAAAAACATTCTGGTCAGTTACATTTTCTCTGCAACCAAGTATTCTGAACAGAATTAATATACTTTTAGAAGGCAGGAAGTCAACTTCTGCAGTTCTTGGATGAGAAGAAATATAGGACAGTGGGTTCTACTGACCAAATCTGAAGTAGTACTTGCCAGTCATCCGCAGTGAATGATCAAGAAGTTATTCATCATTTAGCCATAGACAGTTTTATCACTGTATCTACTATTCCCACTATTTATCCTCTAGTCAACTCTGTTTACTAATACATGAAACATAAAACATAAATGAGTATTAACACGATGAAAAGTAAGTGAGGTAGTGCTGCATGCAAGCGTAATGTGAAGTATATTATGAGGCTGTTGCATGCAACAGAGCAAAAATATAAGAAAATATAGAATAAAATTAATAATGAGGGTAGTTCTAATGAGCTGTGAAAAGGGAAGGGAGAATATAACATATGAATGATATTTCAACGATGAAAATGCAGAATTGAAAAAATTCTAGCTAGGCAAAGCGACCAACGTACCTTGTAAAAATGATTCTGTACAAATTTAATCTGTATTGAAATAATGCCAATATATACAAAAAATGAAAATCAACGAATGCTTCTGGACATTCATTAGGTATTATTCCTTTTTCTTCTTTTCTTCATTTATTCTCTAAGAAAAGACTTAAGAAATGTGGAAATAGAATTCGAATTTAAGAAAAGGTTACTTTTCAAAAAAAGAATATAATTATAATTGTTCTTTAAATTACAAGTATCTATAAATTCAAAGTCGTGAATGAAGCTGCTTTCCAAACGGTGTTTTTTGGCTAAATTACCTACTTCATTCCAAGTTAATTTGACAGAAAAGAAGAGATATAATATGTGATTAAAATTCTACAAAGTTTTTTGTTACATGCAGCAATGAAATGACAAATCTTGAGCTGCAGACTTTACATACCAAGAACAATAGCTTGCAAAAGCCAAATATTCTATTTCTACAAACGACTGGATATATCCCCATTATGAGGTCATCTTTGTCTTAAATGAGATTCGGTTGAAGCAATATTGAAATATTAATATGTGCAACTTCTATCCATCTACATATTCACTTATATTACAACAGTGCAAAGCGTACTCAGAGACTGGATGATAAATCCAAATTAATCATCTTCCAATATATTTCATGCTGCTTATTCTATATATCTATCAGTGCAAAAGCGAGAACAAGAAAAATGTTGGATTTTCATTTTCTACCTGACTCTGTAATAACTGCGCGATCTGAGATTGCAGTTGACGGGGACCAGCCGGCTTCGTTTTCGGCCGAGACACGGTAAACGTACTCAACACCGGGGACTATGCCCGTAACTTCAAAGGATGTTTGAGTGACGTTTGCGACTTCGGTCCACCCTGTTTCTTTGGCTTTTCGGCCGTCAACCTAGCAACAGAATGAGGTGGAGGGAATGAAAGGAAGGGGGTGATTATAGCATGCAACGAAACAGGTTACACCACTGTTTAATCAAAGAAATATAGAACTGAAAGGCATTACATGTATACATTTATTTTATGTGTACAAAGTAAACGTAAGACATATATGTTCTTGTACCTTTACAAAATATATACATATTTTTAATGTTATTTACATCAAGAAAATCCGACCACAGGAAAAAGACATAGTTCAAGAACAACTCTTTATGATTATGAACAAATCAGGGAAGGGAAAAAGGGAGAGGATCCATATCAAATGTTCCAAAACAATGACAAAATGACAGTTTCATATGACAGTTTTATATGACTGAAGAGTCATATAAAAACACAAGACTGATACCCTAAAACAGTCACTACATCATTTCTATCATCAATCCTTCACACAAAATTAAATGGAAAATGGAAGTGATTGGTCACAGCACATTAACATAATTATTATTCGTAACTGATTAAGGATACGAAGATTATTTTAGTTGGTGTTATGTGCTCATTTTGTATACACACCTTGTAGTTGAAAATGGGACTTCCCCCATCCTCTGCTGGTGCTGCCCATGTGATCTTGAAGGAGGTCTTGGAGGCTTGTTCCACCTTTGGCTTACCGCCAGGTGCCTTGGGAACGACCACTTTACCTGTAGGAATTTCAGAAGAATAACTGTGTAATACGCTTTTCCTTGAAAGAGTTGAGACCAATCTAGCATATCAACTAACTACCGACCTGGATGAATTCATTAATTCACTATTCCCCAGATGAATGAGTGAAGTATGCAGAGCGTTATATTTAGAACGCAGATTTGGGGTATGATTTGGAATAAATTAGCACATAAAATTATTTATGGTTACAAAATTATATGTAAATTTTTCAGACACAACCTGGTTGTTTCAGAAAAAAACAAGCAGAATCACATTGCTCAAGAAAGGAGGAGTTGTATTTTGGTGATTTTCTATACGGGCATACACACCCACACCCACCCACACTTAAACAGGCACATACCTATGTCACTCGTTTCACAGTCCCCCATTGAACTTCATTCGGCGGCAATATTAAAAACATGAATGTAGAGGCATTCTCTATTACTGACCTGCAACCATGAGTTCTCCGGACGTTGAAGCCGTTCCTGAAGAGTTGGTCGCTTCGCAGCGGTACACGCCCGAGTCCTCCGCGAAAGCTTCAGAGATGGTGAGGCGGCTAACGCCGTCGTTGTCCATTGTGATGACCACGAACTTGTCCGACTCGATTTCCTTGTTGTGGACAAACCACTTGACGGTTGGCATGGGAACACCTTGGACATGACATTCAAGTACGACCTCGTCCTCCTCCCAGGCATACTGGAAATTAAGAAATTGAAAATAATTGTGTTTGTGTTATTCGTTATTATTGGCAGTTATGAATATTGAGTTATTATCCATAAGAAGAATAGTTTTCTTCATTTTTTCTGCTTTTGTTTTATCCAATAACTAGCGACTTTAGTAGAATCAACTTCTTTTGTCAAGCCTCTGAACCACATTTTTATGATGCTCCGTTTTATTCTTCTGTTTTTCTTTAACCATATATCCCTGTCTCCTGCTTTCCCTTTTCCCATTTTTGATGTCTGAATGTTTCTTTAAAACAAAATGGCGAATGAATCAATGATTAAAGGATCAAATCTCATACCTCTTCTTGAAGACCCCTAAGGAACTTAGGTGGACCTCCTTCTTGTGAATCTGTGTCGGATCCAGAAACTCCTGTTGTTGATTCGCTGCAAATAGATAGTGATAAATGGACAGAATGTAAGTAATTTCTTCTTGATAACATTACAATGCTCAAACAAAATATACCCCGGTAGGCGCTATCATTCTTACAAGGACAGCCATTGTTTCCCCGAGCATATTATGAGTCTTCTGGTTGTCAAACTTCTGTTTCAGAGGTAACCTTTAGACCACCTTTCCTACGACGAAATAGCAGTCTTCATTGTATTTAAACTTTGTGACAATCTAAAATTTGCAACCACTTCCTTTCATCTTGGTAATTGATACATTAAGGTTCTGTTGGAGAAAATTCTAAACTTCAGGCAATTCCATATTTTATTCCAGATTATGATATTTAATAAAAAGCAGGCGCTTTAATGATAAACTAAATTAATTATAAAATTTGAAAGTTAAACACTTTCACCGATAATAAAAAAACGTGAGTGAATACTATCTACAGAGAAGAAAGTTCTAACCCGTCTTTAGGTCCCTTGCCAGCAGAGCCCTGGGGTGCTGTTGATGCCGATGGTTCGGCGGAAGGTGCAGAGGATGACTTGGCAGACTCTGCAGAGTCACGTGCTGCAGCACTACTGTGCGTTGTGCAAAAAGTGTGGAAGTGTGAAATATTAACTAATTACTCTAGAATTTTAACAATATGTGCATGGCATAAAAAATGATGTGATATATATGGCATCGCGTGTAAACTTTATAATAAATATCTAAAGTTTCGGCTTATAATGTTAATGCCGTTTAAACAAAAAAAGTTATTTAGGTATTTTCTGTTTTGGGGCATTTATTATTCAAATAAAGGGTGTGAAATATTAAACATCAAGTTGAGTTGATACGGCTTTCACGTTAGAGAAGATATACAGTCATATAGAAATTTAGTAGAAAATATTGCTTTCTTTAAAACGGCAAAAGAATTGAAATAAACAGTTACACAAAATCTAAGACAGTGTCCTTGAAATGCTTGATATTTCGTGACTGCATGTGCACGAGATTTATTTCTATTTATGAGACATGACTACCGTGTTTAAACTATCCGTGAAAACTATACACATTAGTACAGCTAAACTACTAAAATAATCGATTTGGCTAAACCACAAACATTTAACAGTAATGTAATTAACATTCAGAATTAATAATTTTTCGAGAAAATGAATGAGTATATAATAAAAACTAAGGGTCGATGATGCGGTTCTTTTGCGAGAATAATTTATTCAGTAGAAACTGTACTTCAATTTTTCCTCATGATCTACCTTGATCAATTAAATAAAAATTAAGATGGTCAAATAAAACCTACCTGACATCAGAGGCGGTGATTCCCTTATCATCAGCACCGGTTGGCAGGATATCGAGTGTGAACTCACAAACGACCTCGCCTTCGCTGTTCCTGGCCGTGCAGGCGTATACACCAGCGTCGGTTGAGCGCGCATTCTGGATCTCTAAGGTGTGCGTGAACTTGTCACTTCGGATCGAGAAACGACCACCGTCTGTGAACGGACGACCATCCTTTGACCACGTCACTGCAGAAACAGATTAAATGGTTTATTAAAAGAGATATTGCATAGTGGCAGCGGTGGGATATGAACACATATAAATTGAAAGATTGGTGTGGGAATTACCCATCATCAGCATAGTGGCAGCGGTGCGATATATACCCGTGACATTGGAATTAGTGGTGGGAAAATTCTGCTGAATTCTGTGAAATTACAACAACTAACCAAAATAAGCAAACATTAAAACAATGCGTTCGCCCTACGCACGCTGAGAAGAGAAGTGAAGAGGAGAGGAGAAGGTGGAAAAGAGAAAAGAAGGCCAAGACAGACAGATTTTAAACAAGTTAATATTTCTTACGAGAGGGTACTGGGTCACCATCTACATCACACGTGAAGACTGCAGTGGTGCCTTCTTCTACCATCTGTGACTGAGGTTCTTCAAAGAACTCTGGTGGGATGTGATCCTCGTCCATGGTGGCTGTGCATGGCATGTCTGTACTCAGACTAACATCAACATCCATGCTCTGTGAGATACTGATGCTTACGCTTGGCTCTTCTGCAAAATTAGAACAAAATCAATTTTTGTTGTTTAAGTTGGTAATTTGGTGATTTGGTGTCGAAACACTACAAGTGCTGTATATGTTGTTAAGTTCTTGTACATAAGACCTTTTAAAGACTTTCGAATCATTAAACAAATCATGAACAATCACAACAATCATTTTATAAAAATGGATAATTTAACTATATTGTGTCGATAAGCAAAATATTACGATGTCCACTATCATCAAACAGAAGGAATAGAACAAAAATGCAAGAATTGTAACCTTTATGTTGAACAATTTTCGCTTTGTTTGTACTACAAACTCAAGTTAAAGTCAAGTTAAAACAAGGTACGAGAATGAAAAAGTAAAATCATCTATGAATACAAAGGACATAAGTATGATAGATAGATTCCTTCATCAAAAGATTTGAATGCGATGATAAAACCTAAGAGTGCGTCAATAAGTTTTCATGTCGCAATGGGTGCTACGCCAATAAGTGTTTGCACTCACCATTGACGGTAATCATGGCGCTGCACTCGGATTCTCCGTGGTCGTTCAGGGCTTCGCAAGTGTACTTGCCGCTGTCCTCGGGGAAGATTTCTGCAATCTCCAGCTGGTAGATGTTGCCACGGCTCACGTAGCGGAACTCCTTGCAGTCAACGATGTCCTGTCCATTGCGGAGCCAGCCGACGTCCATTGGACGAGAGCCTGTTAAAAAAAGAGAGAATTATGAGTTTAATTTGATAACCGTATCTAGTAGAATGAGATTATATTCAAATTTGTCTTAAAATTGAAAATTCGTTAAGATGCTCGATTGTTTTCTCTTACAGTGACCAGCCCTTACGTCTCATATTCCTTTGAGTTCATATAAGCTTAATATACTTTCGAAAGTGAAGGGCACGGATCTGGTCTAAACTTCATCCATATCCTTTTCTCTATTTTCCGCCACTTGGGCAGATACAGATATTGTGATTTCTCCTTCGGCATTCTTTTCTATATGTGTCATGAGAAATATCTTCTCATTAAAGTCAATGTAATGGACATTGTCATCTTCCGCTCAAAAAATACAAATCAATTATCCGACATAAAGAGAAGAACAAAATCCAATTCTTATTTCACGAGTCAGGAAGACTTAGCATTTCAGATAGTAGATTTTCAGATTTTCTTTAAAAAAACAACAACCTCAAACCTACCGGTAATCACTACCTCCAGGACTACCCTTTCTCCATCACGGATAGACATGTCCTGGAACTTCTTGTCAAAGGACGGAGGTCCGGCCTGTTCTGGTTCTTCTGGTGCCGCATACTCTGGTTCCTCGTCGTCGGCTGCGACTCCCGAAGCGCTGGGTGCGTATGTTCGCATAGTAAACTCATCATCGCTTACCTCGTAACCGCCATACTCTCGGCTGTACCTGTCATCCAGTTTGTAGGGACTTGTAACCTGGCGTGCTGAGTAATAGTCCTCCTCTTCGCTGCGGTAGACGCGACGCGGTATCCTCGTGGGCCCCGCCACAGGTCGATCTCGCACCACTGGGCGGTACGGCTCAGTGTATGCTGGGCGGTATGGCTCAGTGTATCGTGTGCGGTCAGTCGTTGTTGGCGTCGATGGTCGATCGCGGTTGCCTCGCATGTTATCATACCACGCGGTGTAAGAGGTCAACTTTGGCAGGGGTCTGCCACCAGATCGCGTGAATGTCGCCGATGTGCGCGTTACATCCAAAAACCCGGGTCCAGAGTCTCGCGTCGTTCTACGAGATTCCTTCATTTCAGCATATTGCGAAGGTCTGTCAGACCTTGCCTGATAATAGTCTACGCCCGAGTCTTCTACACCTTGTCGGCTACTTAGACGTTTTGATGTTGCGTAGCTGTGGTATGGTGATGACGGCCTGTATGTCGGCGATGCGGGGCGGTAAGCCGGTGACGGTGAACGATACGTCGGGGAAGAAGGCCTATACGTTCCCATTGGTGAAGACGGGCGGTAGGTCGATGGCGTATGCGGGCGGGATGGAGAATAGCGCGATGACGGCGATAATCCCGTTGGTGACGTCGGACTGAAAGAGCGGCTGCGTGACGGCGCAAGAACGTCGGTTCTTGGTGTGTAATAATCCTTGCGTTGTGTGCGCTTCGATTCGTAGTTGTATGTTGGTGAAAGGCTTGATGGGTCGCGTAGATGCTTAGAACGCTTTTGATGAGGGCGGGTACTCTCGGTGGCAACATCGAGGTAACTGCGAGGTGATCGTGGTGCCTTGCGAGTCTTATGACGCCCACGCCCAACATCTCCACCGCGATCTGGTAATGCTTCCCCTGGTTGATAAAAATCAATGGAAAATAATTAGAGATGATTAACTTTTGCTTGTGAACGGCAATGTGAAGGTAAGGACGGACAAAATTATAGGTTTGAAACTATCAATATAAATGTCCAAATGTTTTAGAGTTGGAAAAGGAGGGGTAAATGTTTGATGGGAAGGACTATAAATTAGGGAAATCACGTAAAAACAAAAATAACCCCAGTATATCTACATCTCTATTCTCATACGTCCACATTCATCAAAAACTTACATTCCACTTGGCTGGAGAGACAAATGAAATAAAAAACATGCAGGCATGCAATTTTCCACAGACTAGATGTGACCAGAACGTACACATCTCTCCCGAAAATACTTCTGAACTAATGCCATATGACGCACTGAATGATCAACAGTTTTTTCATCAAATTTAGTTTCCTCGATATCAACAAGAAAAAAATTTGAAGAGTTATTCACCTGGAATCACGTCGACATCGGCAGAGCACGTTGCTTTGCCAGCTGGTGACGAAGCGATCGCTTGGTAGCGGCCTGCGTCTGTTGGTACGACACGGTAGATGACCAGGGATTGAAGTCCGTTAGGGAACTTCTCGACGTACATGTGATCGGAGTGCACGACATCGACGTTGTCCTTCAACCTTTTACGAGAAAAAACACAAAAATATCCCCACGTTAAAATTGAGAGCTCGTTTTTCTTTAGAAATCGGTTTTACATATACGACAAGAAACATGTTGAACGTTATACAGAAACACTAATGGTTCCAAAAACGAACATAAAATTGCGACTGTTTGAATTCAACGACTTCATTCTAGTTTCTTCTTTTGGAAGCAATTTTGTACTTTTATAAAGAATGAATATGTCTAAATCAATACGAATACATCCCTTGTTGCAAAGTCTACTCAGTTCATGGGTTTTCAAGGCATCCTTACAAGATGATTATCGCGAAGACAAAAAGAAATTAACATCATCAACCACATTAACAACATTATCTATAAGCGAGACAATGTCAGTTAAGGATCTAAAATACGTTTCATTTGTTCTGTAATGAAATGATATATCTGTAACTTGGGCAATCGACGGGGATCATATGAAACAAAATGGCACCCCTTATAGGTCCAAAAATGATAGTTAAAAATCAATTTTGCATGACCTACCAGGTGACCTTTGGTTCCGGCCATCCCATGACTTGGATCTCAAGCCGGACCTTCCTGCCTTCCTTGGCACGGATACGTCGCAGCGGCTTGGCGAAAGACGGACGGATGTAGTCCTCTGTTTCACTACGTGGTACTCCTAAAAAGAAACAAATTATATAATCGATTTATCGATTTCTACACGTCAACGATAATTCAACACTAATTTTATGTTCATAAATCTATATAGATTATGTGGCACATAAATAGGACCGTCCGAACCACGGCATAAAATGTAACACTCAGTCAAGAAGACAGTAGATAATATGAAAAGAGAGAAGAATATAAAGTTATATGCCACAGTTTATTATTGTATAATCAATACGGATCATTCATTCTGCCCTTGTTACAATACATTAGAAATTACGAAAGTAAATTCTCTCAAAACATCGTTTATATTTGACTGTTACCGTTTTTATCGAAATATGTGTACATTGACCGCTGGACTTACTTTGTTCAACGACCAGCTCGCAAGCTGAGGTCGCTTCACCCTCCGCGTTTTTGGCAGTGCACCTGAATGTACCGGTGTCGCTCTTGCTTGCGTGACGGATCTCGACCATGGCCACGCCCCATCGGTAGGTGATATTGTAGAACGTTCCATCGTAGATCGGTACACCGTTCTTGCTCCAAGAAATCTTCGGCTTCGGTGTTCCTTGCACGTTGCAGCTGATACGCGCCGGTTCGCCGTCGTACACGGTCTTTCGGCGTAGCGGCAGACTGAAGAACGGTAGTTGCACGCGGCTGCCGCTTCGGACCGGTTCGATCTTAGATCGGGATACCACACGCTCGTCCTCGCTAGACTCCCTGCATCAAAGAACATAGTTTAACAGAAATTTGGCGATTTAGATCACGTTGCTTGAATAATATGCGTGTCTATCTAATGAAGATGTGAAAATAGTTAAATGACTAATATATAATTAAATGACTGCTCGCCTCCTTTTTTAAGGTTAATCTAAATCTCCTTTACAACTGAACACGATAAGACGTTTCATTTTAGATGAAAAGATCAACAATCAAAATTGAAGAACTTTAAGATTGTAACAATCGAATAATGTAAGATTTTCATGAGATTAAAAAATAGCTAATGAAATAAACTATCTAGAAACATGCAAAAAAATGATCAAAGGAGGAACAACATCATCACAATTTGAAACTAAACAGAAAAAAACAACATGCAAGCTGAGACAATATTGATATAGCATGCACACCAAGAGTTTGAAGCATTATTTACCTACTGCATCATCCTAAACATTTAGCATTCCATCCTACAGAGTTAAGCAAGTTTAGTTCAATCATCCGCTTGAGAAGTTCTAATATGTTTTTATGATACGTAATTAATTTTGACTAATCGTGTTTTATCGTTTGTCTTCAAAGCTCAAGCCCGATTATAATGACCTTTGAGAGAGGTCTTAAACACACGTGGTTATGTCACTAACGCGGTATTGGGGCCATAAAAGTTCTCATTATGATTGCCCTCCAGTCGGCGGGGAGCTTTTGACCTCACTTAATTACAATCAAATTAGATTCGTTCAGACAGCCCTCTCGACCCGGTAGAATAGGTCTGTGCTCACATCAATCGTTCGAGAGCTTTTTTTACAAGGTTAAACCCCGAGTGAGTGATGGTCAAATGTATGATGCCAAAATTAAATGCATTGATATATCACGTGTTGATGCAAAACAGGTGTATGGTGGAGCTTAATTCTCATTAGACTCGAGTCTCTAGATTAAATTTCAATGTGTGATATTAATACTTTTGGTGGACTCCTCTATTCTATAGCTTGGTTGATATCAAGTAAAAATCTCGATTATTATGCAATTTTATGATACGTTATTCGCTTGGTAGTTACTTTTTGCACTCCTTTTGCTTTAATATATTTGACTAAATTATTTGATAGGCGTTAATCAATAATAAGAGCCTTTTGTTATCCATCTAAAATTAAGGAAAAATGATTGACAAATAACCGACTCTACATCATATAATTATACTATATTCTATTTCTTACACAACACTGTAACCAACTTCATACAAACAAATCCGACTTTTATTCTCAACTACATATTTATTAGATGCTTATTATACATATTTATTCTTCTAACATGACATGTCTCTTTCCAAAACAATGTTAATCCCGTCCTAAACAAGAAACAAGTTCAATCATATTATAGGATCTACACTAGTGTATCCGCTTAATGTACGAGTGAAAGCCTGCATGCTCTGGTCTAGGTCTGTTCATCAGTTGCGAATACTTGACATGCCAGCAGCTAAATTTAGCCCGCCTGGTGAGGGCAACGGGACACGTACAATCCCTTTCTATACGGGAGATCAAGGGAGGAGAGGAGCGCCTACTTTTTGATTGATATCCTATCGCGTCTCGGCCTCTAAATATTGGTATTTCCGTCTGGCGGGGGAAAAGGGGAAATGACTTTGGATCTTGGAAATATTTATGAAAGACCTACCAAATAATAACATTCAAATCCGTAACGTTCTAAAGGAAGTTATTTATGTCGATCGTTAGTATTTGGTTGGTAGGAGCATGTCTGATCTGGCCGTAACCACCCTTCCTCCAGTCAGACTCCCTTTAGTTTGCATTCTCCTTCCCTACCTACCGTACCGTGGGTCATAGTTGGAATAACGGAGCAGGAATTCAAATCAAACTGCCTTCCAACAAATCAGAGATCTGAAGCAAGTTTTGATACCGCAGATTTAGGGCGATTTCACTTGCAATAACCCCTCGGGGCTTCCAGTTTACATCGGAATCTTATTCGGACATCTTATCTTGCCTGTTCGTCGACCGACAAATGAAATATCTCGTCCCATCTCGTGCATTCCTATGTTCATACAAGGTTGGCGTACGGACAAGACATTACAGGCTTCTTCCGGTTAAAAATAGGGACTTCGTAATGCGGGATGTATTTGCAGTTTCCTCGGCAATGTTTTGACTCTCGTTTTGTTGTTTTGAATCAGAGATGACGTGTCTGAAATTGAGACATTGCCTGAAATGATCCATTTACAAGTTTCGCTTCGGCCTTCGTAACTTTATAGAATCCGCCATTACAATCCTTAATTTGACAGACACCAATGCGTACTACATTTTCAGGAATGTATCTGCTATAATCTGATTGAGGAACGTTTCTAGAATGACCACTCCGTTTTTTATTCTACAGGCCGAGTGTGGAGGAAGAGATAGTAGTTAGAATAAGAATGGATTTAATTTAGCATTCCATTAAAAGATCAAACGGTGGTCAAAATAAATTGGTATATTTTCAATAAATCAAGGATTTTATAAAAACCAAAGAATACCAGAAATATTCATTACAACTTAACTTTTCTGATGTATTAGAATTGGACTATGTGTATATGCCTGGATGTCAGGCGAAAGAACCTAACCATGAAAGACACGGCATACCATCCTCGTGATTCATCTTTCTCGCTCGATGGGGTACGACGAGGGGAGGGGTTGGACTTGAGAGACAGAGACAGATCGGGTGGTACAGGGATGGAGGAGACAAGATAGAAAGACAGTTTGGTTCTAATGACACAGGCACGGGCCGGGCTGATAATTATTGCTTGGAATCTGTGAGATGACAGGGTCGCATACCCGAGCTATGTTTCTGTCTTCAGGGGGCATGGGGCCCGGGAATAGGGGCGGTTGGCTAGAATACAAGAGCGTAAAAATCACCATGTACTTGAAATGTCTTTACCTTGGTAATTAGCTTTCTATCTATATGAATACCATGACCCGACGGTGTCTTTATTCGTTGGGATTAGCACTTCAAATATGTCAAACTATGCATATTTCTGCTGTCAATTAATGTGTACGTAATGTTTTTAAGTAACGATTCAACTACTCATATACCAAACGTTCCTAAAAGAAAAATAGACAGGAACATAAAGTAGACCATAAGGAGAATTTCATTTTCGATAGATTATGAATCCTCCCTTTAGTCTAAAAGGGAATATATCCAAAAATTTGCGCGTTCGTCCAGTCATCCAACTTGAAACCAATAACTTATAAAGCTTTCACATAACAACATCGGCACTCATCATCCGAATACGAGGGTATCACATAATGGATATAGAATAGATTTATTATTTTAAGTGAGTAGGTTGCCATGCAGTTTACAAATAATGAATCGGAAACACCTAGATACAAATATACACTACAACTACAATTAGGACTTCTACAAGCTTAGATAATGGTATACAATTTTAAAGATAAAAAACATGCGTGAAACTTTGAAACAGATTTCGAATTCCGAGTTGTTCACGCGTGTTATAGAAGAATTATACGAGAATATATCTACCAACTTAAGCTTACCTCCCCAATGCCAAATAATCCGATATTCATACAGAAAGAAAGACAAAGTTATTTCCAATAAAAATACGAATAACTGCTATGAAGGACTACCTGTCATACCGTCTGCTAATTCCATATCTACTATAGATATTGTAGATAGACATGATTCCGGCTCACCTTCAGCTCTTGTTTGTATAAGTGGAGTGGGAGAGGATTTCTGAATGTGTCTCACCAGAGAAGACGCATTTTATTAATAGCTCGAGAGCCGCCGACTTGTTCATAAATACACACCCTATCGATTTCGCATTCTTTTACCACAACAGCCGCGTGACTTAAAGGCCAGGAGTAACAGATGTAAGTAAACTTGAAAATCGTGGGATTTAAAAGTATATTTAAAGTAGCGTCTTCGTCTTACAAGCTTTATCCACATTTTTCTCGATACAAGATGTGGGGTATGGTTTTAATATCGGTTAAAGGTAGTTATTAATTAGTTTGTTTTCTTCATATGATTAGTCTAGATGTCTGTTGCATTTACTTAAAGTTAGCCTGCAAAGGTATTTGCCAACGATACTTGAGTTACACAGATTAGAGGCCCCATCTCGATAGGTTTTCAGTTTAAGATGGTGGCAGTTATAAATAAAAGACTTTTTAGTATCGGCATGTTTGCATGATAAAAAAAGCGATTGAAATTCGTAGCGTGTTAGTTGTGTTGATTTGACAAAAAATATTACGAATTATTCATCTAGAAACACCCTACTCGGACTCAGTTAAAATTTCAACGTACACATTTGACCTTTCGAATATTTATATCGTTTCGCCTCTTACATACCCAGATGACAACACAAGCGTGGGATGGTTATCACATCTTGTTTCAAGAATCTAAAAGTATTTTGTTATCTTTCAATTATGTGCAATGATATCTAATACAGAACTTTAGCATGTACGGTGGACTTATTTTTCTTTCAATTTGGATCACCATAATACCTCGTGTATACATGTCTTCAAGACGATATTTTGCCGAATATTTCTTTGGAAGCGTCAATGTTCCTACGCAATATGGTCTGCTGAGTCGATCTCTTTGAGTTTGAGCATTTTCTTCAATATGACAAACGTTTTCAAAATTGTCATCCTTATCATGAAATTAAATATTTTAATATCTAATTAAATGATTCAATAGGATATTGAATTATATGATATTGTTCTGAGATCGTTTTAAAATATCTGACCCTACTTTCTATGATAATATGAAATAATAAAAAGAATGTTTCAAAGAGAAATTACATGTGATCCGACCAATTACCTATTTCAGAATATGACATAACTCAAATTCCTGTTAAAAGCAAAACAATTCTAAACAACATAATATATGAACTTACTGCCTAGTCACCCTATAGTGTATATTGCATTGAAAAATTACAGGCAAATTCTGTAGTGGCCATACATAAGGAATATGGTCTCGCACAGAATGGAAAGCATTTTGATGAGCATGACACTGATTTACGTTGGTGCCACATGTTTTGATCGAATTCCACGAATTCGTTGGGGGAATCTGTCTCTGTACATCAACCTTGCCATTCATGAAATACCTTACTTTGTGTATACTCATTGCACATTGGCCCCACCTATTGAAAGATAGGTAGGGTTGGTCTGACAGTTTGTCATGTATGGTGAATCATATAGAAAACAAATAATGAATGCCGGGCCAATATATATACCATTTTTCAAGATTTAAGTAACCAAACAGATCCCTCCAAATCGTCCTTTTTTCGATCTAAGATCGAAGACTTTGCATGCACTATCTAATTACTATACGTTTCTGAGTGTTCATTTTATATGGGAAGAAAACATGAAAGCTTATAGTGGTGGTAAAGGACTAAAACTTGATTAAATCTTTGTCAAACAAGATTGTTAATAAATATTTGGTGATATTATTCTTTGCAATTGTCTCAAAGGAGAACGACGAATAATGCCATCAGTTATCAAGGGCTCAGAAAACCCAAAAGGTATGATTCATGACTGTTATTTTACTATCTAATAGGGTACATAATTCTTAGTTCTATCAATATTATGAGACGATGAATGTTATTTCATACCATTATTTTACTATTATTATCATTATCGGCGCCGTCGTGATCATTATCGTCATAATAACTGATGTTGTTGATACTATTTTGTTATTACAACGTTTATTTTTTACAAAGTGCATTGGTGAACAAGAAATAAGTGTGTCTGATGCTGAAGACGATCACAGTTAACAGATGCCTGCGATGACGATGAAGATGAAGATATTTATAGATAGGACATATGTCGGCATTTAAGAGATAACACATACCCATCAGATCACGTTAAGATCCCTGGGTAGTGACATTAATGTTACAGCGTCATGATAAGCTATCGATTCAGGGATGGGTTAATAAAGAACATCTGAAGAGGGAGAAGAGTTAGGGATGATGAAAGGATTGAGGTTGAAAAGATGGAATGAAAAAAGACAGGAGTCAGGGGGAGAGGATGATCAAAGTAGTTTTTTGTTTTGCTGCTATGATCTCTCATCGAAGGGAACAATGACACCATTTTTTAGTTGGTTGACGATACAGGCAATCGACTGAGTGAGGTTAAAAGAAGACAGATATGGGTTGGGAGGCAGACAGATATAGGATTTATACCACAAGGCGTGGGGAAATGAAAATGTTAAAGTTAATCATTAACAGCAAGATGACATACAGGAGGGAGTCGATTGTTCGCTATCATGAGACGTTCGGCTTAGCAAAGAGATGGACAGACATGGAATGTAAAGGGTGACGATAAGGGTAAAATTATGCGGAGAAGGGGTGTGATGATGATGATAAAGAGATGGGGATCACAGAACGGGGGAAATGAACATATTAACAACTAGTTTCTCATAATACAAAGACACACAGGAGGGAGGCGAATTGTTCGCCATGATATAGAATGATGTTGGGCTTAGTAAAGAGATGGACAGACATGGAATGTTGAGGGTTACGGGAAGGGTAAAGGGATACGGAGAAGGGGGAGGGATGTGATGGGAGTGAGGAGGAGATGGATGATGATGAAGATGAGGGAACGAACTTGCATGGTGACCCTTGATCTGATAGGCATGATAGGAATGTCGCGAGGGCTGAGACATAAACACTACATAGCGAGGATCCATTACATAGACAGCCCGCTGCCTTCTGCTTTACCAAGGATTATATTGATGTATCACCGCGATTTAAAGAGAAACATCAGTTAACCTTATAACTTTTGCTCCTCTTCTCTAGTTATCTCAGTTTTATTACTTCCTTGTTTATTTACTTTTTTAAATTACTGGTCATTCCATTCCTGTCACATCCGAATCCTTATCTTTTATCGGCTCTCCTATCCTTGCAATTATCCAGTGGAATGCATTTTCTTGAATATATTCGTTAAAGCTATATTTGTATTCTTTCGCTTCATCAATAACTAGTATAGGTCTATATCTATCTTTCTGATTGTTATTGTGATATCTACAATTTATGTAACGTATGTGCAATATGACAGGCATGCAAGCTTTATGTTGTTGAAAGTTATATATTGAAGAAGTTCTCTACAATTACTTTGACTACCTATTTTAATCATGCATTTTTATGCTCACTTACCTGTAAAACTTTCTTTTATATAACTGCTTCACATGCAAACTGGAACACACAAACACAACAACTTTAACAGCAACCGCCCATGAATCGATAATTTCACAGAGAATAAACAAAATGAACATCTCAGACACTGCATGAAATTTGCTACAAAGGGTTATTTTGATTTTAGAGATATGAATTACAAATGTCTATGAGTAAATTAATTGTATGTAATTGTATATTGCGATTGGAACATGTCAACACAGCAACTTCGGAAATTGTTATCTGTTATAACTTATCTATAAAATGTTACAGGTGACTGACGCATTAATGGGGTCCCTTTAGATTTCGAGTGAATTTATACATGTTTTTTACAAATACCTTAGCAACGCCTTCCATTTAAGATGTGAAAACCTTGTAAACACGAACTGACGGTATATATATATATATATATATGGACGTTATAGATTCACTAATTAGCATATTGTATTGTTCATAGTATGTTGCATGCAGGCAAGACTAATTCTATTCTTCTGTAATCCATTCATCAGTCTTTTGATCTGGCACTTTATTTAATGCAAAACATGGGTAGTTTGGGAGAGATTTTACTTTAGTTTTCTCTCTAGTTTGGTGTACAAAATCCGGCAAATTTATAAGAGTTCACACACATGCATAATTCTACATTAACGTCACATCAAAAATCCAAATTGAAAGTTCAAAAAGTGATAAGAAATATTTTCTATTTTACTTACATTGAACGTGCGGATCCTCCCTCGCTATCCACCCCAAGGCCTGCATAGGAAGAAGAAGAATATGGCTGATTACGCTGATAGTCAAGTTTGTGATTTTTACGATAGTTCTCTCGGATCTGACGAAGTCGTTCATCGATGGGGACCTCGTTCTTTCTCGACGTCGCTGGTGATCGTGGTGGTGTTGACGTCGATGTGATGGTCGAACTAAATCTGCCCATGTGTCTCGCGTAAGGTCCTTTAACGCTCTTCCCCTCACGGTTTGCTCGATAAGCCCTGTGAGGCGCCAGGGGAGAGAAGTAAGGATCGTCGCTTTCGCTCTTACTTTCGCTGTCATCGTCGTTGTCGTAAGAATAGGTATCCGCGTAGCTCGCGCGATACGAGGGCGTGATTCGGGATACATCACTATAGCTGTGCGATCGGTATCCCAATCCGCTAGAATACGACGGTTTAGAGAGATACGACGACGACGCAGGCTCTTCGCTGCGAGAGCGATACGATCTCGATGGTGCCAGCGAATCAACGCTCCCATAACGACCTAGAGACGAGTACCCGGACGATGACGAACTAGTTGTACTCGAGGGAACATAGCGAGGTAGACTATCGTAGGATGTGCTTAATTTCTTGTTGAGTGGTGCTAGGTAACGATTGGATATTTCGCGAGTGGTGGCGTCTAGACTTGAACGTCGCTTGCTTCTATCCAATAAGGCACTAGAGCTAGTGGTAGTAACACTTCTAGGTACGGAACGAGGTTCATAGGTCTCAAGCGGTGCTTTATACTCAGGATCATATCGACTAATAAGGGTGTTTCTAGGCTCATCGAATGTTCCTTTTGATTTTCTATCATTACGATCTGATTTCCATCGAATTTGATCCTCGAGGGCGGTGAGGAGGTCTTTGACCCCTCTGTCACTATCGGACACCGGCTCATAGTCGAACTCATACTCCTCGCTGTCCGTATCCACCTCGATATCGGGGACGTCGACCAGGAGATCGTAGGGATCAGTAGTGTCTCGATCACGGTAAAGATATGAATTAATCATGTCCTTGACCGTGGGACTGCTAGGCCGATAAGAACTCCTTGATGCTGATGCTGCTGATCGCATATCCATCGAGGTGTTCACCCCGGTGCCTGTAGTACCTCGGTATCGATGCTGCAGTCGCTGACTATCCTCTTCTTCTTCTTCTCGGTCATGGGCGTCGCGCGGGAAAGACTCAATCTCACTTGCGATGCTTGGAGGATCCTCCTCTGTGATTGGATCTGTTGTTTCCATGGTAATCTCGTCATCAATCGACATCTCGCGCTCATAAGGGATGCTGCTAGCTCTTGCCGCGGAAGACATCGTCGCTAACCCTTCACCCGAGGAGACGCTACCGGCTGGGGTGAGGATATCGGAGTTACCCCCTCCACTTCGCTTATCCGATGGATAATCTCCATCCTCTCGAATCATAAGCTCGTCATCGTATCCTCCACCAGATGTATTCAAGACATCCTCGTCTAGCTTTAGTTCCCCGATCTCCTCTTCGCCCAAGACTTCGCCGTTTACATGTCCGTCTTCCATATTTAGATATATTGTCTTAATGACCAATGAAAGTCTAAATTAAATAATATCCCATGTAATGCACCTCCGCTGAATATACATAAGATTTTAGTTAAAGATCAAATCCTGATTTCGTTCAGAAAATAATTCTTGAAAGTCACTGTTGAAATCCTTGAAAATTTGAATGTCAATATCAAAACATGGATGAAATTCCTCGTACTATTCCAAAAACTCATCACACAACCAAAGCAGGAAAATCCAAGTTAACACATAAGAGGAAGCACAGCAATGCCTAACTATTTCACCACGGCAAGTTACGCAAATATCCTTAACAAGTCCTGAAAAAAGTCCTTTAAAAAGATTATCACGACGTGATTGTTCCAATGATCTTTAAAAATCAATTAGCTTATTCTTCCAATGCAGGCCTAATAGTTTCCCTCCACTCCGACCCGGCCGCGCTCACGCTACGGGTTGGTAGCAAAGGCAAAACCGCCACTCAGTAGCGGTTCTTTCCAAACCAAGTACAATCGTCACCGATGAATGTAGTGTTGGATATTAGTAAAGCGCGGGGCCGGGGGTCGGGTGGCTAAAGAGAGCGAGAGAAGTGAGTTCACTTGCTCACACCACACGTCATACTACAAGCGAGAAAACGATGTAAGCTGATCACATGAAATAGCAGTCATGCCAGTTGGATGGTGAAATCTGAAACCTAAGAGGGGCAGCGTAGACTGATGACACCCCCTTTGCCAGGCCAGCCATCCAGCGCAGCCCACGAACAGCCGTTAGCTCACTTGAAAATGTCACGAGAGTCGAGATGCCTAAGCTTGGGGTGTCCTGCCGTGCCTACAGCGCAGGGTAAAAGCAGGGGCGAGGGTCGACACGGCGAGGCCAGCCCGAGCAAAACGCTGCCTTATTTGGTGCGTCCAATTGGTGCCTGTTAAAGTCCGCAGATAGATCTATCACATCGGCTGTATACAGATACAGCTACCCTGAACTGAGCGACGTATGATGTGGAGTTCATTACCGGTTACAAGCCTCTTCTAACGAACCAAGCCGCCAGACACGGCTTTTGTCATCACGCACGGTGGGTCAGTCGATGAAAATCACACGATTCCAACTGGGGTACATCGTCTTAGATTCCCATCTGTTTGCTCTAATCAAATTGGAATATCAAACGATTTCTTGATCTTCTTCCAACAAGATCCAATCAGATAATTCCGTTCAGCTGCAAACTGTTAAAGAATATCTCACAAGCTGCATCTAACATCTCATAATTCAGCTCTTTCCTTGCCGTGTTATTTGGATATACTCCAATCATCGATCAAACGCATTCATGTATCAAATCATTGCCAACATTCATTAAAGCTATTGAAAAGCAGGGTTATCGTGGGCACAGACCTTAACGATTGACAAAATAAGTGACAACAAACACCTTACTCATCCCACCATTCACACTCTCCTTCAACCATACACTTAAAATCTGTTTGCATAGAGGTGGGATGCCCTCATCTTAAAACATATTAAGCGTGGGCTGGTTCTGTGTTTATCAGTCAACAAGGTAAACGAGTATTCAGAGGAAGTTGTCACAACACTGATAAAACCTTATCATTAAGACGCCTAAGTAAACAACTAAACGATCCACCCCAAGGGTTCGTCTTCTCTCTTGAATAGGTTTAATGATGTGCATCCGATGATGCAGACACTTGTATAGGATTTTAGTTTTTCTTAAAAGATATTAATATGGTCTTCCCAACTTCGATTTTCTCCAAATTTGCTTAAATTGAATGTAATCATCCAATTGATCTCGAAATTGAATGAAAAATCTCGAAAGAGAATCAAGCATATCGCAAAGCTTTCCTGCATGACAAATCAGAGCAGATGTGCATGTCGTTTAGTCTGGTGGACTGGGAATACTTTAGAGATTTGAGGGTCTATGGACTGACTGAAACATTCTACATGTATTAAACAAATGTGAAAGATATGTACGCATAAATTTGCAAACATTTGTATATAAACTCTTCCTTGGAAAAGATAAACTTTCAATTAGGGGCCTATATTATCTGAGTCGAATCACTTTTTGTAATTGCATGTCAAGTGAAAGACACTTGAGACGTTTCGCTTTCATAACAATAACTCTACAAACTGAAGAATGTCAAATCTTCCTTTGCGTTCCTGAACATTAATCTGTGAAAATCATTTATCATGTATGTTATGATAACAATTATGAACCATAATCACTTAATGAGCTTTTAATTGTAATTGCTTTCACACTGTCCCTTTTGGAATGAACAATTCCTTCTGATCCTTCACGTATCAACCTACTTGAATTCAACATCATGACACGCATAGTGCGGTTGCCAGACAATTTGATTTTGCAAGCGCTTCAAATTGGATCTGACAGATGTACAGGAACAACAAAAAAAGTTCGGTAATTAAAGGGGGTATAAACAATACTGTGATGAATACACCACTCTACTCGCTTTTGTAATCATGTGGTTTACGCCGACCTCATATTCACACCATCTCTTGCCTAATCTCAAAAGCAGTCCAGAGCTACATAGCGATGGTGTTAATTACAGAGTGAAACGAACTCGGGAGAGTTGCATTCCTCTCTGGGGGTGACGGTGAGTTGAGAAGTGTATCTTAAAGACCTACCTGCCCGGTCATTTACGACTCGGGCTTGGTAGTATAATGATGTGATCCAATAATTTCAACCATAACAGGAAAATGCCCGTCTAAATCGTTTCTCAAAGTATGTAGCGTTGTTTGCCTACGTCTTCATTTCCTTTCATGATTTGTCTTCTATAAAGTAATTTAACCCCTAAATCACGATTTACCTTTCTGCCCCTACTTATACCTTACATCTTTCATCAAACCCTTAATTTTCTCCAGTGGTGCTATGGTCTATGTTGAGTGATCCCGTTTCTCATCCACCCCCAAACCCCGTTCATACTTTATTGGACAAGACCCAAAGTCATTATAGGCCCGACGCAACATTCATGATTCATCCAACTACATAAGAGCCTCTCCTAAAAGCTAAGGACACAGGACGCATCCACGTACTTTGTTCGCTTGCAGAAATTAAATATTTGTGCTGAATAAAGTAGCCGATTCCTATCGGGCATGCGTATTATCGGTTTCTAAAGGTACATTGGTCAAATATTCCGTTTATTTTATAAAACATATCTTACAGCGAAAGCTTGAACACAAGAAAGCAAGATAATCATCAAAACATAAATATATTCGCTTTGCTTGGCAATGCATTTTGAATAGAAAGTTTGACGAGTATTGGAAACTGTTGAAGTAATCCATTAAAGCTATATTTGTGACGAACTCTTGAGGCTATTAAGCCTAAAGATATAGACTGGTAGTGGTAAAATTGCGGTTCTAGGGTTTGGGTGCAAAATATCCATTCAATATTGTTTAAATTTTGCCTTCAGAGGTTTAGATGGCAATACTTCAACCTAAATTCGCAAAAAACAGAAAAATATGCCCAAATGTTCAATGTTGAAGTGCATTCGTGATATCTATACCTATCCATGCCGGATCGATATGATAATTTACCAAATATATCAATTAGTAGGTGGTTTCCCGGCAAAATTTGTATCATCATGTATTGGTCAAAACATTCTTTCACATGGTTTGTAATAAGAGCTTCAATTTCATTTTTTGAGAGGGGAGCGTTTCCAAAACTGGTCTATACCTTTAAGCTTTCTTAATATAAATACGGTTATTCCTAGTAATTGTCCGACGTAAGATGACGTCTTAATAGCTTCATTCACTCATTCGTAACAGAAGTAATGAGTCTTGACGAGTTACAGACGACCAACCTTTCTACGCGCATCATTTTACAGCTGGCGGGAAGCTAAAAAAATCACCTCATGACAATTGACATTTCGCTGTCCAGGTATCGCGGCATACCTGCATGTGTCTCCGCTGGAGCATCGAAATTGGAGTAAGTAAAAGAGCCCCGAACGGTATATTGAAATGTTATGACAGATTGTTTCGTTTACATGTGGCAAGTGTGTTTACTCAGCATTGTTAACTAACAGTTAAATGCCTAGCTGGTGTTTACGCAATGGATTATGAAGATAAACGGAAAGGGCATACGTGTAGTATATCGCGTGAGGATACTTAAGAACATACTTAAATGTTATACCACACTGCTTTTAAGTTAACGCATAAATAAACTGTTGAGTGCATGTTCTCTCTGTGGTCGATTTTCGATTAGCCCACAAAAGTTTAAATTGTGATCACCCGATAATTGTTTACATATTTGAATGAAAAATATAGAAACTGTGAATAAATTTGAGATTGTTCTGATGGCACAGACTGTTGTTAATTTGACAGGACTTGAAGAGTCTCTGGGAAAATTGCATCACAAATTTTGAGGGGCATTAGCCAAAATGATCACATTCGTCTCCATTTCATGTCAAATCGGTTCTTGTTTACTTCAAAACAAAAAACTCCAAGAATGTTAAGATATTTATTAACATGACACCATTTCGGACATATTATTTAATCTCATCTGTTAAAACAAATAAAATCAAGTTCAATAGAAGCTCATCTATTATTACAACGTAAGTTACATGTATCCCTCGTCTGCATCCAATTAAAGGTCATGTTATCCGTGATTCAAGAGTTCGCAAAGTAAAGAATCGAATTGTCTACCCATGTGAGTACCAATCGTATGTTACAGTTCATCACCTAAATTTAAACCCCTGATATCAAATGTGTTCAATAAATCACTTGGTATCTAACCTTTAAAACTGTCAAAGAGTGTGTATGCCTGCCGTTATGTTTATGCTTTCCGTAATAACATGAGAGCTTCGTATACTCGACGTACGAACGGGAAATCGACCACCAGCGACTTTTTGTGGTCTAGGTGCTCTTTAAAGTCGTCTTTTGACCGACTAAATCATAAACCTATCTAAACTAAAATAAACCCTTCCAAAGTTTCTGAAATTGGGGGTTAAATTAAAGTTACAATCCATTTTACTGTGTCAGCTAGGTGTTTTCTAAAATATGTTTCTGCTACTATTTTAGCTCCGACACTGGCATTCCTAAACTAATAGGAAGGTAGAATAAAGATCAAATCAAATTTAAAACAAAATTCTACTGGCCTGTATTGGATGAATTTACTGTCTTCGGTAGATATAAAGTGACTTTTCGTTTGATTTTAAAACCAATCATACTACACATCCCTTATTTACTTCTAAGTGAACTAAATCTTTTAGAAACTTGCGTCTTTCACTTTTCACCGAATGAATGAATGAATGAATTTACTGACAGGCGAAGATCTGAACACACTTTATTTTTTTTGCGAATTGTGTCCTAAATTAAATTTCGCTATTTTCGGCTGATCATACATATCAGGAAGTTTACTTCAAATATATATTCACACTTTAAACCTCTCCATGCTTTGCTCACATTAATGAAAGACTAAAATATTAAAAAAAACTTCTACTGGTCTGTATCAGATGAATTTACTGTCTTCAGTAGATATAAAGTTACTTTTCGTTTGATTTTAAAGTTAATCATACTACACAACCCTAATTTACTTCTTAGTGAACTAAATCTTCAAGAAACTTGCGTCTCACTATTTTCAATTGATTAAATACTGGCAGGCTAAGATATGAACACCATATTTTCTTTGCGCAGTGTGTCCTAAATTAAAATTTGCCATTTTCGGCTCTGATCATACATATCAGGAAGTACATTTCAAATCTATACACATTTTAACAACATCTCCATGATTTTTGCTGATATTAATGAAAGACAAAAATTAGAAAAATAGAAACTAAAACAAGATTTCTCTCAACAATAGACAGATAGTTTTAGGTCTAATTTTTACGATACGTCTATGAAAGAAATCTTAAAAGCCTGCAGCACTAAGTTTATTTTCACATTACTTTAATAGAAAAAACATGTTTACAGAGAGGTAACTCATACACTGTACATGTATCATCTTGTTTGGTTAATTCCCAGAAATGTTAATGAAAGCGTAGGATAGGATGCCGACCTTGAACATACCACCGCTACTCCAAAATATCACCCAACCACATTATAATTAACAAGACAAATGGAAACATCTGTCGAAAGAGGCATCACGTCAACAAAGTCCAACGCAAAACCATAATTATAATCATATTGCAACGATGTAAGTGAGTGCATATGACATGAGTATTTTTGTTTGCTGGCTTCCTGTTTTTCCCGCCTCGCCTGCTCCCTGTTTACCCATCTTCGCTCCTCTAACTCATTCATTTATTCATTCATTCATTCAAACATGTATTCATTTTATACTGCATTTTCGCTCTTTTCTATTTTTTGTAAATTATTTTCCTCATAAATTGCACTTCTGAAATTCTTTAAACATAAGTACAATCATCTAAGTTCTCTAGTGGTCAGTTAACGGAACTCCAATTTCGTTTTTAAATCCAGCAAGGATGTGTTTTTTAACCGGTTCCTGGCATTAAACATGCACTTTCAGTCCTTTTCAGAAATCACAATCCAGGGTTGAACTTTGATGTTAATCAAATTATCCAGTTATTCCTGTGGACCTTTCTTAAAAAATGGTTGTTCAATTTTCACTAGGGCTTCTGTTGGAAACATCGAGTAACCCCCTCTCTCTCCTTGGTTTCTTTTAAAACAGATGCAAAGTGTCAAGCATCTCCGTCTTGACAAACGTTCCTCTTTCCACTTCAAATGGACTAGATGATTATGGACCCTACATTCGAGTCTTCTGTTTCATCAATTTATTAGCCTCATCATAATGGCCTCTGTGTAGCTTTCTTCTGCAGAGCAGTTCCCATGTACTCTCAAATGAAAGAATACACTTTCAAATGAAGCAAAAAGGATCTTTTCCTCCTTTTCCGTAGTTCCATTCTGTCCCTGAATGTTGGTGGATTTGACATTAGGATCATTTCACATTGAAATCATCTAATGCTTTGAAGTCACATAGTCAGTGGTATCATTCACTACAATACACATGTAACATGCCATTCTCTCAAATGATCCAGTCCATGTTTCTCTCCCCTCGGTGCTTCCTAGTGGCGTTTGTTTCCTACGTTCAATGGATTTTCAGTGACACTTTGACGTGGCTTAGATCCACTAAATAAATGTTTTCACTTATCGCTTTGTGACAATGTGCGGTCTTCCACTCTCTTCTCCAAGTAAATGATGATGATTCTTCCACTCCAATGATCTTGCTGGTTTTCCCCATGGGCCGCTCAGGGGCTGGTTGACCTGTGACTTCAGAGTCGCATCGAAATTCCCCAACAAAATATCATGCCCAGTCCGTCCTTGTACCTCGAGACATATATTTGAGTTTACGCTTCTCATAGCTAATCTTCATCCAACAGTATCAACTTAATGTTTTGGTCCTCGCCTATCTTTCGTTTCCCAGTTTTTACAAATGAAATTCTAACAAACTGAAAAATTGAATGTTCTTGAAGGTACATGTATAAAGCAATAATGGTCACAAACTATAAATAGACCCTGTTCCATCACTTCATCAAAAGGAAGCACACGATCAATAGATTCAGATGAATAGAAAATAAAGACACAGTGACACATTTCGTTTTTTATTTTGATAACTGTAGGGAAAGGAATGAAATGACACATCTATATATAGATATACTGTGCAATTTTAAGATGGTAATCTCTTGACACATATTTAACACATACACACACGCACACGCACACACACTCACACATTCACATTTAATGAATTCCATTCTCGGTATTACATTTCTTTATCATGCAAACTGCATTACATACAACGATGGTGTGGAACGTATTTCTGATCATCAGAATTCTAATTATTGCCTGCCAATTCTTAAAATTTACAAAAATGCAATATTTCTCTTTTTCTTTCGTTTTATAATTAAGAAATATATCTATTTTTCAAAACGAATCTCTGAACTTTTCTGAACTCGTGAATGCAAATGTTACGTCTCACACATATTGTAAGAAATAATCCAGAATAGAATTTGGTGAAAAGGAACATCTAAAGGTATTGTTTGTCTTTATCTGACCTGTGAAATCAGTCGAAGTCCCTAGTACAATTTGTTCCACAATGTAAGTCATAATGTAAAAGGACAACTGATAAGAGAATCGTGCAGGACTTACGTTCAACCCTGACGTAGGAATCGCAGGAGATTCTTCCAAGGAGGTTGGAGGCCAGACAGGTGTAGGTTCCCGCATCTTGGAGGAAAGCCTCTTGGATGATGAGGCTACAGGTTTCATCGTCTTCTCCAAACTCGATCGAGTAGTGCTGGCCATCAAAGATCTCCTTGTGGTCCTTGAACCTGGAGGATATAACCAAAGGGAGATGTCATGGTCTTGTGGATCGAACACTTAAGCTTGAAAAAACGCTCTAGTTTCAGTTTCGGCATTTACTTATCTTGTAGCTTAAACTGCTTTGAATATTTGTTTGTGAACAGAACATCACTTCTTACAGAATTATAGCACAAAAAGAGCTGAAATATTAATATCAAATTAAACTACGAAGTTGTCAGGCAACCAACGAGAGTTGACAGGAATATTTCTTCATCAAATTAAGACTTGGCCATTGTAAACGAAAATGAAACGGTAAAGGGATCAAAACTGTTTAGATGCATACCATCTGATGTTGGGTTCAGGTACTCCAGTCACCTTACAGTCGAGTCTAGCAGCACTGCCTTCCACAATGAAGATATCCCTCAGGTGGAGGTCGAAGTGAGGTTTGCGGTAGTCCTTGAACTTGGTCAAGAATAGTTCTGCAAAAGTAATATTTATGAATATGTTTAGATGTTTAAACATGATTGTAGCACGTGTTAAATAATTTTAAAAATTAAAGTGGAAAGTTAAACAGCTTTAAAAAATGAACGACACAAGTTTAGAGGGAGTCTCCAACAATTTGGCAGAAAAAGAAAAGAAAATAATAATTCCAAGAATCAACAAAAAGGTACATGGAGAATTAATCATGCGAAAATCCACCTTTTCTATACCTATACCCTATACTTAATTTCTATAACTATACATTATAACTTATACATGGATACATGCAAGTGCCGCAAGGATAGGCTTAGACTACCTGAAATAGAACTGGAAACAAAAGTCTTACCATTGACGTCCAGTCTGCACTTGGTTGCGATACTTCCGTACTGGTTGGAAATCTCTGCAGTGTACTGGCCCTTATCCTTCTCAGTAGTACCGTCAATCTCCAGTGTGTGGACTCCATCTTCCTCGTAGAAGTGGTAGTGAGCACCGGGCTTCAGTGGCCTGTCCTCGTGATACCATTTCACCTTGGGTTCAGGCATACCTGGGATCTCGGCAACTGTTGAAAGAAACAATGGGCCGTTAAACACTGTACACAGAAAGATGTATATGGGACTACATGGACATGTGGCGTAAAGATCCGTCCCGATTTTAATGCTGTTACATGCCATATTCAGAATATCACGGTAAAAATAAATTAATCCCTTTCTTTCATACATACATTCAGACACTTTTTAAATAACATAATTTCTGTCGATTCTGAGCGTTCTTCTGGATTGCATGGAAGATTAAAAATGATATGCTCTTATACTTTGCCACCATTTGGATAAAATCATGGGTGTTTCATCTAATCGCAACAAGAGTAGATTATATTACAGACTTGCTTTGATTAGTTCTTGTAATGCACACCCACATTTATTTGAGTAAAAGGGATTGGATGAAAGTGATTATGTATACCTCCTATTTTCCAGTCACATTGCCAAAAATGACTCTTTATCAACCAATAATTTGAATATTTTGTGTAAATATCCATTGATTTCTAGTTCGTGTTTGCTAACAACTGGGGGAGGGGGGGGGGGGGTTAAACGCACCTTGGAAAGAGAGAGGCATGATGAAGCTAAAGCCGCATTCCTGGTCTTCAAGTGGTCTGATCAGCTGTGGAGCCTTGTCACTGCTGGGTGCCTCGGCCTGGGCTTTTCTTAGCTTCTTAGCTCGTTCACCCAGAGGAATCCTAATACGATGAAATAAATTATAATGAATAAGATGTCCAATGGTTGAGGAAAGATTGTGTGAGCCATGTTTTTCTTCATGATATAATAGTGTGAACATGACGTAGGGGGACATAACTTCCTGCACATAATATATGGAAACATTCTTGATTTAATTCGACTTAAGTTAACATTTGTCCTTCATGTATCATCTGTAAACCATATGAATAAGATCTTCTTTCAAATTCATACAAATCTACGAAATATATTAAATTTATTCTTATCTTTCAAATATCTGCATAAGATATTAAAAACACTTAAAAAATATCTATATATATAAAAATGTATTTTGAAAATGTTTTCCTTTTCATTCTACACACAGTTGTGTGACATTTAGAGTACTTTCATAAGGATTCTACAGTTATCTATACCAAACACGAAAAAACCGGAGACAAAAACAAAATACTTTGTGACGGAAAAACAGAAATGAAATGACTTACTTCTTTCTCTTCATGTCAAGACCTCTGCGTTCTCCTCTTGAGTCTAGCTCTTTCGCATCGAGCACTGTATTTAAAAAAAATAGGAGGATAATTAATTGCATTTGATAATAATTTCATGTGGTTTAGTTTCATTTTGTTATAAATTCAAATTCAATCAGTGATACGGATCAATGTTTATTAGCATAGAGGAGAAAATATCAAAATCACAGGAGCAAAATGGTTGGAGTTTGATAGTGATCCACTAAGAGCTATCAAGGCACACTAAAAATCTAAATCTCAAACGAATATCTGAAAAATGTTTTATAATAAAATAACTCACATTGCACATCTAGGCTGGCAGATGAGGTAGCATGTCCGTAAGAGTTGACCGCCTTGCACGTGTACTCGTCGATATCATCGAACTCAGAATCTTGAACGATGAGGGTGTACTTGTGGTCATCGTAGAGCATCTTGTACTTGATACTGATAATGAGTTCTTGCTTGCCTCGGAACCAGGTGATGAGAGGTTCAGAGAGGGCGGAGACCTCACACTCAAAGCGACCAGCGTTACCTTCGATCGCCATGGTGTTCTCCAAGGGCTTGATGAACTTGGGTGCTGCATCGCGGACATCTAAAATAAGCCAAGAAAATATCATTAATGTTAAGTGAAAGATTGTAGCCGTCAGTTTAATTCGGCATTGTTGTTAAGAAAGATAAAGCATATTAGAATAAAAAAAAATAATTTTCTTTGCGTACCTTTAAAATAAATCAAGTAAATCTACAAAACATTATGGACAACATGAGCTAGACATTACATTTAAAATCAATTTTTGTTAACTTTCATCTGACATTTACCCCATTATCTATGAAAAGTAAACGGTTCCTGTGATAACTTAAGCAGAATGAGATAATTCAGTGGTCAATGGATAATCATATCCTTGTTACAAACATAAGAATACGCAGTGTCTTTACTAATGAATAACTCCCGACTTACCCATGTAGCATTCCCTCTCCATGAGAGGTTTGCCTCGGTACATCTTGTGCATCTCACGAAGGGCACCACCATGGGCCAGATGTCCAATGGCATTGACAGTTCGTCCAGCACCCTGGTGAGAAGATGATAATGAAATAGGGAATATGACAGAAAGTTAATAAATATAATAAATTTGAATGATGCAGAAATCTGCAATTAGATATTGTTATTTAGAAATTATGAAATATACTTCCCATACCTAATATATGAGTAAATGCTTACTTATACCATGATTTGATAAAAAGTAAGGGCCTATCATTTCACTTTTTCTCCCTTTCCCAGCAGTACAGAAGAATAAAAATAAATCCAGTGTCAAATAACACAGTGAAATTAATTTAAGTAAAAAAAGAGAGACAGATTTGCTTACCTTTGGTGCGTTTTTGTCACGGTACTTGCGGAGTCGGCTGTTGTCAAGGCGACGAGCACGGCGTCTGGCCATCTCATCAGTCTCCATCTGAAAGTAGACATACAAATATATTCCTTATATATTCCTTATAAGCTCTTTATTGGATATTCATATAAATAAGCACAAAAACAGCAAAACCATTTTATGAATCTCAACATAAATGAATAAATCTATTTAAATGTGATATTTTTGCACATAAACTGCAACAGAAAATTTGGGTGTTTTCGTTTGTGGCTATATTCATGCTTTAATTGTTTTTTTTTAAACAGAATCAAAGTGTTATTTTCTGAAAAATATATAGCTAACAATCACAATTTCCTGATATCATGATATTTGCTGCCTTTTTGTTCCATTCGACCTTAACTGCATATACACCAGCACTGTAATAGATGGTTGGTCAAAGAATTGCAATCACGTGATTAAAACACTCTTTGTTAGTGCAATGGCAGCGGTGGGATATGTCTAAAATGATATGCGTGATCAAAGCTTACCTGGAGCCAAGGATGGTCAAGAGCTTCTTGGATGGTCATTCTTCCCCTGCAAAATCATGATAGAAGCAAAGATGACATTAATACATATATCTATTCTCCACATAAAACCTAATATGAAGAGCATAATCTAGGTGTTTACAAACTTTTAATGACCAGTCATAACATTTTTTTGTTGAAAGCTCTATTCATGAATATGTATTGGCAACTTTCTAAGTACATTTACGTAAGAAAAATATCTATGGCAAGTGTCTTCTGCGATTTTAATCCCAATCTATTACCTTCTGTATGGCAAAACTGAACAATATCAAGAGTACAACAAATAATCATATTGTTAAACTTGAGGTAGTAAAACGAACCTTTCACCGACATCGATGTCAGCAGGGTTAGGTATAATTTCAACTTACTCTTTCCCCTTGATGAGGATCCTCTCGATCCAGTCAAGACCTTCATCTGAGATGTCAGCGAATGCTTCCTCGTCAAAGTCCCATTCTCCTGTGGCAACATTCTTGAGGGTTTCACGGTCTGTCTCTCCCTCAAATGGTGATATACCGCTCAACCTGGTCAAATATTATCAGAATATGTATAGTTAATACCCAAATTCCTGTATGCACGGACAAATTTTTACACATTATATATTATCAAACTGGTACTTTTATATTGCTGGGTATGTTTGTTCGTTTGGAGAAAGATTTTACCAGGAAAGGTTTGGATATTATTAAGTGGATGCCTAGCTAAAGCCATGGTATAAACTGGGAAACTACAAATGAAAACTCCGATGTCTGTATTATTCAAGAAGAAAAAAAATTATTACAATTCTTCTACTCACATGAGGTATGCGATAACACCTAGCGCCCACATGTCTGTCGGTAGTCCGATGGGTTCGTGATTCACAACCTCAGGCGCGATGAAATCAGGTGTACCGAACATGATCTTGACAGGTTTGTCTGGGTCGAGCTCCATGGTCAGACCGAAGTCAATGATTTTGATGTCGTCGCTGTTCCGAGCGCACAACATGATGTTCTCAGGCTGCAGGAAAAGAGGTTTTACATATTTTATTAAAAGAAAGACTCAAAAGTATGATTTGTGGGGGTTTTGTTTCCGATATTATCATTAGAATTTAAAATATTTTTTTCCACTTTAATCTTAGTGTATGAGCAAACAATATGCATGAAAGTAATATAAATGTATTATAACTTTCCATCTATCATTAAATTTTAATTTCAGTGACTCAAACTTATTTTTACTAAATAGGTGTCGGATAGTTTCCTCAATTATACTCTTCTCTTCATAAGTCTATGAATGTCTCAAAGATACATTTAGTTCCGGCATTTGTATTGCCAATTCCAAAGCAAAATGTAGAATAGTTTTCCAGAACTATGACATAAAGCACTACCACTGTTGGTTTTCTTTTTAACTGTTTCCTTTGATTAATTAATGCTTTGGCTTTTAATTTTTTTGAAGAAAGTGAGACTAACCTTGAGATCAAGATGGACCAAGTGCCTCTCATGCATGTGCTTCACACCCTCACAGGTCTGCTTCATGTAGAAGATAACTTCAGGCTCTGTCAGGATGTGGTTCTCATCGACCAGACGGTCAAACAACTCTCCTCCAGACAAGCTGTAAAAGAAAAATGACAAATACGAGTTAGAACCTCGATCATTGTCTGTCAGAGCACATTGATGTGCACAATGTAGTCATAGAAGTTGTCAATGGGCGAATGAAAGAATGCATTTATCTTTGAAATTCATTTGTTCAGGATCTCTAAATATTCTCTGGCTCACTTCTTAAAACCCCTATGAGAATGACTTATGTTGTAAATTAGAATGTTTTTAATCAATGGAGAAAGAAACAATTTCTTACAATTCAAGGATCATGATGATTTCTTCGTTGGTCTCAAAGACCTCGTGGAGGTTGAGAAGACGACGATGATGGAGCTTCTTCATGACCTCAATCTCTCGCCTGACCAGGTCACGCTCTTTGCCAAAGCAACGCATGAACTTGGCTGCCCAGGTCTTCTGGGTTTTCTTCTCGATGGCTCGGTAGACAATACCATATGATCCTCTGTGGAGAGATGGATAAAAAGGATATCATTAAAATGTAATGTTAATTTTGTAATTTCTGCGACTCAGAATAGTTTACTAGATTGATGACGCCCAATAAATGTTGTGATGATAGCAAGATGCTAGATGTCTGAGTGGCAGAAAGAGCACATATAAAGCTCAATTAATAGCCTAAAATGTATCAAAAGTCTTCTTACTTTTGGAAATGCAATCATGACAAAATAGATATCTTAAAATTAATTTGTTTAAGACACTGCAAGAAGAAACGATATTATTTTCAAGCTGTACGTTATAAACATTTTAAAAGGATTTTAATTTTTTTTCAAAGCATACTCAAGAAACGTCACCAGAATGATTCTTACCTTCCAAGTTCCTCCAGAATCTGGTAGTAATCGTATATGGAGCCTTCCCTATTGACGAATGGATGAGGGCCTCTGTCATAGTCGACCAGAGAGTCATAGAAGCGACGTTTTCCTTCATAATCCTCAAACTGTGGTCTGCCAGCCTTTGATGCTGATATAGTTAAAAGAGATTTTTCATAATGGTCAAAAAAAAATCTGCCTACTTTATAAGTGTATGAGGATTAGAAATGATCTACAGCTTTGTAACTTTCTTAAGGAAGAGACATGAAATGCGATATGATATAGTCCTCTTGCAAAGATATTTAGTAATAAAACTTGTGTTATGGTTATATATAGTCCTAACAGGATGCAAGGGATTTGGAGGCGATCCGACACATGTATATGCTTCAGCCAGTAGCATTGGCGGATGAAAAATATGTGAGTCATTCAGCATTCTTCAACCATATCTAAATACCACCAGATCAGATAAATTCATTGTAAAAGTCTAAGTACCAGCAGCACTAGACTGTCTTCTTTGAACTTTCAATGGAGATATTATCTAGGTTAAGAGTACTTACACTTGGTGCAGATAACAGCAGTTGCTTCACAAGGCTCGCTGGCTCCATACATGTTGAAGGCGGTGACTCTGAACTGATACTGGGTATCTGAACGAAGGTTGATGACGGTGTGATGGGTGTTCTTGGAGCTGATGACCCTGGCCCAGGTGAGGACACCTACTTCCCGTTTCTCCACCATGTACGAGGAGATGTTGGAACCACCGTCGTAGATGGGTGGGTTCCAGGCAAGGCGGATGGCTTCTGATGTGATCTCCAGGCATTCAAGGTTGCGAGGAGAATCAGGATGTCCTGGGAAATTTGAACATAAAACAAGTTGAAATTACTCAGAAAATGATGAATTATTTTTGTCCGTAGTATTAATACCACTATTGAAACAGATTGCCACATAAATTCATATTTCGCACCTATACATGCTTATGAATAGGATTCATCTCCTTTCGGTATGGTTATAAATAGACAAAATTAAATAGATAATGTTTTTACAAAATGAACTGATTAGCTCCTCAAGTCTTTGTTTATGGATAAGACATTTATGTCACAAAAGTGACATTATTAGGATTAAACCGGAAAATGCATGTACATATACACATACGTCACAGAAAATTCTACATAATATCAGCTAGTGTTGAATACTTACTAAGAATGTTGACTTGGATGGAGCAGGTATCATGACCAAGCTCATTGGAAGCCACCACGCTGTACTTTCCAGCATCCTCCTTGGTAATTCCACGTATGATGAGTGTGGTATCATGAGGTGTGGCCTTGATCTCAAAGCGACCTCCATCCACCACGTCCTCTCCGTCTCTGTCCCACTTGATGCTGGGTCTTGGAGTGCCACTGAAAGGCACCTTGAGCATGATGTACTCGCCCAGGAGAAGGTGGATTGGTGTGCGGAGTCGGGCTGGTAAGGTGAGCTTGGGCATGACTGTACAAGAGCGAGAGAGAAATAAATCAAGTAATATCGTCTGTTTTGTTCTTTTCTAAATAGATTCTATCGACCAGGTGGAACCGTCAGGAGGATGAAAGCGATCCAGAACAAGAACATTTAAGCAGGACAAAAAAAGTCAGATTAGCAGTTTCTCAGGCTAGGGGCAGATTTCTAACACAGTTTTATTGGTTCATTCATGGCTCTAATGATGATTGTCATCAGGGTAAAATATTCTATAAATGTCCCTGAAAATATATATTTCTTCTCTACTCATAAAGTATTTTGCTAGTGAAGTCAAGTTTAGAAAACGAATCGACCAGGTTTGAACTTACCAAGCACATTGAGCTCAAATGCGTCGGTAATGGTTCCACCCTTGTTGGTAACAGTGACAGAGATCTCTCCCACATCCTCTGGGAAGAGTTGGTTGGCAGTGAGGGTGTGGATGTTGCCGTCTCCGCCGATCTGGAACTTGCGACCATGGGCGATCTCACGACCCAGGCGGTACCATCTGACCTCTGGGGCAGGATAACCACTGACTTGACAGGTAACGGTCACGCTCTTGCCTTCTGCTACATGAGCGTTCTGAGGTTTGCTGACAAATTGGGGAGGTACAGTGTCTGAAAAGGAGATTGAAGAAATAAATAGGTCTTTTACGTCGTTTGTTGCGTGCAAAAATGAGATTTTGATACTTGTTAAATTGTTAAATTAATATGGTTGTACTTAGGACTAGAGTACCGCTGCATATTTCACATGGACAACATTTCTGTTTTAGAATCTGACACCTTGAATTTTATCAATTCATTTCACTGCTTGTATCTCTTAATCATGGAAGGCGTGTTCCATGAGTGAATGACCCCAAGCATAACTCACCGATTGGATCTCTGACCAGCACTCTCTGAGACACAGTTGATGGTTCACTGGCTCCCATGCTGTTCTCAGCCATGACCCTGAACTCATACTCTGTATCTTCCCTGAGGTTGATGAGGGTATGACTGGTGGTTGTGACGGGCTCGTGGTTGGCCTTGATCCACCTCTGACTGGTGGTGTCTCGTCTCTCGATGATGTAACCTGTGATCGAAGAACCTCCATCGGAAGATGGAGCGGTCCAGGAGACATGGACAGAGTCACGCTGGATGTTGCTGATGGTTGGCCTGCCTGGAGCACTTGGTGGGTCTATAATACAAGCAAAATTATGATATTAGTAATGATGTTAAATAGAGATCTAGTATCATAGTTCTTTTTGGTGGAATTCCCATGACTACATCATTTACATGAATATATCAACTGGAATTGTATATCTTGAACATAACATATCGAATCCCAAGTCATGCATTTAAGTAACAGTGTCAGATTTGTATGTAAAAAAAGAGTTGCCTTCATATAAAGATTTTTGTCAATTAGATGAAAACTGTCGTTCAAATATTTGGAATCAAGACTCACCAAATGGACTCTTGACCAGAATAGCTTCTCTGATCTCAAGAGGCCTACTAGTGCCATACTGGTTCTCAGCCGTCACCCTCAACACGTAGTGGGTATTGTCCTTCAGCTTCTTAGCCGTAAAGTTAGGCAGCAAGGAGGTGCCGAGTGGTTGCCAGTGGGTGCGGTTGGACTCTCGGATGGACACTTGGTAACGCTGGATTGGTGCACCACCGTCGTCAAGGGGCGGGGTCCACGTGAAGGTAGCAGAGTTGTTGGTGATGGACTGGATGGAGATTGGTCCTTGGGGTGGACCGGGTCGGTCTATGAATAATTATAAAATGACATATTAAATTGACAAATTCTGATTTCATGGCTGGGATAAATAAAATGGAGCAGTCAATCTCGAGGTCGATGACACCTACTGTAAAATGATATACATGAACCTGCATGGCAGTCAAGTTTAGAATGTTTCATATCTTGCCGCGAATGTGGTGCATCATACTCCATTAATATTTGATTTACATCGAATAGATGGTCTTGTGAACAATGCATAGAACAGAAACTTAAGGAATTCATTTTTATTCTGATGATGAATCTTTTCTTAACTCAACTTTAGGATGTATTGCAAGGCCTGGCATCATCTAATCAAACACACGTATGACCTCTTGAACCTTGACCTTACCTAGTACATTGACCCTTGCTGTGATGCTGTGTCGTCCTAGCTCATTCACTGCTTCCAGTGTGTAGGTACCGGAATCTTCTCTCTCGGCATCCTTCACATACAACTCGGCGATTCCTCCGACCACATTCACCCTATCAAGAGAAAATATATCAAGTAGTTAGTACATTTTGACTTCTTTGCTTACCTTTCGAATTATACGCATATATCAGCGAGAATTTTCAAAATACAATTCATGAGTTGGTAAAGTAAGATGAAGAAAAAGAGAAATTGTTATTAGTTCTCAAGTGAATATCTATATGATTTTCCTCTGCAAAAGTTAATTTTCAACATGGTCACATGATACGAATTGCAAACTGCAATTAAAAAATATGTGAATGTGATTAATAAACTTGATTGTTTACTGCAATTGCAATGCAAAGTCTACTGTAATTTTCATGTCGATATCCTGCTTTTTTTTCCTGTATTCTCATAAGCGAGCACTAAATATCTCTCTATATTACATGACTTTGAAAACAATTTAAAATGACTACCCATTCAATGATAATGTTTCGTACTATTCATGGAAAATGAGCTAATGAGTACCATCTTGTATCATGAAAAGATGATAAACTACGATTCATATCACACTATAAGCACATGCCTCTTTTCTATTGTGAACTTGTGCAGCCGGTTCTAATTTCACAGTCTACTTTTCTGCGATGAATATGTCAAAACAGCCCAACTTTTGAAAACAGCCAAGTAAACTTTGTAATGATAAATGCATGTTTTCATTCAATACTTGTTTCATCCATTATCAATGCTCGATCAGTTTATAATTTGCGAGGAAATCATGCTTGAAGTAAGCTTTGATATCAGACTGTAAGCATTTATCATTCATCATTACTCTACACTAAGATGTAACATTCCTGTATACTAACATTTACCCAAACCTATTTTTTACATTCATTTATAATCAACAAGCTTTTCGAGATAGGCCTTCCCGATTACAAAAATGGGGGCAGGTGAAATTTTGTATATAATAATCATCTTTCAAACTTCTGAGAATATCTCACAATTTTAAGAAAATAGAAAGTAATATATGCTAAATTTCTAATTGTATTTTGAATGTCCTAACACCAGGTATTCTAGAATCTCAAGTATTTATTTCTTCTTCCTGTCATTCTGGAGGTGCAAAACATTTTATCAATTTGCCGATTTGCTTTGAATTTTTTTCATCATCATTACATAGACCTTCTCTACGACGTTTTAAAAATGTTCATACACAGAAAATGTTATTGCATTTAAAATTGCAATATATATAGATATAAAAACATTTAAATTATATGACTATACAAATGTATACTAAAAATGTTCTCTACATGTATTATTGATAAACACAAACTTTACTAACAACAACATATCAAATCCATAAATTACAAATCTGAAAGATGTAAATGAATTGTATTTGTATGTAGTGTGATTTACGAAACATGCACTTATATTTTACAAGATGAAATGATTTATTGTCAGACTATTTATGTTGCACATACATACTAAAATATAGCACATAAAATCTGCTCTAAGGATAAAGAGTTAGAGTGGTATATGTAAATGTTCAAAAAAATGTAAAGTTCAATATATCCATAGATCAAAAGCTGGTTAATGCTTTGAATAATTTATAAAACATAAACTGCAAATCTGTTATCAACAGAAAATAGAGTCTGCCAGACAAACGTTTTTGAATAAGTTCAAGCCATCATAATTAGTACGCCAATTATCTGAAGAAAATGGTCAGATTATATATAATTGAATTAATTTGAATCAAACTCATGGACCCAAATTCACAAGGGAGGTTTGTAGACAAACCTAGGTTTATGTGCGTCATATGACGCGTTTCAATGCGTTTCAGACCAAGGTTCAGACAAACATTGGTCTGAAACGCGTCAAAACGCGTCATTATGACGCACATAAACCAAGGTCTGTCTACAAACCTCCTTTGTGAATTCGGGCCATGGAGTTTACAAACATATCGCCATTTTTCGTTTATTTGAAACACACGGTACAATCTAAAATAAAATATAATCTGCAACGTTTGATACCTTGATCATGCCCACTGTATTCAGAGTAGACAGAACAAGAATTTGGATAACGTTTTCACAAAAATGATAACTAAACTTTTGTTAGGTCTTTACACCAATAAATACGTTTGTAAACTCTGTTTTTTCTACAGAACAACATGATAAACAAATAGCGATAAATAATGATAAAAACTCGAGTTATTGCATTAGTGTAGCCCATGATGGCAGCATATATCAGCCTGTAAAATGGAATAGATAATGTTATTTGATTAGCATCTTAAGCAAAACAACATAACCATAAGGCATGTCCTTTGATATGAAGAGAACTTGATGAAACCAATGATTAGTTTTGAAAAAATCATGCGACCTAATTGAATTTCCAATAATTTGTGTTGATGATAATGTATTGGGGATTGCAGTAGTACTCTTAAAGAGTGAACGTGTTCAATCAAGTCCTTACTGTAAAGACAGTGAACCCATGTAATTTGAAAAGTCCGCAGAAATACAAAGAGTAGGAGGGGGAAACGACAGAGAATAAATATTTCAAAAATCCCATAGCTACATTGGTTGTTCAAGATCTCTTCATATCATTGTTTATTAGATGAAACTGAAAATCGGGTAAATATGGTGACGTATGCAGCAACAAGAACATTGAATAGAAAAAAAGAACTGTGTCTATGCCTCAATTTCTTTGAAGACAGTAAGTTATTGTTCGCCCAGGTTGTGCCGCATCCGGATTCTCTCAGTAGCTTCTCTGTCTTGAGCGTGTAGAAACCTGAGAGGGGGTATCGATTCCCTCCCAGATCAGGAAGTTCAAAGTCATGAACACGTCCTTGCTCTTTGGTGCTGTAAGGGAGGGAACGTTTACATTTACATGGATGAAATCATCTTTTTAGTTAAAACTAGAGTCCATGCAAATCAATTATTTATATCAATCGATGGAATAAACTTTAAATATTCCAAAGTATTCTGCCTACATGTCATTTACCGCCGCGTTATACTGACTATACAAAACTATAACATGATGAACTGATGATAACAATCCATGTATTATCTTTTCATATATCCTTTGGATATTTTTCAGGTATTCCCGCAAATGCCGGACCAGTCACTGTTCTATTAGAAATCTACATTTCACTTTCATGACTTTCAGAAAGACTTATTTTGATACAAATCATTCTTCAACCAATACAATAGTACATCATTTCTATGATGTATACAAACAGAGCTAGCACGTCTATATTTAATACCATTAAAATTTAACATGTTTAATACCTCGGGGAATCTCCCTCGAAGGGGGCACAATTGTTGTATTACCTGTAACGACCACGTGTATCCAACTCTTCACCATCGTGTCTTCGCCATGTGAATGTGGGTTTGGGTGTTCCGTAGGTCAGTGTCACCGGAATGTGGATCTCCTGTCCAGCTCTGACCGATAGGTCTTGGAGATGGCGGTCAATGCTTAGCTGAGGTGGTCCTGGTATTGACAGATAATACATATTGTTTTCATTATTATACGGATATATTTCCTAGGGTCAGACTAAAGCAATAAACACAATCGCGAAGACAACATGATTTATAAAGGCAGTACAGAAGGGAATTCATATTGCCATGAGATGATTTCATAAAAGTATTTTTGATTAAATAAATAAGGCAATACGTCATAGGCAACCGAAGGACCCCCAGATGTAAGTTATAATGACTAGTTAGAGCAAGTGACGACTTTCATAATGACTTGTTATACAACTGGGGATCCACCATTTGAAATACCTCTAAATGAAATCTTTAACAGAATACGTAGGATATTCAAGACTAATCGACTATATCATAGAAAAAACAAAACAGCAATAAGAAATTGTTATTTCTACCCTGGGATCTCAACTCTGCAAACAGGTAGTCTAATGTTATCTTATAACAAGAATAATCAAGTCGTTAATTTGATAACAATTCTTAATATAGTAAACTCTTAATTTAAACAAAAATGATATGTGAATCTATGGCTGACCACAAAGGTAACATTTTTCAGACAATTCCTAAAAAGTAAAATAGTTCACTTACTCTGGATGAGGAGCTCAGCAGATGATCTGACTGAGCCATGCTTATTCTTGGCAATGATGGTGTACATGCCAGTCTCATAGTCGGTCACCGAGAAGACAACGATCTTGAAGACACCATTATCTTCTGTAATGTTGTGCTTCCTACCGGGCATCAGCTCCCTACCATGATGCATCCTGGGAAGGGACATAAAGAAATAGCATTTAATCCTCTAGAATATCCACTGAGCTGGACTATGTTATAAAATACTGTAAAATTTGACTATTTTGATTAGGTAACTGTGAAACCGGAAACTTGGCAAAGCATAATTTAAAAAAAAACAGTTTTGAAGTAGTCAAGCTTCACAAAGTTTCACGTTGCCGGAATTTTTAAAAATAATATAACTGAATTCGCTAACGTTTCTTGCCACAAAAATCAACCTCACTAAAAATTAACAAAATTCTTATGTCAAGAAGGTTTTTGTTTCTACACTACGTAAAGTGACAGATTCATATTTAGGCCCATATATGGTCAACAACATGAAGCTTAATTGATACGAAATATGAAGACTGATTGCAGACTGATAAACATACGTATATTTCAAGTAATGCCGATGTCTCTTACCAGGAAACCTTTGGTTTGGGAGCGCCAGAGATCTTGCACATAAACATGCCAGTCTGTCCCTCAGCTACCATAGCATTCTGGATCTCTATCAGGATTGATGGGGCTGCTCCAGCTGTCAGGAAAAAGTAAACGTATGGTAAATTACTAGTAAACAATTGTCAGGAAAAGGGGCAAAGTATGGTAAATTACCAGTGAAATCATCATTACAATGATCAAGAAATAGTTTGCAGCTCACTGTCTTGAAATAAAATGAACATTTTAATGCAATAATTAGTTATACAAAAAAATGTATAATCGGTAAAATAGTAACCTCTCATCATAGAGTTGCCCTGACAGTTACATGCCAAGTTTTGTTTAATCTGTCGTAGCCTGTTGCATACTGCATGTCTTCAAATTAAATATATTTCGCAAATGGTTTAAGAAACTGTATATTGTATAGATAAAAGGGGAGTTGTCTTACAAACTTTGAAAAGGCAAAGTAGCTTTTTTGTGTAATATGTCAACAAGATCAGATGAATGGAAAAAAATAAAGGGCAAACAATACTTCGAGCTGACTGTCTTTGTGTTTAAACCCCAAGACCTTTTTTGGTGAAAACCCGGTTCAAAGTCCAATTTACATGCTTCAAAAAGTTTAGTAAGAATGGGTTTATTGACCGAAAATATCTCAAGATCGAATTGATCTTTTCACAACGTTGGGGTAAGTGACACCTTTTGTGTTGCTGAACAAATATTAGAACATATTAATTCATATTGCAACTACTAGCATGCTATAATTCTTATCTCATCGGTGACTCGATTAGTTTAAAACTTTTGACAATATATAAATGCACAAGAACATACTGGGAAATAATATTTTTGTTTGCTAATTTATTGTTCATTTTAGGCTAAAGTTCTATACATCAGATTGGCTAAATTTCATATTATGTCTGTAAGGCTTGAAATATACTTGAAAACTTATACTTTAAATATAAGATATGCGAGAATATTAAATATAAGATATACGAAAATATGAAATATATACATTTTTTCTTCGACAGACATCCTACTTACGCAGCTGTGATTCGGCTACGAATGACTCCGAAGCCCTGCTCGGGTCGCTCTCATTGCCGGCAGCATTTACAGCCGTCACCCTGAATGTGTACTCCTTATCCTCGACGAGATTATTGACGGAACAGCTTGTGTCATGGACCACCGTCCTGTCGATCCACATATAGGAGCCTTTGAGTCTTCGCTCCACGATGTAGTGTGTGATCTCGCTACCACCGTCTGTCGAGGGTGCTGACCAGGAGAGGCTGACTGAGGTCGCCGTGATGTCGCCGATGATGGGAGCACCGGGTGGTGTGGGTCGGCCTGCAAAAGGAGAGGGAGAGAGATTGGAATTTTGAGACCATTCTTTTCCCTTACAGTATTCTATTCCATAATAAAAACACAAAATCACCATGGAACTTGCTGGTGTTTTTAATGTAATGAATCAGTAGTGCAATATCGATAATACCAGCATTTCATAACAATGTTCAACACATACATGTGGAAAGGTGTTGGAAACTTTCACTGTGTAGAAGTTAAAAATGTATGCTAAAATAACTACTGCTGAACTGAAATTACCTCGTGGTGTATCCAGATACCAAATATACTCCATTGAAATGTAACATCTTAAGGCTCAAGTTCATGTCAATCAAAAGAACATTTAGAACTGATCACAACAGCTTCTGACAGCTTTATTCAGGTAGCTCCAATCGCGCACTTCGTATCAATGAAACACCGAACAGTTACATACAAAGTATACCTATTCGAGCAAAGCACTCAGGCATATAACGGCATTGATCAAATAATGTTTGACATGGCACTCCTTTGTCAATAATCCTATTACTGAAGATCATGATCTGAAAGGTTATCAAAAGACTGTCTGGCACCTTATTATTTCCATTCAACGGAGTAACAATGATGAGCAGATTCGGGCTACTCTTAAATCTTAAACCAGATTGTCTAAACATGCATGGGAAGTTCCGTAAATATAATTGCGTTGTTTTTCTTCAGCGTTGGATATTTGTAATGGCGATGACAGCTAGCCATTCTTTTGAAAATGTACATTTGTAACATTGAAATAATCATTACAACATATAGGGCAAAAGGAAATAAAAAAGGATTAGTAAAAATGAACTTAGTTTTTATGATTAGGCATTGTTTGCTTCATAGAGGGCGCAAGTAGCTATAAGTAGTGCAGTAGGGCTTAACAATTTTCACTGAGATTGAAATCACAATATTTTAAGCGATCGAGCATTTTAACATTTTGTAGTAAGTAAAAAACATATGAAGTAGTACTGCTGTCTATATATGTTTTTAAGGTGATGTATTCGATTTATCCTACCTGCAGGGGATCTGGCAAGTTTAGGCGGTGCCGAGACTTCACTTGGGTTACCAATGCCAGTGTCATTGACTGCACTGATACGGAACTCGTAGTTACTTCCTTCTGTCAGGCCCTTGATCGTAAACGTTGTATCTTTGATGAGGTCGCGGTTGACCCGGTTCCACTGTTTGCTGAAGTTCTCCCGGCGTTCGATGATGTACCCTTGGATGGGTTTGCCACCATCGTGGCTGGGCTCTGACCAGGTCAGTGTCATGCGGTCACGCTGGACATTGCTGATCTCAGGCTTACCGGGTGGTGTGGGCACAGCTGGAGGGACAAAGGAAAAAAATTGTGATTAAAGATGATACAAACAGAAAAATGAAATCGTGGATTTTATTTCCCATTTGGATGGTTTTAAGCGACTCGATATTCAAACAGATTTGCAAAAGTAATATGAAATTCATGAACTCTTCGGAATAGGTTTTTTTTTCCTTTAATATATCACTGTGATCACATTTAGAAATTTACTTTCTATGGAACATGTAAATTAGTAGATGAAAATATATATTTACACAATTTATCTTAGAATAATCTAAAGAATCAAAAGAAAAGTTTCCACGCCTGAAAGTTGACGTACGTTACAAATGTTATATATATAAGACATCTTGATTTAAACAAAAATCATTTTAACTTACAATAAGGAGCCACAATGACCACAGGTTCAATGCCATGAAGCGGTGGTCCAACTCCATTGATGTTCTCTGCGCATACGCGGAACTCGTACTCCACTTTCTCACTCAGTCCAGAGACCGTGAACGGAACATGGGACACGTAGTTGGAGACCGAGGTCCACATCCTACGATTTGCCTCACGCTGTTCGACGGTATAGGACTGGATGGGAGAACCGCCATCGTCCTTGGGAGGTTCCCAAGACAAGCTTACACAGTGGCGGCCGACATCGGTGATCTCCAGTGGGCCAGTTGGTGGGCCAGGTACGTCTATGATATTTTACAGAAGTAGGGGTACAACATTTTAAATGCTTCTTTTGTTGAACATCAACATTTTTTTACAAATAGCATTAGCATTAGCATTATTTACAAATAAATGACTGTGTACATTTTGTTTCATTAGTTTATAAAACCTTAAAATTGGAAAATTTAAATAAATACATCTGAGCAACAAAAGAATAAGAATTACATATGCTGTATAATAAAGAAATGATTGATTCCAGTTAATGTTATCTTTATAATTGTTGCCTCCTCACTGATCCCAATCTCATTATCATCTCTAGAAAACCTATACTTTACTATAGTACTTCAGAATGGTTTTCTTCATTGTGTATTTAGGAGTATTGTAATTTTATATACATAAATATGCAATATGCAAAAAAGACAATTTTTTCATACCAATGACGTTTACGCGGATGATTGCAGTTTCTTGTCCAGCCTCGTTGGTCAGCGTAATGCTGAACTTGCCAGTGTCGCCACGGACAACGTTCCTGATGGTTATCTGCGTGCGGTTGTCACGGGTCTCTATGTGTGTCCTGGTGTCCTCACTGATACGGGCGTCATGGCGATGCCATTCCACCTTGGGGGAAGGACATCCTGTGTATGGCACAAGCAGGCGCAGTGTGTTGCCCGTTTTGACGACGACAACGTCTTTGTATGCTTTGACATCAATGGTGGGTGGTGCTGTGTGAATGAGCAGTAGAAATTGAGAGGTTACAGTATAGTATACTTGTTATGCACTCACAAAATTTTTTCTAAATTAGAGATGGAAATGCAACGAAATCTTTTATAAAGACCTCTGATTTTTTTACCGAAATGTCTCAAAATACCGATATAACAGGTCTGAAGCTCCTCGTTATAAAAATATTGGAAAGATATCTGATACAAATTTAGAATTAATATTAATTATTGCTTAAATGTATATGCACCTTCCAATATTTCAAAAATACCATCCTCATCAATATTCATTTCTAGACTAATAAAGAGGGTACTGTTGGACGAACCTGTCACAGAGAGCCAGCAGGAGGTCGATTGTTTTCCACACTCGCAAGAGTACTTCCCGGTATCCCTGTCCCCTACGTTGCGGAGGGTGATAGCACGACGTTGACCCTCCTTGATCTCATTGACGCGGTCGTACCCGAAGATTTGGAAGCCATCCTTCATCCACTTGACTTCTGCATTGGGGTTGGAGATGCGGCATTCCAAGGTAACTATCTTACCCGCCTTGGCGGAGACGTCCTTGAGGGGCTCGACGAACTCGGCAAGTTCTGAAAAATTATGGAAGAGAAAAATTTAGAAAAAGACTCTTCACAGTCATGCTAGGAATCTATTCTTTGACGATGCTTTGGACATATATTTCTCCACCTTTCTTGCAAGTGTAAATAAATTAACGTTTACTGCACCCAGGCCACGTAAAAAAATAATATGTGTCGATACTAGTCAAATACTATTATGACTAAACTTTAAAAAATGACAAATCGCACTCATTAGAATTATTATTTGATGACACTCAAATAGCGCGACAAAAATATTATACATCCTTTTTAGTCTGGAATCTCATTATTTTGTCAATAAAATTCTTCAGTTTTCCTACCGATTGGTGTCTTGGAGACGATGGGTGCAGATGTTTTGCTGAATGCGCCCAGTCCTGCCTCGTTTTCGGCCGCTACCCTAAACTCGTACTCCCTTCCCTTTGACAGTCCAGTCACCCTGAAGTTCGGGCTCTTGAGCTGTTTCCTTGTAGCTCTCAACCACCTCGTTCCTCTGGTCTCCTTGATCTCAAGGATATAGTTGTGGATCTCAGCTCCTCCATCACTGTGAGGCGGTTGCCATGATAATGTGATACTGTCATCCCTGACGTTGGAGGCTTTAGGAACGCCTGGAGCTGGAGGTTTTTCTGAAGGAAAAGAAATTCAATTTTGAAGAATTATAAATTAGGTGTTAAGATTCGTTTTAAAAGGGAACGACATGTATTTCATGAGCTTATCTAAATGTTGGGTATTAAGTTCCTATAACCGAAGATATACATATACATATTAAATGAAAATAGGATGGATCCTTACCAAAGGCACTCTTGATCAAAATGGCATCCTCTGTCTCAAGTGGTTCACTCTCCCCGTACTTGCTGACGGCTCTGACGCGGAACAGGTAACTCCTGCCATCCTTCAGTCCCGTCACAGCATAGCGGGGACTGGACAGTGTGGATGTCACTCTGGTCCAGCGGAATTGGTCTGGTTCTCGTCTCTCCAAGATGTATCCAGTGATGTCAGCACCACCGTCGTCTTTGGGTGGCTCCCATGCCAGCGTGACCGAGTCGCAAGTGATGCTTGTAACCTTGATGGGTCCTTCGGGAGCAGATGGCTTGTCTGCAAAGCAAATGCATCAAGAAAAGTGTAAAGACTGCAATGCACTTTAACGATTAAGGAAAATTTAGAGTAGTATGTCTTCGAACCCCAAAATTATTATATAATAAACTTCTTCATGTACATCTTTCTCATAATTTGTGACGATATGTTTTGGATACTGTAAATGGCATACTGTAATTGAATGATAACAATTCAAAATTATACTTTCTACTTTGTCCGTGGCATCATCAAAATACCCGATATGCACGCCCACACACACGCACACAAACGCACATTCTCTCTCTTTACCTATCACACTTATATGATTGAAAAAGAAGCAAGAAGCTCAGTCTCTCTGTTGAAGAGGACTTGCAAAATCATACGTTGTCTGCCACTCTAAACCTACCAAGAACTGCTACCCTGATGGTTGCAGTATCAGTGCCAGCTTTGTTGCTGATCTTGATGGTGTAGGTGCCACTGTCTGTTCTACGGGCATCCTTGTTTGTCAAGACGGCGCTGTATGTTGTGGTAGAAGCCTTGATGCGTCTTCCATCATCAACCTGCTTCTCATCCATCAGCCATGCGACTGTAGGTGTAGGTGTGCCCGAGATTGGGACGTCGAGATGGAAGAGGGTACCTGCACGGACGGTGATAACGTCGCGGAATTGTGATCCAAGATCTATCTTTGGTGCATCTGAAATTGAAATTTTAAAAGAGAGAAAATTAAGTCTACATAGCCTTATAATTTTCAATTGTCATATTCATTTCAAGTGTTAAAGAGATTGATCAGTTACATATTTCTATGCATAAATTAATCATGTTTGATCACAGGATGGAGTAAATTAATTTCTTTAAAAGCAGATTATTGTAATGAGAGGAAAAATCTACAGAAGAAGCATTTTTTTTTCATTTGACAAGAGAGATTTCATTTATGCGATTTATTCCATAATATTGCTAAACAAAATAATTAAACATTGTCGTAAAAATAATAGCATGAAGGTAAAATGATACACAACTAACAGCAAAGTTTGCAAATATACTTACAAGACGGTCTCTCCACGATAACAGGAGCTGCAGTTGCTGCAGGAGTACTCATGCCAGCCTTGTTGACAGCACTGACGCGGAACTCATATTCCTTGCCTTCGGACAGGCGTGGAACCCTGATAGTCGTATCCATGACGGGTTTGTAACTCGTCCTGTTCCATCCGGCTTCTGGTTGGCCTCTCTCGCGCTTCTCCACGATGTATCCAGTGACAGGAGCGCCACCATCTCTTTGAGGTCTGGACCAGGTCAAGGAGACGCTGTCCGACTGGATGGTGTCCACCTTGATCTTGCCAGGTTGATCTGGGACATCTGCAGGAGGGGAAGAATATAGTGTTGTTTGATTTGACTTCTTAAAACTGTGGAAAATAATACCAACATAAAGACTAGAAGAAAATTACCAAAAGGTGATACATCAATATGCCTATATTTAATGGAATATTTTTGTTGGCATTAACGCCGGGTGTCATAAATATTTCAATTCATTTAACATATTTCCACTCATATTAAAAACACGAATGCAATACCAAACAATTATATTTTATGAATAGATATATGGAAAAATAATGAATTAAGTGAATCATGAAAGCCAGGTGACATATTGGGAATGATTCCATAAACTTTTCCCTCATCTAAAATGGTAATTCTTCTGTATCAGGATGCTATTCAACAATGTATATTGTTATATCGTTATGTTCCGAAATGAAGCTCATCAAATAATGATCCATCTATTCTCATGTCCATGAATGTCTACATACCGTAATCTCCCTTTGGAATGATCCTTTCGCTCTCAAGAGGCTCACTGACTCCAAGATTATTCTCAGCCCTGACACGGAATTGGTATTCTCTGTCCTCGGTGAGTTTGGTTACTCTGTTTGGAGAAAAAAAAGAAAAAAAATATTATTATTGTGTTGGCTTTGTAACATCTAGAAGGCAATTAACAATATACCATTCCATAGCTAATAACAGACGTATTCTACCGGCATGGATTTATGATATCAGAAACATATTTTGTATTGCAGGATAAAAAAGGTAGCTAATAAAAAAAACTATCAAAAATCTCTCTCAGGCGTATTTTTCAAACTTTCTTATTAATTGCATTCAAATAAGTTGGATGACATAGATGGTAACATTACCTGAATGTTGTATCTGGGATCTTACTGGAGACATTGGTCCACGATCCATATCCTCCCTCTCTCTTTTCCAGCACGTAACCTGTAATTGGACTACCACCGTCATCCCGCGGTCGGCTCCACGATAGGGTCACCTCATTGCTACCCAGCTTGACAAGTGCAAGAGGACCTTGAGGTGGTGACGGACTATCAACGACATTCACTGTCACCGTCACTGTATCCTCTCCTGCCTTGTTGGAAGCCCTTATGACATAATCACCGCTGTCTGTTCTCTCAGCTGTTCTTGCGGTAAGTGTGGTACCGTAGTTGTTGCTGTCGATGGTGATGCGGTTAGACTTCTGGACGGTGTCTCCGTTTTGGGTCCATGATACAGTTGGGGTTGGAGTGGCTTTGTAGGGAATGTCAATACGGAATGTGTGGCCTGCCCGGATGGTGATTACCTTCTCAAAGCGGGCATCAAGGTTGAATTTTGGTTTTACTATTGATAAAAGACAAAAATAAAAATTCTTTCAACTATCAGTCACAAAATTATTGAATAAGTTCACAAATTTACATATTCAAGTGTTTTTTTTTTTTAAAGTAGAGGATACACTACAATTTACAAATGTTAGGAAGCTTAATTAAAGATATTTTCTTAACACAAACTTTCGCTGTATAATACTAGTATTCAAATCAAGCTAATGACTTTCCACAGCCGATCGTAATAATGGAAATTTATCGCACATTTGACCTTTGCGTTTTTTCTTCTTAAACTGCCAACCTTACAATCGGAAGGAGAAGCTTAAAATGACTTTGATTTTTTTAAAAATTGGCTACAGGTGTGATCTTACCAGCTGGATCTTCCACCATTACAGTGTTTGACGGCTCGCCTGGACGGCCTGTTCCTGCACGATTGACAGCACAAACCCTGAACTCATACTCAGTGCCTCGGATCAACCGAGACGCTCTGAAGGTCGTGTCAGGGGTCGGGGTCAGGGTGGCTTTGATCCATCGTGGACTTGTGGTCTGTCGCATCTCGACGACATACCCTGTGACAGGAGCACCACCATCGTTGGATGGTGGAGTCCAGCCGACAGTGACAGAGTCTCCAATGATGTTGGTGACTTTAGGAGCTGATGGAGGGTCGGGAACATCTGAAAAAAGTGGCAATAGTTAATCTAAATGTTAGAGCAACGAAAGTTGTACAGTTCAATTATGTCTTTCATGATTGAACTGTAATATTTTGATGCCTCATATACAGAGATTTACCAATTTCTGAGGTCAAAGCATGATAAGATATCTTTGGAAATACTTGGTGAAAATAATACATATAAAAAGAACTTATTTCTACTAGGTATGTTGGACATAACAAAAGATGTAGAGTTCATCGAGTGGCCACCCTCTGATATAACAATTCATCACTATTAAAAAAAATTGAAGCTCATCGAGATCAGACAACCAAACTTACTGTACTGTCCCTGAGGTGTGATGCTTTGTCCTTCAAGAGGTTTGCTCTGTCCATACTGGTTCTCAGCCAGCACACGGAACTGGTACTTCTTATTCTCCTTCAGTCCTGTCACCTTGTACGTCAGATCGATGATGTAATCCTTGTTGACGTGCTTCCATTTGGTCTCGATCTCACCACGCTTCTGCACCACATACGTGAAGATGCGACTGCCGCCATCATCAGAGGGCGGGCTCCATGAAAGTGTGACAGTGCTCTCTGAGACATTGCTCATTTCAAGTGGCCCACGTGGAGGACCAGGGCGGTCAAACACACGTACTTCTACATCTAAGGATTCTGCACCTGCGGTGTTCTTCAGGTTGATGGTGTAGCGCCCTCCATTGGCCTTTTCTACATTCTTCACGGTGATTGTTGATGCACGGTTACTGGTATCTATCCTGATGTGAGCTGATGGCTTAAGAGGTCGGCCATCGAATGACCATGTTACAGCAGGCGTGGGGATACCGGTATAGGGTACCTCAATACGGAAGGACTCACCAACCTTTGCCATAATTGGTTCATCAAAGCGCCCGCTGAACTTTGGTAAAACTGTGAGGGATAGATTGAAAATAGGAGCTTATATAAGTATACATCATTCAAACTACCTATATACAGATAGCAGCTTGCAATTGTATTTGTCCAGCAATTTCAAAAAGTATCAATTTACAGTACATTTGGGCACTTGCTGCATGGTCTGGAAATTCCTATGCATACATGTGATAAAATTGTAAATGAAATCGACAAGATATTGATAGAAATGTAATAACATTTTCATCAAAAATAAGTTTTTGTCCTGTCTTTGATGGTAATAAGTATTAATGTCATCACTTTACATAGTTATAATAAAGTCTTATCCAAACACGGACTATCAATTTGTAACAAAGTAAGACTGAAATGATGCGTGCGTACCTGTGGTATCCTCAGCCCTGATCGGAGCAGAAGGTGTACTTGCAGGTCCAGGGCCAGCCCTGTTCTCAGCGCTGACTCTGAACTCATACTCCTCACCGCGCATAAGACGAGGAATCCTGTGTGATGTCACCCCGCTGGATACGGTCGTCACCTTGGACCAATAGTTGCTGGATGTTTCCTTCTTTTCTATGATGTATCCTGAGATTGGAGCACCACCATCTGATTTAGGTGAATGCCATTCTAGGGTCACCGAGTCGGAAGTCACGTTGGTGACAAGGGGCTTGCTAGGCGCTTCAGGTACATCTGAAATGTCACACAAGAAAGATAGATATTGTAAGATTTGCACAAAGTTTCAGTTTTCCATACATTCAATTTATGATTATGTACATTGAGGAGTATGTGATGGAGAAATATTACATAAATTCTCCAGAAATATTGCAAAATCAATCTCCATGCAGCACTTACCGTATTTCTTCTTTAGTTTGATTGTTTCCTTCGTTTCAAGTGGCTCACTGTCACCGATCTTGTTGACAGCAAACACACGGAAGACGTAGGACGCACCCTCTTGTAGACTTGTAACCCGTACGGTAGTATCCAGGGCACGTGTTGTTAGTCTGGTCCACGATGTTCTATCCTCCTCACGCCTTTCAATGATGTAGTGTGTGATTGGTGAGCCACCATTATCTGCTGGTTCCTTCCACGACAGGAAGAGGTCAGTGCTGCCGATATCTTTGGCGACCAGAGGTCCACGTGGTTGCTCTGGGCGATCCAGAACTTGGACACGGATTGTGATGGCATCACTTCCAGCTGTATTTGAAACGTCGAGTTTAAACGATCCTTCATCTTCTCTCACACAGTTCTTGATAGTGACAATGGTATCCCTGTCTGTTGTGTCGATCTTGATGCGAGATGATGCTTGAAGCGTGGAGCCATCTTTGGTCCACTTGACAGTGGGCTTGGGTGTAGCTTTGAACGGTACATCAAGGTTGAACGTAGCTCCTACTCTGACTACCATGGTGTCGTGGTACTTGTAGGTATCCAACTTCGGTGCAACTGTAAGATAAAGCAAAAAGCAGGATACAATCAAATCAGCTCAGAACATGACATTGTTGTGAAATGTTATCACAAAAAATGATCGAATTCTTCAATATCGCAAAAAGTCCTGGGCATTTATTTCAGACTATGGTTCAATTGGTAATTAAAACTTTCTTTCAAATCTCATTCCAGGGTACCACGATATTAACTGATATTCGTTGAAGAAAATAAATATAAAAACACCAATCAACAAATCTTGACTCTACTTTTTGAAAGACAAGAATAAAAAATGTTCAATTTACTCACCAGCCATGCCAATAGAATCAGTTGGGTTGGTAGGTTTGCTCGTTCCTGCAGCATTGCAAGCAACGATCCTGAATTGATATGATCCTGTGGCTGGGAGATCATGAATATCCATCTTTGTATCCTTGATAGGATGTGAGTTGACCGGTACCCATCGGGTGCTGAAGCGATCTGCGCGTTCCACGGTGTATCCTGTGACTGGGCTTCCTCCATCTGAAGACGGAGCGGTCCAGTTTAAGGTCACAGACTTTGCGGTGATGTTGGAGATGGTAGGCTCACCAGGTGGAGAAGGTACACCTGCATTTAAAGAACAAAAACAAGAAAAGCGAGATTAGTTTTGAGTTCAAACTATTCACAATTACTATATACCTTATTTATGATATCGTTTAGCTAACTCATCTAGACACATGTGACACAATAATAAATTCTTACATTCACCCTTGTGCAAAAGGAAATTGCCAACATGTGACGCTAGCCATCCATACACAAAATTACATACTTATTGTCCATCAAGTAAAAGCATACATCACGGAGTCATAAATGTAGTGATTTTGTAATAACATTTGATTGACATCACTTAAATGATGCTTCATTTCTGTGAAAAAAATTAATTTGTTATTACTGATAAACATACCAAACTTGGACTTGGCAGTAGCTAACTCTGAGCCATCGCTAGGTGGTCCGAGACCGGCTTTGTTCAGAGCCATGACTCTAAACTCGTACTGCGCTCCTTCTTTCAAGTCTTTGACCGTGAATTCGGGTTTGAGGATGGACTGCGACGTGCAAGGGAACCATCGGACAGAGTAGGCCTCCTTCTTTTCTAGGACGTAGCCCGTGATGTGGCTGCCTCCATCTGATTCAGGTGGGTTCCACTGAAGGGTCACGCTGGTCTTGGTGAAGTCGGTGACAACTGGTGGTGATGGTCTTCCTGGAATATCTGTAAGGAAATGTTTTATTTACTTATATATTTTCCTTTCATAGAAATATCGAAATCTTTATCAAATGAATAGAACTCAGAGTCGACTCCTGTTTCATCTGCCATCTAGTAAGAATAAGTGGACATGTCGAAAAAAGGAATTCATTTTCATTGCCTGTAACCTACAGATGAAGAATCATCTTTGTAAACAGAGAATCTAAATATTTGATTATGAAATGGAAAAGTTATCCTCGACAGAGTATAGAGGGTTTCACTACAGACATTGACTGTCGACTTTACTTTTCGACTTACCATAGGGAGGTTTCACAAGTACAGAGTTGGTTGGTTCACTTGGTTGGCCGAAGCCCTTCTTGTTTGCGGCTACCACCCTGAACTCATACTCCGATTTCTGAGTGAGTCCGGTGACTGTGAAGATAGTATCGCCCACTGGTGTGGTATTGACTGGTGTCCAGCGAAGTGCCAGTCGTTCCTTCTTCTGCACGACATATCCGGTTACAGGAGAGCCACCATCACTGCCTGGCGGACGCCACTTGAGTGTTACTGATGTTGCCTTTACTTCTGCTACCTGTGGTTTGCTTGGGGCTTCAGGAACATCTAAAAACACAAATAGTGGAAATGATGAGCATTTGTCATATCTGATATAACACCACAATGGATACATTCTGTTTACATTTACTTTTAACATGGTAAATAACAGATATTTGTTAGGAATGTAATGCAGTTAATTTTCAAATGCTTTCGTTAAAAGTAAACTCAAGAATATCCTTTTATGAAACTTACCATAGGGTGATTTAGCAACCTTGGGTTGTGATGGGTTACTTGGTGCACTCTGGCCCGCCTTGTTGGTAGCCAACACTCGGAACTGGTATTCATTACCCTCTTTAAGTCCTGAGATCTTGCAATTGGTGTCTGTACACCTCTCTATGGGTGTCCAGCGTGCAGTGTAGGGATCCTTGCGCTCTACAATGTACCCTGTGACAGCGGAACCGCCGTCTCGGGTAGGTGCTGTCCATGTTAGGGTAGCAGAGTCTGCGGTTATGCTGGCGATAGTTGGCTCAAGGGGTGCTGATGGCGCATCTAGAAATAAATTGAGCAAAATAAATATCTAACTGAGGAAACGTACAAATATTTAAAAAAAGTTTTAATCTGCTCTTTTTAATCTGAAATCATTGATATATATATAAATGTAAAAGTATATGGAATAATTTATCTGACAGACCATGCCGAAAAGCAAACTAGAATAACTATAAGTACTGACAACTTCTTGTAAAAAAATATCTTTTCACAAGGTACTTGAATATAGATCTTAAATTTGTTCACCTTTTTAACTAATATGAGCATTGCATATTTTCTATCGAAATTGATTTAACTTGCAATATGTAATGATAAAGAAGGAGTGAAACTTACCAACTGGATCCTTGATTACTGTTGGTTTAGTTGAGTCACTGGACCGACCAATACCTGCCCGGTTCTCGGCGCAGACTCTGAACTGGTACTGTAGGCCTTCTTTGAGGTCTCCAACAACCATGTTCGTCTCTGTGACGGGAACTCTGTTGACACGTGTCCACCTGGCACTGTACTGATCCTTGCGTTCTACAAAGTAGCCAGTGACTGGTGAACCGCCGTCAGAGAACGGAGGACTCCATTCAAGACTGGCGGAGGAGGCTGTGGTTCCTGTTACTTGGACACTTTCTGGTGCGTCAGGAGTGTCTAGATAGAGTTAGAGTAATATTGAAAAGTAAATGAATCATTAAACAAAGGAAAAAATTTGTTTGTGAGAAAAGGCAAGTTTCGTGTTACTAATCAACTTGAAGGCTCTGTCTATCATGGTGTTTTCTCTCGGCTCAGAGTTTGATTACAACATTTTTCAACACAAAAGTATTATTTGCAGTTCTTTTCCCAGTTGGTTCTTGGCTACCCTTTTGATCTAATTACGTTTCATACTAACATATCTTTCTACCTAAATGGCACAACCAGTTATTTTGAAAATTGTAATCTATCAACATGTAGATCATATTGCTCATAACATCTACGATTAAAGGCTTACCATAAGGAGGTTTCGCTACGATGGGCTCGGTATTGTCGCTTGGTCTTCCTAGACCGACCTTGTTCTCAGCAATGACTCTGAACTGATACTCATCATTGGGTTTTAGTCCAGTCACCTTGAAAGTTGTGTCAGTGACTGTCTGGCGGTTGATCTTTGACCAACGGAGACCAAACTTGTCCCTGGCCTCGATGACGTAGTTGGTGATTGCACTGCCACCGTCAGCGACAGGTGCGGTCCATTCGAGGACCAGCTCTGTGGAGTCTACGTTGGTTGCTGTTGGGCGGCCTGGTGCACTTGGAGCATCTGGAAAAACAGACAAGTCATTAGCAAAATCACGGTGTATACATATTTACCAGATACAATTTAAAGGATAGAAACATAGATAGTAACTTAATAACCTAACAGGTGGAAAACATCAGACAAAACCAAATACACCAAGGTCAATGATTTCTTCAGTGAGCCAAGAGGAATTTGGTATTGTGTGTAGTGGTGTTTTTTTAATACTGAATGCAAAGAAAGAATAAATGCTTGTTAGTAAGCAACCAAGGACCGACGGCTTTAGGTCCTTTCCCAGAGACCTGGTAATGGGGATTAATGCCTTACCACGAGCGCATCGCCTTGGTTTCGTACCCGGGTCGCCGGATTTCGAGACCACTGCTCTACCAACTGAGCTATCGGGCCTCCTTGGTGAAATGATTGAGTAAGAATTTAAATTAATCTCTGGTGTACAGTTTACATAAGACTAGTAATTCATTTCCTGAGTCTTGGTTCATCTAAACAGAACTAATATGAGTATTACCATATGGTGACTTGGCAACTCGTGGTAGAGACACCTCGCTTGGTTTGCCAACACCTGCTGCATTCTCTGCGCTGACCCTGAACTCATATTTCCTATCCTCTGATAGGTCATTGACCTTGAAGGTCGTCTCCTTGACTGGAGCACGGTTGACAGGGACCCAGCGACCCACAGGGCATTCCCTCTTCTCCACGATGTACCCTGTGACGGTGCTACCACCGTCCGATGCAGGTGGTTCCCATGACAGAGTCATGGATGATGGTGTGATATCCGAGACGGAAGGTGGGCTTGGTGCATCAGGAACACCTGATAAGGTAAAGGTAATGAAAATGAGAATCATGAAAACACAAAGATTCTCACGTCAGTTTTAAAGTTACCAGTTACTTCAATTGATGTTCTCAATTTACTTCAAATATGTAATTAAAGGTTTACTGTTACGTAGCTGATAACATAAATTAACAGGCATTCATGCATATAGGATTTATCAACTGAAGCATAAAACGTCCCATTAAGAATCAAGTCATACCGTATTGGGCCTTTGCAGTGAATCTTTCACAGGGTGCGCTAGGCTTGCCGACTCCTGCTGCATTGACTGCGCTCACTCTGAACTCGTAGTCATTGCCCGCCTGGAGACCCTTGATGGTGAAATCTGTAGTACCAGCAGGTACTTCATCAGCCTTGACCCAACGAGTAGAATACTTGTCCTTCTTGTCTATCACATAACCTGTGATGGGGGATCCTCCATCCTGGCGTGGGGTTGACCACGTCAGAGCGGCACTGGTCGGAGTGATGTTGTACACGTCTGGGGCATCAGGTGGAGGAGGTGGGTCTGTTGGGGGATGAAATAAAGTAAATGTTGGTAAAAATCTGAACTGTATATCCCTTACTGTACATCATTTCTTTAAATTCAAATCCAATCCCATTTTGAAAACTTACTCGACAGTGATTTTTTAGATAATCCAGTTTAGATGTCATGTGTGGTGTCTTGTAGTGTGATCTTGTGGATAAGTCATCGGACTATGAGACACGTGGTACTGGATTCAAATCCTTTCAACAGTACTAATTGACTTTGGCGAAGCTTGATATACATATGACAATACTCCTCAATGAAGAATAGTACCAAAACTTATACTTGGTAAATGAGACCATACTTTTATTATTCACAGTATCTTCTGTATTTATGTCTCAAACTTATATGCTCACCATAGGGTGGTTTGCATGTAACAGGGCGGGATGGTTTGCTGAAGTCGCCACGTCCTGCCTTGTTGATAGCTGCAACTCTGAACTGGTACTCTGATAACTCCTTCAGCCTTGCAGCAGTGTACGTGGTGTCCGGTACAGTGCTCTCGATCTTCACCCAACGCATGGTGGCATCGCTCTTGGACTCGATGGTGTAGCCAGTGATCTTGCTGCCACCGTCATAGGATGGTGGGCTCCAGGAGATGGTGATGGTGGTCGCTGTGACGTCCTCTACCTCAGGTTGATCTGGAATGCCTGGTGTAGCTGTAATTTGAAAGAGATGTTGACATTGATTGTAAGTAGGCTCAACGAAGCTATGAAGGAAATTAGGAAATAGATGTAGCATCCTTTATCTTCCATCATTCCGCTGTTCTATCAAGTACACTTTCTGCATGTTATACATATTTATTCAATGCAATGGAATGAGAAAAACTATTAAAAAAAAAGATTTTTGGGTGAAGATAAAATTATTGTTAATAAATAGGTCTAACAATATGAATAAATCAAGCATGTTTTTAACAATCAAAGTAATTTACCGTAGCCCTATTAGTTAAGTATATAGGTATAATCGGTGTTACTATAAATGTAATTGAAATTTCATCCAGAAACATATAAAGCAATAGGCCCATAGATTCAACCATTATGTATTGTTTTGTTATCTTTTTGTTGTGGTTTTGTTGTTGCTGTTGTTGAAATCAGTAGTATACTTACTGTAAGGGGCTTGGCAGTGAAAGGATGTGTAACCTGGCTTGGGCGTCCCAGACCAGCTTTGTTCTCTGCAATCACCCTAAACTCGTACTCCGCTCCCTGCCTGAGGTTGGGCACCACGCAGGAGAGACTGGTGATGGGTGACCGATTGACCACCGTCCATCCACTCCGTCCAGGCTCTCTCTTCTCAATGACGTAGCCTGTGATTGGACTGCCTCCGTCGGTGCGTGGGGCTGTCCAGTTCAGGGTCATGGACTCTCCTGTGATGTTGCTGACATCTGGGGTGCTGGGTGACTCTGGAACATCTGCAAGATGAAAGTTGTTGGCAGATTAAGATCGGGCAGGCCAGTCGTGCCTTTAGGAAACTGGATTATCAAACATTAAATTGAATCCTTATCTTCTTCTGATTATTATCAAAATAATTGAATAAACCAATAAGATGAACTACTAAAATAAAAGGTAATTCAAAAGAACTAGGTATGGTGCAAGACTTGCATTTAGTAAGATAGAAATATAAACATGGAAGCAATTGCATTCCCTTCACAATTCCCTTCACAATTTTTTCCGTACATCAAATATTTTATTAATGCCTTTTATATATAACTTTTTACCCTACTTTTTCCTTTCTTTCATAAAACTTGGGTGATATCCAAAAAAGGGTTTCTATTAATTACCATATGGCTCCTTGGCTTTTGTTGGTCTTGTTGGCTCGCTGAATTTACCAATACCGATCTTGTTCTTAGCAGCAACCCTAAACTCGTAGTCATTGCCATCCTTGAGGCCAGTCACAGAGAATGTGGTCTCTGTGAAGTCAAAGCGACTAATCTGGACCCATCGTGTTGAGAACTGCTCTCTGCGCTCCACGATGAAGGTGATGATTACCGTTCCTCCGTCTGATTCGGGCGGGGCCCAACGGAGGGTCATGTTGGTGGAGGAGATGTCCGAGATGGATGGAGTGCCAGGTGCACTTGGGAGATCTAGAATGTGATCAAGAATCAAAGATACTTTCATTTTTTGCCAATCTTGAGACTCAATATTTTTTGAATTGTTAAATCAATTATCCATTTTTATTGATTAATCTGAAAGTCATTTAATCTTAAAGCGTGAGATGAGTACTCGTAGGACAGTTTGGTTTAAAAATCATTAAAATTGAAATAACTTTTAAATCAAGTCTTACATCGTGTATAAATGTGTACATATTATAGTTTATTTATTAAAAAACTACACGTGCAATAAGAAATGCCTATACAGTACGACAGAAAGTTTAAGTAAATGATATGAAAAATAAGAACACTTTATGACAATCTCATTTCTACTAATAGTAACATTTATTTTTCAAGCAATTCTGTATTTTAAGTGAGATAATCGTTTCTTTACCGAATGGTGACTTTGCCTTCACTGGGTAGCTGGGTGCGCTGGGTTTACTGCGGCCAGCATCATTTTCTGCCACGACTCTGAACTCATACTCCGTTCCTTCAGTTAATCCCGTTACCTACGTAATGACATAAAAAGAAATGATAAAATGGGAAAGTATCCTATACACGAATATTGTAAGAGATAGATCAAGTTGACAAGTTGATTACAAAAATAATTCCGAAATCAGGTACTAATACTAACAGTAACTACTATTTAATTATAAGATAATGTAAAAGAAATTGAATTGAAAGTGTAATAAATGGACAAGAACAGGTAATACAAGCAGAGATTGGCAGGGCTAGAGTGAGAGAAAGACAATGTATCATCAGAAACATTATTGATACTAAATTTCTTAAGTGTGATTCCGATGCTATTTTGAAAACCAGAAAATTAACATATCTTATCTTTACCTTCGAACTTAGTATCCTAATTCATATTCCATTGTTTCTACAGGTGAGAGGGAAAATTAAAGAAACTGAACCCATTGCATACTGGAAGAGGGTGGTTTATGGATTAAGCCTATGGGAATGAGAGAAATTCAGTAGTCAACGGGTTCAATCTAACCTTGAGTTTGGTATCCTCGGTTGACTCAAAGTTGACAGGACTCCACCTGAGAGACATACGATCCTTCTTCTCCACATAGTAGCCGGTGATACGGCTTCCACCATCAGAGAAGGGCGGGGTCCAGGTCAGGGTCAAGGTCGTTTCGGTGACGTTGCTTGTTTCAGGGGCACCCGGTGCTCCAGGTTCGTCTGTAGAAAATAGATAATAAGTTACTTCATGCTCACTTCCTAAACAGCTACATGCATGATTGTTTTGTAAAAATGTCCAGACCCATGATAAATGTTGTGCATCTCACTCTCTGGACCTTCCTAAAGTGGGTTTTCTTCGTTCGTTCGTTCGTACGAAGAATATCAAGGAGTACATCATCTAAATAGGGAAGATTCTTATTTAGCCAAATGATTGTCTCGTCATCAAGCTCGCGAAGTCTAGAAGCACCGTGAGGGGATTTGCAGATAGGACAAGCATCGATGACATGACCCATGGTTTGGAATTCACCACAGGCACAGTTTTCTTAAAATCATTTCCAACCATTACGTGTGCAGGTGTACTCAGTATAAACAAACATAGTATCTAGGCATATAAAACGTTCTCCAGACGTCTGCAAAATGTTCCGAGGATGATGATTTTACACTATTGAAAGTTTAGTAACATCCCAAGAATGCTTTAAAAAAAATTATTTGTCAGTATCAACACACAAAATCATCTGAAACAAAACAAGGCAAATTCAATAAAAATTATAAGTAAAAGTTTTGCCACTAGCGACAAAATCTAATGAATATGAGATCTACCTTGAAAACTAATTTGCCAGCCATATTTCAATTTGTGTCAGTTAACTTTATTAGCATTGAAATAAGAATAGCACAAACGCAACTCTAACTCCTGAATAATTTTTTAAACAATATTCAATTAAAATAATTTATTGTTAGCATGTTAAAAAAGCAAATTTTTCTTGTATTCTTCAGAGTTTGTATTCCTATTGGCGCATGTTATCCAGTAATAATTCATATCTGCGAATGGGCATTACATTCCCAATACAACTGCTCTTTCAAATCAAACATGCACGTCCATCATGTCAAATCTATTTTAATTTGGTACTCAAACAAAAAATATATTTGTCCTTCCATTAGCATACACGTAATGCATACCTAAAAAGCGTTATTAAGATAAAAGGATCAAGAAATTTATCTCCCTCTATTCTTTTCACTGAAAATTACCCGATGAAAACAAAAATGAAAATGGGCTACGTTTCAGACACTATTATCAAAGTTAACCCAATAATAAACAAAGGATATTCGAACGAAAATCATTACATCAACACAACTGTACATATAACTGGTTCTTCCACATATTATATAAAATAACCCAAACTGGAATTTAGTAAAATATATCGTCAAGGAATAAAACTACACAATCTAAATATGGCTTTACACAACTGTTAGAAAATTCATTGGTATGAGTATAATGTTATTTCGGCAAAATTATAAGAATAGCATCAGACAAAAGTTAGATTAGCTTGTAGATGGAAAAAACAGAATTCCAAATACGTTTCTGCTTACCTCCTTTCTTTTGTGAAACTAAAGTAAAACATTAAATAGAAATTTTGTAGATTATATGAAACAACAAATTTCTACATATAATTGTACATGCCTTTGCATTCATCAGACAGAATTGCTGCACAAAAACTCTTTCAAACATACGTGGGCATGTATATAGGCCTACATACATTTTTTACAGCTCCGACCAAAAAAAATCAATGAATTACAATAATGCAATTGAATATTTATTTTATAAAATCAGTTTCAAATATTGCAACTAGTAAATGACAGTCATTTTAAAGCCCCTCCGAGAAAACAAAAGAAAAGAATGACTGTTTATAAGATTAAAGACATTTCTCTCTATCATTGAGCACGGCTATAAGTATGAATGGCTCCATAGAGAACAATTTATCTAGCCGAGTATGTGTGTGTGGATTTATACAGACGTGTATCAATCATATGATTATTTACGTCTGGGGACCGACCTTTAACGTCACCATCCGAAAGACGTGACTTAGTTTCGAACCTGCGTCCGCGGCTGAATCAGTTTGTAACTTCCATCGTTAGCTGGATTAAAGGCGCACGCCACAACGCCCTAATACACATGGATGCCAATTTGAAGGGTACTAGTCTAGTACTATCGAAATCATAGGCTTTACTTACTGAACGGTGATCTAACGAGGGTTGATTCCGTGGGTTCGCTCGGTTTGCTAGCACCGGCCTTGTTCTGCGCCACCACCCTGAACTGGTACTCCTCACCAGGGACTAGGGCTGGAACAGTGAACTTGGTATCTGTCACTGCATCGTGGTTGACCCTAGTCCATCGTGGACTGAACTTGTCCTTCTTCTCGATGAAGTACCCGGTGATGGAGCTTCCGCCATCGTCCCTGGGGGGAGACCAAGTCAAGGTGGCGGAGTCGGCCGTTACGTTGGAGATCTGGGGTTCGTTCGGAGCTGCAGGTTGGCCTGAAATATAGCATTGGAAGTTGGTTTATTACAAATACAGCAAGGTATGTTCATACAATGGAAAGTGTATATGATTAGATAAGATTAGGTTGAATCCGCTAGTCAAAATTATTTACTTCGATTTCATGAGTCTCATTGCATTCATCATCGTGTTTGTAGCTTTACATTATAAGCACATGTATGTGAATAAATGATTCATCATTCATAATCGCCCTTGGCAAATATATTGCTTATATACATCTTGAATATTATTTTTCATATTTTTGATCTTATTCCTAATTTACTAAATAAATGAAGAGATTTATAATTCATTACTAACAAATCAACTTAAGAGAACATATAATTAACTTTACAACCATCTCTCTCTGTCACTGGTTAGCATGAATCTAAATATGTACTTACTGTATGGTGGCTTAGCGGTGACCTTCTGGGTCGAGTCACTAGGTTTTCCGACACCCATCTTGTTCTCCGCTGTCACTCGGAACTCATAGCTGTCACCTTCAGATAGATTCATCACGTTAAACCCGGTTTTGAGAACCTGAGTTCGGTTCACTCGGGTCCAGCGTCCATACCTATCACGCAGTTCTATAATGAAGTTGGTGATCTCCGTACCGCCGTCCGAGGATGGTGGGGTCCAGGTTAGGACCAGAGATGTTCCGGTGATGTCAGAGATCTTTGGTGTGCCTGGTGCTGATGGAACATCTGTAAAATAAGAGTTAGGTATAGTGATGTCTAAAGCTTCGAAATGTTTGTTTCAATTGACCCTTAAATTTTAAGTTAGAGGCATCATGAAATAGAAATGATTCAAAATTAGTAATTAGTAATTACAGAAACCTAAATCTCTAAGATATCGTTGGTATAAATCTAGATTATATTTTTGCATAAACCATATATGTCTAATACTCCATGAGGGGAAAGAAAAATGTAATATTCAAGAAATCTGTTTCTTTACTAACCAAAATAAACATACATATGTATAGAGTGTAAATATACATTAGGGCAACAAGAAATGGTAAGGATTACCAATGTGGTAAATGCTATGATTTCAAAGTTACTTCTATCCTTTAATACTTGTTGATCATCAATGACAGTCACAAAATACATTGTACACGCTAACAAAAATCAAATGATATGAGTCATCATTTACCGAATGGACTCTTTGCGATCACAGTGCCTGTAGTGTCACTGAATGGTCCAACTCCAGCTTTGTTCTCTGCCGCAACTCTGAACTCGACCTCTCCACCTTCCGTTAACTCACGCAGCGTATACTGCATATCGTGGATTGTCTCGCGGGTTGCACGTGTCCAACGGACCGAATACCTGTCCTTCTTCTCGATCTGGTAGCCGATGATTGGAGAACCGCCATCAGACCAAGGAGGGGACCAGGCAAGGGTGATCTGCTTGGCGTCGATGTTGGTGATGTCTGGCTTGGCTGGGGCATCAGGAAGACCTGGTTTGGAAGATGTCAAGCATTGTTTGTTAGAGGAAATGCAGAATAACAATCTTCAACTCACATAAACCAGCTGTACTACCTAACTGTTGAAAGAAATTTCCGAGTGGGATCTTGAAATTTCTGGTGATTCAGATTTGGTTAAAAACATATATAAGTTCTAAGGAACATTTCAGAGGAATATTTTAAATTACTAAATGAATGGTTCAAATAGACACTTTATTCTAACAGCCTAGCAATCTTTCTCCCTTGCTTTAGAGTTCAAAAACCTACCCCCAAAACGGAATTAAGATTGTATGCATTTAACCCCAAACAATTTTTAATGAGCGCCCAGCAGTGATGAATATCAGCACCTTACAAAAGGATCATCTTCAAACAGTTAGATGCACTTACCATATGGTGGCTTGGCAATATATGCCTTGGAAGGTTCGCTTGGTTTGCTCTCCCCTGCAACATTGTGCGCCACAACCCGGAAGCAGTACTCTGACTTCTCCCTCAATTGGTCCACAACGAGACTGGTCTCCCTGAGTGGAACCCGATTGACAGGTACCCAGCGTCCTGTGCTGACGTCGCACTTCTCCAGAACGTAGCCGGTGATCGGGCTGCCTCCGTCCGAGATGGACTTTGTCCAGGTCACAGCCATGGAGGTGGCCTTCACGTTGCTGACATCAGGTGCACCTGGCGCAGATGGGACAGCTGACACAGAGAAGAAAAAGGAAATAATATACATGTAATTAAAAGTGTTGAAAATGCCTCGAACAGACTTTATGGGTATGTATAGAAAAACGTGAACGTGAACATTTAGTGCTATTTTCAATCAAATCAAACATCGTTGACAGTATTATCACTTAACGACAACGTTATTTTAGAAGGGTTAACACACTAATTAGATTAAAATTATATAATTTGCTATTTAAAACAAAAACGTAGATTCTATTTGCACATATCTTCTTCATATATAACGTGTGAAATCGTCATATGCTTATTTGGTTTTTTAAAGGGAACTACTCTTCTTTTAAGACATATTACGGGTTCAAGCAAGGCCAAGTCTAATTTCACAAGGCAATATGTTTACTGTAAAGAACAAGTACAATGCTATATAACCATAAAGCAACAAAAAGAAGCTGCATATACATCAACATGAACGATCGCTTTTTTATATTCTATTCTGTTTTTAAAAATGTATTTTTGTTTGTTTATTTTATCGAAACTGATGTGGGTAGGGTTTCATAGTTGATCTTACTGTAGGTAGCCTTGGTTGTGAAAGGTCCACCCACTGAGCTAGGTTTGCCCTCTCCTGCCTTGTTCACTGCTATCACGCGGAACTCAAGGGTCTGGTTCTCCTTCAGTCCTGTCACCTAATAAGATAAGTAGACAAAAGTACAACAAATTTCAAACATTTTGTTTATGCGATAAGATTAGTATATTTGTAAATTAATTTTGATTTATCATAGAGAAGTGAACTTTAAGTATCATTTGCAAATTGACAGGTAACCGTAGGGCTTGCATCACATTAATTTGGAAGTAAAATAAATATTTAGGGTCTCCATATTCAAACTTATTTGATGGTCACTATAATCATTATGCATACATATATTGGTGCGTTTTTACAAAGATCTGAATTACTCCTGTTTGTCCAGCAATTTAACTTGTACAATTGCATGGTACGTTCAAATTTGCTTTTAACCAAGCAGATATAGTATTTCAATGTAATTAATGCCAAATGATTTCGATGAAATATTAAAAATAAATTTTAACAATCAAATGAAGCTATGAACATACTGATAAAACCGATCCAAGTAATTGTAAAAATGATAATACTATTGTATGATATGAGAGATCCGCATTGATGAATTATACCATGTCACCATCTTATTTCAATTAAAAATGCAATGGTCTCCCTAAAGACAAGGAAACATACTGTAATTATATTTTACAAAGTTACAACAGCTAACCTTGGTAAATAAAAAACATGATAAGTCGAATCCAATTGCTTACATACGATACATATACATGTACATAAATTTCCCTGTTGACAATCTCTATGTTATATAGATGTAAACCTGTATACATACATCCATACTTTCTACTAAAGATATGAAACGACCATTTTACAATGCTAAAATATGTGGGAAAATTGTAAAAATACTGATGTCCTTATAGTAAGGCCTCCATAATTCATTAAAATAACCATTAATCACATAGAAATGGTAAAAATGGAGACAGGAGAAAGTATAGGAGTACATGTAAATTTGCTTATGTTGACACGCATTAGAAATATTTGAACAAGGTTGGGACTTTCACAGATAAAATGACAATTCTTTCTCTCCATGAAGATGATAGCCTACGATGTGATTACTTTTATCTTAATCTATATTTGGAAATTATTTTAAGTCGCATGAAATGACATTCCCTGTAATCCCAGTATGACAAGTGATGTTTTATGAATTGTGATGAAAGACATTTGCTTGATGACAAACCGGGGAAAAGCTGAATAACCATGTTGCTACCACATACCCCAAAATAAACGACTTCACAAAATGTTTACATCTCATGTAGATGAAAACACTGAACTGAACTCACCTTGTCCATGAATTTGGTATCAAATTTCATCCCTAGGTTTAAAGTCTAATCATGCAGAAAACAAAATCAACACAAATTTTAACTCCAATATAATGCGAGTCCTGTTAAGAGACATCGTATGATGAGCTTAATTTACATGTATGTAGGACTATTAAATCAACACAGATTTTAACTCCAATACAATGCGAGTCTTGTTAAAAGACATGGTATGATAGGTTTAATTTATATTTATGTAGGACTATTAATCTGTTTAAACAAAGCCAATGAGAAAGTTATAGTAAGTTCCTTGGTAAGGAAGAATGAACCTTTGAAAAGATTTCGACCGGAATATTCGATGTGTATAAGCACTGATAAGAGATTGAAATAAAATACTATCATAAATAATAAACCTACATTTGATTTAAAATAAAGAACATTTCACCATTCATAATCCTAATCAATATTTAGTAAAATATAACTAAAAGTTTCTCGTTGTTGTGCTTTTGATTCTCTCATATTTATTTTCAAACCTTACCTGGTATGTCAGTTCAGAACTCTCTTTGGTAGACACACGCTTCCAGAATGACGAAAACTGTTCCTTCATCTCTAGGATGTAGTTGGTGATGCGGCTACCTCCATCGTTCTTAGGTGCTGACCACCTCACTGTGATGGATACAGCATCCACCTCTACAGCGGTTGGTTGAGAGGGCGCCTCAGGAACAGCTGAAGGCAAAATATAATAATAATGGTGGCTTGTTATATAGCGCAAATGTCTGCTACGTCGTGACGCTCCTGGCGTTGCCCCGATTATTACCCTGGCTTTAGGAAGGCGGCCATTACGGCGCTCTAGCATTTCAAGGAATAATTCCTACAATGTACACATTTACATATAATAGAACAAGGCGTGTTTGACGTATTAAACAACTTGGCACATTCAATTATAATCTTGAGGTGAATTTACATGATGTAAAAAATAGAAGGCCCTGTAACATAAACATTGGCAAATTCACTTGCAACATCTATTATGTCTCCATTCTACAGAATGACTTGCGCTTGTCTCACAATCAAGCACATAAAGACTTTTTTATCATCATCATCATTATCACCAAAGATGAATTTCCTTGGTTTCATACTTACTGAATTCAGGTTTCAATGTGACAGTGACTGAAGACTGGCTCGGTTTGCCTGGTCCAGCCTTGTTCACGGCGGTCACCCTGAACTGTACAGCGTCACCCTCTTTCAGCTTGGGCACCGTGAACGTGGTCTCTGGTGTCCGGTTGACCTCTGTCCAACGGATGCTGAAGGCATCTTTCTTTTCCACCACATAGTCGATGATGTGACTACCTCCATCCAGTCTTGGTGGTTCCCATGACAACTTAACGGAGTTGGCAGTGACTTCCTCGATGACAGGGGCTGATGGTGCTTCAGGGGCAGCTGTGCGTGAAAGATGATTTCAATTGTATTAGAAAATCTTGTTTGTAATAATGTATTACACATTATACTATACAACATTCCTTAAATAAGAGCTCACACATAACAAATTTCCTTTTAAATGCAAAGTTTGTACTTCCCAGTAATATGATATTCAAAAGCGTTTTTGACAAATTAGAATCTATAATTGAAATATATAATTCATATATCCATATAAACATAGAAGAACATTACAAATTATGTTACAAATGACGAATACCAATGCCGCTGAACAGTGTTGCATCTAACAGGCCAATACTACGTATGAGCACACTGTTTTAGAACCACTAGAAATTCTGAATAGACTTTCCAGTACTTCTTGCCATGTTGCATTAACTGTCACAGGGCAGGATGAAATAATTGAATTAGAATGCATGTTTTACATCCGTAATTCTGTATGAATTATAATTATTGTAATCAAGTCATCCCTGAAATAGTATAATAGTTATAATCATAAAGCATATCGAAATATTTAAATTCATATACAAATTTCATCTGAGAACTAACAAGCTGAATACTATTCGTATTCTTACCATAGGGTGGTTGTGCCTTGAAGGTTTCTGAAGGCACACTTGGTTTACCGGATCCAGCTTTGTTAACGGCTGCCACACGGAAAGAGTACTCATGACCTGCTCTCAAGTCCCGGACAGTGAATGATGTCTCGCTCACGTCAAACCTGTTGCACGTGGTCCAGCGTCCAGACGCACCTTCACGCTTCTCAATCTCATAGTTCGTGATTGGACTGCCACCATCTGAAGTAGGTGCTTTCCAGTTCAGCGTTGCAGAAGTCTCGGTGATGTTCGATGCTTCGGGTGACCCTGGAGTATCAGGTACACCTGGAAAAATAAAGGAGAATGGAATCCAAATATGTCAAGCAAGAAGTTTAGATGAAGTCAAGGAAACTGCAGCAAACATGGTTGCTTTCAACTTGATCAAAACTTGATGTATATTTATAGAGTTATATGAATATTAACAATATTTGTTGCTGTGTATTTAATGTTATCCATCACAACCACTTGACACTTATTAATGTACTAACAACTCTGGAGTGCGATTCTTTTTTTAAATCATGGACATCAGAATATTTAGACTAGGAATTAAAATCAATAAAAATCAATGAAAATCATTCATTCTATTCGAAGGGACTACAGTAAAAAAAAAAAAAAAAAAAATCATTATTTTTACCATATGGCTTCTTAGCCTTGAATGGTCTGCATGGTTCACTAGGTTTACTCTGGCCAGCCTTATTCTCGGCAATGACCCGGAAGGTGTATTCTGACCCCTCTCTGAGGTCATTCAGGGTCAATGTGGTCTTGTGGATGGCATCTCGTGTAGCATTAACCCAGCGTGTCATGAAGTCTTCTTTCTTCTCAACAATGTAGCCTGTGATTTGGCTACCACCATCAGAAGCGGGCGGCGACCAAGTGAGGGTGACAGAGGTCTCTGTGAGGCTGCTTGGTTCTGGTTTTTCTGGTGCATCAGGTACATCTATGAACAAAATATAAAAGAATAACAAATTGAAATGGCTTATTTACGAATACTTAAGTAGGTCTAGTATAATGCTGAAAATGAAAGAAAGTACAGTCCTTAATTTCTTCCAATGCTAACAAAAGTAAGAGATTCGTCATCTGAAGATAAGACGTAAACCTTCACCTGCGTTATGGTCCAAAGAAGTATCTTACCATAAGCATCCTTTGCCACAATAGGCTTGGTTGACTGAATCGGCTCTCCTTCTCCAGCCTTGTTTTCGGCTCGGACCTGGAACTCATATTCAGATCCAGTTTTCAAGTTGGTGACCTTGAAGCTCGTCTTGGTGGGCTTGCCAAGTGATGTCCACCTGACACCGAACTTGTCCTTCATCTCAACGACGTAGTTTGTGATGGGGCTTCCTCCGTCATCCATGGGTGGATTCCAGAAGAGTTCAGCGCTGTTCTTCGTGATGTTGGTAACATCCAAGTCCACAGGAACATCGGGTACATCTGTAATGTATATCATAAGACAAAAGTAAATAAACCAGACCTTCACAATAATAGCTGTGGGTTCACCACTTCTCTAATTTAACCCGTCGATCTCTGGTAATATTTGTATCTTTGGTAAAATTTGTCATTTATCTATTAAAACCTACTTTAGTGGAAACTGCGCAAGAGAAAAATAAAAAAGATTTATTTTTCCTCATAAACAATAGCTTCTACTATAGTTTATAAATCTAAAATTTTTACACATACATTTTTAGATATTACCTGGATGTTACGTTTTATTTAGAATTTACTTTACAAAACATGCTACTATCTGCAATACATACCATATGGCGGCTTAGCGATGACGGATTTGCTAGCCTCACTAGCTCCTCCAAGCCCGGCTTTATTTTCAGCAATCACTCTGAACTCATACTTGTGTTTAGGAGTAAGATCCTGGACTGTGAAGGTAGTGTCAGTGATGGGATATCTTGTGGCCTTGACCCAGTAATCCCTATCAGGCTCACGACGCTCAACGATGTAGCTGGTCACAGGGCTTCCTCCATCGGATTCTGGTGGTGACCAGGACAAGGTGACGGAGTTCTCGGTGACCTTCTTGATGTCAGGTCGCGACGGTGCATCGGGAGGCTTGATGGAGAATGTGGCCACACTGCTAGGCTGACTGGCTCCGGCCTTGTTCTTGGCGACCACACGGAACTCGCAGTCTTGCCCATCCTTGAGGCCTGTAACCTTGAACTTTGTGTCAGAGATAGCGGTCTGGTTGACAGGGGTCCATCGAGGACTGAACCTGTTCGATGAGAAAAGGTTGAATTGCTTAAATGTGGTTACCTAAACAACATATAAACCTTAACAAAGATTGATCTCCTAAAACTATATGTCCCTAGTTTATTATAACGACTTGTGTATATCTGCTGAAAAGTAATTTCAGAAGTTTTGCATTGTAAAACATCTTTGCAGACCAATACGAAATGTTTTTATTTCTTCAAGACACTGTTAACTTTTGCGATGCTGAATGTTATGCAGTAGAATATTTTTCACATGAACGATCGAATAAGGACATTATGATTGAAAACTTCTCTCACAAATACTATGTGTAGAAACTTGCTCAGAATCTAAACACCATCTTTACGGTGTTTGTTTACCAAATTAATATATTATATTCTATCTTTTACATTAGGCAAACGTGCTTTGATTATGCATTCATCCCCTTTTAAAAACTATTTTATTCGCTTACCTGTCTTTCTTTTCAATAATGTATCCCGATACGTTATCACCACCATCACTATCAGGCTCACTCCATTCCAATGTAAGTGATGTAGGACTGACATCAGCGATCTTCAATGAGTGTGGCTGTGATGGTACATCTGTGAGGGCATGAGGGGTGAATTTTCAGTGATCAAAATTGAGATACCAGGAGTAAATGATGATACCATTTTGTTACTCAAACGCACATTAACATGGATGCATATAATGTATGTCGTTTAGTAGAACGTCATGTATTGTTTATACTGATATACATCTTTAAGCTTGATATCTAAACATACACTGTTTGCAGAAATATGTGGCACTAATTGCTCATTAGTACTGTAATAATCTAGTAAACGGTATCTATTTATTTATTTAGATAACATTTGTGATTCCACCAATGAACTTACCGTAGGGTAGTTTAGCCTTGGTTGACGGCGTAGGTACTGAAAATTCACTGGCCCCTGCCTTATTCACGGCGGCAACTCTGAACTCGTAGTCCCCATTCTCCTTCAGACCAGTGATCTTGTAGCTCAGGTCTCTTGTCTTGGTAACTGGGACCCACTTGGAGCTGTAAGGTTCTTTCTTCTCAATGATATATTCAGTGACTTTGCTTCCTCCGTCAGAGTAGGGTGGTTGCCAGCTGATCACCATTGAATCATTGGTGACATCGGAGATTTTGGGAGTGTCAGGGGATTCAGGGACATCTGAAATTTAACAATTTACCCTTTAAATACATGTAATTTTCTCATCATGATTTTATAATATATTTCTGATTCATGAGTTGAATGAAATGCTAATATCTGGAAGGAAAACAATCCTCATCTGAAATTATCTTGACGAATAGACCCAAATCCATTTTAATTTATTTAATTTTGTAATTCCCATATACTGGCAACCAAAAAAAGTACATTTGCCATAGGAAGATTAAAAAAGTAAGCCTCGGGTACACATGTTCTTAGTTAAATAATTTGGATTTCTAGCGCACCATCTATAGTGTTACTTACCGTAGGGCAGTTTGATGAGGACAGACTCAGAATAATCGCTTGGGGGTCCCACACCGGCTCTGTTCTCTGCACAGACACGGAATTTAAACCTGCAGTTCAGCGTCAAGTCGCCAACAACGTAGTTAGCTTCCCTGATGGACGAGCGGTTGATCCTCACCCAGTTGTCCTTGCCGACTTCACACTTCTCAATGAAGTAACCAATTATTCTGGTTCCTCCTTGTTCTGTTGGAGGAGTCCATCTCAGGTCAACAGACTTGTCAGAGGGGTTGTATACCTCTGGCGTTCCTGGAGGACCAGGTAGCCTGAAGGTCAGGGAGACAGATGGTGACGGCTTCCCTTCGCCTGCCTTGTTGATGGCAATGACATGGAACTCGCACTCGGCATCATCCTGTACGTTGGTGACAGTGAACTTGAGGTCCAGGATCGGGGATGATTTGACACGCTGCCAACGGGTGCTGAATTGGTCTTTCTGCTCTACAAAGTACCCCAGGATGGGTGAGCCACCATCGGATGTAGGAGCTAACCACTTCACTGTTAGTGAGAAGTCCTTGATGTCGGTCAATTCAGGTGTGTCCGGGGCGCCAGGAACACCTTTTGAGAAAAATGAAGAACATATTTACTTTGTTAAACATTTCCTTACCAATCGAATTCAAGAGAGTTGAATCATAGTAGTCGATTCTCATTGCATCGCTGTCAAGAGAAACATTTAAGTTAGCATAGGTTGCTGATATTCTTACCGAAAGGTAACTTGGCAGTGAATGTTCTTGATGGTTCACTTGGCTGACTCTGGCCAGCCTTGTTCTCAGCAATTATCCTGAACTGGTAATCTTTACCCTCTGTCAGACGAGTCACCTGAAAGAGATTAAAACATGGATAGATTAATGTCGTTACATGTTGTGTTTCCTCTAAATTTATCTTCACATGCTATAGAAAGATATGCCAGTATTGTTAGTAGATGACATATTAATACTCTTATATACGCATAAATATATATATAAATAACTTTACATCTTTAAAGAACTTTAATAGCTCTCCGTGGAAACGCTGCTTTTACTATTATGCTCTGATTTTAATGCTTATTCTTGATCTATCTGAAAACTCTCATATCATTATGAATATAATAACACTTTTAATCTATACGAAAGTCATTCTTCAGGTATATATATATATATATATATAATGTTTATACCTTGAATGTAAAGTCTGTGGTTTTTGTCACTTGTGACCATCTAGATGAGTATGGCTCTTTCATCTCGACGATGTATCCTGTGATTTTGGAACCTCCGTCGCTATATGGCGAAGACCATTTCACAGTCATTTCATTCTTATCAATGTCTGTGACATCAGGCTGATCAGGCTTGTCGGGTACATCTGCAGAAAGAAAAAGAAGAAAAAACACGTAAAAACATCGTTTAAAAAAGAAAGAAATTATAGACATGTTGTCTGTTTTTATGCAATGATTTAGCAGAAGCATCTATAAATAAATTAACAGCACATAACTGTGGATACTTGCTACAAAGAATACAACAACAAAACTAGGCTCTACTACTCTCGAATAGTTCTGATTTAACAATGTAACATATCATTATATGGATAACTTCCATTTTTCAGATGTATACCCAAACAAATGTATAGGCAGTCATGAACCTAATCACAAAGAAACCATAGTTTTTAACATGTAATTAGTGAAAACTGGCTAATTGTATGAAAATAATGCATCATACGTTGAATGAAGCAAGCTTACCGAAAGGCAGCTTAGCCACAACTCTAGATGAAGGCGCACTTGGTTCACCAACTCCAACTTTGTTTTCAGCCATGACTCTGAACTCGTATTCACTCTTCTCCACCAAGTCCGTCACCACCATAGTCGTTTCCCTGACAGGGGATCGGTTAACTTTTACCCAGCGGCCCATGTCCTTCTTCTCCACAATGTATCCAATGATCTTACTACCTCCATCTGATTCTGGTGGAGTCCAAGATAGCGTTACTGAAGTCTGCTTGACATCACTGATGGATGGTGATTCTGGTGGTCCAGGTGGTAATGCTGCAAGTACAGTGGTCTGGCTTGGTTTTCCAGAGCCAGCCTTGTTGACTGCGACAACTCTAAACTCAGCCTCCTCGCCTTCCTTAAGTCCTTTGATGGTGAAATTTGTGTCATCGATGATGTCTTTGGTTACTGGTGTCCATCTGCCGGAGAAGCGATCCTTCTTCTCAATGATGTAACCAGTGACTTTGTCACCACCATCGGAATTGGGTGGGCTCCATGCGAGTTTGACTGATGTTGGTGAAATGCGCTCTATGGATGGAGGCGAAGGTGCTTCTGGTGCATCTGTTGGGCGAAATGGAAAATGACCTTATTTACAAACTCCATGTATGATGCTATTCCATTCTTGAAGGAGAGTTCAAATAAAATTTCAACGTTAACTACAATACCTGTATCAGTTTGTTTTCAAACTACATTTTAAAGGTTCAAACAAAAATCATGAAGTCAACAGATTACGATAACATATTCTCTTATTATACTTTCAACACTTCTGCTGAGTTATATATGTAAGGGTAGTAATTAATTCACATGGATTACTATCAATACTTAGACAAAGAAATCTATTAAATATGAATTAAAGGAGACAAAATTATACACTTACTGAATGGGAACTTGGCAGTAACACTGATTGGCTCGCTTGGTTGACCTGGCCCAGCCTTGTTGTGTGCAATGACACGGAACTGGTAATCATTCTTCTCCTTCAGGTTTGGCACATTAAGAGACAGTGTGGTCACCATATGCTCTGAGACATTGGTCCAGCGTGTACTGAACTTATCCTTCATCTCAATGGTATAGCCAACAATCGGGCTACCTCCATTCGATAAGGGAGCAGACCAGTTGAGTGTGACAGAAATGGGTGTCAGGTCCGTTGCCTTCAGGGATTTTGGTGGAGAAGGAACCTCTGTTTGAATGAAGAAAACAAAATACAAAAAAGGAGTTGGAACAATGATCAGGAAAAAAGAAGAAGGAATCTATGGTTCAGTGCACGAAAAATTATAATGTACTTAAAAATCCAACATTGGATAATAATTAATTATACTAAATAAGTACATCCAAGATTTAATACATAGAAGATTGAATGATGTCTTGATACGTTTTTACGATAGAATATGTATTTGTATATATTTGATTGTCAATCATTGAACAAAACTTACCGTATGGTGCTTTAGCAACAATTCTTTCTGAAGGGCTGCTGGGCTCTCCAGGTCCAACCTTGTTCTCAGCAATGACCCGGAACTCATACTCGTTCTTCTCCACCAGATCTGTGATCGACATGGTGACCTCCCTGACAGGGCTTCTATTGATGCGCACCCATCGGTCGCGACCCTTTTCTCTCTTCTCAACGATGTAGCCTATGACCTTGCTTCCACCATCAAGCTTGGGTGGTGTCCATGTCAAGGTTACTGATGTCTTATCAACATCACTGACCTCAGGTGTACCAGGAGGTCCAGGAGGTTTGAAGGCAATGACAACAGTATTGCTTGGTGATCCAGCTCCTGCCTTGTTGACTGCACTGATGCGGAACTCCACGTCCTCATCCTCAGGTAGCCCTCGGACGGTGAAGGAGGTGCCATCAACAGTATCTGTGGTCACCTGTGTCCATGGTTCACCTTTGACCTTCTTCTCGATGATGTAACCCTTGATCTTGGAACCACCATCAGACTTGGGCTTTACCCATGATAACTCAACAGATGTTGGTGAAGTGCGCCTCACATCTGGTTCAGCAGGGGCTTGTGGTGTGTCTACATGTAAACAAATATTTTAAACAGTAATTTCATATAAAGTCATCAGGTGTTTCTTTTTTTAAAATCTTATATGATGTGATACTAGGTATCATACTGTATATGGTATTTGGATGGAAAACTGAGAAGAACCTAATTTGCAACTTTGACCACTCATCCTTGTGGTATGTATCTTTGGCTATTTTGTGACAACTAGAACTGATTGCAAAGTTGAATCCAACGATACATTTGTCGAGAAAGAAGGATTGTTGAAATATTTGAATCGTGCAATACTCACCAAACTCGTACTTGGCTGTGACATTGACGGTAGGACTAGGTTCACCCGGTCCAGCCTTGTTCTCTGCAATCACCCTGAACTGGTACTCATTGTTTTCCTTCAGGCTGTTTAACTGGAAGGTTTCCTCAGTCACCATATCCTTGGCCTTGGTCCAGCGAGAGCTGAATCGGTCCTTCATCTCTATGGTGTAAGAGGTGATTGGACTACCACCGTCTGAGTAAGGTGGCGACCAGCTGAGTGTTGCAGATGTCGGGCTGATATCAGATGCAACAGGTGTACTTGGTGCTCCTGGGACATCTAAGTAGCATATACAAGGAAAAATAGCAGGAAATCAATTTTCCAAATTAAACTGTGGAAAAATACAATTGTTCCTATTCTAAAAAGCTTTCCGTATTATTTGAATTCAACACGCATAATTTGGGTCGAATTTTATATGGATATGTCCCCATACAAAGGATATCTTTCTTGGAATACTGTTGCATAATATTTAAATATGTCAAGGAAGAACATTTGAGTTGCATACCTCTTTGTTCTGTACTACATCCTCCCTTAGGGAGCAATTATATAATCATTACAATAAATTTATACTAACCATACGGTGGCTTTGCAATAAAGGAGACGGAATCACTTGGCTCTCCAAGACCAGCCTTATTCTCAGCAGTGACCCTGAATTCATAGTGTTTCTTCTCTGTCAGATCTAAGACCTTCAGAGTAACATCCTTCACAGGAGCTCTGTTGACTTTCATCCAGCGGTCTAGTCCCCTCTCCCTCTTCTCCACAATATATCCAGTCACCTTACTGCCTCCGTCTGATTCAGGAGGAGTCCAGGTGAGCGTTGCTGATATCTTGTCGATATTGCTTGCCTCTGGGACACCGGGTGGGCCAGGTGGCTTGGCTGCCAATGTAGCTATAGAACTTGGCTTGCCAGTACCTGCCTTGTTGACGGCACTGACTCTGAATTCAACATCCTCCCCTTCTCTCAAGTTCTTTACGGTGAAGGAGGTGTTGTCGAGGGTGTCTTCAATAACAGGGGACCATTTCACGGCGAGACGATCCTTCTTCTCGATGATGTAGCCGGAGATTTCAGCACCACCATCATTACTTGGCGGTGTCCACTTGATCTTAGCTGATGTTTCTGAGATTCGGGACACGTCATCAATTGTTGGAGCATCTGGAACATCTGTATTGGTAAATAGTTTATGATTATGTCATAATCCTCACGGTAGTAATTATAGTCAAGAAATTCAAGAAAGATTTTGATTAAGAAGCATATGAATGCAATTTATCAGCTCGGCGTGCTGAGTATTTTCCTAAATGTTAATATGCTGTACATGCAATGCGATAATTTAGAATCAAAAGTGAACATCACATGCATAATGGAGCTTGGTTTCTTAATCATTTTTCTCTTTCAGTCAACAAATGGTATATAATTTTTTTTCTCATATACTTTTCACATAAATTAATGATTTGCTTGTTATACTCGAAATAATGCACAGTGTAATGCAGCCGTATATACAAACATGTTCATGCCAAAGTATGCTTTAAAATGACTGCAAAGGCCATTTACAGATTTATTTGAAGAAAAAAAAGTTTCTGGCATACAAATAAACGTAGAATAACAAGAAAACACAGGCACAGTACTCCAATAGCTAACTATAATTGTGAAAACACAAACATGTAGGATTTAAAAAAAAAAGAGGATATGAGGGTGAAGAAACAATATTTGCTATTAGCTAGACGTGACAGATTCATATAATTTTTTTGTTGCTCTTCATGCACATGTGTTTTGACAGGTATGAGAATGACAAGGAAGAAATGGAAATAGACTGAAACTACGGTGGTTGATAGTTGCATCGCAAACAAATGAACAACACTAACAGGAGCAAGAAAGGGGAAAGTTTCATGAAACTTAATCGAAAACTGAGTAGTGTTGAGAGTTCCTCAGAATATTAGACCCAATTTTAAAAAGGAAATACCATTATCATGAAAAAACGTTAACGTCATACTGATTACTTGAAGCATACGCATAACTTGAATATTTGTTGGCAGCTGCACAACAAGAATTTCTTATGGTTCATTTCCTTTTATTTATTAAATGCCAAAGTTGTAAATAAATTTACTGTAATTTAGTAATGTGATTCCTTTTAAATTTATATAAAATCCATGCTCCAGTACAACACATGACAAATCTTATCAACACTTGTTAAAAGAGAGTACAGATGGACGAGGACACTGGTTTAATTTCTAGGACACCATCACCATCACCGGGAGTACAAGGAAGACTTTACATCGCCTACTCTTACCAAATGGGTACTTAGCAGTCGCTTTTGTATCCAAACTAGGTTTTCCTTGTCCTGCTTTGTTCTCTGCTTTCACCCGGAAGTAATACTTTTCATTCTTGGTCAAATCCATGACCTTGTAATCAGTGTCTTTGATAGCCACTTTGTTGATTGGAGACCACCGTGGACGGTATTCATCCTTCATCTCAATGTAGTATCCCGTTACACGGCTACCACCGTTTACTTTAGGAGGGCGCCACGCGAGACTGATACTATTGGGTGTGGCCTTTGTGATGGTAGGGGTAGATGGGGCCCCAGGGACGTCTATGGTGTTCATGTAATGCGATGTTGGAATGGATGTATAGGAAGGGCATGCACAATTGAGAAAAAGCAAGAAATACTCTTAAAGATACCGTGCCAATGAACATCTCATTTACGTCTAAAAATGAAGTTTTGTATCAGGTTAAATCATTCAAGTAGAAACGAATATTCAACAAATGAGTTATTTAATCATAGATAAACAATATACCAATATAGTATTTCATCAAGCAATATTGTGATAAAGTTAATTAGCTCTTTACAACGGTACTTTTTAAATAGTGATCGAAATACACACATCTTCTTGCAACAGATTGCGGCAAAATGTAAAACAGTAATTATGCTAAAATATCACACATATGCATATTAATTTCAAGCATTGTAATCTGTGCCATTCTTTACGTCAGCTTTGCGTAAATATCATGCAGTCATGCCTCATTTATTATTCAGCAGTTGAAAGCAGGCACAAGCACACTGATCATTGTACTTTTAGAAGTTTCATCTTTTCTTATGTAGTCGTGTCAAGCGATCTTTCCTATAGAAACGAATGAATTATAGAATCACCCTTCAAATCGTTTATCCAAAATAATCATAACTTATTGAAATATCAAATATGGAACGAAATAGTGAGCTAAATTGTCAAAATTGAGTTCAATTATGAATGAAGATTTTCGAAATGCGTTATTTCCTATTTGACTTTACCAAAGTTTAGAGAAAATAAGATTGGCAGACTATAGGATCTTAAAATAGCTGTGCATTCGGTAGAGACATAAATCGAAGTTGTAGCAAGCTTACCGAATGGATGCTTCGCAATGACTACTGTTTCCGCGCTGGGTTTGCTCTGCCCAGCCTTGTTGACAGCGATGACCCTGAACTGATACTCTGTCCCTTCCTTGAGGGTTTTCAGTGTACACGTGACCTCAGTCATGGAGTCTGTGTTGACCTGTGTCCATCGAGTGGCAAACCTGTCCTTCATCTCCAGGATGTATCCGGTGATGGGGCTACCACCATCTCGCTTGGGCGGAGTCCACGTCAGGGTGGCAGTGGTCGGTGTGACGTTAGATGGCTCGGGAGCATCAGGAGCAGCAGGAACATCTGGTGATGGCGAAGAAAAGTTAAATTTGTTGAGACTTGAATATTATGATTATACTTATCTAAATTCCTAGGATTCAAACGCAATTTTTCAAAGACGTATAAAGAAATAACAATGCTCGATGATTCAGACAGTGCTAAGGTTCTGAAATGATATATGCAAAATACAATTGTAATATTAGTACCTTCATGAATTTAGAAATAAAGAACAAATAAAGTATACAGTTTGAAATTGACTGATGTAAAATTCATTTGTCGCTTCATTGATTAACAAAGAAAAGTAATGATACGTTTCATATATAAAGTATGTAGATACATATGATTTTATTTTATTCCAAAATCCTTCAGATTGGCAAATTAGCTTGTGGAACATGCATAATGTGCATATCGATAATTAATTAATGTGCTGAATGTGTTGCATTGCGTGCTTACCAAATGGAGCCTTGGCTACAAATTTGATGGAAGGATTACTGGGTTCTCCTGGTCCAACCTTGTTCTCAGCAATGACCCTGAACTCATAGTCATTCTTCTCAACAAGGTCAGATACTGTCATTGTAGTCTCGTTTACCAGAGTTCTGTTGACCCTGATCCAGCTTCTGCCCTTTTCCCTTTTCTCCACAGTGTATCCAATGATAGTGCTTCCTCCATCTGAGGTAGGTGGTGTCCAGTTGAGTGTTACGCAGTTCTTGTCAACATCACTGACCTCTGGCATACCAGGTGGACCTGGGGGCTTAACCGCTACCAGCGACACTTCACTTGGTTTGCTTTGTCCTGCTTTATTGACGGCACTGACGCGGAACTCAACATTCTCTCCTTCTTTCAGACCCTTGACAGTGAAAGATGTTCCGTCGACGGAGTCTGTGACAGGAGTCCAGCGACCAGACTTGTCCTTCTTCTCCAAGATGTAGCCTGTGATGTCCGCACCACCGTCAGATCTTGGAGGTGTCCAAGAGAGCTCAACTGATGTTGGAGAGAGTCGCTTGACCTCGGGTGCACTAGGTTCTTGAGGGATGTCTGGATTGTATCAAAGAAAAGTTGAAAACACGAGATTAGTAAGGACATGAGATATTACAGAATATATATATATATATATGAAACATTTGAACACTAATACTTAAATATACAGATATATGTATACCGACATCACCACCACCCTTTGTTTGACATCTACACGTCATTTATTTCATTACATTTGTAAGGAATCACATTGCTTTAATTAAATGATGACTAGAGAAACATCCACAATTTTATACATTCGCACCCTGTTATATGTTGCTTCCTTCAAGTTAAGTCTTATCACACATTTTCAAATACAGCTGATTATCGAAGGGTGGATAAGATTCAAGTACAACTCACCAAATCCATACTTAGCAACGACCACTGTCTCTTTGCTAGGTTCACTCTGGCCCTCTTTGTTTTCTGCAATGATCCTGAAGGTATACTCAGTCTTGTCCTTCAAACCAGTCACCTTGAATGTGAGCTCAACGAATAAATCTTTCTTGAAAATGGTGAAGCGAGTACTGAATTTATCCTTCCATTCAATGATGAAGTTGGTGATAGGGCTTCCGCCATCATCAGTGGGTGGGGTCCAGGTGAGAGTTAGGCTTGTTGGAGTGATGTCTGAGGCCTTGGGCGCTCCAGGTGCAGTAGGCACATCTGGTGAAAGCAAGAAGTAAAAACAAATCTGTATTTATACTGTGTTTGGTAGAATTTATCAAGTATGAAATAGTACTGAATAATGTAGTAGTCATGGATTTCGATAATACTTCGTTTTCAGGTCATGTTCTAAAGTGACAGTAATAAGTTGCAGTATGGAAATAAGATTTAATTCCAAATTACAGCTAAAAAGTTTACACATGCATTATTACAGTATGCATATTAGTTGGTCCGAATGACACGCTATTTTGGACAGGTGAAACAAAAACTCACCAAATGGAGACTTTGCAATGAACTTTGCTGATGGTTCACTAGGCTGTCCCTGTCCTATCCTGTTTTCTGCAATCACTCTGAACTCATAGTCAGTCTTCTCTGTAAGATCAGTGACCTTCATGGTGACGGCATTGATGGGTTTCCTGTTGACAGGCACCCAACGGTCTCGTCCCTTCTCTCTCTTCTCCACAATGTAGCCAGTTATGGTGCTGCCTCCATCTGAAGAGGATGGCTTCCATGTCACTGTTGCAGAGGTCTTGTTGATATCGCTGACTTCGGGTCTTCCTGGAGCCCCTGGAGGTTTGGCAGTCAAGACGGTCACTTGACTTGGTTTGCTTTGACCAGCCTTGTTGACAGCGCTGATTCTGAACTCGACATCCTCATCATCTGGAAGACCTTTAACTGTGAAGGTGGTACCATCGACGGAGTCCGATGACACAGGTGTCCAGCGACCAGACTTCTCTTTCTTTTCAATGATGTAACCGGTGATATCAGAACCACCATCTGCAAAGGGTGGAGTCCAGTCGAGTTGGATAGATGTTGGTGAAAGACGCCTGACTTCTGGAGCACTTGGTGCTTGAGGTACCTCTGCAGGTATTTGAAGAAGAAGAAGAAAAAAAAAGGAAAATAAAATGCAGAAGAATGGCGCAAGCATCTGTAGTCAGGATTTGCATGAAGACTTCTTTCAAGCTTGTAGGATATAATATAAATCATTGAATGGCAATGATCAAAATAAATCTGCAGTATCCATTTACCTCCATATTGCGGTCTTTTTTTAGTATGAACAAATAACAAAACACATATCATGTTATGAAGACGTTGTAGAGATCTTGAAATACATATAATTTACATAGAACAAAATACTTAAGACTATGAAATAAGGAACACTCACCAAATTCATATTTGGCAACGACCTTTGTCTCTCTACTTGGTTCACTAGGTCCAGCTTTGTTCTGAGCGATAACCCTGAACTGGTACTCGCCATTCTCCTTCAGGTTCTTCACAGTGAATGTGAGATCAGTAACGGTGTCTCTGGTGACTGGGCTGAACTTGGAGCTGTACTTGTCTTTGGATTCGAGGATGTATTCAGTGATTGGGCTACCACCATCAGAATCAGGAGCTGTCCATGAGAGGGTCACAGAGGTCGGCGTGATATTGGAGGCCTTTGGTACACCAGGTGCACTTGGCTCATCTGTTTGAAATAAATAAGAACGAGTTTGGAATGCACTGATCAAATAGAGCAATCATACCTTTATTCAACTACTTCCTTTCATATGTATGGTCATTTATCTTTCAGTCAGTTTCAAAGATTTAAGCTCCGACAAGAAAGTTGATAGTACATCATATAAACATTGTATAGGTGGAGGATAAGAGGTGGGTTGGGATAGTGTGAAAGCGTGCATTTTTTTATCGACAAAACACAAGTAAATGAAACTATTAATTCTTCGAACAAGTAATTTGTACTGCTTTATTTTTCTACTCACCAAATGGTGCTTTAGCAGTAAAGCTTGCAGAGGCATCACTTGCTTCTCCGGGTCCAGCCCTGTTTTCTGCGATCACCCTGAACTCATAGTTGTTCTTTTCCACGAGATCAGGTACCTTCATGGTGGTCTCAGTAACAGGTTTCCTGTTGACTCGTACCCATTGGTCACGTCCCTTCTCTCTCTTCTCCACGGTGTAGCCTGTCACCTGACTGCCGCCATCATTCTTAGGTGCTGTCCAAGTGACTACTGCAGATGTCTTCTGGATATCCGTGACCTCAGGTTTGCTAGGGGCACTTGGTGGCTTGGCTGCAATGACAGTCACCTCACTTGGTTTACCAGTGCCTGCCTTGTTGACAGCACTGACCCTGAACTCCACGTCTTCTCCTTCTTTCAATCCCTTGACAGTGAATGATGTGTCTTCGATGGAGTCCGATGTCACGGGTGTCCATCGTCCAGACTTGTCTTTCTTTTCAACAATGTAGGCAGTGACCTCTGAGCCACCGTCGGATGTAGGTGCACTCCAGTTCAACTGGACTGACGTTGGAGATAGACGTTTCACTTCTGGGGGAGTTGGTGGTTTGGGAGCCTCTGTAAATCAATAAGTTAATTGCATACATTGTTGCATTTCGGAAGGAACTTTTTTTTACATAAATGGTATCCATAGTTTATTATTCGACTTTAGTTTTCCAATCCACAAAACCTAACATTTTCAATTTGTACACGTTGCATACGAAAAAAAAGATAAATTGGGCTAGAGTCTATGGAAAAATGCAAACTGTATCAGGACAAAATCATGTAAGTCAAACAATTAAATATCATTCATACACATACAAATCTTAAATTAATTCAGAAAAAGTAAAGTTGTTTCATGTGATAATTACCGCATGTATCTTATTACAGGTATTTTAATATGTTGCTTGTTCGCTTTTAAAAACTTACTTTAGTCAGGAAATATAAAGTTTTTTTTGTTGAAAGTTTTAAAACTAAATGTTTTATTCCATGTGTTCTGCATGCCAAAGTATGTTTAAAAGTTAGTCCAACTATACTTGGTAGCGAAACAATAACAAATTGCTAATGTATTACTTTATTACCTCAATATCTCAACAAGTGAAGAGATGTTCATTTAACTAAAAAGAGGAATGCATTATTGATACTTTATTTTAAACAATGAAATATGCACAAAAGATGCATGTATTGAATAATGATCATGACGCAATACAAATAGAACATAGTTAACATGTTCATGAAACAGGCAGTTGCAAAATGAAGGAAACAGGAACGATCTCAAGACCTAAATCAAATTATGTAATAGGGAGATGAAAGGAGGATGTTTTACCAAATGGATATTTCGCAGTCACATTAACCGATTGACTCGGTTTGCCTGGCCCAGCTAGGTTATGGGCCACAACACGGAACTGGTAGTTCTCATTCTCCTTCAACCTCTTCACCAGGAATGTCGTCTCTTCGATTGGTTCTTTGTTTGCAGGAGTCCATCTTGTGCTGTAAGGCTCCTTCATTTCGACGGTGTAACCCGTGATAGGGCTTCCACCATCGAATGAGGGCTCTCTCCAGGTGATGACAGTAGAGGTCGGGGTCGTATCCTTGGCAACCACGTTTCCAGGTGCTTCAGGTGTTTCTGTTTTCGTTTAGTATCCATGGAGATGATTTGAGGATAGGATATGGTAGGAGAGAGAATAATGACAAAGCATGCAAAAGCATTCACTTTCATTTCTTCAATCATGCCTCGTTGAATTAGAGTAATGGGAATGCATGATAGATCATTATATCAAGTTCAATTAGAATAGTGTCAATGATTTGTTCAAGCAGTATTTTCATAAGCGTTTGAAGAATTGTTTTGCAATTTCGCATCGTAAATTTTGAATCGAAATTTGCTTTACTTTCGTGACGTATAAATGAGTAAATACTTGTGATGTTTTCATTAATACAGTTTACCAGTTAAGAAATCAATGACATGTAATTTATTTCAGAAGATACATATTCTGAAACTTCTGAAGCTGCTAACATACCGGTATCTCTCATCTATTTTCTCTGGACATGTTGTATGCCATTTCACATTTTATATCAATGACACTATCCTAAAATTACTCTCATTGGAAGAAACAAAAGGGCTGAACAATCCAACATACTAGGAAAATATTGTCAATCTAATTCATGTCATTCAATAAAAAACAAAGTTTAAAATTAAAGTTAAAAGGGACACACATGGAACCCTCTGAAGTATGAACAGTTAAATGTCAATCAAAACCTTTAAAAGGTACTCAGGAAATCAACGTATATCTACTTCTAAAATCTGTCCATGTGTGTCCTAGTCTGATAAAAGCATGTAAAAGGAGAGAACAATGCATATAAACGATCTAATGCTTTAAAAATCTGATGGGTTAAAAGAAGGGGTATGTAAAAAATGGTATAGATGTTTTAAGTATTGAACAAATCACAGAACATGAAGGGGAAAGAATTCATGCTCCTTCATGGATGAAAAAAATGCTATAAATTCGTTCATTGAAAAAATGTTAATCTATCCAAAAGCTAGCACCCATCTAAAGAGGTAGGGGATGCTATGGAATTATAATTTTCTTCTAAAACTCATCTTTAATAAGAATATCTGGAAACTATGAGACTAAAATACAGAAAAATACCTATCAATAAGGTTTTCATAAAACGTGCGTTCCAACTGAAACAAATTACGACCTAATATTATATATAACTGCATAAGAGTAAAAAATAGTGTCAAGCACTGAACTAAAAAGAGATAGAAGAACAACTTTAAAAAAAAATGTAACACACACAAGGGGCCATGCTCTACTCACCGAACTGGTGTTTTGCAATGAACTTGCATTCATTACTTGGCTTGCTTGGGCCAGCCTTGTTCTCGGCGATGACGCGGTAAACATACTCATTGTTCTCCTCGAGGTTAGTGACTTTGAAGGAGGTCTCCTGGAGTAGACCCTTGTTGACTTTAGTCCAGCGAGAGCTGAATCTGTCCTTGGTCTCCAGAGTGTAGCCCAGGATGGGACTGCCTCCATCGGAGTCTGGTGGTAGCCATGACAATGTAGCGGACGTTGGCGTGATGTCAGATGCAGCAAGAGAGTAGGGAGCCTCCGGTTCATCTGTAACATGTTTAGGAAACAAGCAAGAATAAGAAAACACAATTTGAAATTGAGACAAAGAAACTTAATTCATCCATTAAAAATGTATATTTATAAATAAATTTACCAATAATAGTGTCTGTAACTTCACATTATCATTTTCAATTGTCAGCTCTGTTGTCATGTATTCTACATCTTATTCTTTAGAGGAGAAAGGTTTTACAGTTTACATGATTACGAATCAGGCCATTTAAAAAGGAACACAATTGTGAACTTACCAAATGGAGCCTTGGCCGTAAATCTTGCAGATGGGTTGCTGGGTTCTCCAGGACCTACTTTGTTTTCAGCAATTACTCTGAACTCATACTGGTTCTTCTCCGTGAGATCGTTGACCTTCAAGGTAGTGTCCTTCACCAGGCTTTTGTTCACCCTCGTCCAGCGATCCCTTCCCTTTTCTCTTCGCTCTATGGTGTAACCTGTGATTGTACTACCGCCATCCGATGAGGGAACTGTCCATGTCACCGTTGCTGATGTTCTGTCGATGTCACTGACTTCCGGTGCGTCAGGAGCTCCTGGTGGCTTGGCAGATAATGTTGCAACTTGACTTGGTTTTCCAGTGCCAGCTTTGTTGACAGCGCTGACTCTGAACTCCACATTCTCGCCATCAGGTAGTCCTTTCACCGTGAATGAGGTCTCAGTTTCAGATTCGATTACAGGAGACCATCGTGGAGACATCTTCTCCTTCTTCTCCAAGACGTAGCCGGTGATCTCAGATCCTCCATCAGATTTTGGTGGGGACCACTTCATGGTAGCAGAGGTGGGAGACTCTCTTGTGACATTGTCAATAGTTGGTGCTTGAGGTGTTTCTGTAAAGAGATGATGAAATATACTAGTGGAATGAGAAAGGATAGAGACATGTGTGGAAGAGTTGTGGTCTAGTGGATATGTCACCGGACTGTGGATCACATGGTTTGGGGTTCGAATCCCACCGAAGCACTAATGTCTTTTGGCAAGACAACAATCTACATTTGCCGCTCTCCACCCAGGTAAATTGGGTAACCGGTAGGATGCGAACACTAATGTGGTTAGATGAGCACGTGTGCTTTTGGAAAATAGCTTCTGGCTGTAATACTCCACATGGAGTGGAGATTGTGCACTATCATGTAGGGATTAGCTATTGAGTCAAATGGCAGGGGTAAAAATAATTACATTGTAAAGAGCTTAGAAACGTATTATCAAGCGCTATACAAATGTGACTATCATTATTTGTCATCATAATTAAAAATGTTGCATGCACATCTCGTGCCGACATTGCATAATTACATTCAATTTGTTGACCATTCTAACAGTAGTTCTGAAGAAATAGCCAACAAACTAGATCTCATCACTCACCAAATGGATACTTGGCAGTCACGTGAAGCTCTGGACTAGGTTTGCTTTGTCCAGCCTTGTTCTCTGCAATCACTCTGAACTGGTACTCCTCTTTCTCCTTCAGATCAGGCAGAACAACGGTGGTCTCTGAGATCAGTTCCCTGGTGGCCTTTGTCCAACGGGTGCTGAATTTATCCTTCATCTCTACTGTGTAGCCTGTGATGGGGCTTCCACCATCAGATGGTGGAGGTGTCCAGGTCAAGGTCACAGAGGTCGGAGACAAGTCAGAGGGTGCTGGTTTACCTGGTGCATCAGGTACATCTGCAAACAAATAGGAAAAGAATAAAGTATAACATTAAAAAAAAAGGGAGTTGGATAATACCATGTTTTCATGATTATGTAATCACTTATCTGCAGACTACACCAGGGGGGTGTTTCACAAAGATCCTAATTTTAACTTATCTCTAAGTTGGACTTAACAAGTATGGAAAGCCATTAGCATCTATGAAAATATTTTGTAAAAGTTATTTTAAAAGGCATAAAATGTTGATTCAAATCATTCATATTTTCAATTATCAAGGAGATTTCACGTTCTTGATGTGGAATGTATACAAATTCTAAAATACTTGATTTTTTCACTTTTGAATATATTTCATTTTAAGGCTACAAATGGCTCTCCATCTAAGTCCAACTTAGAGTTACGTTTGACTTAGAATATTTGTGAAACACACCCCCCCCCCCCAGGGCTACTATTGATTGCCATAAACGGATCGTCAAAGTTCATAGACTCATATTCAGAAGATACAATTTGTCCTCAAAAGATAATTCCGAACTTCTTTACTTGATTGAAATCTGATGGCATCACACGTTTTCTTACCATATGGAGGCTTGGCAACAAATGGTTTGCAGGCATCGCTGGGACTACCGGGCCCAGCTGGGTTCACAGCAATCACTCTGAACTGGTATTCATTGCCTTCCTTTAGGTCTTTGAGGGTGATTGTAACAGTATCTCCTGGTGTCTCGCCAGCCTTAGTCCAGCGGGAGGAGAATCGGTCCTTTTGCTCAACGATATACTCAGTGATTTCTGCACCGCCGTTGTTGGAAGGAGGTGACCATTCAAGATGGACAGATGTCTCGGTGATGTCAGATGGAACAGGTGTGCTAGGTGCCCCTGGAACATCTGAATGGTCAAGGTGATAAGACAAGGTTCGAAATATTGACTTTAATTCTGAAATATTTTGAAACATTTTTCCCTTAAACGTAGCAAATTTAAACTATTTGTTCCATCAAATATGATGAATACTATTTTACTTTTCGATTCATTTATACATTTTCATTCATTTAAAAAAAAATACTTTGATAAAATTCATTTAATCGATGAAAAAGCAGAATAGCAGACGGACGCATCAATATCTCACCAAATGGAAGTTTGGCCTTGAGCGTATCAGAAGGCAGACTTGGTGGGCCTTCACCGGCTTTGTTCACGGCACTGACGCGGAAGTCATAGATGGCATCCTCTGTCAGTCCAGTGACTGTGAAGCTAATCTCAGGGACAGGTTCCTTATTGACCTTGGTCCACTTGTTCCGAGCCTTGTCTCTCTTCTCGAGGATGTAGCCCGTGACCTCTGATCCGCCATCATCATCTGGAGGTGACCAGGTGAGGTGGATAGAGGTACGGTCCACGTGGGTTGGTGTTGGAGGAGGAGGTGGGCCCGGCTCATCTGAAAAACAAAGCATGAAAAATAAATTAGAAATCAAATATTACTATGTCAATGAGCGAAAGCAAAGAGTTCAGTGAATTTTGTATGGAAAGATAGAAAGCAAATATGGAACTCTAAAACATTTGGACACATAGCTTTGAAATATAACTTATATTTATCTTGACTGTTGTATAAGAGTACATTAGTATAACGAGAAACATCGTCAGAAGATTAACAAACTTTCAGGAAAAACACAAAAAAACATATGTATGAAGGAATTATAAAAAGGGTAAAAGTAATCGCAATGGAACTGGTTAAAAAATTACTACACAAGATCACTGTGGATCTGAATGTCATATCTATTTACTGATGGCACAATTATTGGGCTTACCATAAGGTGGTTTTGCCTTCTTCGGTTGGGTGGCTGGACTGGACTCTCCAACACCTGCAGCGTTTTCTGCGCTGACCCTAAACATGTAGTTTGTACCCTCTGTTAGGTCATAGACAGTGAGGGTAAGTTCAGTGACCAGGTCCTCTTTGTGGGCCTTGGTCCAACGTTTCCGATCAGCATCACACTTCTCGACTATATAGCCCAGAATTTTAGCGCCACCATCATCAGTAGGTGGTGTCCATGTCAGGGTCATGCGATTCTTGTCAACGTCACTGATGTCTGGAATTCCTGGTGGTCCTGGCACATCTGGAGAAGAACAAACAAAATACAAGGTATTCACTTTAATATCTACATGATTTTGAAAAAAATGAATGAATATACAGGTTGCTTTTGTAATCCAAGCAGAAATAAATATCAAATTGTTGACATTTCAGGGACTTGTTGTCTTTAAATTTAGGCTAAGCATCGTTAAAACAAAATAAATCAAATCTTCATAAAATATGATGGCTGGGCATTATTTTAATGAATCTTTACACCAAGAAAAATATAATTTGTTGAATAAATACTCTGCGCATCTACATTTCGAACAATAACATGCATTTACAAACAATCAGAAAATTGTGAAGGTTAGAAATCCTTTCTGAACTTACCATATGGAGGTTTGGCTCTGCGCTGGTCTGATGGCTCACTAGGTTTGCCAACACCAGCCTTGTTCTCAGCCGAAACCCTGAACTGGTAATCGTTACCTTCCTTGAGGTCGATGATCGTGTAGACAACCTCCTCGATTGATGTCTCCTTGACCTTTGTCCATCTGGATGACACACGGTCTCTCTTCTCCACCACATAGCCTGTGACTGGGGAGCCGCCATCAGTTTCAGGTGGTGTCCAGGTTATTGTCATTGATGTGCTGTCCACTTCCAAAATAGTTGGCTTACCGGGTGGACCAGGAACGTCTACATTGATTTCAAAAGAGAATTGAATACAAAAAATTGTTCATTAACCGAGTTGAGTTAAGATTACAATTTGGAACTAAATTTATTTTTATTTCTAAGACGTACCTTCAATGGATTTGTTCCTTTTAATTACCCTGATGCTGGTTGTTAGTGCTCCCAGGATCTTGGCAATGACATTGAACTAGGACTCTTCCAAGTCTTATATGATTAAACATAAGGTTTTACAAATTTGTGATGGTCAAAGACTGAAGAAAAAAAAATCTTATCCTTACCATATGGTGCTTTTGCAATCTGGTAATCTGATGGCTCGCTGAAGGGACCGGTGCCAGCAAGGTTCACAGCTGCGACACGGAACTCATATTCCTTCTTCTCGATCAGACTCTTGATCGTGGCTGTAGTGTCAGTAGTGGTTGTCTTGAGGGATTGTGTCCATTTACCAGTGTTCTCCTTCTTCTGGATAATGTATCCTGTAATTGGACTTCCACCGTCAGAGTCAGGTACAGCCCATGTGAGTTCCATTTGGGTTTTGTCTGCGGAAGTCACTTCTGGTTTTCCGGGAGCTGAAGGAGCATCTAAATGGAGATATGATGAGATAGCTTAATTAATCAGAACTGCCTTGATTGTCTTTTTCTTTTCATTCTGAACGATGTGATACTAAATGCACATCTATTGTGGGTATATCAAATTCAAGAGAAAAGAAATTAGAAAGGGTCAGAACTTAAAGACAACAACCACAACCATAAGCGAGCGATGTGAGAGAAAGCTGCATTAAGGCACTTTTTCCACTATTATATAAAGATATTCAAGAAAATTAAATAATGAAAGACGGATATAAAAGTACTTTAGCACTAAAAGAGCAGATACATGTAACATATTTACCGAAAGGTAGCTTGGCCTTCTGCAGGTCGGAGGGCTCACTCGCTGGTCCAGGACCTGCTAGGTTCTCAGCAATGACTCTGAACTGGTACTCAGAACCCTCAGTTAGACCAGTTACTATGAGTGTTGTCTCGGTAACTGTCTCCTTTGTGACACGGACCCATCGAGATGAAGTCGACTCCTTGCGTTCTACCACGAACCCTGTAACTGGACTACCACCGTCTGATTCAGGAGGAGACCATGTGATGGTCATCTTGGTGATGTTGTACTCAGTAACCTGTGGTTTGCCTGGTGCTCCAGGGGCGTCTGGGCAATCAACACAAAAATCCCATTATTAAAAAGGTTTATATCATGTTTAATAAATATCATTTTTACGATGTATTAATAACTATTCAGATTAACATTTCCAAAAATTATGCTAATGTACATATAATGTTTGCAATTTCTTTTCTAAACGATGTAAAATTTTATGAAGGGACTCAAAATTATATGCAACTGCTTTTCGAAACGAAACTCTGATTTTGGCTCCTGATGAATTTGAATGAATGTTTCTGGTTTAATTCCAATCTCATCACACATGGTTCCTAATTTTGCTTAGACTTACCAAATGGCAGCTTAGCCTTAACAGTATCTGATGGCGGACCTGGTTGACCAACACCTGCTGCGTTCTCAGCTGACACTCTGAACTGGTAGTCGTTACCCTCATGCAGGTCAGAGATGGTCAGTGTCAATTCAGTCACCAGATCTTTATTGCACTTGACCCAGCGACCTCTGGCCCCCTCGCACTTTTCAACTATGTAACCAGTAACTGGAGAACCACCGTCATTTTCTGGCGGTGTCCAGGTAATGGTGATTGTGGTCTTGTTGATGTTTTCAGTGGTAGGCTTGGAAGGTGGACCTGGCACATCTACACACAAATTTAAAAAATAGACACATTGTCATATAAACAATCTCCTACTAAATGTACAAACATATTTTAAATCAGAATAGGTCATATTAGAATACAATACACCCTTGATAACTGTCAACGAGGCTTCTTGGCTGCAACAAATTCAAAGTTTCAGACTTGTGCAAGTAGGAACTATTTCTTACCATAAGGTGCCTTTGCCATTTTGTTGTCCGATGGTTCACTGAAAGGACCGGTTCCTGCTAAGTTGATGGCTGCTACCCTGAACTGGTATTCCTTCTTCTCGATCAATTTTGTAACAGTAGTTGTTGTCTCTGTGACAACAGTTTTGATGGCCTTTGTCCACTTTCCAGTCTTCTCCTTCTTCTCGATGGTGTAGCCAGTGATCGGGCTACCACCATCGGATTCTGGTATAGTCCAGGTAAGCTCCATCTCAGTCTTGTCCGCAGAGGTGATGTCTGGTTTTCCAGGTGCAGTGGGAACATCTGAGAGTTAGAAGGGAAATCATGATATGAAACTAATTAATATATCGTATGAACAATAAAATAACATAGTTGTAATCACTGCTGTTAAAAATAAAGACAGCTTGAAATGCATTACATATCAACTACATTTTTGTTCAATTTTTCACTTCAAATTTTTAACAATACTAAAATTCATTGGTAATATAAGGTGATATGTCTAGAGAAGCATAGATAAAGATAGTTTTGATTCTACATTTCTTGCTTAAAAGTAGTTCTGAAAATAGAACATGAAATGAGCGATGGTATAACATTTATTTCGATTGCCTCTTACTTCACTACTGACAGAACTTACCGAACGGCAACTTGGCCTTCTGCAAATCGGAGGGTTCACTAGCTGGTCCAGGACCTGCTAGGTTCTCAGCAATGACCCTGAACTGATACTCAGAACCCTCGGTCAGACCAGTCACTGTGAGTGTTGTCTCAGTAACTGTCTCCTTTGTAACACGGACCCATCGAGATGAAGTCTTCTCCTTGCGTTCTACCACGAACCCTGTAACTGGACTACCACCGTCCGATTCAGGAGGAGTCCAAGTGATGGTCATCTTGGTGATGTTGTACTCGGTAACCTGTGGTTTACCTGGGGCTCCAGGGGCATCTACGAATGAAGTCAAAATATAAGATTGTGAAGAAATGGATTGAGGTGACAGGAAACTACTGAAAAACATCTAATTCATGCTCCATAATGATACTGCAGGTGTGTCCTCACTTTAATAAAATATTGTTTACAAGATGGCATGTGAAAAATATCATTTAAGAATGTGGTTCTTAGTTTCATATTTATAAATTCAATCTTAATGATTGATTTTTGTTCACCATGCAAATTGGATATTAACAGAAAGTATTGTTATTTGAATGGTCCTTTTCTTCAATTGTTTTATTTTTGCATACTTACCAAATGGAAGCTTAGCAGTGAAGGTTGCAGAGGTGGGGCTTGGTTGTCCAACCCCAGCGGCATTCTCTGCAGAGATCCTGAACTGGTACTGTCCACCATCCGTGAGATCAGAGACGGTGAAGGTCAGCTCAGTGACCTTATCTCGGTTGCATTTCACCCAGCGACCCCGAGAAACATCACATCGTTCGATGACATACCCAGTGACAGGAGAGCCACCGTCGTCTTCGGGTGGGGTCCAGGATACTGTGATGGTAGTCTTGTTGACGTTCTCACAGGTCGGTTGAGCGGGAGGTCCTGGCACGTCTACAGAGACAAGGCACGGAGAACGCAAAGTAAGTAATGGTAATAAAATAGGCAGGATTAAAAGAGTGGCATATATTTCCAAAATTCTTTTTCAAATAAACATCCTTTTTCTATTGATCTAATGGTGAAGAGGCATTCGCATAGCACTTTCTAGGAACTATTACGAAATATAGAAGGACGATCTCAAATGAATATGGTCAACATACAGTATTTGCTGACATCTTAAGATGTGCTGGACTATGTGGTTAAATGTTTTAAAAGCTTGTTTATTATGATGCGGACTAAATCAATTTGTGTTCAAGTAAATTTATACTGCGTTGTACGACACATACTTTTACGTTGAGCACCCATTGTATTACACATAGACAACTCTAATTCAACATAGAGTTAACAGGGCACTATATAATTCTGTGTCTTACCATAGGGAGCCTTGGCTTTGGTAGGCGTCGACGGCTCACTTGGTTTGCTTGTACCAGCCTTGTTGATGGCATATACCCTGAACTCGTAGCTGGTTCCCTCGATCAAGTCTTTGACACGGAAAGTCAGCTCAGTGACGGTTTCCTTTGTGATCTTCACCCATCTTGTCTTGTCAGCTTCCTTCCTCTCGATGATGTAGCCAGTAACCTCGCTGCCTCCGTTGAAGTCGGGCGGTGTCCAGGTTAGGGTCATCTCTGTCTGGATGACATCTGATGTTTCTGGTTTGCTTGGAGCGTGAGGTACATCTGAAGAAATAAAAGCATATTTGTTTATTTGAGTAGGTTATAAGAATATAAAATGTACATATTACCAAAAAAATGTCTTCCGCGTACAAAGTTTGATTTAGTGATTAAAAAAAAACACATCAATATACTTTGAAAGCTGAGAAATTTAGACAATTGATTGACTGTTTTGAATAAGACATGTGTAGTGGTCCACCTGCACACCCCAATCAGTTATACCGGGAGGAGAGACCCGACGGTTACAACGATTCAGTTCACTTTTCACCTCCCATGCACAAGTGACGCCAAATACTTAATGATAATGACTCTAAGAACCTTTTCCCTTTCTTGGAAAATTGTTTCTTCTCCGTTTCTTACATAATTGAATTCTTTTGCAATACGTCACGTTCACTCCATCTGGACATTTACACGCTTGTTACAGAAATGAGTTCCTACTTACCAAACTGGTATTTAGCAGTAACAGGTTCTGAGGTAGTAAATGGTTCGCTGGTGCCCAACTCGTTCGTGGCACTAACACGGAACAGGTACTCGTTGCCTTCCACAAGCTTAGGAACCCTGCAGGTGAGTTCTGAGGTGGTGTCAACCTTGGTCCAGGTATTCCTTTTCATGTCCCGTTTCTCAATGACGTATTCAATGACTGGGCTACCGCCGTCGTCCTCTGGTGCAGTCCACACCAGCGTGACAGATTCAGGAGTGGTCTCAGTAATGGACAGGCTCGTTGGTGGTTGTGGTTTATCTGTTAAGCAGTTAAGAAAAGCAAGAAGCGATATTGATGATATGGTTTGAAGGTAAATGAATTCATTTATCATGTTTCTATGATATTTGATAAAAAGATATGTATAATGAAAGTCTTAAACATAGTACCGGTTTTATCTTTCATTGCGCTGCATGTTGCTTTCAATGCAATCCAAATTAATATTCCACATGATGTTTTCTACTAAAGCATTTTGGTTTTAGATCGATGCTTCATTATAACTAATTTTATTACAATGGCTTAGTTAAATTACCAACAGATTCCAATTCTTACCGAGGACAATGATGAAAATGATGGCAGTATCTGTTCCCAAGTCGTTGGCAGCGGTTAGTGTGTATGTTCCAAGATCTGACCTCTCTGTCTTGTCAATGGTCAGCCTGATGGAAGCCTTGGGTCCTTTACCTGCCTCGATCTTGAATCTCTTCGTGGATTCAATTGGAGTGTCGCCCTTGGACCATGTTGTGACTGCAGCAGGTGAACCAGTGACAGTTGCTTCAATAGCGATTTTCGTGCCGGCCTTGACGCTAATGTTGGTCAGTTTAGGATCCACATTAATCTTCGGTGGAGCTGTAGAATATAGTGTAATAAGCACAAGTATAACAAAAACTTAAGTGACATATGCAAGTCGGAGGTCAATGGTAAGATTGGAACTTACATGTACATAGGAAGTTATCATTTCCAAGTGACAAGTCACTTTTATACGTATACACGTATGTAGGACAGTAAACTAAATTGAAATAAACAATTAATCAATGATTGGTTTCATCTGTAATGAACAGACTGTGACTGAATGATGAAAGTTTATACTCGGAGTCACACCGACGAGACGAACACCCAACATACAATAGAACTAACACTTACATCACCCCTAATTTTGTCTAGATTCTGTAGGGTGTTGGTCAGTTCGGGTCCATTCGGCGGTGTGGCTGGGGCATACTGATGCATCATTGCTGACTTACCTGAAACATTGAGGTTGCAATCGCACTTTTGATCTCCAGCGTTGAAGCTGTAGACTGCATCATCATCGAAGTCAACCTTCTTGATGATGAGTTTATGCTTCTTGCCATCCTTGACGATCTTGACGTTGTCACCGGGCTTGATCTTCTGGCCGTCTTTGAGCCAGAAGACATCTTCTGTGTCCTTGGTGAGTTCAACTTCGAAGGTGATCTCGTCGCCAGGGATGGCTGATTGCTCCTTCGGAAGAGGTGCCAGGAACTCAACTGGTTTCTCTGAAGGCGCATTTCGAAAATAAAAATTATTCGTACAGTAGGATTAGGTAAAAAATACGCGGTGATCATGAGCAGGTTTTTAGCTTCGCACCTTCTCAGGAAATGGCAACATGGACTTTAATTAAATCTAGAGAAGAGTTTACATTTCCTATCTTACACCAAAATTAGGCTTGCATATCTTTATCACAGGTCTCTCTAATACTTATCACTTTTAATGTCCATTGCGATTGGCTATTGTACTCAATGATTGGTCGATTTTATCGACTACCCAAATTCTAAGCATTGAAAAGTAGGTGGTATTATACACATACGAAAGCGTCTGTTTATCCGCGCTTAATACTGTTCACAGGATACAAAGCAAAATGTCATTAGATTGTTCTGCAAAAGTGAAATAAAAGCGAGAAAGAAAAAACAATTTGCTTCAAACTTCTAGAGCTAGGGTAAAGCGAAGAGCGGATATGTATCAATTAGGTAGCAGCTGTTAAAGTAAACTATACACACTTATATTCTTTACAGCATACATTTCACCATCGTATAAACACTTTCTGCTACTCCACTTGTGTATGGCAGCTGACAATGAATTTAAATATTTGCAACTCGGCATCACATGTTAGTATGAAACAGTAGAAGTCCTCTTGTAAAGCACATTTTTTAGTTTTTCTCCAACTGCTGAACATGTTGTACTATCGAGTGTTTCCTGCTAAAAAATAAAAATTGCACAGAACAACGACGGAGTGCATGCAACTTAACGGTGAAACATACATGCAGCAAAAATAAAAGGCGAAGAAATCTGCTTTCTGAGGAAAAGGGGCATTTATTCATATTTTTAGAAGTGAAACTAGCAGTCTGCTTCTTTATGACAAATCAAAACCTTTAAAAGATAAAACTCTGTGATTTCTACGAAGCGCTGAAGCAACTATCTTCATCTAAGCTAAGCAGTGTTTCATGCAGCCAACCAACCAATCTTCAGTTGTGTGTACCTTCCACAATAAGCTCAGCTATGGTCTCGTGTACTCCGATTCGACAAGTAAACTCCCCTGCGTCCTCGACCGAGACATCCTTCACAATCAAGGAATGTCGCCGCCCTTTGCGCTTAATGACAAACTTGGAGTTGTCTTCGACAATATCTTTGCCTTTGTGCAACCAAGCAACGTCGGCGGTCTCCACGTCAGTCTCGCATTCAAAGACTACTTCGTTGGAACCTTCTTCGATCTTCACGTCTTTGAGGGTGTGTGAAATGGTAGGTATGTGTTCTATTAAGGAGGAGGTGAAATGATGCAAAATGCAAAGTGGGTGTAATGGTTGGGAAGAGGAAGAAGATAAAATGTAAGGTATGGTGGATGCACAAAGGTATGGATGGTGCTCAACTTATAATAAAGAAGTTTACAGGGGAAAATTGTCAATATCGCTCCTTTAATTTAGAAGATTTCATTCCAAACTTTGCCACGATCTGGATAGTTTCTCCTTAGTTATATTTCTTGTTGTATACAACTTCAAAGGGAGTAAGGGTATATAAACCTAATGGTTAATTAGTTCAGTAATAAATTAACATATTCACCATTATACTTGATACAACATACACTTTTGAACATTGAATCTTTTCGATGTAATCGGTCATCGTTCATTTCATGATGTTTTAAAATACAACATGAATCTGTCTCGATCATCAAAGAAAGAAAAGAATGTACAGCGATATCGGGCTATACATTATTAAGCCAAATGTGTAAATTTGTATAACACATGCAATTCACTAATGTGATCTTTAATATGTACAAAGTTTGTGCAAAAGAAATAATTTCAGAGAGGTCAAAGCGGAAAATTCAAACAAGTAGTACAGGTGTATAAGGTAGTATGACGTACCTGTAACAGTAAGGGAAGCAGATGACGTCTTGTCCTTTGTCTTGCAGGTGAATTCTGCAGTATCGGATACATCGGTTGATTTGATCTTGAGGCCGCGTTTCTTTCCACTGACGACAAACTCATATTTTTCGTCATCTGGTTTGATCTCCTCTTCGTTTTTCAGCCAGATGACCTCTGCATTGTCATCGGAGATCTCACAAGTGAAGACAGCGGGCTCATCCTCGACGGCTTGGACGGATTGGATTTCAGATAGGAACTCGATGGGGGCAGCTAGATTTGAAGAAAAAATTATGGTAATATCCTGGATTCACAATGTGCTAAGACATGCACTATGCAAGAGTTTTGGGGCTAATGGAAGTGACATGTAATAGCTAACAGTCGGAGTACGCCACTGGTTACACAAAATGTTAAGATCATTACACATTGTTGCATACAAGCTTAAAGAGATTCCACTACTATAGCTCTTGATAAGGTTTGGAACTTAAAATACACATAGCTCCTTGGAATATGTGGTGCTATATCCCTCAATGAAAGTATTATCCTCTTAGAGGGTTGTTCCAAGAGCACTGCACAGCACCATTTATTTCATGGCTGGGCCACTTGGTGTAACAGTCACCTCGACTCCATATATTGTAAAAAGGAAGCCTGGCTCGAATGCTCCCCGGGGAGTGGAGAATGTGCACACAGTGTGTGCGAGTAAGCCTGAATCCGATGACAGGGTAAACATATATACCTGTAAAGCGCTTTGAGAGGGCCTGCGGTCCTGAAATGTGCTATATAAGAACCAACTATCATAATTATTATATTTAACTAGTGTCTTTCAAGGCAGTGCATATGTTAAGTTATGCCCAGACCATTTGTTTTAACTTACGCTCGACAGCAAGCACAGCCACAGTTGACTCGTCTCCCACCACGCAGGTGTAATCTCCCTCATCTTCTGGTATTGTTTCGAAGATAGTCAATCGGCGCTTCTTTCCTTTGGATTCCATGAGGTACTTGGGCATCTTGGTGATCTCTTTGCCGTTCTTCATCCACTTGACAGGAGCCTTCTCATTGTCCACCTCACACTCCAGGACCACAGTGGTCTCGAAAGCTGTTGTGGTGTCCTCCAAAGGCTTGGTAATGGATGGTACTATGTTCAAGCGAGTTGATAAATTACACATTCATGTTTATAAAATAAAACTGCAACATACACTGTTATTTTGAAAGGATAAGTGCCGTGATTCTCTTATTCACATCATTTGAATAAAATACATTACATCAATAAGACAACGGTCAGCATGAATCTTTCATGATATTCTTTAAAAGGGTAAGTGCCGGAATTCTCTTATTCACATTATTTGAAAAGTTACATTAAATAAATAAGACAACGGTCAGCATGAATCTTTCATCTTTAAAACTGGCTGAATTTGATTTTCATTAGCTTTGGAAAAAGAGCCTTATGCATTACATTAATGATTAGAGCAATTTATGTCAATATATTATGCGCACTACGTTACTATCGATACAACAAAATCCTAACCGATCCAATATTTATATACTGATAATTTCTTCACCTTTGACGTTGACATTGGCTACAGTCTGGTTGTCTCCAACCTTACATGTGAACTCGGCATTATCATCCTTGACAACATCATGGATGATGAGACGTCTCTTGCGTCCATCGCTGACCACCTCGTACTTCTTGCTGGTCAGCTCCTCAGGTGTTATGGGCTGACCATCCTTGAGCCAGGTGGCCTCGGCCTTCGGGTGGGAGACCTCGCACTCTAGCACGGCAGTCTCGGCAAATTCAGGAGCTGTGACTTCCGCCAGAGGCTTCATTATCTCAGAAGCTAAAACAAAAAGCGATGAATGGCGTTAAAAACCTTAGGAGCAGATCATCATTGAATGTGTTGCGGGCATTCAAAGGATTAGGGACACTACCGATCTTGTTATCACTGGTTGACTGAATTTACCAAGAAACAAAAGTTGGTGCATTGATATGCTCTGTCCTCATATGACCATTCTCTGTAGGAAATTACATAACTATGTAAGTTCCAAAGTGATCTATCGTCACATTAACCCCACGCTGTTAAGTATCTATCATTTACTGATACAAAATCCATCACCCTTCATGGCTTAAAAAAAAGACTTACTACACAGCAACATGTATGGGAAAGGAATAAAATATAATACCACGTTGATTGATATACAAGTACATGTAAGTCGTATCTTCATATGAATAACTCACTATCCAAATGATTACAAACACTTGTAGGAGAGCATATCTATTTTTTTGATATCAAATCGGTATTTTCAAGTTACCTTTGACGTCGAGTGTAGCTGAGGACTCTTTGTCACCCACCACACAGCGGAAGTTCCCTGTATCTTCTGGTCGGACATCATGGAGGACCAACTTCCTCTTCTTTCCATCATCAATGACCTCCACCTTTGGCCCAACGGTGATAAGGACGTCATCCTTATACCACTGGCAAGGAACAAGCTCGTTGGAAAGCTCACATTCGAGGACAATTGTTTCGTCGTACTCGGCGGCGGATGTGTTATTGAGTGGTTTGACAAATTCGGCAGCTGTGGTATGTAGTTGGCACATTGGAAGCGGGTCAATTTTTGGTTAGAGATTTTTTTGGTTAGTGAAAGAAAGACATGAAAATCTTATGTTTGCCTTGATACCAAGAGATGTTTACTCTGATAAGCATTGACATTAGCTTCCCCATTGCTTCCTAGATCTACCCATCATGGTTCAAACGGGTGATTCGATTGCATGAATTCTATCTATACACATTGCACTAACTTGAATAGTTGGAATAATGGCATGAATTCTATTTGTCAACACTGCACACCATGAATAGTAGGAATAATTGCATGATCGATAATATCACACTGATTTAAATAGAAGGAAATATTGGATGAATTACATTGGTAAACATGGCACTACATGAATAGTAGGAACAACCATACAGAAAACAAACTCATCAGATTACATAATCAGGGTTTGGGTAGAATGAGGGGATGTGATATATATATTTTTGAAAGTCACCGACATGAACAATTCTAAATGATTCGAATTCAATGAAATGTTAGCTAATATTTGGTATAATAACACTTTTAATTATCCCCCTATCGATTAATTTTGGATAGAGCCATGATCTTGCGACTGAGATTAAAATCGCTTCATTTCTCGATTAATTCAATCAAAATTACATTAAAAGCGTTGTATACATCTATTCCGATGTTTGGGCTGACATCTTATTGTCATTGATGAATGCGTTATAATACAATGGAATACTACATGTACATAAACGATATGGGGTCATCTCAAATTACCCCTGTCAAAATGGAGAGTCTAGTATAGAATTTCTAAAACATATATGTATTGAATTCAAACCATGCATTCATGCATGGATACACAAACACAAATGACCTGTAATTATCAAGAGTATAAAGTGGGTTTTCACAAGACAATTACCGAAACGTAGAAGAAAGGGCAATAATGTAACGTTAAAGTCCATATGATTACATCAAATGTTAAAAAATTGTCTCAGTGTGTGGATTATTTAATTAAATAAATTGAATTGACTTTAAATGATAGATTGGGTCAATTGAAGGTTAAACAAGTTACTTGAAAGGATAAATTGGGGTGGGGGATATCTTACATAAAACTTCTGTATTACAATGGTTCAGGTGCATGAGAACAACTCAATATCTCAAATTATCCGTGTGAAATGGATACACCTGCTCGGTTTCCGGAATGAATATAAATAAATTGTGCATTCATGCAAGGATAACAAACGTAATTCGCATTCAATGTTAAAAAGCAAGGAATCCTGTAATCTACATAATGACAGCAGCCCATTTGTTCAAGGACCAGTTACGTGATAAACTCCAGGTTATATACGATGGAGAATTTTGATTACGTTTGTTTGTGGTTTAACCTTTAATCATTATATGGTAGGAAACCAATTGCTTATTGATTTCCCATCGTGCAATTTTGACAGTTTCGTTAACCCTTTTACCCAAGCAAAAAAGAAAAAGATAGAGTTATTTCAGATAACGCTGCTAAAAAGAAAGGACAATAAGTGTTATTTATATTACAAATAGCGTTAAATATTTGTGGGTATTCAATATGTGCTATTATAACAGCATCTGGGCATGTTCATGTAGATCTTAAAGTTGGGGATTCTTCTATGTTTTGAAGGTCAAGCCGCATGCATAGCTTTAAGAAACCGATTCTGGACATATCCGTAAATTAGTTTTCCACAAGGTCTTCCTGACGAACCAACAAAAGCATTAGCGGGTATAGAGAGGGATGTTAGTCGTGTACACACGAAGGGTACATACAACAATTCCTGTTTTGAATTTTATATCCCATTGCTTCCTGTCCCGTCATGCAAAACTCTGTAGTTCCAGGAAGCAATGAGTAAATTGACTGCATCTGTACAGCTGGTCATTTGCACGTGCTTTTGCGTGACAAAATTATTCCATGCACAGCGCATCTTTGAAAAAAATAAACAACGAACAAATATAGGGCCCACATATTAAAGACAGTGTAGAATGCAATGGAGTTGTGCCTGCTGTGAGTTAGAGGACAGTACAAAAGTAGGGTTGATATCCACCTTGGACTTTGAGATCAGCTGTTTGTGTCTTGTCGCCGATCTTGATGGTGTACTGGCCACTGTCTTCAGGAGAGGTGTCCTGGATGGACAGAGAGAGACGGCGACCATCACGTTTCACTTGGAACTTCTCATCGGGGGTGATCTTCTGACCATCCTTCATCCAAACGATGTCTTCATCTTTGACGTCACGAGACACGTCACACTCAAATGTGGCAGCTATTTTCTCTGGCACCTTGGCATCAGCCAAAGGAGTCAAGTCTGTTTCAAAAGGAAAAAAATAATAATTTTGGGAGTGTCAGTCTTCATCTCACTGAGAAGCTACCGAAAAAATTATAACTTAAAATTCAAAGAATAAAGCTTTTTTTTCTGCCACATGTTTGACAATCGTAACAATAACCTGATATATTTTAAATGTTAATACTACTAATTCATCAATGGATTAATAATATTTTTTTTACAATTAAATTTCATACGGCATGCACACATTTAGGAGATCCGATGAATATAGTAACGATATCAACCAAAAATACATTGTATACCTTTGAATTGACTACAACAACAACTATGCTTGATTTCTAATTATTTTGACTTTGATAGAAATATCCAATGTAAACTAACATGCAATATAAATACTTACATGTCATCAAGTTGAATTGAAATTACAAACAAGTGTTGCAATGGAGACAAAACACAATTTTGAGGTATCATTGCAAATTGCGATTCAATTACTAGAAATAAATTGTCATGTCATATTCTAACTATGAGGGGTTAAGGGGAAACGCCTAAAAACAAGGCCCGTATTTTACTAATTCACTTAAACTCAACACTGGGTCTACGATAGCGTTTAATAAAGGACAACTAAGACCTCAGAATATCTTCATTTTGTGAAACCAATTTTTGATAAAAGCCAAAGCCCAGCGTCGGGTTTAAATTTTTAGTAGAATACGGGCCTAAGAGTGCAATGACCTTAAGTGAAATGACATAAAAAGTATCCAGGAATGATAGAATGAAATTAATTTGTTCCAACGGTATGAAAATGTTATCAAGTTGTGAAAAAACGTTAAAAAATACACATAAGTTCACAATATATGACAGATGTATTAGTCGTCTATTATGATTTACATGTATTATTCGATCGATTGAGAACAACGAAGGGTACAAATGGTCTCACATGTACATTCAGAGTAAATCCATCAATTAATTCCTTTTATGGGATAATCATGTACATTAATTCATCTTCGTTAACAATATTATGGACATCTAAATAAAATGAGTTAGAAAAAGAAATGAAAGTGTATACATGTAGTTAATTAAGTCCAATGCATTAAAGGCATTATCATATGAAAATAACATACAAAACCTTGAAAAAACACGATATGGCACGTGACTTTAAGAAATCTACTACATGAATTGAATGTACATTTAATTAGCATTTACCGGGTGAACGATACAAGGGGCAATAAGAAACAACTGAAAAAAATTGACATTGAAGTGAAACTGAATTGTTGAGTGCATTGAAAGATCATGGGCTAAACAACACGATATATGGAATGAAAATAAAAACAGTGCATCGTCTGTGGAATGACAATAGTATGATAATATTAATTAATTCAGTGAAAATCAATCAATCAATCACAAAATTAGGGGGCCATATTTTGATCACGATTCACAAACATATAATCGACGATACCTTGTCCTTCAGCACTAAATGTTTCCAAATCAGCCATTTGTTGTGTCGTCTGAAGATCTATCTCGGCACTTGCTTCAACCTTCGGCTCAGCGATCGGCACGACAAATTCTTCTTTGACCGTTTCAGGTTCAGCCTTTATCGGTTCCTTCTTCTCCTCCTGAGGTTTGGCCAAGAGCACCTGTTCCTTGGTCTCCGTGATACTACTAGCTTCTTCCGCAGGTGCTAATGTGGTATCCTCTGACAACTTGGAAGCGAGGTCCAACAAGGATCGGAACATCTCAGCCTCTGCCATTCGCTCTGGTAAGCGAAAAATCATTTTTTGGGGGTAAAAGTTTTACCGTGAGATGCATCTCACGAAGACATCTTTTAAATTCCAGGGGATGATGAAGGGTCCAGAGGTGAAAGTTCATGATGATCACGTGACAGAGGTGAATAAAAGCGAGTGCCGCAGATGAAAGAAGTGCGAGACACACACAGAGTGCAATGGAGGAAGCGAGAAACTACTCACCTTGTTTGGAAGTTAACTCAAATTTGATGAATGACGTGGGCGGGGTTGTTGAAGTGCGAGGAATGGGCGAAGGTGTGATGACTGAATAAAGTTTACCGTACTCACGATCTTACATTAGTGTCAGTTACAAGGAGTCTACAATTTGGGATGTGGATACTAATTAATATTATGTATCACAAAATAGACAAGAACTACAACAAATATGTTTGACCCCATCTCTTTAAAGAAAACAGAAAGCAAAAACAAAATTACCATTCGAATAGTAACATATAGATTTTAAATCATCAAACAAATTAGGTCTGAAGCCAAATCGTCCATTGGAAATTTCTTTAAAATGTATTTTCGCCCGGCATCTTTGAGAATAATTTGATTATAGAGGTGTTGTAGACTAGTGGATAAGTCACCCGACTGCAGATCACAAGGTACAGGGTTCAAGTCCCGCCGCAGCACTTATGTCCTTCGGCAAGACATTAATCTACATTTGTCACTCTCCACCCAGGTGTAAATGGGTACCTGATATGCTTGAGCGCTAGTTACTTTGGCAGCTCGGCTACGACCAGGGTAATATGTGTAAAGCGCCATGAGCGTCAGAACCTGACGGATACCGGCGCTATATAAATAACCATATTATTATATAATATTTCAAAAATATATATTTTTTTTAATCTAAAGATTTTTACTTATGTACAAAAATACAGATCAGACACAATGTATCAACAAGTTTTCTGTCACATCGGCTATATGGGAGTGATATGAAACTCTGACTGGTACACTCGTTATAGGCATAAAAGGGATGACAAAGAAATGAATATGAACACGGTACTGGTACAAAAATATCAAATATTTATTTTGACTATATACAAATACAATGAATGGAATGAGAAAATTATTCGAACAGCCAATGACTGTGCAAAATGTAGTTGGGGATTTGATATGGGAGGTTAATGTACATAAGTTGAATTAAGTGGATTATCATTATGAGAAATGAAAGAGAACATCATTTGTTTAAGTGGATTATCATTATGAGAAATGAAAGAGAACATCATTTGAATTAAAACTGAACATATTAAAAAAGAATTATAAAATACATTATCAAAATTATACATATAATATGAAGCCATTTGGAAAATTAATATTACAATAATTATTTTCGCAACGTAGATCAAGTACATATACATGAATATAAATCTTTGAATAATGAACAAGAAACCTAAATAATATTTAAAGCATTTTTGGTTAGGAGCACTCGTAATGTTACTGATCATGGAACAACGATATTCACGGACAACAATATAAATATAACCAATCTGAACCTGTATACATGTAATATGAGTAAGCACATAGTAACTAAAACTTATTCAATACAATAACAACCATATAAAGTATACTATATCATGCATTTAAAGACTTAAATCACACGAAGTTATATCAATTGTACATTTATCTTATAAACTGTTAAGATCTAATTGATTGTTTTAAACATCTAAATAGATCCATAAACTATATCCAGTTTCTAAATTTTCAGCTGCATGCAATTAAGAAGTTATCAAAGAACAACGAAGAGGCATGGGTAGATAAACTTACCTGTCTCTTCTGGCTTGCCTCGACCCATGACCTTAGGAGATTCAGCCATCTCAAAGGCTGCAAGCTCCAGGGACTCGAGCTGTTCAGGAATCTCAGGTTCCTCCATGAGAGTTTCCAGATCCTGTTAAAAAGGTACAAGGATCAACACATTAAAGATTTAAGACCTTCTTTTTGAACATGCCATTGCATTATTATAAGTTCTAACTAAAATTAACGCCACTTTCTGATCGGTAGGAAGTAAGTACATCCAGATCAAGAAAACTGTTCACATATTGCATAAAGAATGATACAGTTGCTAAAAAGAACATCACTTCTATACTAATAGACTCATTGCTACTTCAATTTCGCCACAGTAGCAATCTGACACAAGAAAAAACAAGATATCCCCCAAAATATGTAGCGAGTAAACCTTACAATGATAGCTATTTTTGTTTCATATCTTGGGATGCATACGAACTGCAGAAACTCTAACATTAAATGTGATATCTTATTTTTGTTTGTTTTTAAAATCTAATATCAAACCTCTGGTTGTACAGCCCTTTTCTTCATAGCTTGGAGTTGCTTGAGGATTGCTCTGAAGTCAAATATGCCATGTTGCTTGAGTACGGTCTCGTAGTCTTTGGGCTTTACATCCCTGAGGATTTCTTCGATGTCTATCTCTTCGTCTTCGAAGATCTCCTGCTGTGATGCACGCCTGAAGATTGATGAAAAGCAGGACATGGCTCAAAGGAGAAAGTTTAAAAGTGGTCAGGAGGGGCCAATATTAATAAAACGTTACTAAACAACAAGTTACAAAGACTGTAGGACGTTGAAAGTTTTTGTCAATATGAACCCAGAACTGTAAGAGTGTATTTGGTTAGTCCCTAGCCGATTTAACACCTACAAAGTCCCAAGTTCACTAGCGGATAAAAAGATAGACACAATTAGACATGTAAAAATATATACATCTATACATACCTACAAAAACACATTACATTACCCTGAATGACCAAGATTTTGTTGGATGTCGGTTAGTTTGGAGTCGGTCTCGCGGTATGACTGGGGTATAAATGCAAATAGCATCAACAAAAATAGTATGTGTTCTTACGCTTTGAGTGACATCTTTCTCTTCATGAGCTCCTCGGGAGGTCGTGGGGTCACCATCATGGAAACTGCCTGCTTGACTTCACCAGACTCGTTCTTGGCGATCACTAGGTACTTGCCGGCATCCTTGGGTGTGACCTCATGGAAGATGACCTTGTGTTCTTGGGTGGCCTCGTCAAATTGGAAGGTGACGTCGGAGTTCTCCGGCGTGATTTCCTTCCAGTCCTTGGTGAACTTGATCTCGGGTACAGGGTAGCCGGCGATGACGTAGCGGAATATGGCAGACATACCTTGAAAAAAAAAAGTAACAGAATGTGTGATTTGACACTCGATCAGATTGTTGTTATTGTTATAGAGTCACAATACTCACGTTTCGCTTGATAGTAACGAGTAAATGTAAAGAGAAAATCATTCGGGAAACGTATATTGGCAACATATAATGATCAATGCGAAATACCAAAATATTAAAATATTTTACATACATAGCCTACAGAGTCGATTCTCCAGAAGAGATCAAAATCAGTCGAATGCCACATACGCAATATATTTTAATACCATCAGTAGTCGTTAACTGTTATGATGAAAGGTTCAGAATAATTGTCAGTTGGTTTACATTTTTTATCGGAGGGTTTTTTCTGCACTCACAATATCCAAGTTCACCTCCTTTAGATGGTAATCAAATAATCATTTTTGTATTCTTGCTTTTTGGGGAAGGAATATATTAAGCATCTCACCTTCTTGTGTGTCTACAGCTTTCGGTTTTGTGGTAAAGACAGGTGGTTTCAAGGCTTGGACGCTAAGGGTGAAGGGCATTTCCATGTTGTCCACCAGGACGGAATATTTTCCAGCATCGGAGGGCGACAGATCCTCGATCACAAGGGTTGATACCAACCCCTCGTTGATGATCTTGTGGCGTTTGTCCTTTCTCACCACCTGTCCACCCTTCTTCCACTTGACGTCCGCCTTGGCTGCATCACCGGTGAGTTCACAGACGAACTTGACACTCTGCCTTTCACGAGAGTCCTCGTCTTCAGGAGGCTTGGTGATTTTGATGGTTTCTATGTAATAATTAATGGATAAAGTTACTAGAGTCTGTCTTAGAGAAGAAATAATGGGATCTCAAAGAATCTAATGGAAAATGAGTGCAAACATAACAATCTAGTGATAATTTACAATCATATCTTATTTGGCTGAATATCACAGGCCTAAATATATCATAATGTTAAGAATACACTGCTAAAGCGATCACAAAAATGAATTTATATTTGATTTAAAATTTGTTATCCTTTGTACAAACTAAATTTCAATACACTTTTTAATGAGGCATGTATATGGTTTCAATAACAACTATATCATTCTGTTATCACCAACCAATACGAAAGCATTGATTTTATGACAATACAAATGCTGGTATAAATGTTATGACTATTCCTATTTGGTTTAAACCAGGAACTATGAAGGAAGATAAATGTAATTATGAACACGAAGATGTTGAAACGCATAAGACTAGTTTACTAACATATTCAAATTGTATGCATAATATTTAAACAAAGATTGTTCTTGACAACCTGACAGATTGCCCAAGGCTTGCCAAACCTATCAACAAGTAATGAATGCAAATTGGATTCCAAGCATGGTCAATGAAATAACTTGTCACTACGTCCACAGGAAAGAAACATCCGTAAATTTGAATATGTTGGTAAAACAGTATTTTACTATAAAAGATAAAAATATCATATATTACAAGCTCGTTGGAATTATTGATAACAGGTTCCACAGTGACATTAATGCAAGTGAGATAAGCATTATACAGTAGTAAAGACAAATACACAAAAGCGTTTAATTGATCAACAATTGATTACAAATACTTAAGTGATAATGTAATAGAGCGTGAATAAGTTGTACATGACATGTTAGTTGGAAAACAGGGTGAGGTTTGTTAATAATCATGCAAGAGGCTGTTATATTAAATTGCATTAAATTGCATTAAGTAAAAATAATCTCTTGAGGTAGCATAATTGATAAAAGAGTTATTCCTTTGCTAGTCCGATGTTTCTCACTTAAGCAGATCAAGGAAGGGATATGGTGGGGTTTGGGGAGACAAAGTAGATGCTTTATCCCGTTTTATCTGAACTATATTTGAGTAACTTTCTGAAGGGGTTTCGGGAAAGATAGGGTATTAAAAGCAGAATTCTACCTAAATCTAAACCCGAAGCTGGGCTTAAGCTTTTGTTTATTTATTTATTTTTTAATTAAAAAATTGAATAAATAAAATACGGACCAAAAGGTTTAAAGTTGGCCGTATAGCCAGAATCATTTGTTGGAGAGCCATATTATCTGTCATGGTTCCAGGAAAGAAAGGGTACAAATACAAAGGCGGAATTTAGAGTTCGGGATTAAAAGGGTAGGACGGAGCTCAAGGATGTTCTTTGGAAGGATCGTTGTTTTTTTTAGGAAGTCGCATTCTTTCTATGGACAAAGGTTGCATAAGCATGGGGTGGTAAGGGTATAGGATATAGTTTTCTGTCTTATTACAGTAGGACACTTACATATGAACACACTGAAAAAGCATTGTATATTACATTACTTCACTTGGATTTTTAAATAAGAACAAAGACTTGCCACATCTGACGCGAGTACGCAAATGTAGGAGCAACTGTATACACCACGTCATCATCAATTAGGTTTATGTCGGAGATAGCCTCCAATGTAATTGGAAGTCAATCTCGGCAAATCTACTGTAAATATTACACCGAAATGCTATTTACACTAAAAGTTAACAAGTCAGCAACATATTTTCAAATTTCCCACGAGCCAAAGATTAATGTCATTAATATACCGAAGCAAAATTAGAAAATTTGCAAAATATATAGGGCTTGTGAGAATAAATTTCTCGTGGCTCTATAATCACATATTTATGTTAGCATTAAATTAGCAACAGTTGCAACACTTGTTTTCTTTTGGCAGTTCTGCGAAAAATCGATTAGATTGCTAACAATATTATGTCGTAGATTAGCATTAAGGCTTGTTCAGATATGCCGTGGTGAACCGTCGCAAAAGAAAGAAAAAATAAAAGACAAAAAGACATTTTGTAAATGAATGTCAACTGCGCGCAAGTAAGGCCATAAACGCATTGACTGGGTTCTGTGTAATATAACATACACAATATGAAGCGTATTGCACTAATATGTCACCATTTGACGTCATATCTGAACTAGGCCACACGATTGCAAATTAACAAATACGATATATTACAAAGTAGTATTTGCGTTAATGAATGGGTATATCTGACACCATAACAAATGTCAACAAATGGCTAAAACATTAAATGTAGACCAAATACAAAATATGCTGGAATAAGACTATGAATTTCTCGATTCGTAGGAGAAACACAAAGTGCATGGAGATGGACATGTGTGGATATATAACGATGGATACACCAACGAAACTTGTATTAGGTGGAACCGTTTCAATTCATTCTTAAAGTGTACCGGCCACCCCAAAACATGTTGTTTACAGATAGAATGTAAACAATCGAAATTATCAAATTTTGGTGTAAAATATTGCAAGGGGATAATTGTTCAATAAAACGGTTAAAAATTTGGGGAACTTATCTCCTTCTAAATATGGTTATGTTTTAAATTTAGAAATTTCAGTTGTCGATAAAAGTGATAGAAGAGAAACTATTAACAGCAAAATATGACAAAAATCTGCTGGCCTTTAAAATTGGTACTGAATTAGCTATGTTTTAGTTGATAATGCTGATTTATGGAGCGTTAAGTATCACAATCTTAATTCTGGAATATTACCATAATTGAATAATTAAATAAAAAATACCAAGAATATTTTCAACACGAGAGGGTAAAATAAAAATCTTTTCATTAAAATCGTTTCGGTTATTAATTTTGTAAGAGACTTAGCTGTTCAAATGGAACAGAGAATAACACCTAGCGCTTCGTAAATCAGTGTACCAGATTTAACAGACTTATCCATTATAAATACAAGCCATTAGAAGCAGTGTAGTATTATATTATGCTACATGACACCGAGATGACATAAAGTAGAACCTCTAGATATATTAGAATGTTAGCAAATGTTGTCACATATTCTAAACACGTTATTGCTGTACACAAACAAAAATGAGTATGATATAAACAAAGTTGAGAAGCAGCTAGCAATCATTAGTTTGTAAACCGCCACCAGTTTGCGTAACGACAACATGACACGAGTATGTCACCTCTTAAGAGGAGGTCAGCGCTGGTCTTCTTGTCCCTCAACACACACGTGTAGTCCGACACGTCATCTTCAGCGATACCCTGAATGATCATCCGTCTGAATCTCCCATCCGACTCCATCTTGTATTTGTCCGATGGCACGACTTCTTTGTCACCTTTAAGCCAGGTGACCTTGGCCCAAGGCTCACTGACCTCACATTCGAATGTGGCATTGCCCGTGAGGTACGCGAACAATTTTGTAAGGGGCGAAAGGACTTCCAATGGCTTTTCTGGAGTGGCATTTAGGAGAGAACTTATTTGCTATAGCATGCATATTTATCTCTCTGGTAGAGATAATGGAATGATTATTATTCAAATGAAATGAAAATAATTCTTACTACTACAAGAAGAGAGAAAGTGTGATATGTTTCCTGCCAGAAAGTATGAATAAACAAAGTGAATATTTGCTATTCTTAAGTCATTAGATGATAATAGTTACTGTTCACACTAAGTAGCTTTGACATATTTTATATTTTATATTCCCTTCTGAAAACTTATGAATGTATATCTAGGAGGACAGTTTCCTTTTTCTACTCAAGTATAAATATACCATCAGAATCAATAGAAATGAACTCAAGAGCACTGAAGGAAGTAAATATCTAAGCATCACAATTCTTTTCTAATTTGTCAAAGACATTGAAATCGATGTTGGAAAGTATAGCCTACTCGAAATTGATCTTCTGAATTTAGAAGAAAGCATATCAACATAAAAAATAAAAAAAATAAAAAATCCGAAATGGTATATTCAACTATAAAATGGAAAGCGTTTACAGTTATAAGCTTACCATTAACTGTCAGAGTCATGGTGGACGAGGACCTAGGCAGCTGACAGGTGTATTCCGCAGCGTCCTCTGGACTGATGTTCTTGATCCTCAACTTCTTGCGGCGACCTTCGTCCAAGACCTCGTACTTGTCAAGGGTTATATCGATGGGTTCGCCATCCTTGAGCCACGTAACAGCAGCCTTGGTATTGCTCACCTCACATGTGAGCACGGCAGTCTCCCTCTCGGTGATGGTCAGTGGTTTCAGGTCACCCACAATCTTGACCGGGACTGAAGAGAAAGAGGACAAGGACATTAATGATTTGCTAGATATCGTAGATTAATTATATGTTTTTGTTTCTTCTGTGGGTATGGATGGTTATACTATCACTGATCAGCTACTTGGAAATAAGGACACTAATCTCATTCTCAGGAAGGAGTCTGTATAATGTTTGATAATGATCTTCCAAGTTTGTTCATTTTAGTGAGCCATCAACAAATTGAGACTCTTCATCTGACGTGACACCCACTGACTGTGCATTATTTCATATAAATTCACGACGTGTCTAATGTAAATTGAGTTTTGAATTAAATTAAGCAAGATATATGAATATATATAAGGTGTAAGAGAACATCTGGTTTTGGATTTGAGGTGATCGCTGGCACATATCGGAAGTTGTAATTGTACTGGGGATTATGCTGTAGCACCTTGTGCTCTTCAGCCCTTAGCCTATTGTACGAATTAAAGTTGGACATCTACAACATTTAATCTAGTCCCTTTTAATAATTATGTTCAACAACTTACTTTGGACATCGAGGGAAGCACCAGTCTTAGTCTTTGGAAGCTGGCAGGTATATCGGGCACCATCTACAGGGACAGCGTCTTTGATAACCAGGATTCTCTTGGTGCCATCTTCTTTCAGCTCGTACTTGTCGCTTGGTTTAAGAACCTTGCCGTGTTTGACCCACTCAACGATTGCATTCTCATCATTTACCTCACAGACGAGTTCACATGTGTCTCCCTTGAAACCTTTGGCTGGTTTGAGTTCCTCGGTGAACTTCCATTCTTCTGCGATATCAAACATGTATTGAATCTTCTGACTAGAAGAGGTCAATTTGACCAGACACTACTAAACCATCAAAAAGTCGCATAGTGTAGCTTTCAGTTAGAGCTCATTAAGGGTGTAATTGTACAAGATGGTCATATTATAATTTGTAGCATTTCTTGAAAGAGTTTACTGTCCTATTAATACATTCGAAATTTGGAAGCACAAAGCAATATAAAGGTAAAAGTGGTATTTGTTAGTAAGTTTTAGACCTATGTATTTCTGATCTCGAGTAGGCATTTCGATTCATTTACAACCCTGGCTATCGGTCTCATTGTGATCTCCAATAACTTTAACACCTAATAAGCTGATATTTTTATACCTAGCATAATTAATGATCAGGATGTGCCTAATTAGTAGTATATTAATTTAAAGTTGAGGGTCTCGTCTTTCAAAAATAGATCCAAACTAAAGAATAATTTCTGGCTACTTTTTGATGGTTTGTGTTGCCGGGTTACAAATCAATTTCTGTTCATTATTTAGAACATAAATCAGGAAAACGATGCTTGTTTATATTTCTATACCTGCTATAAATTATCGTTTCTTTGAAAATCGGGTCAATATGTGGTGAGATTTAGATGTTATTATCATAATTATTTTCAAGATATAGAGCTATTAAATAGCAGCCAAAGAAATGTGTAACACATCTAGCTGGAAACATATTGAAAAAGCGCTACAAAATTTCAAAAACAATGATTTTTGAAAATGTTCATGAATGTTCATCTATTAAACTACATGGCATGCTGATTTTAAATCCATTTTCTGTTGCAGTGTACTGATAGAATTATTCAACCTACCTGGTTTGAGTTTCTTTTCAGGAACCGCCTTAACTGGGGCAGCCTCTACGGGTGCAGCTTCTACAGGCTTAATGACTGCTGCTTCGACAACTTCAGAAGGAACCTCCTCAGAAACTCTAAGAGTGACTTCAGCTTCCACCTCCTGAGTTGCCAGTTGCTAAACGAGAAAAAGGTACGGTCAATAAATTAAATTTTCGAATGTCATCAGTAGCGTTTATCAGTGTAATTTAAAGAAGATCATTCTTTTTCTTAAAATACATGTACATTCAAAGCCGTCTGTGAAGGCCAACCAAGAGGGGGAAAAAGTTGCGAGTATAGACTTGATAGACGGGTGGTCTTTCTAATCAAGGTTCTATGACATCTATCCCTTCCTGGTGGAGAAAATATAAGTCAGATGGATGGTTTTTGTATAGAGAGATGGCCATTCAGACAGGTGTTGTGTTGTGAATGCGATCCCCATTATTTTTCTCCCTATATATTTAGTTTAAATTCCCAAGTCAAAGAAATGCTAATCAACTAACAGAGTGATTTTCTATTTTCATTTTCCCTCCCCTAAATGACAATGGCTCTCTCCTTCTCTCAGATAAGTGTCTTTCTTTCTCTCCGTTTTTCTTTCTCACACTATTTACATCTCTTGGGACATGAATAAATTCATGTTATGAATAAATTCAAACAATTTAGTCATCTTTATCTACAATGGAATATAATAGAGGCATATACGATATCTATTCTAATCTATTACATGAAATTAAAATGATAGGGAGAGGGTACATGGCATATGAACATGAGTTAGGAAGTCCTGGGGGTAAAATGTAAGATTAAACTTGAAAGGGAGACAAGAATTGTTACTGGCGAAAAAGAGTGCATTAGAAAGAGAGATATGTTAATAGTATGCTATCGATTCTCAACCATTTCGGTTCGATATTTTTCGTGTATTAAATCTTTCACCGCAACATTTTACATCGTATGTTGAATTCTTTTTATCAAAAAGAAAGTCCAACCTATTTGCAAGAGTAATCAAATGAAGAGAAACGAATTGAACTAATAAAATGGTGAAAGTTTCGTCAAAATCAGATGAAAAATAAGACATTCATGAAATTATAAAGTTTCGCATAATTTTTTTCTTAAAAATATGTATCGCTTAGGCTAAATACGAATTAGCGAGGCGATCCTTTTATTAATTTTTTTAATGAAATTTCAAGTTTGTCTTTTTTTAGAGACACCTGTATAAACATTTTCTTTTATATTATGACAAGTAACAGTAATGGTGATATAGCACATATTTCCATGAGCATGTAAGCTATGTTTTACATTTTAAAGAGCAGAAAAGTTATATTTTTTTGAGGGGGGGGGGGGTACAAAATGGGCACGGTAATATAAGGCGCTGACGTCATTGGCTCGTTATTTCACACACAGCAAATGTGATACATATCACTGCCATGAACATATAAGAAAGTTTAAAATTCCATGAATTTCTTATTCTTTATTCGACTTTGATGAAACTTAAACCATTTTGTTTGTTTGACTGTTTCTCTATTTATTCAGGTATTCACTACTATAAACACAAGAGAGGCAAGTAAATATCACCAAAATCACGAAAATTTAAATCATGACAGAGGTAAACTTCAAACGGCAATGTCAACTATTGTATATTGAGTCTTATAAAAACAAAACCTGGCAATAATGAGAGGATATCAGTTACCTTGACAGTCTCCTCTGCTTTGTGCTTCTCTACTGCCTCAATATGTTTCCGAATAATCTTCATTTGGATGATACCCTTCTTCCTCAAAACCTTTTCATAATTCTTAGGTTCCACATCCTTCAAAAGTTCAAATATTTCTTCTGCTTCCTTTTCTTCCTTGGTCAGAGGCTTTTTCTTTTTAGGTACCTTCACCTCAACGACATCTTCAGTTTCTTCAGGTTTCTTCTTCATAATCTTAATCTCGACCTTTTCCTCATGTTCTTCTGGTTTCTCATGAGCTATCTGGAAATCGACTTCAGTTGGAGCCGTCTCATCAACTTTAGATGGTTCGAGTGTGAAGACCGTCTCCTCTGGAGCAGCTTCGGTGGGTTTCTCGAGAGTAACTTCAAATTCCTCAAGAGTTGCTTCCTCAGCTTTACGCGTTGTAACCATTTCGATGTGTTTCCTGATGACTTTAGTTTGGATTATGCCCTTTTTCCTCAAGACCTTCTCATATCGCTCGGGTTCTACATCCTTGAGAAGCTCGAAGACTTCCTCTGCTTCCTTCTCTTCTTTGGTCAAAGGCTTTTTCTTTTCGGGTACCTTTGCTTCAACAGTCTCTTCTTCTTGCTTTGGTTTCTTTTTCATGATCTTGACCTCGACCTTTTCTTCCTTTTCTTCTGGTTTCTCGGGTACCTTAAATTCAGCAGTCTCTTCTTCTTGCTTTGGTTTCTTTTTCATGATCTTGACCTCGACCTTTTCTTCCTTTTCTTCTGGTTTATCAGGACCAATCTTGATTTCAACTTCGGTTGGAGCCGCCTCTTCAAGTTTGGATGGTTCAATTGTTATAACCATTTCCTCTGGCGCAGCTTCGGTGGGTTTGTCGAGAGTCACTTCGAACTCCTGAAGAGTTGCTTCCTCAGCTTTACGCGTTGTAACCATTTCGATGTGTTTCCTGATGACTTTAGTTTGAATAATGCCTTTCTTCCTCAACACCTTCTCATACTGTTCAGGTTGGACATCTTTGAGAAGTTCGAAGACTTCCTCTGCTTCCTTTTCTTCCTTGGTCAGAGGCTTTTTCTTTTCGGGTACCTTAACTTCAACAGTCTCTTCTTCTTGCTTTGGTTTCTTTTTCATGATCTTGACCTCGACCTTTTCTTCCTTTTCTTCTGGTTTCTCGGGTACCTTAAATTCAGCAGTCTCTTCTTCTTGCTTTGGTTTCTTTTTCATGATCTTGACCTCGACCTTTTCTTCCTTTTCTTCTGGTTTCTCAGGAGCAATCTTGATTTCAACTTCGGTTGGAGCCGCCTCGTCAAGTTTGGATGGTTCAATTGTTATAACCATCTCCTCTGGCGCAGCTTCGGTGGGTTTCTCGAGAGTCACTTCGAACTCCTGAAGAGTTGCTTCCTCAGCTTTACGCGTTGTAACCATTTCGATGTGTTTCCTGATGACTTTAGTTTGAATAATGCCTTTCTTCCTCAACACCTTCTCATACTGTTCAGGTTGGACATCTTTGAGAAGCTCGAAGACTTCCTCTGCTTCCTTTTCTTCCTTGGTCAGAGGCTTTTTCTTTTCGGGTACCTTAACTTCAACAGTCTCTTCTTCTTGCTTTGGTTTCTTTTTCATGATCTTGACCTCGACCTTTTCTTCCTTTTCTTCTGGTTTCTCAGGAGCAATCTGGATTTCAACTTCGGTTGGAGCCGCCTCCTCAAGCTTGGATGGTTCAATTGTTATAACCATCTCCTCTGGCGCAGCTTCGGTGGGTTTCTCGAGAGTCACTTCGAACTCCTGAAGAGTTGCTTCCTCAGCTTTACGCGTTGTAACCATTTCGATGTGTTTCCTGATGACTTTAGTTTGAATAATGCCTTTCTTCCTCAACACCTTCTCATACTGTTCAGGTTGGACATCTTTAAGAAGCTCGAAGACTTCCTCTGCTTCCTTTTCTTCTTTGGTCAAAGGCTTTTTCTTTTCGGGTACCTTTACTTCAACAGTCTCTTCTTCTTGCTTTGGTTTCTTTTTCATGATCTTGACCTCGACCTTTTCTTCCTTTTCTTCTGGTTTCTCGGGTACCTTAAATTCAGCAGTCTCTTCTTCTTGCTTTGGTTTCTTTTTCATGATCTTGACCTCGACCTTTTCTTCCTTTTCTTCTGGTTTCTCAGGAGCAATCTGGATTTCAACTTCGGTTGGAGCAGCCTCCTCAAGTTTGGATGGTTCAATTGTTATAACCATCTCCTCTGGCGCAGCTTCGGTGGGTTTCTCGAGAGTCACTTCGAACTCCTGAAGAGTTGCTTCCTCAGCTTTACGCGTTGTAACCATTTCGATGTGTTTCCTGATGACTTTAGTTTGAATAATGCCTTTCTTCCTCAACACCTTCTCATACTGTTCAGGTTGGACATCTTTAAGAAGCTCGAAGACTTCCTCTGCTTCCTTTTCTTCCTTGGACAGAGGCTTTTTCTTTTCGGGTACCTTAACTTCAACAGTCTCTTCTTCTTGCTTTGGTTTCTTTTTCATGATCTTGACCTCGACCTTTTCTTCCTTTTCTTCTGGTTTCTCAGGAGCAATCTGGATTTCAACTTCGGTTGGAGCCGCCTCCTCAAGCTTGGATGGTTCAATTGTTATAACCATTTCCTCTGGCGCAGCTTCGGTGGGTTTCTCGAGAGTCACTTCGAACTCCTGAAGAGTTGCTTCCTCAGCTTTACGCGTTGTAACCATTTCGATGTGTTTCCTGATGACTTTAGTTTGAATAATGCCTTTCTTCCTCAACACCTTCTCATACTGTTCAGGTTGGACATCTTTAAGAAGCTCGAAGACTTCCTCTGCTTCCTTTTCTTCTTTGGTCAAAGGCTTTTTCTTTTCGGGTACCTTTACTTCAACAGTCTCTTCTTCTTGCTTTGGTTTCTTTTTCATGATCTTGACCTCGACCTTTTCTTCCTTTTCTTCTGGTTTCTCGGGTACCTTAAATTCAGCAGTCTCTTCTTCTTGCTTTGGTTTCTTTTTCATGATCTTGACCTCGACCTTTTCTTCCTTTTCTTCTGGTTTCTCAGGAGCAATCTGGATTTCAACTTCGGTTGGAGCCGCCTCCTCAAGCTTGGATGGTTCAATTGTTATAACCATCTCCTCTGGCGCAGCTTCGGTGGGTTTCTCGAGAGTCACTTCGAACTCCTGAAGAGTTGCTTCCTCAGCTTTACGCGTTGTAACCATTTCGATGTGTTTCCTGATGACTTTAGTTTGAATAATGCCTTTCTTCCTCAACACCTTCTCATACTGTTCAGGTTGGACATCTTTAAGAAGCTCGAAGACTTCCTCTGCTTCCTTTTCTTCCTTGGTCAGAGGCTTTTTCTTTTCTGGTACCTTAACTTCAACAGTCTCTTCTTCTTGCTTTGGTTTCTTTTTCATGATCTTGACCTCGACCTTTTCTTCCTTTTCTTCTGGTTTCTCGGGTACCTTAAATTCAGCAGTCTCTTCTTCTTGCTTTGGTTTCTTTTTCATGATCTTGACCTCGACCTTTTCTTCCTTTTCTTCTGGTTTCTCAGGAGCAATCTTGATTTCAACTTCGGTTGGAGCCGCCTCTTCAAGTTTGGATGGTTCAATTGTTATAACCATTTCCTCTGGCGCAGCTTCGCTGGGTTTGTCGAGAGTCACTTCGAACTCCTGAAGAGTTGCTTCCTCAGCTTTACGCGTTGTAACCAATTCGATGTGTTTCCTGATGACTTTTGCTTGAATAATGCCTTTCTTCCTCAACACCTTCTCATACTGTTCGGGTTGGACATCTTTGAGAAGCTCGAAGACTTCCTCTGCTTCCTTTTCTTCCTTGGTCAGAGGCTTTTCCTTTTCGGGTACCTTAACTTCAACAGTCTCTTCTTCTTGCTTTGGTTTCTTTTTCATGATCTTGACCTCGACCTTTTCTTCCTTTTCTTCTGGTTTCTCGGGTACCTTAAATTCAGCAGTCTCTTCTTCTTGCTTTGGTTTCTTTTTCATGATCTTGACCTCGACCTTTTCTTCCTTTTCTTCTGGTTTCTCAGGAGCAATCTGGATTTCAACTTCGGTTGGAGCCGCCTCCTCAAGCTTGGATGGTTCAATTGTTATTACCATCTCCTCTGGTGCAGCTTCGGTGGGTTTCTCGAGAGTCACTTCGAACTCCTGAAGAGTTGCTTCCTCAGCTTTACGCGTTGTAACCATCTCGATGTGTTTCCTGATGACCTTAGTTTGAATAATGCCTTTCTTCCTCAACACCTTCTCATATTGTTCAGGTTGGACATCTTTGAGAAGCTCGAAGACTTCCTCTGCTTCCTTTTCTTCCTTGGTCAGAGGCTTTTTCTTTTCGGGTACCTTAACTTCTACAGTCTCTTCTTCTTGCTTTGGTTTCTTTTTCATGATCTTGACCTCGACCTTTTCTTCCTTTTCTTCTGGTTTCTCAGGAGCAATCTGGATTTCAACTTCGGTTGGAGCCGCCTCTTCAAGTTTGGATGGTTCAATTGTTATAACCATCTCCTCTGGCGCAGCTTCGGTGGGTTTCTCGAGAGTCACTTCGAAATCCTGAAGAGTTGCTTCCTCAGCTTTACGCGTTGTAACCATTTCGATGTGTTTCCTGATGACTTTAGTTTGAATAATGCCTTTCTTCCTCAACACCTTCTCATACTGTTCAGGTTGGACATCTTTGAGAAGCTCGAAGACTTCCTCTGCTTCCTTTTCTTCCTTGGTCAGAGGCTTTTTCTTTTCGGGTACCTTAACTTCAACAGTCTCTTCTTCTTGCTTCGGTTTCTTTTTCATGATCTTGACCTCGACCTTTTCTTCCTTTTCTTCTGGTTTCTCAGGAGCTATCTGGATTTCAACTTCGGTTGGAGCCGCCTCTTCAAGTTTGGATGGTTCAATTGTTATAACCATTTCCTCTGGCGCAGCTTCGGTGGGTTTCTCGAGAGTCACTTCGAACTCCTCAAGAGTTGCTTCCTCAGCTTTACGCGTTGTAACCATTTCAATGTGTTTCCTGATGACTTTAGTTTGAATAATGCCTTTCTTCCTCAACACCTTCTCATACTGTTCAGGTTGGACATCTTTGAGAAGCTCGAAGACTTCCTCTGCTTCCTTTTCTTCCTTGGTTAGAGGCTTTTTCTTTTCGGGTACCTTAACTTCAACAGTCTCTTCTTCTTGCTTTGGTTTCTTTTTCATGATCTTGACCTCGACCTTTTCTTCCTTTTCTTCTGGTTTCTCAGGAGCAATCTGGATTTCAACTTCGGTTGGAGCCGCCTCTCCAAGTTTGGATGGTTCAATTGTTATAACCATCTCCTCTGGCGCAGCTTCGGTGGGTTTGTCGAGAGTCACTTCGAACTCCTGAAGAGTTGCTTCCTCAGCTTTACGCGTTGTAACCATTTCGATGTGTTTCCTGATGACTTTAGTTTGAATAATGCCTTTCTTCCTCAACACCTTCTCATACTGTTCAGGTTGGACATCCTTGAGAAGCTCGAAGACTTCCTCTGCTTCCTTTTCTTCCTTGGTCAGAGGCTTTTTCTTTTCGGGTACCTTAACTTCAACAGTCTCTTCTTCTTGCTTTGGTTTCTTTTTCATGATCTTGATCTCAACTTCCTTTTCTTCTGGTTTCTCGGGTACCTTAAATTCAACAGTCTCTTCTTCTTGCTTTGGTTTCTTTTTCATGATCTTGACCTCGACCTTTTCTTCCTTTTCTTCTGGTTTCTCAGGAGCAATCTGGATTTCAACTTCGGTTGGAGCCGCCTCGTCAAGTTTGGATGGTTCAATTGTTATAACCATCTCCTCTGGCGCAGCTTCGGTGGGTTTCTCGAGAGTAACTTCAAACTCCTGAAGAGTTGCTTCCTCAGCTTTACGCGTTGTAACCATTTCGATGTGTTTCCTGATGACTTTAGTTTGAATAATGCCTTTCTTCCTCAACACCTTCTCATACTGTTCAGGTTGGACATCCTTGAGAAGCTCGAAAACTTCCTCTGCTTCCTTTTCTTCCTTGGTCAGAGGCTTTTTCTTTTCGGGTACCTTAACTTCAACAGTCTCTTCTTCTTGCTTTGGTTTCTTTTTCATGATTTTGACCTCGACCTTTTCAACCTTTTCTTCTGATTTCTTAGGAGCAATCTGGATTTCAACTTCTATAGGAGCCGCCTCTTCAAGTTTGGATGGTTCAATCGTTATAACCATTTCCTCTGGCGCAGCTTCGGTGGGTTTCTCGAGAGTAACTTCAAACTCCTGAAGAGTTGCTTCCTCAGCTTTACGCGTTGTAACCATCTCGATGTGTTTCCTGATGACTTTAGTTTGGATTATGCCTTTCTTCCTCAACACCTTCTCATACTGTTCAGGTTGTACATCTTTGAGAAGCTCAAACACTTCCTCAGACTCTTTCTCTTCTTTGGTCAGAGGCTTTTTCTTCTCTGGTTTCTTTTGTTCCTCCGGTTTCTTAGGCGCAATCTGAATTTCAACTTCAGTTGGAGCAGCCTCTTCAATTTTCGATGGTTCAATCGTTATAACCATTTCCTCTGGCGCAGCTTCGGTGGGTTTCTCGAGAGTAATTTCAAACTCCTGAAGAGTTGCTTCCTCAGCTTTACGCGTTGTAACCATCTCGATGTGTTTCCTGATGACTTTAGTTTGGATTATGCCTTTCTTCCTCAACACCTTCTCATACTGTTCAGGTTGGACATCCTTGAGAAGCTCGAAAACTTCCTCTGCTTCCTTTTCTTCCTTGGTCAGAGGCTTTTTCTTTTCGGGTACCTTAACTTCAACAGTCTCTTCTTCTTGCTTTGGTTTCTTTTTCATGATTTTGACCTCGACCTTTTCAACTTTTTCTTCTGATTTCTTAGGAGCAATCTGGATTTCAACTTCGGTAGGAGCCGCCTCTTCAAGTTTGGATGGTTCAATCGTTATAACCATTTCCTCTGGCGCAGCTTCGGTGGGTTTCTCGAGAGTAACTTCAAACTCCTGAAGAGTTGCTTCCTCAGCTTTACGCGTTGTAACCATCTCGATGTGTTTCCTGATGACTTTAGTTTGGATTATGCCTTTCTTCCTCAACACCTTCTCATACTGTTCAGGTTGTACATCTTTGAGAAGCTCAAACACTTCCTCAGACTCTTTCTCTTCTTTGGTCAGAGGCTTTTTCTTCTCTGGTTTCTTTTGTTCCTCCGGTTTCTTAGGCGCAATCTGAATTTCAACTTCAGTTGGAGCAGCCTCTTCAATTTTCGATGGTTCAATCGTTATAACCATTTCCTCTGGCGCAGCTTCGGTGGGTTTCTCGAGAGTAATTTCAAACTCCTGAAGAGTTGCTTCCTCAGCTTTACGCGTTGTAACCATCTCGATGTGTTTCCTGATGACTTTAGTTTGGATTATGCCTTTCTTCCTCAACACCTTCTCATACTGTTCAGGTTGTACATGTTTGAGAAGCTCAAACACTTCCTCAGACTCTTTCTCTTCTTTGGTGAGAGGCTTCTTCTTCTCTGGTTTCTTTTGTTCCTCCGGTTTCTTAGGAGCAATCTGGATTTCAATTTCGGTGGGAGCCGCCTCTTCAAGTTTGGAAGGTTCAGTAGTTGTAACCATCTCCTGTGGTGCAGTTTCGGTGGGTTTCTCGAGAGTCACTTCGAACTCCTCAAGAGTTGCTTCCTCAGCTTTACGCGTTGTAACCATTTCGATGTGTTTCCTGATAACTTTAGTTTGAATAATACCTTTCTTCCTCAACACCTTCTCATACTGTTCAGGTTGGACATCCTTGAGAAGCTCGAAGACTACCTCTGCTTCCTTTTCTTCCTCGGTCAGAGGCTTTTTCTTTTCGGGTACCTTAACTTCAACAGTCTCTTCTTCTTGCTTTGGTTTCTTTTTCATGATCTTGATCTCGACCTTTTCTTCCTTTTCTTCTCGTTTCTTAGGAGCAATCTGGAATTTAACTTCGGTTGGAGCCGCCTCTTCAAGTTTGGATGGTTCAATCGTTATAACCATTTCCTCTGGCGCAGCTTCGATTGGTTTCTCGAGAGTAATTTCAAACTCCTGAAGAGTTGCTTCCTCAGCTTTACGCGTTGTAACCATTTCGATGTGTTTCCTGATGACTTTAGTTTGGATTATGCCTTTTTTCCTCAACACCTTCTCATACTGTTCAGGTTGTACATCTTTGAGAAGCTCAAACACTTCCTCAGACTCTTTCTCTTCTTTGGTCAGAGGCTTCTTCTTCTCTGGTTTCTTTTCTTCCTCCGGTTTCTTGGGGGCAATCTGGATTTCAATTTCTGTCGGAGCAGCCTCTTCAATTTGGCTTGGTTGAATTGTAAGAACCATCTCTTGCTGTACACCTTCAGCGGGTTTTATAATAATTGCATCCAATTCTGTAGACGTCACTTCAACTTCGGTTGTCTCAGCTATGTCTGAAATCGGCTCCCGATCAGTTGTTATTTCAAGAGAGACTTCCATCTCTGCTGGTAGTTTTTCCTTCTGAAATCAGAATCCACGAAATCTGAATGTTACCCTCCATGGTATAATGCGAGCTTCATGCTTTGCACGGGAAATAAACACAACTCCAAATCAGCCGAACGGAAAGGCCTTCAGATCCTTCATGCGAGGTTCAAGTACCAAACTGAAGCACCTTTTCACAACGCATGCAACTGTAGCACGGAAAGTAAAATGTATGCAAGCTGATAGGATGGGCCATTTTCAGTCCAATTTTCTCAGATCACCAGGCATTTGGCATACACTGGACCTTTGTCATGCCCATTGGTGTCTAAGAATAAATGGGTTGAAGATGACACCCCAACGCTTGACAGAGAGCCAAGCAGCTTCATTGCTCGCATGCAATAGTAAAACAAATTCAAACGTGCTGAATATAACAGAATCGTTTTAATCATCCTGTTCAGATGTTTTGTTGTCGTTGCTCTTTATGCCACAGTGACACAGCAACATACAAAAAATGGAGCTCTTTAAAGACCTTGTTTACATGTATATTTTCGTTGGGAATCATGCGTTTCCATTCAATGCAGTGTAGACAAACCTCGAATTGCAGCAACGTGCACATATGCCAACAAAAAGAATCTGGAAAGAAACGGCATCAACATGCTAATGACCAAATCCAAATAAGTAAGGCAAGTGCTAGCTTAAAGAAATGAAAATTAAATCTTCAGCTTTTAAATCCACTTTTACCAAAATGGAAATCCTTTATAACACAACATTTTAAGTTTAAAAATATATTTTATTTTAAACAATTTTATATAAAAAAGATACAAAAAAACACAAAATACGACAAGTAATGCACTACACAAATTGCTCAAAATAATAATAATGGCGAAGCAGATGTTAAAAGTTTCAAAATTATCAAGTCAAAAACTGTATATCTTTTCGACCCTTTCGTCATTTACGTATGTTTTTTTCGAGACTAAAATCAATTGAAAAATACAATTTACCCGGGTTGAGTGATGTCTTCTGATATAAAGACTTTCATATCATCATATGTTATACCTATCAGTGATTTTGTTGTTGCTTTAAAGACCGTCAATACTACTGGGCCAGAAGGGATTAGACCACACAGCAAGGTCACTGACAGGTGACTATCTCATTAACTCAGCTCTCAACTAACATAAGAAAAAGAGGAACATGGGGGACCAACAGGCACCGATTGGGGAATTTTTTTATATAGAGGGAGCAAATAGCTACTAGTAGGACAGTCGGGCTTTAAACCATCTACATGTGAAATAATTGTATACACGTGATCACCCTGATCCTGCCTATCCTGCCTATATAAATGTAAAAAATAGAAATAGAAAGGGGGAAAGAGAGCATTCATACAAGATGCTATTAAATGAGGAAACACGACAAAACGAAAATAAAGATCCGTAGGACTAGCACAATTTACATGAATCTGGCTATGGCTATCTCGTATTTTTACTGAATTATTATTTGAAAAATATTTTAGTTTTTTTTAAAGCATGCTTTAATTGAAAATTGATTTCGAGGTGAACAAACTCTTTCTTGAAAATGAATCTAAATCGTATCGTTTTCAAAACAGTTACTTTTAAAACGTAATTTGTTTTCATTGCAGCTGATAATCTGGAAAATATAAGAGGTGGACTGGGAAAATTTAGGTGTAAGGAGGATATATCCAACCCTAACTTTATGCTCCGTACGTTACATATAAAGACGCCATAGACATCCACTTCACGAGATCGCTCACAAAATGTACACTAAATATGTACACTTCATTCGGAAAATGAGCCTTTTCATTATTTTTAATCAAATATCCCTTCCTGTGTTTACAATCAGCTGGAATGTTACAGTAACATAGAATAAATATAAATCGTTGCAACGCACTTACAAATAATCTGCCTATCTTACAAATTAATTAAGGGTATTTTGACAGGATATCTAAATAAATCATTGTCCCAGTTAATAGGCCTAAACAACTTTCTGTCTCATTTATAATAATTATCTGTTAGATAATTATTCATTTAGGAACAGGAAAATTCTAGTTTCTGAACATGCACGTTGGACAGTATATGTATAAAGCAATCAACTCCGTTTATAAGGAAGAGCAAAGTATACGTAGCCTGAGACTTTCTCGGCCAGATTTATCGGACTTTGATTATAATGGAGCGTAGACGAACTTCTCATGTAGAGATTTTATAGGCATGTTATTGACATAATTCATAATATTTCGATGCTATATCAAAGAATGATATGAAAAAGAAAATCAAATCAGGCAGACTCTTCGATAGTTTGGTAGAGGTCAAATCCATCACGCTCTCGACAAATCGCAAGTCACAATCTCACAGCACCACGGCCCCCAAATTATTACTTTATTAAAGTTTACTTGATGTACATGCATTACAATCGATAACATCTTTCGAAGCCACATGCACAACATCTCCATATCATAAATAAACCTGTAGTGTGGACAGGTTTAAAATGAACAATTTTGTTTTTTTAAATGTCAACTTGCTTTATCACTAAAACCTGATTCATGAGATCTGATTTTGATCAAAGGAAAATAGTATTTAACCCTATCATTTCTAAAATGAATTCAAAAAGTCTCGACGATAAGCTTCATTCGCACAGAAAGTCAAATAGAAAAAAATAATTGCTCTGTCTATTATCTTGCGAAATTTACAAAAAGGAATAAGAAAAGACGTATTACGTAATCTAAACGTAAATTCTATGGAATATACAAGAAGCTATTTGAAGCTACGCTCGATTTGATTGCTCACAAGGTTCTGCAAGACTGTGAAATGTCCTAAGAAGGTCAAATTAGCTAATTTTGGTACAACTTTTCCCTGTCTGTATCTACCACACGGCCTATAATGTATGCTATTACCTTCACATAATAGTAAATAATCATTTAGTTTAGTACTCAAAGGAAGACTCACCTTCAGTTTAAAAATAGCATGTTGAATCTCAGGTTTATCATCAGAGGGTTTGACGACTGTGTCCACAGAATCTACAGGTTCTACAGCTTCTTCTTGCTTACGTCTTTCAACAAAGTTAATGTGCTGCCTAATAAGTTTGTATTGGATGATGCCTTTCTTGCGTAGAACCTTTTCATATTCCACAGGTTCTACATTCTTGAGAAGCTCGAAGATTTCTTCTTGCTCCTCTTCATCTTTAGTCATAGGTTTCTTCTTTTCAGGCATTTGGATTTCAAGGGAGACTTCAGTAGGCATTTGTTCCTCCGGTTTAGTGGGAGCAATTTGGAGAGTGATTTCGGTTGGTGAAACTTCTTCCGGTTTCACACCATCAATGGTTATTGCCGTTTCTTCAGATACAACCTCGGTTGGCTGTACTGTTACTTGTTCCATCTCTGCCAAGACTGCCTCTTCGGCTATGCGTTTTGTAACCGTTTCAATGTGTTGCCTAATAACCGTGTATTGGATGATGCCTTTCTTGCGTAGAACCTTTTCATATTCCACAGGTTCTACATTCTTGAGAAGCTCGAAGATTTCTTCTTCCTCCTGTTCTTCTGTAGTCATAGGTTTCTTCTTTTTAGGCATTTGGATTTCAAGGGAGACTTCAGTAGGCATTTGTTCCTCCGGTTTAGTGGGAGCAATTTGGAGAGTGATTTCGGTTGGTGAAACTTCTTCCGGTTTTACACCATCAATGGTTATTGCCGTTTCTTCAGATACAACCTCGGTTGGCTGTACTGTTACTTGTTCCATCTCTGCCAAGACTGCCTCTTCGGCTATGCGTTTTGTAACCGTTTCAATGTGTTGCCTAATAACCTTGTATTGGATGATGCCTTTCTTGCGTAGAACCTTTTCATATTCTACAGGTTCTACATTCTTGAGAAGCTCGAAGATTTCTTCTTGCTCCTCTTCTTCTTTAGTCATAGGTTTCTTCTTTTTAGGCATTTGGATTTCAAGGAAGACTTCAGTAGGCATTTGTTCTTCCGGTATAGTGGGAGCAATTTGGAGAGTGATTTCTGTTGGTGAAACTTCTTCCGGTTTCACACCATCAATGGTTATTGCCGTTTCTTCAGATACAACCTCGGTTGGCTGTACTGTTACTTGTTCCATCTCTGCCAAGACTGCCTCTTCGGCTATGCGTTTTGTAACCGTTTCAATGTGTTGCCTAATAACCTTGTATTGGATGATGCCTTTCTTGCGTAGAACCTTTTCATATTCTACAGGTTCTACATTCTTGAGAAGCTCGAAGATTTCTTCTTCCTCCTCTTCTTCTTTAGTCATAGGTTTCTTCTTTTCAGGCATTTGGATTTCAAGGGAGACTTCAGTAGGCATTTGTTCCTCCGGTTTAGTGGGAGCAATTTGGAGAGTGATTTCGGTTGGTGAAACTTCTTCCGGTTTCACACCATCAATGGTTATTGACGTTTCTTCAGATACAACCTCGGTTGGCTGTACTGTTACTTGTTCCATCTCTGCCAAGACTGCCTCTTCGGCTATGCGTTTTGTAACCGTTTCAATGTGTTGCCTAATAACCTTGTATTGGATGATGCCTTTCTTGCGTAGAACCTTTTCATATTCTACAGGTTCTACATTCTTGAGAAGCTCGAAGATTTCTTCTTGCTCCTCTTCATCTTTAGTCATAGGTTTCTTCTTTTTAGGCATTTGGATTTCAAGGGAGACTTCAGTAGGCATTTGTTCTTCCGGTTTAGTGGGAGCAATTTGGAGAGTGATTTCGGTTGGTGAAACTTCTTCCGGTTTCACACCATCAATGGTTATTGCCGTTTCTTCAGATACAACCTCGGTTGGCTGTACTGTTACTTGTTCCATCTCTGCCAAGACTGCCTCTTCGGCTATGCGTTTTGTAACCGTTTCAATGTGTTGCCTAATAACCTTGTATTGGATGATGCCTTTCTTGCGTAGAACCTTTTCATATTCTACAGGTTCTACATTCTTGAGAAGCTCGAAGATTTCTTCTTCCTCCTCTTCTTCTTTAGTCATAGGTTTCTTCTTTTCAGGCATTTGGATTTCAAGGGAGACTTCAGTAGGCATTTGTTCCTCCGGTTTAGTGGGAGCAATTTGGAGAGTGATTTCGGTTGGTGAAACTTCTTCCGGTTTCACACCATCAATGGTTATTGCCGTTTCTTCAGATACAACCTCGGTTGGCTGTACTGTTACTTGTTCCATCTCTGCCAAGACTGCCTCTTCGGCTATGCGTTTCGTAACTGTTTCAATGTGTTGCCTAATAACCTTGTATTGGATGATGCCTTTCTTGCGTAGAACCTTTTCATATTCTACAGGTTCTACATTCTTGAGAAGCTCGAAGATTTCTTCTTCCTCCTCCTCTTCTTTAGTCATAGGTTTCTTCTTTTTAGGCATTTGGATTTCAAGGGGGACTTCAGTAGGCATTTGTTCCTCCGGTTTAGTGGGAGCAATTTGGAGAGTGATTTCTGTTGGTGAAACTTCTTCCGGTTTCACACCATCAATGGTTATTGTCGTTTCTTCAGATACAACCTCGGTTGGCTGTACTGTTACTTGCTCCATCTCTGCCAAGACTGCCTCTTCGGCTATGCGTTTTGTAACCGTTTCAATGTGTTGCCTAATAACCTTGTATTGGATGATGCCTTTCTTGCGTAGAACCTTTTCATATTCTACAGGTTCTACATTCTTGAGAAGCTCGAAGATTTCTTCTTCCTCCTCTTCTTCTTTAGTCATAGGTTTCTTCTTTTCAGGCATTTGGATTTCAAGGGAGACTTCAGTAGGCATTTGTTCCTCCGGTTTAGTGGGAGCAATTTGGAGAGTGATTTCGGTTGGTGAAACTTCTTCCGGTTTCACACCATCAATGGTTATTGCCGTTTCTTCAGATACGACCTCGGTTGGCTGTACTGTTACTTGTTCCATCTCTGCCAAGACTGCCTCTTCGGCTATGCGTTTCGTAACCGTTTCAATGTGTTGCCTAATAACCTTGTATTGGATGATGCCTTTCTTGCGTAGAACCTTTTCATATTCTACAGGTTCTACATTCTTGAGAAGCTCGAAGATTTCTTCTTGCTCCTCTTCTTCTTTAGTCATAGGTTTCTTCTTTTTAGGCATTTGGATTTCAAGGGAGACTTCAGTAGGCATTTGTTCCTCCGGTTTAGTGGGAGCAATTTGGAGAGTGATTTCGGTTGGTGAAACTTCTTCCGGTTTCACACTATCAATGGTTATTGCCGTTTCTTCAGATACAACCTCGGTTGGCTGTACTGTTACTTGCTCCATCTCTGCCAAGACTGCCTCTTCGGCTATGCGTTTTGTAACCGTTTCAATGTGTTGCCTAATAACCTTGTATTGGATGATGCCTTTCTTGCGTAGAACCTTTTCATATTCTACAGGTTCTACATTCTTGAGAAGCTCGAAGATTTCTTCTTGCTCCTCTATTTCTTTAGTCATAGGTTTCTTCTTTTCAGGCATTTGGATTTCAAGGGAGACTTCAGTAGGCATTTGTTCCTCCGGTTTAGTGGGAGCAATTTGGAGAGTGATTTCGGTTGGTGAAACTTCTTCCGGTTTCACACTATCAATGGTTATTGCCGTTTCTTCAGATACAACCTCGGTTGGCTGTACTGTTACTTGCTCCATCTCTGCCAAGACTGCCTCTTCGGCTATGCGTTTTGTAACCGTTTCAATGTGTTGCCTAATAACCTTGTATTGGATGATGCCTTTCTTGCGTAGAACCTTTTCATATTCTACAGGTTCTACATTCTTGAGAAGCTCGAAGATTTCTTCTTGCTCCTCTTCTTCTTTAGTCATAGGTTTCTTCTTTGTAGGCATTTGGATTTCAAGGGAGACTTCAGTAGGCATTTGTTCCTCCGGTTTAGTGGGAGCAATTTGGAGAGTGATTTCGGTTGGTGAAACTTCTTCCGGTTTCACACCATCAATGGTTATTGCCGTTTCTTCAGATACAACCTCGGTTGGCTGTACTGTTACTTGTTCCATCTCTGCCAAGACTGCCTCTTCGGCTATGCGTTTTGTAACCGTTTCAATGTGTTGCCTAATAACCTTGTATTGGATGATGCCTTTCTTGCGTAGAACCTTTTCATATTCTACAGGTTCTACATTCTTGAGAAGCTCGAAGATTTCTTCTTCCTTCTCCTCTTCTTTAGTCATAGGTTTCTTCTTTTTAGGCATTTGGATTTCAAGGGAGACTTCAGTAGGCATTTGTTCCTCCGGTTTAGTGGGAGCAATTTGGAGAGTGATTTCGGTTGGTGAAACTTCTTCCGGTTTCACACCATCAATGGTTATTGCCGTTTCTTCAGATACAACCTCGGTTGGCTGTACTGTTACTTGTTCCATCTCTGCCAAGACTGCCTCTTCGGCTATGCGTTTTGTAACCGTTTCAATGTGTTGCCTAATAACCTTGTATTGGATGATGCCTTTCTTGCGTAGAACCTTTTCATATTCTACAGGTTCTACATTCTTGAGAAGCTCGAAGATTTCTTCTTCCTCCTCTTCTTCTTTAGTCATAGGTTTCTTCTTTTCAGGCATTTGGATTTCAAGGGAGACTTCAGTAGGCATTTGTTCCTCCGGTTTAGTGGGAGCAATTTGGAGAGTGATTTCGGTTGGTGAAACTTCTTCCGGTTTCACACCATCAATGGTTATTGCCGTTTCTTCAGATACAACCTCGGTTGGCTGTACTGTTACTTGTTCCATCTCTGCCAAGACTGCCTCTTCGGCTATGCGTTTCGTAACTGTTTCAATGTGTTGCCTAATAACCTTGTATTGGATGATGCCTTTCTTGCGTAGAACCTTTTCATATTCTACAGGTTCTACATTCTTGAGAAGCTCGAAGATTTCTTCTTCCTCCTCCTCTTCTTTAGTCATAGGTTTCTTCTTTTTAGGCATTTGGATTTCAAGGGAGACTTCAGTAGGCATTTGTTCCTCCGGTTTAGTGGGAGCAATTTGGAGAGTGATTTCGGTTGGTGAAACTTCTTCTGGTTTCACACCATCAATGGTTATTGCCGTTTCTTCAGATACAACCTCGGTTGGCTGTACTGTTACTTGTTCCATCTCTGCCAAGACTGCCTCTTCGGCTATGCGTTTCGTAACCGTTTCAATGTGTTGCCTAATAACCTTGTATTGGATGATGCCTTTCTTGCGTAGAACCTTTTCATATTCTACAGGTTCTACATTCTTGAGAAGCTCGAAGATTTCTTCTTCCTCCTCCTCTTCTTTAGTCATAGGTTTCTTCTTTTTAGGCATTTGGATTTCAAGGGAGACTTCAGTAGGCATTTGTTCCTCCGGTTTAGTGGGAGCAATTTGGAGAGTGATTTCGGTTGGTGAAACTTCTTCCGGTTTCACACCATCAATGGTTATTGCCGTTTCTTCAGATACAACCTCGGTTGGCTGTACTGTTACTTGCTCCATCTCTGCCAAGACTGCCTCTTCGGCTATGCGTTTTGTAACCGTTTCAATGTGTTGCCTAATAACCTTGTATTGGATGATGCCTTTCTTGCGTAGAACCTTTTCATATTCTACAGGTTCTACATTCTTGAGAAGCTCGAAGATTTCTTCTTCCTCCTCCTCTTCTTTAGTCATAGGTTTCTTCTTTTTAGGCATTTGGATTTCAAGGGAGACTTCAGTAGGCATTTGTTCCTCCGGTTTAGTGGGAGCAATTTGGAGAGTGATTTCGGTTGGTGAAACTTCTTCCGGTTTCACACCATCAATGGTTATTGCCGTTTCTTCAGATACAACCTCGGTTGGCTGTACTGTTACTTGTTCCATCTCTGCCAAGACTGCCTCTTCGGCTATGCGTTTTGTAACCGTTTCAATGTGTTGCCTAATAACCTTGTATTGGATGATGCCTTTCTTGCGTAGAACCTTTTCATATTCTACAGGTTCTACATTCTTGAGAAGCTCGAAGATTTCTTCTTGCTCCTCTTCTTCTTTAGTCATAGGTTTCTTCTTTTTAGGCATTTGGATTTCAAGGGAGACTTCAGTAGGCATTTGTTCCTCCGGTTTAGTGGGAGCAATTTGGAGAGTGATTTCGGTTGGTGAAACTTCTTCCGGTTTCACACCATCAATGGTTATTGCCGTTTCTTCAGATACAACCTCGGTTGGCTGTACTGTTACTTGTTCCATCTCTGCCAAGACTGCCTCTTCGGCTATGCGTTTTGTAACCGTTTCAATGTGTTGCCTAATAACCTTGTATTGGATGATGCCTTTCTTGCGTAGAACCTTTTCATATTCTACAGGTTCTACATTCTTGAGAAGCTCGAAGATTTCTTCTTGCTCCTCTTCTTCTCTAGTCATAGGTTTCTTCTTTTTAGGCATTTGGATTTCAAGGGAGACTTCAGTAGGCATTTGTTCCTCCGGTTTAGTGGGAGCAATTTGGAGAGTGATTTCGGTTGGTGAAACTTCTTCCGGTTTCACACCATCAATGGTTATTGCCGTTTCTTCAGATACAACCTCGGTTGGCTGTACTGTTACTTGTTCCATCTCTGCCAAGACTGCCTCTTCGGCTATGCGTTTTGTAACCGTTTCAATGTGTTGCCTAATAACCTTGTATTGGATGATGCCTTTCTTACGTAGAACCTTTTCATATTCTACAGGTTCTACATTCTTGAGAAGCTCGAAGATTTCTTCTTGCTCCTCTTCTTCTTTAGTCATAGGTTTCTTCTTTTTAGGCATTTGGATTTCAAGGGAGACTTCAGTAGGCATTTGTTCCTCCGGTTTAGTGGGAGCAATTTGGAGAGTGATTTCGGTTGGTGAAACTTCTTCCGGTTTCACACCATCAATGGTTATTGCCGTTTCTTCAGATACAACCTCGGTTGGCTGTACTGTTACTTGTTCCATCTCTGCCAAGACTGCCTCTTCGGCTATGCGTTTTGTAACCGTTTCAATGTGTTGCCTAATAACCTTGTATTGGATGATGCCTTTCTTGCGTAGAACCTTTTCATATTCTACAGGTTCTACATTCTTGAGAAGCTCGAAGATTTCTTCTTGCTCCTCTTCTTCTCTAGTCATAGGTTTCTTCTTTTTAGGCATTTGGATTTCAAGGGAGACTTCAGTAGGCATTTGTTCCTCCGGTTTAGTGGGAGCAATTTGGAGAGTGATTTCGGTTGGTGAAACTTCTTCCGGTTTCACACCATCAATGGTTATTGCCGTTTCTTCAGATACAACCTCGGTTGGCTGTACTGTTACTTGTTCCATCTCTGCCAAGACTGCCTCTTCGGCTATGCGTTTTGTAACCGTTTCAATGTGTTGCCTAATAACCTTGTATTGGATGATGCCTTTCTTACGTAGAACCTTTTCATATTCTACAGGTTCTACATTCTTGAGAAGCTCGAAGATTTCTTCTTGCTCCTCTTCTTCTTTAGTCATAGGTTTCTTCTTTTTAGGCATTTGGATTTCAAGGGAGACTTCAGTAGGCATTTGTTCCTCCGGTTTAGTGGGAGCAATTTGGAGAGTGATTTCGGTTGGTGAAACTTCTTCCGGTTTCACACCATCAATGGTTATTGCCGTTTCTTCAGATACAACCTCGGTTGGCTGTACTGTTACTTGTTCCATCTCTGCCAAGACTGCCTCTTCGGCTATGCGTTTTGTAACCGTTTCAATGTGTTGCCTAATAACCTTGTATTGGATGATGCCTTTCTTGCGTAGAACCTTTTCATATTCTACAGGTTCTACATTCTTGAGAAGCTCGAAGATTTCTTCTTCCTCCTCCTCTTCTTTAGTCATAGGTTTCTTCTTTTTAGGCATTTGGATTTCAAGGGAGACTTCAGTAGGCATTTGTTCCTCCGGTTTAGTGGGAGCAATTTGGAGAGTGATTTCGGTTGGTGAAACTTCTTCCGGTTTCACACCATCAATGGTTATTGCCGTTTCTTCAGATACAACCTCGGTTGGCTGTACTGTTACTTGTTCCATCTCTGCCAAGACTGCCTCTTCGGCTATGCGTTTTGTAACCGTTTCAATGTGTTGCCTAATAACCTTGTATTGGATGATGCCTTTCTTGCGTAGAACCTTTTCATATTCTACAGGTTCTACATTCTTGAGAAGCTCGAAGATTTCTTCTTGCTCCTCTTCTTCTTTAGTCATAGGTTTCTTCTTTTTAGGCATTTGGATTTCAAGGGAGACTTCAGTAGGCATTTGTTCCTCCGGTTTAGTGGGAGCAATTTGGAGAGTGATTTCTGTTGGTGAAACTTCTTCCGGTTTCACACCATCAATGGTTATTGCCGTTTCTTCAGATACAACCTCGGTTGGCTGTACTGTTACTTGTTCCATCTCTGCCAAGACTGCCTCTTCGGCTATGCGTTTTGTAACCGTTTCAATGTGTTGCCTAATAACCTTGTATTGGATGATGCCTTTTTTGCGTAGAACCTTTTCATATTCCACAGGTTCTACATTCTTGAGAAGCTCGAAGATTTCTTCTTCCTCCTGTTCTTCTGTAGTCATAGGTTTCTTCTTTTCAGGCATTTGGATTTCAAGGGAGACTTGATGTATCTTTTCAATATCAGTTTTGTCCTGTAAGCAGAGAAGACATTTACGTTAAATGCGCCTCATCCATTGATACCTCTTATTTGAACAATTTCCGTGCAGTTATCATGCGGCAAATGACCAAAGAATTCGCACTACGAGAAATGAAGGTAAAAAAGGTATTGCCATTCCGAATAACCATTCTTATCTGCCATTCAATGAAGAAATTGGTGCTGAAAAGAAAGCAGGAAAATAATATTGCGGAAACCATAATTCATTCCTTCATTGACATATCCTTCCTCAATATCCAAGATTACCTGATAAGAGACACACCGCTATGTGAGTGTATGTCAGGTTCTTCTATAGATTCTATGAGTAAAGAAGATGTATCAACATCGATATTTCTCGTATCAATCACTCACTCTCTACGACTTTTTCCTGAATCGCTCAAAATAATGAACAACGTACTTACGGTCCATTACGATTCTAGGATTAGATTGGTAAAGAGGTGTGATTCTAATTTTCTTCCTCTCTTTCTACTACTCTGTCCTGCTGATGATGATGTGCTCAACTCCTTGCCCCATCAGAGGGATTCTTGGATAAATACACGATTACTCAAGAGCACGACAGAGTATCCACTTTAACCGCCTTGTAGCAAGTAGTCAAGCAAAGCTCACCTTGCAATTCAAGGTGTTAAATACAGCCATAGGCATTCACGCAACTCGTTGCCATGCGAAGTAAACGCAATGAGAAAGCATATCATTGTTCCAGCAATGAGTTCAATATGACTGTTTCTATCTAGGTTTCAACTATCACAGTATGATTAGATTTCCAATAAGGTGTGAAGTCCTGGTTAAATATCAAATTTATATTATTGTATCATTGTTCTCGAATCGCACAAAGCTGTTCTAAAATATGACTACAAATACCCTCTACTTCATATTCCCTAAAAGAAGTTGGCCAACATAAAGCATGACCATGTTAGATAGAATCTTGACCAGTACAAGATTGGAAAATGGTTAGAATATAGACCCTATCCAATATTCTTTTATCACTCAAACACAATTTAGTTGTCAAGGTCACTGAAGCCCACATCATCGTGGAATGCAACAAACGTAGTTTCTCGTGAGTTTAATATTATGGGGCCAGATATTTAAAATGAAAATTATATATTATATGGCCAAAGGTTCAGATCATGACAAATTATGAAAAGTTTGATGCCTTACCAAATATTAATAGGCTAAGCCACTTTATGGAATGTTTACATATTCATACAAATATATGTGTGTGTCTAATATCATAGTTGTTTTTCTTTCGACATATAAAAACATGAACCTAGCAGATGTAAACATCCAAGCGGACACCAAACACAAATAAAACAACCCTCTCTCAGGAAGCATTCTGCTATTTTTTTTTAACCATTTCGAATTCATCAAATCATTTAAATAGCAGCAAAAATATTGCTCAATAACACGCATGGATAAATAAGCTTTCCACAACCGAGTGACGCCCGGTTGCGATAATAAAAGAAATTTTCAGCATTTAACAAAACCGGGCATCAAAAGTACACAGTGTTGGTAAAAGTCAAAGTTACTTTCCTTCATAAATATCCCGACAAAACGTGCATGAATTCACGTAAAGTAAACAGTGAATTTAAATAGGGACAAACATTCTAGTGAAACCGAACCGCTTCCCAATCTGATTTGTTTGGGGTCCTGTTACGCCTTCCCATCCTATTTTAAAGAAATTGAGTGTTCCTATACGCCATCTACCTAAACTAAGCACGAATTAACACCAAAGACATAACTTTGACCGGCACTGTGTATTGCCGTGATGTAACCAGCTTGAATCATCACAACTTTCTTCCAATACAAAATCATATCAAATTCTTTCTCTCAAACAAGCAAATGATATCAAAGAGTAAAGAATAAGAAGTAAATGCCTCATCCACATGCACGGCGTGATATAACACTTATTGAGAAAAAAATGAAACAACCTTAGATCATTCAAGCATGTACGAAGGCAAAACTTCAAGTGCATATACCAAGCAAAATATAGTACATGCACGAGAACATTTTACAAAATATGCTTAAGAATCATCATTTGATATCGGTTTGATTAAAAAACGTTATGTATCTCATCATCGCCAATAAGTTCATCATGGTCTACATCAAAATGTTTTTAAACGGAGTATTAAAGACGTGTTATAGAAAATAATGCGCGTATTGGGATTCTACTTTTAAAAGTAATATCATGTGTCGACATAAACTATTGACAAAAAAGATAAAGTCACATATGATGTAAACTAACTTCATACATATAATTGTGGGTATATCACGAAAATGAAAAAGACACAATTTAAATTGAAAGAGGACAGACAATGACATGAATTCAATTTTTCAACTAAGAAAACTAACAAACAAACTAACTAACTATCGAAATAACTTAATCTGAAACTGAAAAGAGTGAATATTCACGACAAATGACATGCAACTAACCTGCAACTCGACCTCGACTCTATGCCTCTCTTCTTCCTCAACTTTCTTTGTCTTCACCATCTCAACATGCTTGCGGATGATCTTGAAGTCGATGATGCCGTGCTTTCGAAGGACCTTCTCGTAGTTCTTCGGCTCCTCATCCTTGAGTAGCTCGTAGATTTCGATATCCACCTTGGATTCGACGACTTCGGGCTTTTTCTCCTCAGGTTGTGGTCTGTAATGGAAGATTATGTTTCAGTTGTAGAATTAGCAATTACTTGTTTCAGTCTACTTCATTGTAATTTCAATTAAAAAATCTATAGCATATTCCAGTGGGACATCGGAGAATGCCGACAGACCACGGGACCTTTGTTGGTCTCATATCCCCTCAAAAAGTTGTAGGCAAGTCGGTCTCTAGGGCTCTCCGGTTATCGGCCGCGTGAACCCTCTAATGACTTGTCAGAAGGCGCATGGGACCGACATTGGCGGTCTCTTACATCATCGGCCTTATAGACGTAGAACTGTTATACAAAACCGACTAGGATTTCAGCGAGGCACGTTACAAACGATTATCTAAAACAGATGTTCTATCCCCCCCCCTCCCCTCCCCTGTGGAAACGCTGGACTTCCCCATCATCAAAAACAAAACGAGAGTATGGCTACAAGAACTACATGTGTGTATATGAAATTGCCTGGTTCTTCTGCTGCCTCAAAGAAAAGATGAAGACGTGTATCCATACCCATAACTTTTTCTCCTCAGGTTGTGGTCTGTAATGGAAGATTATGTTTCAGTTGTAGAATTAGCAATTACTTGTTTCAGTCTACTTCATTGTAATTTCAATTAAAAAATCTATAGCATATTCCAGTGGGACATCGGAGAATGCCGACAGACCACGGGACCTTTGTTGGTCTCATATCCCCTCAAAAAGTTGTAGGCAAGTCGGTCTCTAGGGCTCTCCGGTTATCGGCCGCGTGAACCCTCTAATGACTTGTCAGAAGGCGCATGGGACCGACATTGGCGGTCTCTTACATCATCGGCCTTATAGACGTAGAACTGTTATACAAAACCGACTAGGATTTCAGCGAGGCACGTTACAAACGATTATCTAAAACAGATGTTCTATCCCCCCCCCCCCTCCCCTGTGGAAACGCTGGACTTCCCCATCATCAAAAACAAAACGAGAGTATGGCTACAAGAACTACATGTGTGTATATGAAATTGCCTGGCTCTTCTGCTGCCTCATAGAAAAGATGAAGACGTGTATCCATACCCATAACCAAGTGTATACTCTTGCATATTTTGACATCACTACTGTATCCAAAAAAACAACCAGGAGTAAGTTTACAAACAGCAACTCGAATATTGTCAACTCACTTTTTAAGTTTGGGCTGTGTCGCTTCCGGCTCTTCCTTAGGTTTCTCCTTGACCACTAGGGTAACGGTCAGCTTTGCCTCCCCATGAGGGTTGGTCAGTTTGCAGACGTACTTGCCAGCATCGGTCATCTTGGCGGATGTGATGGTGAAGATTGTCTCTCCGGAGGTTTCATCTGATTCAATGATGTACTGGGCACTGGGTTTAACGGCTTTCCAACCTTTATTCCAGGTCAGGGTCGGGCAAGGGAATCCCTCGATTGTGAACTTGAAGGTCGCATCCTCGCCTATAATTAGTAATATATAATATAAGTATTTATATCGAAGAATGAAATAACGATATGCTGATGATAGCTTCGTAATGTTAATTGCAACAGTGGTAATGAAAATTATAAAACAATATTCCGTATTGTAGTATCACATTTATTTTAAAAAAGTGTAATGAAAAAATGATTTATGTAACATAGCTCGAAATATTAATTAACCAAAATTTCACATGTAATGACAATTAAAAGTATTAAATTTATAATAAAAAGTGCAATATTATATGATAGTATTGATTCTAATTTGCATATCTAAATCGAGATGGTGTTATTTCTTTCCATATTATTAATGGAAAACTTAACGAGGCCAAAGTATCAGTGGTGATTTGGGCAAAACATTACCTTTTTGCAACCTATTTCTAGCTTAACCCAAGTATTTAAGGTAACCCAAGTAATTAAGGTAACCCATTGAATAACGAATTATTATATTTCCCATAGGTCCAATAAAGATAACTCCCTGTTCCAGTAGGTAGTGGATTAACACCAATAAGAGAAACAGGTAAGATACAAAACAAATTTTAAAAAGATTACAACAAATGATAACTTGTTCATTACTTACCCTCTGTCACTTCAATCGTGATGGTAGTCTCCGAAAAGGATGGCTTGGTTGGCTTGGGTTTCTCAACTGAAAGTGAACATTTATCGAAATTATTAGTTTTTCTCCCTCAATGCCTGTCCAAAAGTTATCACTGCTCAATTATACCTCGAATAAAATCCCCATTATGCTATTCCGGTCATGATTTTCATTTAGTACATTATATTTTTGAAGTACTTTGAAAACAAAAGCCAAACAAAAGGCACGGACCAACAGAAGAACATCCTTTGGCTGAAGTTGGTGCCGTGCAAAAATAAAATAAACTGAAACTGAAACTGAATTTTAAGATATTTTTTCAGAAAATCACTCAAAATATATTACAAGCAGAATAGAGATTCATAAGGGCAAACACATAAGTGCTTGGAATGTAATGGCTTCCTGTTGACATGTTAGTATGTCCTGTATTGATAAGGAATTGTTTATATTATCTGGAAATGGACCAGAAGTTGATTGATCCAAATTTAGATTCTATTCAACTCTGAATTAATGTTAAGTAAATAGAAATTAAAAAAAATTACATCTTCAAATCACACAAGAGATTCGAAGACTGTTGTCTATACAGATTCAGATAGGACATTAAGACAAAAGGGACAGGACAAGTAGTGGGAACATGTTGATGGAGCAATACGGAGTAAAAGAGACATATAAACCATCCAAAGAACATAGGACATCACCTTGATTGAACAATATAACATGCATTTTGTTTGTATAACACAATATGCTTGTTCACTTTGTCAGCAAGCAAACAAACATGAGTTATCTATAAAATGTTTTGCGTTTGCTATGAGTGTGTTCTAAATTAGTAATGTTTCACACAAATAAGATATCTGTTCTGCCGAGGGAAAATGGACAAACGAGTTGTGTGGGATAGCAGTGGTCAGTATTTCGTGTTTCATAATTGTTGCATAATGGCACTTACCTCTTTGGACTTATAATCTCATTCACAACTTCAGCGATGATTTCACATGCACTGTATTCCTCGGAGAGGTTTAATCCTCCCCTTTGGAGTACAGGTATGATTTCCAATTCCGAAAAAATATGGAAACATATGTGCCGCATATATTGCATCATTTGAAATAAGTTACAGAAACACATGCCAACTAAAAAGTATAAGATTTTATTGTCATAACAGTATCAAAGCTTCATCATGCATTTTCTAATTGTACGGAAAACATACTGACAGTCGTAAAAAAGTAAGAATAAGCAAAAAATATTAAGCACTCCGGAAAACAAGAATAAAACCTACGTGCCACTGTGAAATGAAATACTAGCCTTCATCATGCAATTTTTTGGGCTAAATCTACCGCGTTGAAAGCATGGTCATGTGGCGGAATCTACATACATGTACCTATAAAATGAATGCCTAATCATCTCAATACTGGTCCTTCTCATTTTAAGTTCCACAGAAAATATTCATTCCATATCTTTCATAACTTTATTCATGATATTATTAGGAGTGATATACATGTGTGTATTATCAGTATATCTCCTTACATGGGAATTGTATTTTTTTACGGCTTAAAATCACATTCATGCTCTCCCGCTAGTAAATGTCGGTATTCTTCATACATGTAACTCAACTTGCAAAATTAAAATGAAATGGCCTTAGGTACTTATCCATGATTACACCCCCTATTTTTTTCATAATCCGTTTTCAAATGACAATTTGCTCATACCACTTGCCAAAAATACTCTTCAGTTTAAGGGCAGTAATACGCCATTAATGTACTCATGTGGTGTAAATCGTTTTCCATCACATATCCTGAGCGAATAAATTTGTCTACCATGTCTCTTCAAAATGGTATTACTGCTAGAAATTATATGAAAATAATATATAAATTGTGAAATCAATTCCACGTTCCCACGTTTTGGACACATCTAAACTTTCTATCACGGCATTAACTAATCACTACCCAAATGCAGGTATTAGAGCTAAAGGTGAAGTGTACTTCATACATGGATTGCTGAGCAGAAAATGATGGTGATGCAAAAAGATAATTTGAGGTAGCCTACTCTTGACGGTCACTTGGGCAGATGAGGTGTCCTCTCCGACGTCACTGACCGCCATGCATTCATATTTGCCCTGGTCAGCGGGCTTGGCTTGTAGGATTTCAAGAGTGGCAACCCCAGCTGCATAAGTCTGTGTCTGTGTCGGTGTGGGCTCCAGTAACTTGCCTTCCCTGAAGGATAAGTAATATCATGAGAATAGATGATCAGCCGTAAGCAAGCAATAAATGTTGTCTTCACATGACACAGGCAATAATACATACATTTTCTGGTTATGCTCCCGACACAAAGTGAGTGATGGTTACCAAATCACCAATTTTCAATATTCATGATCAGAGTTACCAAAGTCTAGTCGAATAACGTGCAACAATAGTAATAATGGAAGGCACTATTATTCTACAGTGTGAAACAATTGTTGGTTTTTGCTAGATCTAATGGAGTCAATGTACCATTCCAAATTCCTCCTTTTTACCATATTTCAGTAAAAGTAAAATGAACCACAATCTTAGTGAACTGTCAAAGAGCATAACTCCATGACGAAAATACAATACTGAACCCCGAACTCATCTCTAAGGCATTAAAGGAATGAAAGGCATTTTTTTTTTTTTTTTTTTTTACATGTGCAGTACTTACTTATACCACTCAACGTCCGGTACAGGTTCACCAGCTACTTTGCATGTAAGTAGGATAGGAGCTCCTGTCTTTACCGTCTGTGGGAGAAGGAATATTGGAGTGACCAAAGTTGTAGTCTAACTGGTTAAACATACATCATGCATTTATATCTTTGTTCAGAACAAACTCCATTATGAATAATATAAATTCACTGCATTTCTTCTTAAAGGGTGACTAAATTACAAATTTATGTTGACTTTTGTTGATCTGTAATAATGTATACATCACATATCTTTTGACGTTTTGATATTCTATATTGTTGTTTATATTACTTCTGTTCTACCTGCTAAGCTCCAGCCCTTTAAAAAAAAAACTCCAAAAGCATATCACTTCTGTGACATCATCAGCTAGATAAACATGAACAAAAACAGTGGTATGTCCTCACCCACTGAGTACCTTATTGCATTAGCATTGCAGGTTTTCGTATAATAGCCCAGTGAAACCCTTATTTTCATGGTGTTGCTTGGAAATTTCTGACATAGCAACTGCTTAAAATGTAATTAGATTTTGTGAGTGGGTATTGGATAAAATTAATTCCAAGAGGCAAAGATAATTTCTGCATCTGCCTATAACTTTGATGGTATAAATAAGACTATCAAATCTGACTCTTACCAACATGTTATATTACCATAAGTGTCAGTAATCAATAAATATATTCCCCATTTGATAGTAAGCAAAGGGCTTAATCTATTTAGGATTGTTATCAAGTTGATCGGAAATATATCAATTTATCACCCATTTCATCCACAGTTTAATGAAGTGTGTCAAGCAATGAATAAAACATATTTAATTTTCCTGTGACTGAGATAGCCCTAGATAATTTATGTAGGGTCTTTTACAGATAAATATGAAAGCTAAATGTATTAAAGAGAGAAATGTTTTTGAAAGAATACGCTGAGACAACGTATATATCCCAAATCCGTGCATTATCGTCAAAAAGTCATACATTAGTCTTACCTGGTCTTTCAATTTGTCCACAATGACAGGGGCTGCTTCTCTAACTTCTGCCTTCTCCAATGGCATCTCCAGGGTAACAGCCTCCTCAGGTTTCACCTTCTCAACTCCCACCTCTATGTGCATTTCCTGCATCTCTTCTGCTTCCTGTGGTTTGCCAACTCTGAGGACTGCCTCGGCCTTTTCAGATTGTACATCTATAGGAAGGACAATCTCCGCAGTTTCCCTTGGCTCCGTAACTTGTGGTTTGGCTTCTGCAATGGTTACAACAGGTTTCTCGTCAGGAACGGCCTTTTCAACAAGAACATCTTTGGAGTCGGGTGTGATTGCAGAGATACCGATATCAGTGATGTCTTCTGGAGCTTCTTGAGCCGAGAGAGCAACTTCTGTTGGCTTCTTGGTCACTAGAATAGTTGCTTCCTGATCCTTTGGAGCCTGGGGCGCCTTCTCGACATCGATGACTGCAGTTTCATCTATAATAGGCTTCTTCTTCCTAAGGATGGCTCTAGCCCTACCCTTGGGAGACTTTACTTCTTCGTCCTCTTCCTCCACTGTGTCAAGGAAGACACGTCTTTTATATTCCACATCAGGCTGCTCCAGTTCTCGCACCTGTACTTTCAATTTAGGTTCCTTATCCTTCTTCTTCTTCTTTTTCTTTTTCTTTTTCTCTTTCTTCTCAGGCTCAGGCTCAGGCTCTTTGCCTTCGTCATGAGGCAATTCTGGTTCCACTATTGGCTCTTCTTCTAGATCTTCCTCTGTAAGTTCTTCTTCCTCTTCATCATCATCATCATCGTCGGAATCAAATTGTGCACTTTCAGAAGGACCTTCATCGATGGTAACCGAGATAGGTTCTTCTTCAGGCCTGTCTTCATCATCAGGGTTATCTTCAGGTATGGGAGCTTCCACTGGAACCTCAGCAGCTGGTGGGATATTCTGAGGGCGCTTCTCTGCCTTGTCCGGTTTTGCTTCCTCAGGAAGTAATTCAGGCACCTCAGGTGCATCTGCTGCAGGAATTTCGACGGTCACTTCAGGAAATTCTTCAGGTAGGGCTTTCTCAGTTGGAACTTCTGTCTTGCCAACCTCCACAGCTTCAACTGTTGCTACCTCTTCAGCAGCTTGAGTGGTCTCTGTTGGGTTGAAGAAAGTCGGTAGGCTCAATTGGGTCTTAGCAGGGATGTGGATGAGAATCCATTCCGTGCAGCAGTGCCAACAAACTAGAGTTGCATGGCGGATGTAGCAGGCAAAATACAACTCCTCTAATGGTCATGCAACTGTTTCGTCATGATGCAATGGAATGATGCCGCATGACTAATATCTAATCACATGCTGCTGAGCATGCTTCCTATGCATATCTAAATCTAAACTATCGCGTATATGTTACAAACACAACACCTGGCGACTGAAAAGAAATCATTGAAAATGTTTTAATGTATATTCAAGTTGTACATTGTATGCTATTGTCGTCATCGTATTGCATTCTGAATGTTTTGGCAATATAAAGTTTGATAATATCTGTAATTTTCATTTTTGATGGTTTAGCTCGTTATCCACAAGGACCGCCATTCATAAGGACCGCTATTCTTAACGCGTGAAAAATGAATAGCGATCCTTTATGAAGAGCGGCCCCTATAAATAGCGAGCATACCATAGACAATTTACCTCGCTATCCATAAGGACCACTATTCATAAGGACCGCTATCCATAACGCGGACTAAACTAATAGCGTTCTTTTATGAATAGCGGTCCTTATAAATTGGGGGGGGGGGGCGGGGTGTCATAGTGAGAGTTCCCACAATTTTCAAGGCCTTTTTTCCACTTTCAAATGTTTGTCATTGTGTCCGTGATCATTTCTTGAATAATCTAAAATTTCGTTTGTATGAAAAGACAAACATGTCTCTGTAGTGTTTATATATGATTGATATTATCATGATTTTGAACATAAAAACCTCATTTTTTTATACAATAACATCCATCGTGGATTACACAACTATGTACGTCACATCACACAACTACAAGTATCCCGCACCAACGGAACTTTTACAAAGAATGATAGTTTGGGGCACCGAGTTAGGACAAATTTTCATTTATCAGGGTGAGAATCGATAAAATTTGTGGTTTTAAAGGGATAGTTGAGTTCTTGTTTAAGACCGCAAATGCCTTCATAGTCTTATTTATGACATGTCTAGTGCCCTTTTAGAACCTAAAATTACTATGAAGGTAATTTTAGACCCCCAAATTGCTATGAAGGTAATTTAAGACCCCAAAATGTGTGAACACGAAAAAGCAAACAAAAGGCGCTATCTCATTTTTCAACGGCTGGTTCAAAATTACCGAATATTTGTGGGGCACCACAAATATTAGGAATCGTTATATTTATGGATATTTCAGCCGTCTCTGAACCAATTTTGATCAAGGAAAGATGATTGTCATTTAAATTGCAAATTCTTTCAAATTTAACACTCATTTTTTCATTATCGAACACAAATTATTTTGTGTAGCGCCCTCTGCAACAAAACTCAACTATCCTTTTAAATCAGCTATTAAAGTCACGTTTCCCCCCTTAATTATCAGTGATTCGAATCGATGTATCTGATCGCCGATTGAAAACTCCCAAAGAAAGAGAATCTTGAACCTCCAATGACAAAAATTTAAAGGGGAAGAATAAATGTACACAACCAAACAAATGGATCAGGAAACTCTTAGAGAAATCTCAAAAAAGAGAGACATGTTTGGAAGTTTTGAAGGTCTGTACCAAAATTGGTACGTCAATAATATGTTTTACAGGCCCAAAAGTATATCTGGGAAAAATTAATATATCTTTATGACAAATTCTAATGTTTTCAAAAGAAAATGCGATTTGAAATCTCAAGCTATCATTCTTTGCTGTTCCCCATGCTACTAATAACACAATCACAAAACCACATGCACATTGCAAAATTTCATTACCAACATCATCAATGATACAGTTATATGACCACACATAAAAGATAACAATCACATTATTGCATGCATGGCAGACACACACTGAAAACATACTATGAACATTCACCATGCACTAGTTATTACCCTTCATATACTCTCATTGGTTCTATATACAGTGCGTCCCAGAAAAAAAACGAAACCAAGAATTATCGATGTTTGATCATAACTTAATCACGATTATAATTAATAAATGACACATATTTGTAAAGCTTAGATCCACCTTTTTCATTTGATGCAACTCATATGATGGATATTTCACGCATGAGTGGTTAAAAACAATTTGAAGAGAGGATACCGAAAAGTCATATTTAGGGCGGTATCTGAATTTCAAAAACAAAATCACATTTCTAGAAAGTCCATTTTCTGCCCTTTCATATGACACCTCAATCAGGAAAAATGAGCCAGGAATAACAAAGTTCAGTTTGTTTAAAGTTAAGTCTTTCGTCTCCTTTGTGTATGGCTATTCGTCAACGAAACGGAGTTAAGTCTTGTGTCAACTCTGTTTGTTGCTATGGCAGGCAGCTAGTGAAAACGAATTCGTTTAAGCAAATTCTGGATATGCAAGCAAAACAAACGAAACTCTGTTATTCCCAGCTCATTTTTCCTGACTGAGGTGACATATGACAGGGCAGAAAATGAACTTTCTAAATATATTTTCTTTTTGAAATTCAGATACCGTCCGCCAAATGACTTTTTGGTACCCTTTCTTCAAATTGATTTTAATCACTCATGCATGAAATATGCATAATTTGCATTAAATGAAAGAGGAAGATCTAAGCTTTACAAATATGTGTCATTTATTAATTATAATTGTGATTTAGCTAAGATAAAACATAGATAATTTCGTTTTCATTTTTTTCTGGGACGCACTGTATATGGTCATATTGGTTCTATATATGGTCATGCATGAAGAGAAACGTCTACTTGTCAATTTCTACCAATACCAGAGTTGCATTGAATTTTTTGTCAAATCAACAGGGGTATATAATTCCATTCAGATGAACCATATAAGTGTAAGGACCCCCAGTTTTTCAAAGTATATTTCTAATACGGAAAATGGAAAGCAAATTTGAAGAGGATTGGGGTGGGGTGCTTTTGAGACCTTTTGGGATTTGCCATAGAAGGAAAATGAATTTGAAATATTATAGAACAGCTCACTAAACAGCATTCTGCAAAAGTAATTTTCAAAAGAGGAAAGATCATTCATCTTAGGGAGATTTGCTTTTTTTCCATTGGAAGCAGGCATTATCATACTCCTTATTTTCAGCCAATTCAAAGAAAAATAAATGAAATCAAAAGTAAAGTCAAACAGACTAGAAACAAGTGACAGAACTACAGAAAGGAAAAGTTACATGCATGTTACATCTACATATGAACAGAAAACAACAAAAAGCAGGCAACGACATCAGAAGTTGTAGTTAATAACTGAACATTGACGTTCTTGTTATTTGTACAAAAGAATATGAAAGAATGCAAGAATTTATACAAACAATGGTCTTGGCAGACTGATGTTACAGCATGCATTTTCTGGAAACCTACATGAATCTACTAAAACCCTTTGCAGCTACAGTAATATATATGTTTTTACAAAATCTTATAAAGGGAGCATGGAATACAAGAATAAATATGTGATTTAAAAATTTAGCAAAATTGTTTCTATATTCAATATATAGGGCAATTTTCTCTATCCTCTATAATACCTAAAGTTTTAAAGGTTAAGTAAACCTTTCAAAAATTAATTTTCCAAAATACATGTAGTACCTATTTACAATATAATTGTTATCAAAATATCAAATTAAATTATATTCTTAGTCTAATATTTTTAATATACTAACTTCTCAATAAGATATATATTCATTCTTTCAAATGTGAATACAGAAATTAATATGTGCAATCTGGTTGATAGGCAAGTATTGCATGAGCTACTGTCAAATATACTTCACATCTAAACTGTTTATCTACTTATAAAACATATGAAAATGTTATAAAAATCAAAATATACTATTGATAGTACTATAGCCTTCTACATTCCAAGAAGCAGTTTAGAAAATATTTACAATCGCCTTAGAGGGGAATCAAGATATCTCATCCAAAAATTTAAGAGTTGCACATTGTATTTTTTAGTTCTTATTTGAATCTACTATTTAGAAACCCCATGTTTTTTATTTTATCACATAAAGGGGTGACATAAATGTATTTGTCATTGTAGGAGTTGATGAATTTGAAATTAAGGATATTGTATCAATTTTTTTCTTCATAGGTTTCTAGTTTGGTTACGGTTACATGTACAAACAAACATGGGCATACCATAAAATAGGTAACCAATCATTTATTGTGCATTCAAGGACATTGCGTGCAAAGTCTATGGAAGGGAAAAATGTCACCACTGAATTGAGGCAACAACGCACTACCATGTGGAACGAATGAGTGGTTACCGGTTTCATGATAATTCCACAAAAAATAGACATCAAACCAGAATAATTTTTTGGAAAGAGCAACTGGTAGAAGACTATATGGAATGTGAATATCTGGACAAGTAATAAAGCATAATGCTACAACATAGTCCTCGATATACTAACATTAAATGAGCTACTTCTAATATGTATGGAACTTCTACACAAACGAGCCCCGTAACCAAGACATGTGCAGCTTCATGTACAAACTAGTACATACTACAGAGAACTAAAATGCACAGGTGACTGTAACAACATGGGAATACATGCACTGGAGAAACAATTAAATTTCACATTCATACACAAGTAAGTGATTTGCGATAAAAAGTATGCAAACTACTCAACATTAAATAGCTGATTTTTTTGTTGTAACAATTTTTTAGATGTATAGCACTGATAGTTCATGCAAATGTAAACATTTTTGTACAAAAATAGCTTCATGAAATTCCACAAAAAGTGCATTAAATGTATGGAATTGGTCCTGAAGTACCCATTTTGAAAAGGAATGCAAAATTCACAAGCTTAGTACATGCATTGATTGTCATTCAGTATCAATGACCAGAACATAACAAAAACAAGATCAAAATTTGCTGTGGAGGTACATATCACAGTTCATTTCTCTACATTTCAAGATAAATACACAAGATGCTGTTGAAAAAGACATAAGGGAATTCAGCACGTATAATAACAGGTAGTGCAGTTTACATGTACATGTCTTTCTTATACATTTCAAACATTCACATAAAAAAACCACAATCAATCACAATAACAGAAAAATCCATGCATTTCATACATGCATGTCAAAAGTACAGTAAACATATTACAAATGTCTGCCTTATCTTCATTTTTCTTTGAAAAGTCAACATTTTCTAATTTGGCTAGTAATGGGAAATCCCTCTATGGTATACAAAGAGAATTCTTTGATTGTCATATAGGGATCTAGAAAGTGGTATGTGAATACATTTACTTTTGGACATGTAATAAAGCAGTCATTTTGAAAACACAATACCTCAAAGACATAAATGGAAATGTTCAATAGTACTGGAAATATCTTTTTTTTTTAATTCTGTTTTGGAATCACTATTTTCAAATGTGCTACATATAATGTATAATGCATATGTAGATATTAATGAATCATCCAAATATTTTCAAATTATTTCAAAATTATTTCACTGGCATCAGCAGCTCAAAGAAGTACATTTACTACATGTATTCTAACTGATGCAATATAAAAAATATGTTTTAGTTTTTTAGATTTGTCCATTTCATGATATAGAAAATAATGTACAAATATTTTAAGAAAATTGAGTATAAAAACTGATATACAAAAATGCAGCACTTTTGAGCACATGTCTATTTAAAATGAGCCATAATTCCATCATTTCAGATGCATAATGCATGTTCCTTACATCATTAACTCAAGTCCAAAAGCCATTTGGTGTTAATACTGTTTCTCTAAGTAATGCTTTAGTGTCATATGGAGACAAGTATACATGTTTTCACTTGACGCCTGATATTTATTGAGGTTGAAATATGATTTTGAATGCTGTCAATCTTTATTCTTCCTCTAATTACCTAACTACCTTTAAAGTATACTACTTCAAGAGCATCTGGGGCACAACAAAGTCTATGAATACAAGAGATCCTTCTGACATTTATAATTTTGAATTTAGCCAATCTCTCTTGATCATCATGAATATGAATACGAGAGATCTTTCTGATATTTATAAATGTGAATTTAGCCAATCTCTCTCGACCATCATGCCATTGGTCCCATTGAAATCTATTGCACTTACATGCCCTTCTTGACACTGGAGTAGCACACTTCAAGGCTCTTCAGTTTGTTAACCCTTTACCTGCTGTGGTCCAAACATTGAACAAACAGCGACCTACCACACCTAACTTTTGGCACAAGTACATGCACAGTTTACATGTACATCACGATATTGTCTGCTTGGAGCGAGAAGGGCATTATACTTTAACTCACTGCCAACTAGAAATGGGTGGCTTCTGTATTAAGCCTATGGGAATGTGAGAATCCAGTTGCCAATGGGTTAACAGAGTAAACATCCTTCTAGCTCCGAACAGATATACTCCAAATAATGTGACAGTCAAGGGTTTCACTCCATGGCGAGTCAAGAGTTAATGTATTCAACAAAACAAACAGGTGGATGGATTATATAAACAGAACCACATAACACATAGCTATGAATATAACTAGGAAAGCTACGATGTCCCATTCCAGCATGTGAGCGAAAGTAGCCATACCTTCTGGAATCATGGCCTTGGTTTGTAGGGTCAGCGTGTCCTCTGCCACCTCCCTGGGTGCATCTTCAAGCTCTGTAGGTATGACAGGGAGAGAGAGGGTAGGGGGAGTGGAAGAGAGAGAAAGTGGAAGAGAGAGATGGAGTGGAAGAGAGAGAGAGAGAGAGAAGGAGAAGAGATGAAGGGTGGGTGAATGAAAGAGGGAGGGGTGGAGTGTGACGTAGAGAGGAAAAGAGGAGTGAGTAGAGTAGAGGGTGAGACGAAGTAGAGGAAGAGAGAATAGGGAAAAGGGAGACCAAAGTGGTAGATAGACAGAATGATTATTGAGAAAGACAAAGACAAAGACAAAGAAGGAGGGATGAGCAAGGCATAGAAAAAAGGAAAGGAAAACCACACCAAGAGTAAGCCATTAGAGTTGAAAGAAAACGGTTGAAGAAGAGAACAAAAGAAATATAAGTAATAAACAAAATAATGTTACGGTAGGCCCATATATATCATATTTGGTAATATCATTTTATGGATCTACTATTATTTTATTATTATTATTGACAACAATATTCAATTATGGGAACAGCAACAAAAACCTAGTGTACATTAAAAACACAATATATGTGTAGTCAAACCGGCTTTAGTGACCACCTGTCTACAAAGACCAAATTTTTTGTTTTCCCTGAAATGGTTTCTCATTGAAACATGTAAAGGAACCTGTCTACAAAGCCACTTTTTGTGTTTCCTTTCGGCGGTCGCTATAAACTGTTATAAGGTGATTAAAAAAAGAAACCAACCAGACTCACCCTTTTCCATTGGAAGATGAACCGACACCTTCTCGGTGGGCTCACCGACACCAAACTGGTTGGAGGCACTGACTCTGAAGGCGTATTCCTCACCAGGCGTCAGGTCAGCGATGGTGAAGACCGGTGCCTTGAGGGTCTCGGCTATCCTCTGCCATGACTTGGTGGCGCTGTCTAGCATCTCAACAACGTAGGAGGACACCTCTTGGCCTTCCTCCTCCATCACTGGGGTCTGCCATGTGATGGTGGTGGAGGTTGGTGTCACCTGGGTGGGTTCCAGCTTCTGGGGTTTGGCTGGTATGTCTGTTTAATAAGGAGGTTGATGGGAGGGGGATGAAGCATAGTGATCAAATCATGATGAATTCGAAAAAATATTGACATACGGTTTATTCTGTTCCTTCTGTTCATGTTCAACTGTTCATTTTCACAAAGTTTCTAAGAGAATATACACTAATACCATAATTAGATTGTATGCGCTCTAATGGTTGGCCAACTTATAAATTCAAGCGGTGAATGTTGACCACTTCAAGAAATCACTCAAGTTGCATCTATTCTGCTAGAATTTTTTTTTATTACCAGCCTACATATACTTAAACTGTTTTTTGAGAAGTGACTAACTTTTGTTTATAAGTGGCCCAAACATTGTGGAGTGGTGTGTGCAGCGCTTTGTAACCGCAAAGAAAAGGTACTATATCAAATATCTTTTGGATTGGGATTATAACTGATACTCGATTAAATAGGAACTACAAAAACACAAAATCGTTTTGAAAGTGAGAACCAATTCACATCTGTCATAGATTTAATGAACAGTATGTAGTCAATGATTCTCATAACTAATAAGATCTACAAAACTGTAAACATTCATCATTACGAAGAGGAACAAAATCATTTCTTTGGAATATTAGTATGATGAAAAAATTGCAAGTAAATATTTGGAGAAATACTTCATTTGTTCATCAGGTATTCATTTTCAACTGTTCATTAAGAAGAAGAAAAAAACATCCTGTTGAGAAAAAACATTGGTATAGTACATCAAAACACCAAAAAATCATACATTTTTGAAAGGCTGCTTTTTCTGCTGTGTATGAGTTTGAAGGAACACTTTTTATTAAGGCAAGCAAGAAATGGTGCAATGATTGCAGCAGTAGCAAAATGTAAAATTTGAAATTTTGATTTAAAAGCAATTTTACTTGGGGACAATTACTTTGAATTCAACATTGCCTAATAGCAGAGCTCATTTACAAAACATATTTTTAACGGTCAGTCTTTGGGACTAGAACTGAACCAGACTCCCTCTATGAATATCAGATCAGGATTCTGAAGGAAGGTAATATAAAGAATAATTAAGGGTTTTTAGGTGAGGGATATACAATGTACCTATGACTGTAATGCTGATTTGGAGTTCATCTCGAGCCAGCTCGTTCTCGACAACCACCACATAGTTGCCAGCGTCTTCCATTGTGGCCTTAGAGATGACCAGCTGGGACGTTTCTCGTGTCGTTTCCTTGGTGATTCTTTCGGTGGCTTCCACGACGACAGAGTTTTTGTACCAAGTAACGGCAGGCTGAGGGAACCCAACAATGTGGATGTCAACGGTGACAGAGTCACCGCGTTTGACCGACACATTCTTGGGACCGTCCGTGATTCGGGCAGGGACTGTTGTTGTGGGTGAATAGGAGGGGTGGAGTTTGGTTGGGCATGGAGGGGGTAAGGGATAAAAAGGATGAGGGAGAAATACAATGGGTTATGAATGTGCAGCTGATTACATGAAGCCTTTACAATAATGATTTCCAATTCTCATCAGACGTTGGGAATGAAGCAATTAAGCTTTTGGGTTGCATAACTACTATAAGCCAATTTTAAGCCCCTTTTTTCTCTCTTTTGAGGGGCATTTTATATTTGATGACTTGAGGCAATTTAGGAAAAAGAAAGCTTTGGAAATTAATAGAAAAGTGGAAGAGCGATTGCAGAAAGCTTCAGGGTTATCAGTGATTATTCAAAAGAATGCGTTCATAGAAATATAGTGGATTATGGAAGTTTTTCAGAATTGCTCTTTTTGTCATTTGGAAAGGGAAATGCAAGTGTTGGCATTTATTAATTTCATTATTATTTATTCTCTTTCAATTAACTATCAATCACATTTCACTTCTGGTGAAAAAAAGCAAATATTACATTTTATATCATCAACCACATCCTTATACATTTGAGGATTTTTTTTGGGTAACATTCTTCAATTGAGAGTTCAAATTAGATCAATCCAACATTTCAAACTGGATTAAATTTTTACTGTTCTCCCATGTAAAGGCAAATTGGCCACATGGAAAAACACTGTATGTAATTTTAAAAAACTTAATTCTATTCATACATGCATAACCGCAACCAAACATATATTATTATTTTCAAAAAAAATTATGCAGTCAAATCCTGTGAAAGAAAATTCTAAATATAATGGTCATGACAAAAATGAAATGGAATTAATGCAAACTGAAAGGACATAGCATGAGAGGCATTTGGCAAGTTAGCTTAGTTAGTATCGTGGAACATGCAAGCATACATATCTCAAAAGTGAACAAGTTGCACAAACATCCACATTCACAATTTAAGAAATAATTAGCAGGTTTTGAATCTTCATACAAATTTACGACAATCAACTTCTGTTCTTTTTCACAGGGGCAACAGCAGAAACAGAAAAAACACAATGATAGGAAGTATCAATATATTGCCATTACCCTTAAAACCAACAGACCAGAGAAAACATACAATACAACATATAATTAACACCACTTCTTAAGTAACACATTCAGTAATGGATTAGTATCCCATGAGCATTTCCAGGGACTGAACAATGATGAATGAAGGAATGGTGTCCATTGCAATGTTAACATTCTATATGAATTTAGTTTATCAAACGTACGGCAAGAACATCTCGAATGAGACACTTCCTCTTCGTTCACTCGTGTAAAATTGATACATAAAATAAAAACAGCCTGGAGAGTGCTTTATTTTATTTCTGCATATTCCCTGACAATTTTTTATTCACCTTAATCACCATTGATTCCAAATTTTACTGTACAACTTTACAATTCTTTAAAAATACACCAACGTATCATGATTTCTACATAAATCTATATATCTTTTTACCAGTTGAATAAAATATATATCTATTTTCTTTTTATAGCAGCATATACTAAAATTTCATGTTAGTATAAAAATGGAAAATATAATAAGAGGTAATCTTCCTCCCTATAGTACAAAATGTGTATTAAAAAAAATTGACGTGAGCTGTTTCAATCATACTAGAGATGTAATTCATTTGGTTTTTATTTTATTTTTTCAATTAACTGCTCTAACTGATTTCAATCAATAACATGCTCCAAAATTCCCCCCGATGGATATGAAAAAATTACGAGCAGGTTAACAGTCAAACTGTACAAATTTTGGTAAATCCTAATTTCTTTTGAAAAGCATGTTCAACAGATATGGAAAAAGAATTTTGGCAGACATCAAGCATGCATACAGAAAGATACAGAGAGAAACAAAAACATGTACATGTGTATATAAAAACAAATGAACCTTTTTAAAGTACAAACAAACAACCTAGATCCATGGCTTACATGTACATAACCTTCTTGCAAATATGTACAAATACCAAATGATTTCCCTTTAAAAGCCATAATCCCACATATAGAAGACACCATAGCACATTTTGATAGGTAGAAAATGGACTTTTCTGTAAATAATACACAGACTAAAACAAACAACAATGGCAATAGAATACATAATGCAGAGTCCCCAGCTTTTGTATCTCAATGTTTGTTGTCCTCACATAATCATGCAAATTTAGAATATCACTCTCTGAGCAGAATTTATTTACATCTTTATATCTCATAGAATGGCGATATATGATCTACCGGTACTAAACAATATTAAGCACCTATTCCCGGTATTGTTCTAATTATGGAAATTGATCATGCATCATGCTTGAAAAATACCTCTTATGAATGTCTCATGTCTTATTAAAATAAAACTACAAAACCTGACCACAAATTAGTCTTCCACCAATTTGACAAATAAGTTCCTCAAAAAGGCATTTTCCTTCATTGGAAATTATTGAAAACAATATGCAAGATGCAGATTGAAATACAATAACAACGGTTCAGGCAAGTTTGTTTCTAACATTACAAGACACAAAAAGATCACATACTAAAACAATCTATAGAGAAAGGGTGTACACAGTAAGAATAGGTTGACTATCATATGTTTACAAAGGGCTAGAACCTAGCACAAACTGACAATTATTCATGCATGTTTAAAATAATTACATAAGGAATGAAAACAGGCTAAAGAGAAATATAGTAAGTTGTTTCTTTGAAAACATACTTCTGTAAATTAGTTTTTTTCTCATGTCCAAAAAGTTATAAAAGTTGTACAAATACTACATGTTTGCAAAACCCCTAATCTACTCTTTCTCATCAATCTACATGAAAAAGCATGCACATGTCCTGTGCCCTATTGTATTATAAGTAAGGTTGCAATGAGGTAACACTTTGAACATAATTTGCACAGGTTACTATAAATGTATTTTCCCTCATGGCATTTCATTTATGAAAGAAAATCATATTTATCCAAAAAATAAATTGAATCAAACCAAAGCTTTTGCATGGATCAGGACAATTAAGAGTCAACACAATTGAATGTATTAACTTGATATGAATTAAACTCTATAGCAATATGAATATTTACATAGAAATTGTTTGATTTTCATCTAGGTAATTAATATCTATGAGCTTCTTTTTTCAAAATCTTCTCTAGCACTAACTATCTCAGTATGCATGCAAAAAGTTTGGTTTATTTCAACATTACTTGTAAAAGAAGAAGAAATTGTTTAATTTTCATAGCAAAAGTTTGCTTTTATTTGCAAGAGGGGCATTCCATAGTGCTCTAAAGGTAGATGCGGTACACACTGCTCATTTTCTCCGCTATGCGATGACGCAACGTGCCTGTGTTAAGGGTGGGGTGGAGGCAAACAAAAACAAAAAACAGGGGAAGGGGGTGAAAAAAGATCATCAGTACAACTACCAAGTGCAACACAAAACCAAAAGGTCAGGGGTGAGCAGTGCCAACAAAGGTCATAGGTCAAAGGAAAAATCTATTGCTACCTTCACATGCTCAGACAACATTTTCACAATTACATTTGAAAGTTGGAAAAAATAAATATGCAAAGCAAATACAAGGTTCAACAGTCGTTTATTTGCTTCCAAGTTCATGATTGGCCTGTTTGGCTCATAGTTTTTTAAGTTTTTTATGTTTTAACTGAATGTGAGCTGCGTTTTAGAATTTTTGATGGCATCATCAGAGCAACAGCTACACCAAGGAAAATAAGTTTTATACAAAAATATGAGCAAGAAGTATAAAACTATTTGTGAAATATAATTTCTTCATTTTTAATTTCAGAATTAACCACATGTCTAATTGAGGTTTAATTTGATGATAATCTTCAAAGTTGGACATTACTTTTACTATCATATTTTAATGTTTGAATATTAAGATTTATTGCACAACATATCAAACTGATATTCAAATTGGTATTCACATATGTTCAATGTTTATGTAATCACTTTGTCACATATTTGCAGTGATAAATATATAAGTTGATTATATGGTCGGTTATTGATGGTGCAAATATGAGGTGTTAATGTGCAATACACATCGATATCCTTGTTATACTACACCAATAAATGTGTTAATTCTCATTTTCCAAATTAGGGAACTGCATGGAAGATTACAATATGTTCTTGGTAGCACAATCTGTTAGATACATGAGTAGCCCAATAATGTAATTTTGTTAATGACCGAACTCGTCCACGAGTAATAGTTAAACTAATATCAATCATTTATTTATGCCAAACAAGACAAAAATGGTACAAAGTTTGCTAAGAATAAAGTAGGTCATATTCTGGATAAAGAGGTATAGTCAATAACAGGATTTTACTCAAGTACCAGATTTCAATTCTTTTGTTCTAAATAGAAATGTCTTAGCCTTCAAACCATATCAATTAACCAAAGCATTCACTTAAAAATATGCCTACATAACTATTTGATATTCAATAACAGTGACTATATTTTCCTTGGAACCAATGTATTATGGTATATATCAGGGTAAAAAGTTTTCAATATAATTATATTCTTTTCATATAAAAATGATAAAGAAAATCCATCTTCGTTAAGATTGATTGGAACAATTGTTTTAAGTTGCTAGCTATAAAAATAGCATATAACAATTGAATTAAAATAAAATATTTAACACCACATCTAAAATACCATGAAAGATATCAAACTGTATTGCATATAAGTTACTTAGAAGTTTAGTTGCTGTGTTATTATGTCCAGGGTACACATAACCATGTATGCACCACAATCATCATTATCCACTTGCAAAGTTGCAATCCAGGTTTAATAACATATTCCATTACACCATCAAAATAGATGCACTTAAAAATCATTTACTTTACAAGAAAACAAAGTGAATTATAAAAGGAAGCATGTGGTTGCTGCTGATAGAAGCATCACACTCTTGAATGGATTTGAAGAAGATTTGAAGGGCATACCACAGAAAGCACATATCTGATTGTGAAAATGTATCGTTTTCAAATTATTGCTTTGTTTACATGGTCTTCATTAGCTTAAAGAATGCAGGACAAGGTTAATTAACCAAAGCACAGAAAGCATGTTTGCTATGAAGATTTCTCATTACCAAGTGAGGTTACCTTAGCATGGTTTTAAGCAGTATTTACAGAACAAAAGCCCAGAGCACAAAAAGTTTTATTTAAAAAAATGTGTCTTTTCCAAGTTATGTTAACTGAGCATTGTCACCAGAAGCTTAAAGAACATAAAAAGCAAGGTTAAAGTTATTAAAACAAAGCTGACGCTTGATTATGATATCATTTTCATTAATATATTGGTACATAACACCGGACAGAAAACAATATCCTGAAAAAAAGAAAACACACTTTAAGAAGCAAAGAGGCAAACAAATGTTACATTCAGTACAGTGTGTTTATAGGAGATCATCCTTTAGCTGAAATGCCTTGCATCATTTTGGGAATTTGAATTTGAATTCATTGATTGTTCTGTCATTGTAGCAAATTCTTCTCCCACTGATACACCTAATAAATCACTTTGAATATTTTCTTTCAAGAATTGGCTTATTATTTTCAGAATGATGTAATTTAAAAACTTATTCCACCCTGATGAAGAGAAAATATATTTTTAAAATTCCTTTTGAGATGGATAATTGACTCATCCGTAAAATTAATCACTGAATGTTACATGTATATGTTGATAATGTGATCAGGGAATGTAAGTATTGATTTCACTATTACTATATGTAGGAATGGTGAGATCTAAAAGTTACATTTTAGGAGGGAGGATTCCCTAATCGGGAGAATCTATCATGATGGAAGGCATTTAAGGTCAGGTTGTGTCTCACAAGGTCAGAATATTCTGCACAAAACCAACAACAGAAAGTGAAACCATGCGTGTTATTATAGGTGAAAGGTTAAAGTCCACAGGGGTGGTGAGGTGCGACAAGAAAGTGTGACTTGATTAGTTTAGTCTTCGATTGGCATAGCCACAAAGCAATATGGTAGTGCATGCAGGAGAACAAGTAAGAGCAGAAGCAGGGATTTACCTTCCAAGATCAGTTCTGCCGTTGTCGTTGCCTCGCCGATCTCGTTTACAGCCTTGCACGTGAAGGTAGCAACGTCTTCCATGGTGGTGTTGCGGATGAGGAGAGTGCACATTCCCTGCTCATCGTAATCGATAGAAATGCGAGGTCCAAGTTTAAGCTCCACACCATTCTTGTACCACTTAATCTCTGGCATAGGTCTGCCCACGACTTTGCAGAAGAAGTTGATGCTATCGCCCTCTACTGCTGTAAGTGATTTCATATCGATGATGAATTTTGGTGGGTGCTTCTCCGGTCGCTTTTTGTGAGCTGCCTGGAGGAACAGATCTGCTTTAGACACAGCGGATCCTGCTTTGTTCGAAGCCTTGCAGGCATATTCTGCATCGTCATTAGCCCTGACTTCATCGATGATCAAGGAACCGATTCCTTCATCCTCTGCGAACTCGAACTTCACATGCTGGTCATCTGGCTTGATCTCTTTGCCATTGCGATACCAGTGCAGTATAGGCATGGGGATGCCGCTGACCTGGACATCGAACCTGGCAGGATGGCCCTTGATGATTTCCAAGTCCACCATGTCCTCAACAAACTTAGGTGCTTCATACACTTCAGCGATTTCTCTTTGAGTGGGCTCTAATTGGAACTGAGGCATGACCTCTGGTGCAGCTTCTGTTGGTTTCTTGTCCATTGGTACGACTTGTTCCTCAACAACGGCTGCTTCCTGCTTGGAAATTGTCTCAAGAGGTTTCTCAACCTCCAGGGTGGCCTTAGCTTCAACCTTCACTGGAGCCATCTTGCCTAAATATCCAATCCAAACAGCAATACCAGTGAACAGATGCTCTTACGTTTATTATTATTAACATGCAAGTTTCTCTGTTATAGGTGCTCTCGCTGTCTTTTAAGCTTCTTTTATAATGCTTGGTAAATTAACAACATGACATATGTTTATGCAAATTAAACACTACTGTATTAAATTTTATTTTGTAATATGTATTTATATGAAAATTCAACTTTGATCAAACATCATATTGCCAAAGAAATTGGGAGTTCTATAGCACTTGATTACCCTTTCTACAGCGATTGATATTAAATGTACAATCAACCTAAAAGACTAATCATCTATGATATCCTCACCTGGTACTTCCACAAACAGTTCAGACTCCGTAGAGGCGACTCCAACTGGATTGATTGCTCGGACCACGTACTGACCCTCGTCCATACTCTCCACATCGTGGATGGTCAGCACACACACTCCGTCCGGCCTGTGTTCGGTCTGGTAGTGAGTGTCCGGCTCGATGGCTTTATCGTCCACAAACCACTGGACCTCTGGTCTGGGTTGACCCTCAACCTTGCAGGTGATCTCGGTCGTCTCGCCTTTCTTGAGTTCCGCTGTCGTCAATGGCTGTGTGAAGACTGGAGCTTTCTGTTCAGGCACCTATCAAATGACAAGATAAAGAGTAATATTGAGTTTCACCTACAGTTCATGCTGAATAAGGTACATTTTTGTAGAATTTGCTTGTATTACTTTGATAATAATAATAATCATAGCTCGTTCTTATATAGCGCTTTTCAGGATCGGAGGCCCTCACAAAACAAACCATACAGGCATTTTTTATGTGCATTATCATGAAACCTTAGCAGAATCTGGGGTAATAACCGTATTCACTCAAAGAAAAGTTATATATACATCAAATAGCAAACTTTGCTTTAGCGCCTGTTGATAGAAACTTGGCAATAGCCAAGGTAGAAAGAGTATGTGGTGCTTGTTTTTCCTCTCAAAAACGTGCATTATAACTATTCAAGACTTATCCAACTATTATTAGCATGACAATCATATATTACATCTGTAGAGTCTGTGGCTGCAGACTTAAATTATTCATAGGGAGCATGAGATTCACCTCTGTGGGAGCTAGGGTGACCTCCTCCCTGGTAGGTGTGACCTCGACTTGCATCACAACCTCTTGCCTCACAGATTTCTCCTCCATCTTCTTAGTGACTTCCATGATCACCTCCTCGGGGTGTTTCCCAAGGTCCTCTAGTTGGATCTCAATCTGGACGTCATCTTGGAACCAGCCTTCAGGCTCAGCACCTTCAGCCTATAAAGTGACATATTTATACAATTGTAAGAGCTCTCTCTCTATCTAAGTGCCATATTGATTGACTTTGGCAATCATGCTGTTCCACAACCCTCGGTTTCTAGCCTTTGTAAGAGCATGAACTGTGAAACATGGCTGACTCTCTAAAGAGTGTTAAGGTTGCTTGGTGAAACAAAGTGGCATGAAAAGATGTGCCCGGAACACAAACTGCATTAAATGTTGAAGATCCTAATTTTATCGCACAGCTCTAGAGGTAAAACCATATTGTTAGGATATGGAGCTGGTAAATGCATATAACGTCTCAGTTGATCAGGCATAATGTTAGCTCAACTTTAATTTGGATGTATCAAAATTTAACTTTTAATTAACAAACATCACTAACTCTTATGCATTTTACGTTGAGGAGGCATCTTTTCGTGCCAAAACATTTCACTATTAAAGCTCGCTAAAACAGCATTTTGTCTTGTTCTGTGACATTTTATTACAAGTATCTTCATTCATAAAGCACGCAAGACTTCTGATGTCTGCTGAGAGCACGTGAACCATACCTTATCAAGGTATAATCATTTATACAAGTAAATGGGTAATTCATACAATTGTATATTCTTTGCTCTTTGAAAGGTGTGGCAACCTACAGGCACTATCGTAACAGCGCTCTATTCCCCACTCAATCCTTTTTTTTCCCTTTACATGAGAAGATCGTCAAATATGCTAGGTTTATATACTTCTGTTCTACATGTTCATTTTTTGGAAAAGAGTATTACAACTTTACTTGACCTATATGGAGGACTATGTGAAAGCTCACCTCATCCAACTCCTTCTCCTCCACATCTGTTTCAAAGGCCTCCTCAGAGGTGATAGAGGGAGCCTCACTGATGCTAGCAATCTCTAGATCCTTGCCCCGGACCTCTAGGGTAACCTCTACAGGGCCCTGGGGTTGGGCTTCTGCCTGGACCAAGATGGCTGGCTTTTCCTTCTTCACTTCAGATGGTTCTGTAAAAGATACAAGATACAAAATATTTTATTTGGTCTTTGCAAACAAGGTACATAAAAATTTGGTTTCCATTGGCATTACAATAATATTCCAAGAAAATACATAATTACAAGAAATAAACATCACATGCGAAACAAATACATGCAAAAGATAATGAAGCGACAAAAGTGGTCATTGGTACTTTATATCATGAGTTTTAGAATTAAGCATTGGTCATTGGTATTTCAAATCGTAATAGTTTCAGTTTCAGACGCAGAAGTTCAACGTTTAACCTGTGAGTTGAATTTATGAACAGAGTCGGGTACAAGACCAATGGAGACATATCTAAAGTTATAATGGACATGACAAGCAGGTAGATATGCCACTTCAATAGAATGAGGACAAATGGACTTTAGACAAAACAAAGAGGTTCTACAAGAATTTGCAGGTGCTGACAGGAGGTAAGTTTTAAACCTTTCTCCCATTTCCGTACCATTTTAGATCTATATTTCTCCTACTTAACAAATACGATTTGTCAAGGAAATATCATTGCTCCCTAGGCACATTTCATAAGATGGACGCATTTAAACCAGTTAAAAACAGAGATAACTTGGGTTCAAACAGAATATTAAGTCACATTATATAGAAATGCAACCATTACCATGACATTGATATCCATTCAAGACGCAATTCTTGAACTTATTGTCTACAAGAACCAGTGGTTCCACTACAAAGCAAATGAAAGTGTCAAAATTCAGTACTCAATGTGTTAACAATCAAGCTCTCACCTTCATCTACAATGACATCAGCACGGCAAGATACGATGCCAAACGGATTGACAGCCTTGCAGAGGTAATCAGCATCGTCACCGGGCATGGTCTCTGAGATGACAAGAGACGCGTTGCCTTCGGTGTCGGACATGATGGTGTGGCGAGGGCTAGGCTGAAGAACCTTGCCATCACGGTACCAGGTGACTTCTGGAGTAGGTTTGCCTGATATTCAATAACATAACAGATATAAGCATGAAGGCTGGTTCAAGATTTTTCTTTTACTAACATAAAATGTTCTTTTTCAAGATTCTGTCCATTAAAATGTAAAGATAAAACAAGCTACAATTTAATACCAGTTAACCCATTGCCCAGGACATGGGTGGTGTTTGCATTAAATCTGAGGAATTCAGAAAATTAAGTAAACAGTTATCAAGCCTACTTGATTTGAATGGATCACATGTACATGTGTGTTTCAAAAAGTTGAATATATATCTAAGTTATAGAAACAAAGGAAGTAAGATAATATTTCATATAAAATACCAGTAGATAAGGTGGTATGGAAAGTATTTGGGAAATTGTTATGGGATGACATCACATAGAAAAATGATATAGTCATGGGCCATTTTCAATAATTCCACTTTTACGATCCATTCCAACAAAATATGATGCATACTGTTCCCACAGAGAAGATGGCAAATATCTTTCCTTTCTCTTTCCTTTTTGGAAAACCTACCAGCGACTTTGACTCTCAAATGAGCAGTTTCTCCTGGTTTAACCTCCACATCCTGGACAGGCATGACAAAAGATGGAGGAACACCTTCTTCATCGAGGTCGTCCACACCTTCGAAGTCGACGCTGACTAGGTCACGGCTCTGTGGACCCTCGACAATGGCGCTACTGTCGACAGAGACAATGGAGCTCTCTTCTGGTTCTATAGATGCAAGATAGAGGAATAGGAGGATGCGTGGATGGAGAATTGCTGGATGGACCTGGCACATGTACTTGTATTACGTATAAGCAGGTTACCCACCAAATATATTCCTGCCCCCTTCTCATTTATATAGTTAGCAAATAGGATCAAATGGACCAAAAGCTGTAAATAACAGGAACATATACATGGTAAACACAAAACTGTTTAAAATCCATATGCTGCACTTATAAGTCTAAACAATGATATTCTTTTAGAACATTACTTCTCTGATGTTTGAGGCAAAATAAGTTATTAGCAGACATATGTGAAAGCTGTGCACTTTTAAAAAATTCAAAGCTTTCTTCATTTCCTGCTTTATATCCTTATTTCCTGTGCCCACAAATGAATACTACCACTTGGAATAAAAAACATATTTCTTAGTATGTAGATGAATATTCTAATATCATAACATTTTGAAAATATGAATGCCTCAACCTATTAACCCAAGAAGTTAGCTGTGCAATGTAAAAGTTACATCCTCCATGATACCTTATAATAAGAGTGTTAGAATACCAGAGGAAAGCATAAATAGATTTACACCAATCATTGAGAAGTGCTTTTCTTTTATTCAAGTTAGAAGATATTTCACCAGGGAGAGTAAATTCAGAGCATGATGATTTAGAAAATATGGCAGAGAGATGGATGATATTTCTTTCCTGAAAGATGCATTGATCCATGCTAAAAGTCCTAAACTCATACTACAACAACACAGTAGCTGAAAATGAAGTGAGAGGAAACCGAAGCATGACTAACTTGCAAAATGAAAAGTTTTTTAATTTGAGAAACGTGTCCACAAAATCAGTTGACAATAGATCTCTACGTTTCTCATTATAATCCTACATGTATGAGTTTGAGCGGGTTTAACAATACTTAAAAAGTTTGATAGCAAAGCAAGGCAATGACCACATGATAAGCAAGACAGATTGAATATGATGGAACTTCAATACAAACATTAATTTATAAAATTAATTAATAGACTTTTTATTTCATTGTACTGTATGTAATTATAAATCAGTCTATCATGGAAACCTAAATTAGAAATTCAAATGAACTTTTAATTTCTTTTATTAAAATTGGGACAATGAATTTTCAGAAATTAGAATGTCCTATGTGTGCTTAAAAAAGTAATCTAAACAATTTGTGCTGCTCCATCTTCAATTGCTTAGGTTACCTTTCTGTCATTTAAACCCCTCTGTGGTGAACCAGTTACATACAAATAAAATGATTTTTCAGAGAGAGAGAGAGAGTTTGGACTGGTTCTGCAGAATATTTTTTCTACATTTCCAATCCATCCCTATTAATGAAGACCTTGTTAAAATTTCTGACGAACTAGTTTACATTGTCAAATATTTAAACTGCTTTAATTTTCCTCTCATTTTCCTAAATATGTCCTGAAAATATCATTTCTGAATAATTTTCATTAATTAGTGTGTATTTTAAGGTTTTATAGATACATTGTTAATTAAAATTGTTAATCCTTCATTTAGGAAAGGCACACTGTAAATGTGTTGAAGATAAATTCTGAAATCCAATCGTGATTTGGACACGTTTGTAAAAATTCATATTTAGAATAGGGAAATGTGAAGAAAAAAATCTGTGAATCACTTAATCAATGAATAAACTGATACATATATAGCTATTATTTTATTTTGTTTGGGCCTATGTTGGTTCACAGCAGAGGGGTTTGCCCTGGTGTATCCTGATCACTTACCAGACATTAGAGTCAGCTCGGCACCACACATGGTGCGTCCGACCTGATTCTCAGCCCAGCAAGTGAAGGTACCTAGGATTTCGGGCGTGGCCTTGCGGACCACCACCCAATTCCTCCCTTCTTTGTCCTGACCAATCTCGATCAGATCGGATGGCTTGATCATCTTCTCGCCGTGGAACCAAGTGATCTCGGGCATGGGGCGCCCAGTCACTACGCACTCGAACCGGGCCATGTCGCCCTGGGTGACCGTTGCCGTTTGGATGGGTTCAATGAACTTTGGCGGCTCGGGTTCTTTCCCTATTGGCCAATCGAATGAGAATGGAAACTATGTTTAACCCTCAGGTCTTTGCCTATTATGAAAGTTTTAGGCAAACCAGCGTATTGGCCGTTTCAGTTGAAAGTCTTAGGGATTCTCACACCATTCACTCGAAATGTAAACTATGGTCAGAGTCTTGAAGCATTAAGGGCAATATCCAAGAATTTAGCTTGATATATATCAAGGAGTTAACTACTTTATTACTCTATAAACTGCATCATCAATACTTTTTGTCATCATTATATCTCTACAAATTGTTTCAAGGGGTATTTTGATACACATTTCTCTGTTATGACTTCCTAAAATGACTTTGTCAGATTTACTTATACGTAATTGGTAATTGTGAGATGCCCACAAGTTTAAACAGCTGAAGAAAAAATTATCTTCAAAGTTAGATGATAAAAAAATAGAATTTTAAATACATTTAACTTCCAATCAAATGAAAAATAATTTGTTTTCCTTTTACAGAGATGAATGTAAGTGAAGGACTAAACAGAATTATTAGTATGAATAAAGATGTATTGTCATTTCTGTGACTGTTTTTTTTTTAAGAGCACCACAAGGAATATTAAATTTAGATTTAATCTTTTTTCATCCTGGATATTCTCCTCAATGTTCAACAGCAATTATGATGTGAACACAAATGGAATCAAACCATATAGATGCACATTCTAAATACAGAGAACTAAATGATAATATAAAAACACATCACTAACACTGCATCTAATGGATTAAAATGGCAGGTATAGTCAAACTAATGACAAATGGTATCAAACATAAATGTGAACCCATTGAACACCTAACAAAGCTATGCATTTCCCACAAATTGAGGATATTTAATGTCTTTTGATTCAAAATGGCAGAATGATATAGAATAACAGCAAGTATGATGTTTTTAATAAATATTTGAGCCTTAAGTCAACATGTCGCTTTTTTGAATGACTACAGTTGTTTGAAGAGAAATACTTGACAAAATAGATTTACAAAACAAATTACATTATTGGAGCAATTGAATTATTATCTTACACCAGTTTTGTGATGTTGTTTATCAAAACTAACTTTGTTGAAGATTTATATTGTAATGCATGATCAATGATAACTTTTAACCATCTTCTAAAAATTCTTTCCAATCTGTAATTTGTGGAAAAATAGCATTGTATGAATTACTTCTGTAAATTTCTACCCTATATTGTCTTCCAATATTCAAAGCAACTTGGGAATATGATAAATATATTTTGGTAACTTTTTATTTGAATCACCTGAATCAATATGGTCAACTTCTGATGAGTTTTCATCATCATCTTCGTGCATTGTCGGATATATGGCATCATTGTGCATGCAAAAGTCAGAGGGGCGGTTGCAGGCATGCATAAAGGAAGGGATGGAGATGGTGATGGGGGAGCCGGACCAAGTACGAATCTTGTGTACGTGCCAGCCCCCACGGTCGCCAGCGGGGGTCGACATGGGTGACGACATCGACACTACAAAACCTGTGACGGGAACAGAGGTGTTGTCTACTTCTACCAAATGACGAACATACACAAACATGGAATATAGGTACATATCTTTACAAACATGATTGATTACATTCACATGCTAAATACAACACACTTTAGTTGTAGCTGTTGGATACTTTTATGTATTGTACAATAAAAATGATGATTGGAATATGAGGTGCACATATTAACAATCAAATTTTAGTTCTGGTAAATGTATTAGTCCTTTTTGTGTCCTACAAGAAATAAAACTATTCATGTATGTACTGCACAAAAAGAAGTATTTTGAATGCTTGTCACTTGTTTTTTTTTTAAATTTGCTGAAATGTTACATCAATACATACATATACATTGATTTACAGTATTCGTTTTCAATCTCCTATACTGAATTTTTAGGCATGTAACAACTTATTTGCATTTTTCTAAAAAAAGAATTGGAATGAAATAAAAACACATTTATCCATAAATTGGAGTTGCGATATTTTTTTTCTTTTTCTTTTGGCAATGAAAATAAACTTACATTCTAGCCCTCTGTTTTCAATGCTGATACTTCAGCTACAGTGCATATTGCATCAAAACAAGATGCTGGATGTATGAAGTTAATAAAGTTACTTGGTATAAATGGTAAAGTGTGGTGGAGTCAGATTAAATACAACTTACTACATGTCCAATATAATGAGAAGCAGGAAATAAATGCAAAAATAAATGTATTAGTAATTACTAGGAAGCATTATGAAAGTTTTGCAAGTAGAAATCTACTACTACTGACAGATTATTAAGGTTAGTCTAGTTAAAGAATTGTGCTCGTGTAGAAAGGTTTTAGTATGATATTTGAATGGACTGACTCATAACCAACACATTTCTCAAACATCCATGTAAATCATTGGGGTAACGTAACTCACACACTTCAGAACGTGGCTCATAACTGTCACATCATCAGGATTAACATTCTCAACAAATCATGTGTTCATATCATTACTAAAACTTCATTTCCATAGTTATGATGGTAAGTTTGTACATGATTAAAATCATGTTCCATGGATGAACATTAGTAACATGTATTGCATGAGTATATGAATATATGTCAAAGATGGTGTTGGTAAAGGAAAAATGTCACTCTCATGTATGTGAAAATGATCACTCAATACGGTAGCGATGTAATTATTGTATGAAGTCATGTTTTGACTCAAACCAATGGATAAAACTGAAAAAGATTCAATGTGTGTAAGAGAAAGAGATTAAGAATTGGATGATGGAGAGATATGAATGAGAGATGAATAAACCTGTAAGAGTATGTTGCCATGAGTGTGTGATGATGGCATGGACCCCAAGACCAATGTAAAAAAAGAATGATTGTGTCTTAGATAACGTAAATGGACCTCGTCCTGGTTTTTAAACTCACGTGTAACCTCCAGAGATACAGATGCCATTGCCTTGCCCTCCTTGTTGGTTGCTACGATACGGTACTTCCCTTCATCGTCCGGCTCAATGTCGGTCAGTTCCAGGGTCAGAATGTACAGATGGACATCGGCGTACATGCTCATGCGACGACGTGGCGTCTCCTCTAGCGGTTGGTCGTCTTTGAACCATTGGATCTGAGGTCTGGGTGCGGCAATGAGGCGGAACTCAAAAGTGACTTTCTCCCTGCCGGCGCTGACCACCTGGCTCTTGGCGACCGTCATGAAGGCAGGTTTGATTCCTTCACCTTCTTCAATGGTTGACTCCCTGAAAAGGAACACAAAGACATTCAATTGACCTAATGAAGACTAAATTTTGAGATCCCCACAGGCTTATTACAGGAACCATATGATTCCCTTTGGTCATGGGTTCATCTTAACTTGTTAAAATCTGTTCTTCGATTTCCCCTACTGGACTAAAATCACATATATTGTGATAGTGGTGGTTATTTTACCTGACAGCTAAGAAAGCAATAAATGCTTGTTAGTAAGCAACCAGAAGACCGACGGCTTAAGGTCCTCTCCAAGGGACCTGGTAATGAGGATTAATGCCTTACCAAAGGGCAATAGTGCATTGACTTGGTTTCGAACCCGGGTCACCGGATAACGAGAGCACTGCTCTACCGACTGAGCTATCGCGCCTCCTCGAATAAAATGTAAACTAATCTTATTTACAACTGTAAATTAACAAAATAATCTTTATTGATTTAAAGATGTTCGTTAAATGATGAATTGCTATAGCAATAAAATCACATGCAGTCATTATTTTTTCTTCATTACAAGTACCCTCCAGGCAAAAATGTGTGCTTAAAATAAAATTGTTTCTCTCTAGTTAGATTGACTGGTAATAGATTACATCTTTATATTGTGGAGAGCAAGTAATTAAAGAGAATTTCAAACCTTGATAGACTCTTGCGGCTTGGTGTTCCATCACTCTCTGCATCAGAAAGAGCAACTGCAAAGAAATTAAATGATGAATGTTTTAATTTATGTTTTAGGCATTTTGAAAGGATATGGAGGTTATTCTGTACAATCACAGATAATCTAAAGAATATATGTATCGTACCTATTAGTGCAGATAAAATCTGTAATATTTTAAGTTGCTCATATATATTTCTTTTAAAATAAATAAATAAAAAAAAAAATGAAATTTTAAGATCGAATAAGGGCACAGACAATGTTTCTTTGAATGTGGTCTCTGCAATTACGGATGAAATGGATGATTTATTATACCAAGCTTGAGATAAAGATATGAGGAATAAACAAGAAGTATACAGAGAATGAGTTGATAAAAGTAAGTGATATATTACAATAATATAAGAGGGGATCATAAAACTATCATGATACTATAAACATAAATGAGAAAGTATAAGGAGACATCTACCTTCAACAAGCAGCTCGGCACTGGTCGATGATGTACCGGCCTGGTTCTTGGCAACGCAGGTATACTTCCCAGAATCCTCGGGGTAGACTTCCTCGATGGTCAGCGTGGCGATGTCGCCGTCGGTAGCTATCTTGAACTCCTCCGTCGCTGGGATCTGGGTGCTCTGACGGAACCAAGCCAAGGTGGGCATCGGTGTGCCCTTGATGCGGCACCGGAGGGTGACTGGTTTTCCATCTTTGACTTTGGTTGTCTGTAGAGGCTCGATGATCTCTGGGGCGATGGCCATGCCCTTGAATGGTGTTTCTGCATCAGAAGGAGGCATAAGCTCTACATGTACAGGAATACAGTTTTTTCAAGCGGAAAGCATACAGAACAGATAGAATTGCACCAAACACCAATAATGTACAAGAAGAGCAAATTTAATTGCAAAATTGTAAAAAGTTTTCAGGAAAAAGTGCAAAAACAAGAATTTTGGTACATAGTTTGAGAGAAAACATGAATCAGAAGGAATAGATGAAACAGGAGTTGAATTTGCAAGGCATATGATAAAGAGTGCAATATAAAAGAAGGAGTTATTATCAACAGTTTGACAATGAATGGAAAGAAAAACGTGTATCCGTAGAATAGTGATGAACAATCAAACATAATAAGACCATTTTACAAAGGAAACCAAGTGCAAGAAGCATTACGTTTCAAGTATCAAGTACATTTTTATTGAAGCAACAGCAGAAAACATAAAGACATTTAAAAAAAAATTGGAATTGCATTGATAGGCCATATCCAGAGAAGCAAAGAAGAGATTGAAAGGAAAAGGACAAAATGAAGATGAAGTCAAATTAAGCATACTCCTTTCAAAGAGGTATTTTCATAAAAAGGATATCTCAAATTGAATGTCTGAAATTAAATAGCCTTTAGTGCATATTGTTTATTATTGTACAGATTTATTCTAGCACAGACAAATTCATAACTTGGAGATATACATGTAACTTTGTCATGAAAGAAGGATAATTCTTTTAGAACACTACTCGATTAAATGGAGCTAGAATTGAATGCAGAATTAGCTACAATGTAGTGTAATATTTATATGATTTGGTTATTGCTGTCTTCCTTACCATCAATGGACATCTCCTTCACCACTTCTTCCAGCTGCTGGCGGAGATGCTCGTCATACTGGTCAGCGGTTGCTAGGTAACCCTTGGGCACCCATCCCTCCTCACCAGTCCTCTCACGGCGGGCCATCCACCACTCACCATGCCCATCGTCCAGGATAGTGAGCTGCTCACCCTCACGCATGGACATCACTTCGTCAGATTCAGCGAGGTAGTTACCGATGGCGATGAATGTCTCAGGTTCTGTATTAAGTTTCAAGTTTTTCAAGTTTTATTGTTCCAATTTTACAAAAAATATAGACAAACATATAAAATAATCAATTACTCAATACATGTAGCATAAATGAGCACGTCTCAAAGATTCTCAAGTTATATAATAGAATACATATAATGTGAGGAACCTATTAAAAAGCAGTGCTTGTCCACATAAAGTATATCTATTACTCACAAGATCTTATACTCTCCTAAGCATTTATAGACAAGGTTTTTTAAATTTATAAATTTCTGAAATACCAAAAATTACAAAATGTTTGGTGATTTATATTTGAGAAGTTTTTATAAATCTAGGAAATGCCCTTGCCTATTATGTAGATAATAAACTCTGCTAATTTGACTCAGTTTATGACTTTACACAATTTACTGTCATTCTGTGGACATATCTACACCAAATATACTCATGGTACACATTCACTTGAAGAAAACATTGATACATACTTTTTATGAATTAAAAAAACAACATAAGTGAAACCAAACTAGTTTCTTTGATTGACTGTGCAATGGATAACACTACCAACACTGATATTTTCCCCCCTAAACAGCTGGGTTTACATGTATATGGTCTATCAAATCTTACTTCAGAATGAATAACTTACCAGTAGGTTCAATCACCATGACAGATTCAAGGCCTTCAATTTTCTATTAAAAAAAGATGGAAATACATGGAAATTATATATATAATATGATATTTTTAAAGAAAAAAAGTTTCATTCTGTATATTCAATGTACTAATGTATTGATAACCTTAAACATGTATATAAAACCATCATTCTAAAGTTGAATACAGTTACATTTTATTGAACAAGCCTTTCTAACAAGAGTATTCATGTGTTTAGAATTCAATTCCAATTTAAATTCAAATTCATTTATTCCACATCTTTTTTAAATACAATGGATGCAGAAATAACTATTTTAGAAAAATATTGTACAGAAAATAAACAAATGATAGAAATGAGAAAAGATGTGTACACTGTAATGAAGTGGATGTGACAGAGTAGCAAAGGCTATGGACCTGTCATACTCCTGTATTAACATTCATCACTGTCACAAATCCAAAGTTACAGTATACATGAAAACAGTTGGTTAATGTTACTCAGTTACACTTACCACTTCAGCAATTGGCATCTCTTCTTGAATCTCCTGGAATAACATAAAAAATGGAAATATAAATTACTTTTCTAATCCCTTGCTTATGGCTTACAAAATGGTAAACTGTTCTTAGTAAGGCAGTTGATGATTGCTATTCTCATTACCAGGTCCCTCAGAGAGGACCTAAAGCTGGCCATCTGGTTGCTTACTTACAATCATTTATGCTTTCTTAGCAGTCAGGTAAAATAACCACCACCACCACCACCAACATACAGTGCTCATAGTAGATGTTATACAGCAGATCAACATAATTAATTAATGATCTCTTAAAAACATCTTTCATACCTAAAACCATAGTATCTGAAATGAAATAATTAATAAAACATCTCCTTCTTATCAAAGACACACATGTACATTCAAATAATTAAATGAATAAAATGAATACTCTCATAGTATCGAACACATTTTTCTGCCGTGACTGAATCTCTCTCTTACCTCTTCTTTAATGACTGTCGTCTGCTCGACCTCTTTCGTCACAGTGATGACCTTTTGAGATGTAGCAATCTCAACCTCCGTGTCTACCTCGGTAGAACTCTCCTCTGCAAAGAAAAGAAAAATTGAGGGTGAGTTTTCACTCTCCCTGTGTCACTGCTGCAATTTTGCACAGTTATTACGTGAAAATCTCAAAGAAAAGAGTCTTGTAAGGCATGTAGAATTAGGTGCAATTAAATATGAATCTCAAATTGTACAAAATAAACCTGAAAAACACATTAAACTTGCAGCAGGCATTTCGATCACATATAATCAAAGGTATCTTAAATTGAATAACATACAAGGTTAAAACAAGTTACATATTCCTCTTTAACAATATGTCTATACACCTGCATGGAAATGTTACTTATAACATCTTCATGTAAACATTTATTCCTGAATCCTTATATGAAGTATATCTTTTGTTCATCAAATAATGAACTAAAGTAAAATACAGTTCAGTTACAAATTCATAAAAGTGAATATATGGATAAATACATTAACAACAATGGAATGGATAAAATACTGGAAAAATAGCTTCTACTGAAATACCAGCTCAGAACCAACATTGATCACTAATGGCTCGTTAACTAATTCTCCAAAACATATACTTTAAATAAAAGTTTACATGAGCCTTACTAGACATTAAGTACTTGTATGAAATTGCATTCAGGGATCATGTCATTGGAAATACAATACTTAAAATGCTAAATCAGAGAACAAATAATATGGTGTCACACACAATGTTTGGATATGTGAACATAAAATCTACCATCATGGTTGACTTGAAGTCCAGGCTAACAGATGAAAACAAAAATCAAAAGCGTGCTGGGATACTCAAAATAACAAGACTTGAGGCATGCAAACATTCCATGTCAAACATTTACAACAAAGACGATTGACCGAAACCAACAGAATACATAGTTGTTGACTCTCATTACACAACTTTAAACTCTTGAGAGACACACAGACAAGGTGCATATACATGTAACCCATGCAAGACACTTTTACAAACAACACACATCACTTCTATGAGTCTATGGACAGATTAACTGAACCCCTGAAATTGTGTGCATGCATTCATCAAGCCACTGTCCTGAAGAAATTCAAAATAATGAATCATGGAAAATATGGGACAAGAATATGAAGCATACATGTACAGAAAACAACATAGGACTGTTGCCACTGAATTGTGTACAACAAAATTTATGCATACAGTTTATGCTAGAATGTACATGTTTATGTGAGATACATTCTAGCAAGTCCTCAACCATCCTCAAAAAAGTAGACATTGAATCAAACAACACTTCCATGCAAGGTAAAAAGGGTGGAAAACATGGTGACAACCAAAAATTGCATGAAGAAGGTGAAATGAACCAATCTATGGCAACAAGCTTTACCGGTAAACATAAAGAAGGTCAGACTAACTGATCAAACAAAGCAAACGAGAAAGGGGTGCTGAACCCACCTACGACAACCAGCTTGGCCATGCAGGTGGCCTGACCAGCTGGGTTGATGGCCCTGCACTCAAATGGACCAGAGTCCTCAGGGAAGGCTTCCTCAAGGGTCAGGGTGCACACCCCACCGGTATCAAAGGTGATGGTGAACTCCGGACACTCTTCCGGGACAATCTCTGCACCGCTCCTGAACCACAGGATATCCGGTGTTGGCTTGCCGGTGACTACCGCCCTGAACGTGGCTGGCTGTCCATCCTTGATGATCACCGAGACAATCGTTTGGGTAAACTGCGGCGCTACCATGGTGATAGATATCTCCTGATCCTCCGGCTTCTTGAACTCAAGTTCAATCTTCCGGGGCTCACGAGTATCATCTATCTCCATGCTCACCGTGGATTTCCCACGAGTCTCAGTGTGTCTTTCCAAAGTGATGGGTTTGTCTTCAGTCGGCTTAGATTCTGTTTACAATTACCATATACATAGATATGGACATTTCAATAACTGCATTTACTTCAAGTTTTAAAATCCACTAAACAAATTATGTAATCAGAAAGAGATTATAAACAGGAATACATATCTGTACCTGTTCCTAATCTAAAAGATTACCATAGCATTCAAGTGATAATGATACAGAAACTTCTTACTTGAATAAAAAATCAATCTCCACACAAGATCCAATTGCTACAACCATTTTAAGTTTCAAAATCTGTGTAGACACAAACAAGTACATGATAATTCAGAAAGTGAAAAAATGTGATCTTCATGTTAAAAAATATAATGATTTTGGGATCTGAGGCGCATCTGTCAAAAAAGCCTCCTAATTTTTCACTTAGATAAAGAGAATCTGGTAAATGAATACAAACCTTCAACAAATAGCTCTGCACTGCAAGTAGCTTGTCCAACCACATTGACAGCTTTGCAGAGGTACATCCCCTCATCTTCAGGGATGACTTCCGGCAAGGTCAATGAAGCGGTGCCGTCATCGGTGAAAGCGACCTCGTACTCGGGTTCGTCCTTGATCTGGGTGTCATCGACGTACCATGTGACATCAGGGCGTGGCTTGCCAGTCAGCGTGGCAGTAAACTTGACTGCATCGCCATCACCGGCGACGACCGTTTCGATGGGTTTGATGAACTTGGGAGGCATCAGTTCTGGCTGTTCACCTCTTGCGGCTGCCTCTAGCTCCTCTGCCATGATTTCCTTTGGTGTCTGCAAGAATCAGAGTAAGAATCAAACACATTATAATACTGCTAATGCTAATGCTAATGAGAGAAAATGACAATAATGAAGAGAATAGACAATACTGATGATGATTACAGAATTACTGTTGTAGGAACCTTCGCTACAAGTTAATGTTAACTATCATTACCCTGCATATACACTGCAAATATTAATTTACAACAAAGAAAATCTTATAATTATTAGCAAATACAACATTAAGCAATCACAATGTCCATTGGCCATATGCACAGTTCTGTGAATTTCATAAATAGACAAAGAGATCTATTTCTACAAAAAAAAACCTCTTTATGCCACTCTCCACCCAGGTGTTAAATGGGTCCCCAATAGGATGCGACCATCATTGTTGGTCAAACAGTTTTTGAGCATCAAATAACGCCCGGCTGGAATGCTCCCCAGGGAGTGGAGATTGTGCTCACAGTATGTGCGGGCAAGTATTGAATCCAATGACCGGGGTAATAGTACATCTGTAAAGCGCTTAGAGACATTTGTATTAAGCGCTATATAAAAGCGGAATATCATTATTGAAATATATGTACATTATCATTCTGGGTATACTCCATACATACCTTCTCAACCAAGATCTCCTGGGTGAGGTTTTCAGTCTTCTCCTCAACCTCCGGTTTGAGCTGCTTGGTTTCTGGTTTCTTCTCCTCCCTGGGTCTGGATACATCCTCCACCGGTTTCTCTTCATCTCCCTTCTCTCCCGGTGACGATGGGAAAGCTGCCAATTTGAAAGAATTTAAATTGAATTTAACTTACAGATTACGGCAACCCGTTTTTTATTAATGCTTAGTATATTCAACTGGGCAGGGTTTCAAACACTTAGTGCTGTTTTGATACTATCATAATTGGTGTGTTTGGATTATTTACAAATGCATGCATTTTGGAACAGTTTTGGACATTGGAAAGCTGCCAATTTGAGACAAATCAATATGAATTTAACTTACAGATCACAGCAACCCATTTCTTAATGCTAAGTAGAGTATATTCTGTGTGGAGTGTTTCAATAAATTGTTATAGTACAAATTTGCCAACATTCCAATGAAACATGTTCAATATGAATTTCAAAAACTTAGTGCTGTTTTTATACTATCATGATTTGTGTTTTTGGATTATTAAAAAAACACATGCATTTTAAATGTATATCCGAAAATCACTTTGAAACTTCTTTCATTCAACGATGGACTAGGTAAAAGAAGTTTTTTTATCTTCAGACCAATCACAAAGACATGTGTAACTATTTATTGTATTAGAGAGATATCCCAATATTTTTAATAAAGTCATACATGCACAAGTCTTTTTGAGCTTTATTTCCAGACAAGTGTCATAGATTATTACACAATGTAGTTGAATCATGCAGCAGCAGTAATTATTCATGCTATATTATATTTAGAAAGGAAGATGCAGTTTAAAGGTAGCGGTATTCATAACTTTGAGTATAAATTAATAGAGAGTAAACATATAAATAAAATGTGAGTGCATTCAGATTAGAACGGTGAAAGTAAACTATACATTGACTGAATACCCAGAATATAGCGCCTTGTCATGCATATGAAGATTTTTTTTAGGCTTCTTATTGGACAAAACTGCAGGCATGAAATTCACTACTGACTGCTGGGCAGCATAGTTGACCGGGCATGGCTCTACTTGCCTGTTCAATGCAAGGATGCAATGGGTGCACGTAAAGTAAACAATTGATTCCTAGTAAATTTCCCTCAACTCTACAAACAAATACATTTTGACAGGCTTATTTTGTCAAAATATCTGTTTTTGAATGGACACGGAGATGCAGCATATAAAACAAAAATTGACTGCTTATATTTGGGGGGTCACGGTTAAAACTATAGCTCCTCAGAAATCTGAAAATAGTCCTAAGTAAAGCTATATAATTTAATGAACAGATTGTGGTAACACAATTATGTGGGAAGAAAGATTTCCCAAACAATAAATTAATAAAGGATATTCATAGCACTGCTTGCTTGCAGACAAGGGTCTTAAACAGTGTGTACATTCATGAAATACACATTTACATATACAAATAAATGACCAGCACTTTGTATAGATAAAATATGCCATTTAGAAGGTATGTACTGTTAAAAAAGAGTGTTATTTTTGCCTCAATAGAAGAAAAGATGTATTAGATTGACGTACCAAGATAATTGGTATAAATTCAGTTAGTATCTCCAGCCCATAGTATAATGGTATTTAATATGAATTAGCACTACCCATAATTAAAACAAGATGAACAAGTAACACAAACAAATTATCTATACCGTTTATGTGTTAAAACTATAATGTTGGATAACATTGTGCAGAATACATGAAATGATCAAAACATAAAAGAACCACATATCAAACCTTTTGACAAACAACCATGCAACTCCTGTTCTTCAGGAAGTACAGAGTCTACAAGATCATCGACAGCATGCAAGGGTGCATCGTCACCATCAGACTGGCTATCAAAAACATTTCCACCTATACTTGAGGGTTCCTTTTTTAAGTCTGGCTTAGGAATGTGTTCCAAAGCCCCAGGACAACTTGTCTCAGGGATTTCAGTGATAAGTTGCGATTGGGGGGCAGAATCAGGCTTGGACATAGTGACAGGTAATTGTGAGGGAGTAAGGGAGATTGTATCTTCCATTTTTGGGGAAGATTCATCCAGTGGTTTCACTGGTGTTAGAGATTCCTGGCTCCTGTCAAGAAGTACAGAGTCTACAAGATCATCAGCAGCATGCAAGGGTGAGTCATCACTATCAGGCTGGCTATCAAAAGAATTTCCACCTATACTTGAGGATTCCTGTGTGAAGTCCTGCTTAGGATTGTCTTCCAAAGCACCAGGACAACTTGCATCGTCACCATCAAAATCAGGCTTGGACATAGTGACGGGTATTTGTGAGGGAGTAAGGGAGATTGTATCTTCCATTTTGGGAGTAAGGGAGATTGTATCTTCCATTTTGGGGGAAGATTCATCCAGTAGTTTCGCTGGTGTTAGAGATTCCTGGCTCCTGTCAAGAGGTACAGAGTCTACCAGATCATCAGCAGCATGCAAGGGTGAGTCATCACCATCAGGCTGGCTATCAAAAGAATTTCCACCTATACTTGAGGATTCCTGTTTTAAGTCCTGCTTAGGATTGTCTTCCAATTCACCAGGACAACTTGTCTCAGGGGTTTCAGTGATAAGTTGAGATTGGGGCGCAGAATCCGGCTTGGACATAGTGACGGGTAATTGTGAGGGAGTAAGGGATATTGAATCTTCCATTTTGGGGGAAGATTCATCCAGTGGTTTCGCTGGTGTTAGAGATTTCTGGCTCTCTTGGCTCTGAGGAGATGACTTGTCAAGAAGTACAGAGTCTACAAGATCATCATCAGCATGCAAGGGTGCGTCATCACCATCAGGCTGGCTATCAAAAGAATTTCCACCTATACTTGAGGATTCCTGTGTTAAGTCCTGCTTAGGATTATGTTCCAAATCTGTAGGACAACTTGTCTCAGGGGTTTCAGTGATAGGTTGAGATTGGGGGGTGTAATCAGGCTTGGACGTATTTTCCATTTTGGGGGAAGATCCATCCAGTGGTTTTTGTGGGGTTAGAAATTCCTGGCTTCCTGGGCTCTGAGGAGATGACTTGTCAAGAAGTACAGAGTCTACAAGATCATCATCAGCATGCAAGGGTGCATCATCACCATCAGGCTGGCTATCAAAAACACTTTCACCTGCACTTGAGGATTCCTGTTTTAAGTCCTGCTTAGAATTGTCTTCCAAAGCGCCAGGACAATTTGTCTCAGGGGTTTTAGTGAAAAGTTGAGATTTGGGGGCAGCATCAGGCTTGGACATAGTGTCAGGTAATTGTGAGGGAGTAAGGGAGATTGTATCTTCCATTTTGGGGGAAGATTCATCTAGTGGTTCTGCTGGTGTTAGAGATTCTTGGCTTTCCTGCACTCTGACTTTGACAAAGTTTGTTTCTGGATTGTCAGGATCAGGGTGGCTTGAAGGCATCTTCAGTTCAAGCATAACAGGAGATGAAGAACCACTTGAACTACTCGATTGTTCACCTAAAACTGACATTTCCTCTACAGGAAAGTCATCTGCAGAGACGAACATTTCAGTTGGATCAGATTCTTTAAATTGTGTTGCAGCCTGATTATTTTCTTCATTATCACTTTCGACAGTTTCTTTCTCTGTATCGGTGTCTTTTGAATGATCACCATCACTCATAACATCATGTACATTAATTTCCAGATCAACGCTCTGCATTACTTTTGGGGGCATTGAAAAAGTGTATTCCTCTCGCCGTAATGAAAGAAATTCCTCAAACATCACTGGTTCCTTTTCAGACTCGGTGTCAAGTTGATCAGAAGTAGATACACATTCATCTAGAACTTGCTCTAGGTCACTCTCAGTGAAACTTTTACTTTCTGAAGAAACTGGTGAATGCAAAGGTTCCCTTGGTTTGGTCCATTCTAGGTAACTGTGGATGGATTGAACTTTGCTTGGTGTCACTTCGATAGGTAGAAAATACTCTTCGTTGGAGGGTGAAGGTAATTCCACACTTGTTGTGTATCGAGGAATGTCTTCCCAATCTTCATCATCATCTGTATCTTCACTATGATCTCTTTTGGGGATAGGAATAGAGAGTTCAACAGTTTGGTACATTGTGTCTGCCACAGATACCACTCCAAGGCTGCATTCTTCTGCAGTTGTGTCATCATCACTCTGATGGAGTGTAGGAGAAAGGTGTTCAAGATCTGAGCCCAGATCTATTACTACAACTCTCTCTGCTAAGGAGATACTTGACTCTTGACCTTCACTGATGTCCAGATCACTGTCCCCAGGTTCTCCTTCATCTATTCCATATTCATGGTCTCTCACATGAAACACAAATGATTTTTCAAGAGGAGCTCGTTCTACAGGGATAACAGCTTCAGAAAGAAATAGATCTGCTTGTTTCAAGTCAGAATGAGGGCTAGGACAACTTGTCTTAGGGGTTTCAGTGATAAGTTGAGATTGTGGCGCAGAATCAGCCTTGGACATAGTGAAAGGTAATTGTGAGGAAGTGAGGGAGATTGTATCTTCCATTTGGGGGGAAGATTCATCCAGTGGTTTCGCTGGTGTTAGAGATTCCTTGCTTTCTTGGCTCTGAGGAGACGACTTGTCAGTTTCCTCTCTTGTTGAGTGAAATTCATCACTGCCAGAGGTTGCAGATTCTGCTGAGGAATCTCCTGCTGCAACTGCTGTATCTTCTTCATCTTCAGAATTTTCACTTGTTCTTACAGTAAGATATGCACTACTGGTAGTGCTTCCATGGATGTTCATTACTTCAGCTGTATACTGCCCTTCATCTTTTAAGCTTGCAGGATTGATTACAAGTTCAACATACTTGTCTTTGAAACTTAGAATTTGGAAAGTTACATTTTCATTGGCTCGTACGGGTTGTCCATCTTTGTACCAAGTTACATCTGGAGAGGGTTCTCCATTAACATGACATTGTAAGATGGCCATGTCTCCAACATCTACAACAAGATCACAGAGCTCTTCAGCAAAGTAGGGAAAATCCTTACTCATTGATGAAATCTGATCTTCAAAGGAAAAGTCACTTTTTGGCTTGGTGGGTGTAACAAATGAAGGATATCTCTCTTGTGCTCCTCCTGACTCATCAAGGTCATCAAGGTCATCTTCATCCAACTCTAACACAAGGTTTCTTGAGCGTGTTTCATGAGCACTGTAAGACCATTCTGAGGTTACTGTTTCAGAGTATGTTTCTCTTGAATACTGGATGGGAGTACTGAAGACACTGCTTATTTCGCTGCTCATCGTTACAATTTCACTGCTCATCGACACAGTTTCCCTTTCTGATTCAGTAGTAACAGTATGGGTTGCATAGAATCCTTCATCACTATTTTCTTCAACATCTTGTAAGCTTGGACCATCAGTGTTCTGTGAGTGTTGTTCTTTTGTGTCAATAAAGCAGCACTTGAATTGTGATTCTTCAATGATAATTTTAGACCCAGACAGAATAGGCTCAAGCACTTCTGTTTCTTTTTCATCATCTTCACTTACAGTGTCAAAGTGAATATCATCATCATAGTCCAGAAGTAGTTCCTCTAGTGAAACTCGCTCTGGTGCTCCTTCTTCTGTATGGACTGATGAAGGGACAATGAAAGTTTCTGCTTCCTCCTTTATCACAAATTCCCTTGGTAGTTTCGATTGTTGTTCTGATAGCTTCTGGAGATCAAAAGTGTCCAATTCGATCTGTACAGTGAATGCCTGCAGAGGGGATTCATTGACCAAGGGCTTTATGTCTTGGGTAGATTCAAGTGGTGCAGAATCATTGTCAGTCAAATTGTCAGGTCCAGTGCTGAAACACACATCATCATCATACTGTTGAAGGAGGTCATCCAAGGGTATTCTGGTAGGTGACTGGTCATCTGTAAAAACTACATCCATGTGGACAGTTTCTTCTTCCTCTTTTATCAAAGATTCCCTTGGTAGTTTCGATTGTTGTTCTGATAACTTCTGGAGATCAAAAGTGTCCAATTCGATCTGTACAGTGAATGCCTGCAGAGGGGATTCATTGACCAAGGGCTTTATGTCTTGGGTAGATTCAAGTGGTGCAGAATCATTGTCAGTCAAATTGTCAGGTCCAGCACTGAAACGCACATCTTCATCATAATGTAGAAGGAGGTCATCCAACGGTACCCTGGTTGGTGATTGGTCATCTGTAGAAACTACATTCCTGTAGACAGTATCTTCCTGTACTTTGCCAGATAATTCAGGAGCAGGACACATTAAATCTGCTGTCTTATCCCAATCTTCCATATTAAAAGCGGCCAATAATGGAAGTTCTATAACTGTTGATTGCACCCCTTCAATCAATGGTGGAGGTAATTGTAAAGCTTCATCATCACTGGTCGTAGTATCTGCTTCATCCTTACCGAATTGTAAATCCTCCTCAAAGTCTTTCAAGAGATCTGCCATGTCCATCTTTTCAGGTGATGAATTGCTGTTAGGAGAAAGCAAAAGCTGTACAGGAACCTCATCTGAACCAACAAAATATAGGGGTTGGTGTTCTGCTGGCTGAAGTTTGGTACTGGGTATGTGTTCCTCTATAGGCAAGTGTTCATCACTAGTGTCCCTTGTGTCTTGAAATACCAGATCTTTGGCAAAATTGTCAAGATTGAATGTACTTTCTGCAGGTATCACTGTAGAAGCCTCGAATGTCTCTATGATGGTATCATTTATGTCTTCTCTATCCATCATATCTGAGCCATCACTGTCGACAAGCTCCACTTGGTTAAAGTGAATAACATCATCAAACGCCTGAAGCAGAGACTTAAGATTGGCAGAAGCTGGTTTCTGTTTGTCAGTTGGCACACCAACATATGTGACTGATTCCATCAAAATTTCTGAAGGAGACCAGGGTGACTCACTTTTAAGGTCTTCAACATCCTCATCAGATTTTCTGCTGTTATCAAGGCTCTCTTGAGGGTCAGTGATGTCAAGAATAAATGAAGCTCCGAGAGAAGCATTTTCTTCATCAGGTGTGGAAGCAAAGTGCACATCACCATTTGCAGCAAAAGATGGAAATGAAACATCTGAAGCTACACTGCACTCAAGCAGGGAATCTGGCATGTCACTATCATCCATACTGATCTGAGTTCCACTACTTCTTGGTTGGTTCTTCTTTCCTTTCTGCTTTTCTTGATGGACAGCAAATACTTCTCTCTGCTTCTGCGGATCCTCAAAGAAGACTTGTACACTCCTTGGCTTGGGTGCTTGCACTCTGACTTTGACTGTGATAAAGTTTGTTTTAGGGTTGTCAGGATCAGGGTGGCTTGAAGGCATCTGCAGTTCAAGCATAACAGGAGAGGAAGAACCGTTTGAACTACTTGATTGTTCACCTTCAACTGAAATTTCCTTTACAGGAGTGTCAACTGCAGAAACGAACACTGGTTCCTTTTCAGACTCAGTGTCAAGTTGATCAGTGAAACTTTTACCTTCTGAAGAAACTGGTGAATGCAAAGGTTCCCTTGGTTCGGTCCATTCTAGGTAACTGTGGATGGATTGAACTTTGCTTGGTGTCACTTCGATAGGTAGAAAATACTCTTCGTTGGAGGGCGAAGGTAATTCCACACTTGTTTTATATCGAGGAATGTCTTCCCAATCTTCATCATCATCTGTATCTTCACTATGATCTCTTTTGGGGATAGGAATAGAGAGTTCAACAGTTTGGTACAGTGTGTCTGCCACAGATACCACTCCAAGGCTACATTCTTCTGCAGTTGTGTCATCATCACTCTGATGCAGTGTAGGAGAAAGGTGTTCGAGATCTGAGCCCAGATCTATTACTACAACTCTCTCTGCTAAGGAGATACTTGACTCTTGACCTTCACTGATGTCCAGATCACTGTCCTCAGGTTCTCCTTCATCTATTCCATATTCATGGTCTCTCAAATGAAACACAAATGATTTTTCAAGAGGCGCTCCATCTACAGGAATAACAATTTCAGAAAGAAATAGATCTGCTGGCTTTAAGTCAGAATGAGGGCTACCAGGTTCCTCTCTCTCATCTGTACTACTTGAATCTTGTGTCTGTCTTGCTTCTCTTGGTAGTGATGCCTCCACTGTAAAATCATTCCTTGGACTTATGGCTTCCTCCTCCAATTCTTTGCCTGAATGATCATGATCATCATCATAATCATCATCCTCATCCTCATCAGATCTGTCTAGTGTTGATCCATCCGATTCTGAAGAAGATTGAGACTTAATTCTTTGTTTCTCTGTGAACTGAAGTGCAATTGAGTCTATATTCCCCTGCTCTACTTTAATAGATTCATCGGAGGAAGATCCATCACCTGAGTCTTTTGATTGACCTTCTGATCCATCTTCTTGTCCTTTGCTAGACAAAGCAACATTAAGAGATTTTCTTGGCAGTAAACTGTTTGGTAAGATTTCAGCATACTGAATGGATTCATCATCTGAAGATGAAAGATCTGGCAAAGTTCTACGTGGAGATACTGGATGGACAAAGGTGTCTTCTACATATTCACTTTTCTTCTCTTCCTCCGGTGTCTCATACTTCTGATAGTCTGGTATCTTGTCATTTTCCTCATCTCTCAACTTTGGAATGTCTGCTTGATTTGGAAGTACAATATCAGAACTTTTGCGAGGTTCCCGCCATTCAAGAACCTGCTCATACACTACAACCTCTTCTTTTCTGGTAATCTGAACCACACCCAGTTTGTGTTTAGCTTCCAGTGAGAGAGTGAAAGATTGCCAATCTTCTTTGGGGCTGAGAGCCGACGGGGAAGTATTCCCATCTGTTTTCTGCACATCGCTCTTGATGTCTGATTCTGATTGTGTGTCTTCATGTGATTCGTCCTCTTCCAGCATCTTCTTTGCTTGTTGGAGAAATTCAGAATATGCTATTGCTTTGGTAGGGGATGGTCCAGTCACTACTTCCTTCACTAGGTCTGTGTAGTCATCATCATCACTGGATGAGGACGACTTCTTCTCTTTCTTCTCTGGTTCACAAGAGAGGCTTCCAGTCGAAAGGAGAAGCTCATAATCACTTTCAACAACAGAGTCTTTGTGAGACAACTCAATGTAGTCATTCTCTTCATCGTCTTCTGAATCTTGTTGTATGGATGCCTTCCTTTTTTCTTCCAAGAAGACATCATCTTCCTCATCCTCGTAGTCCTCGTCACAAGAAGAATGCTGGCCTTCTGTAGAGATTACATCAAGCAACAGATTCCCGGTTGCAGTAGATAGTCCCTCTAATACAGTCTGTTCTTGGCCATTTCTCTCAGGCAAACTTGTATCATCATCACTGCCATCTCTGGAACTTTCTGCTTCATCTGTGCTGGTATAACTATCTGATAATTTGGATACAGAATCAGATGTGGCATCTATGTGTTCTACTTCGTCTGTGCTGGTTTTACTATCTGGTGATTTAGATGCGTGTTCTGGTGGTTCTTTTTGCTCAGCTTCATCTTCTGATTTTAGCTGACTGTGCTCAAGATCTTCAAAGGATGGACGAAAAGCTTTCTCTGTTGGTTTCAGAGTTTCCTTTACCATATTCTCTTCTAATGGGACTGGTTTATTTTCTTTGTTGTTCTCAAGGTCAGAGCTTGTTTGAATCTCATTATTATTGTTTTGCTCTGTGTCTTCAATGATTGGGGCAAGGCTCTGGTTGCCAGGTTTTGGATCAATGTGAAAGTATTCATGGGTGAGCACGGATGGAGATGCCATGTCATATTCGCCTGATGTTGTTGATTCTTTGTCAGAATCTTCTACATCTGATGTGCCTGGGCTCAATCCTGTATCCATCCGTAAACCATCACCTTTTTCAGGTTGCAGTCTATTAGGACCATTTGTTTTGTTCTCATCATCTTCCTCTTCCTCTGATATAAACCCAGGAACAGCATTTTCCAATATTTCATCTATGCCAAATTTATCTGTTGGCTCTTTAACTGACTCAGCATCACTGGATGAGCTTGTGTAATCACCATGTTGGTATGGGCTTAAAGAAGGTATACTCTGCTCTAACGGATATGTCAAGTCTTTCCTCATTGATTCATCAAGGGGCATTCTTTGTGGTCCCTTATCTTCTTTATCAAAGATTGTTCAAAAGCATGCAGTGCAAGAAGAATTGACAGATTTTGAAGATACCAAATGACATGGGTGTATTAGTATTGGGGGAAAGGAGAGAAAGGAAAATAATGAAACAAATAAAAACAAATATCACAGCATATCAACAAAGAGAATGCAAAACAACATGGAATGGCCAAATCAAGATTGCTTTGTTTCAAATATGCATGACAATATCAGAACTTTAGCTTAGCAATTATGGATGATGCTGACTCTTCAATTTCCATGTTGATGAATTAAGAATCTAGCTAAAGCGCCCCTTGATTTGGCAATTCTCAAAGACAACAAAAGAAATGTATGCTAATTTCAACTAGGTGCAAATGCAACAAACAGTAAATCAACAAACATGTATCAATAAAAGTGAACAGTTACATCAAGAAAAATAGAATCCATTCAATCTAAGATCTAATTATGATCATGTACAACTATCACAACAAAGAAGGGATATCTAGTTGTATTCTACTACTGTAAAACGGAGTGCTTCTGTTTGAGTGATGTCTAAACGAACAGTCAACTACTGGTTATGCTACGTATCACTGCAAAACATGTTTAAAACTGATGGTATCAATGCTTTCAAGGTTAAATGTGTAGAGATGTGAAAACATTATGCACTCTCTATCTACAGACAATTCATGCATTGTGAGTGTTCGCTTTCTTTTAATTCTTCTGACAGAATTGAATAATCATCTTAAAATGAGAATTACTCAACTATCTATTTCATATATCTTTCCTTACATTATGCATATTCTATTCAAACAACACTGAATCATCAGGCAACACCAAAAGACAGGCCAACTAAAGTGACTGAGTAAACAATGGTAGAAACTTGACAGGGTGAAGTACATTGCTGACCTTTGACAGTAAGAACTGCAGTACTGGTGACTTCTCCTGCGGGATTGGCTGCCTTGCAGGTATACTTCCCAGCATCTTCAGGTAAGACCTCAGGTACCTCAAGGGTACATGTCTTGCCATCAAATGCAACCTTGAACTCGGGAGATTCCTGAAATTAATAGTTATGAAGATGAATTAGATTCTTTGATCTTATCAACTGCATTGGACCATTTATGTATCAACAAAGGATGCTAAAGAATAATATCGTAAGAAGAACTTTAAACAAAGCTGCACTAAAGACTTCACTGATGCCTATTTTTTTTGTTTAAGAATTCTGATTGAAAGTCTCAACAAAATATCTAAAACAGTTTGCAAGGTGTTTCCACTTACAATCCTTTGCTGGTAAAAATATAGCCCCATACTTGCTGATAAAATCCTTAACACAAGGCAACAAAATTTCACATTTCAAGAAACATAACAAATGTAAGGCTCTTTCATGTCAATTATATTGGTCTATTCGTGGCTGTCCTTACAGGGACTACTGGTGTTTACTGGCTGTCAACAAATATCTGTTAATGCATGAATTGTTCTCAATAGCACAATATATACATGTGTATATATATATATATATATATATATATATATACACACACAAAAACACACAAAATATCTTTACAAGCTCATGGGGGGATTCTCAATTAAACAGACTGCGCAGTGACTAGCTGTCAATAATTGTCTTTGATACCTGGACTCCTGTAATACCATTAATTTTGTTAGCTACTGCTCAATTTGTGAACCGAAACGTACAAAAATGTCCCTTTCACGCTAAAACTTTCATACCTGTATGGGCTTTGTTTCTTGGTACCATGTGATAGTGATTGGCTGTGACCCAGTGACCTGGGCCTTGAATCTCACATCATCACCCTCGGCAACTTCAATGTCAACGATTGGCTGGACAAACTCTGGAGGAGATATGATGATCTCGATGTCCTTTGGAGCTTCTTGTTCAACTTGCAGAATTATTTCAGCCTTCTCTCCTGGTTTGGGTAGCTCGTCTAAGTATTTACGTATGATTTAAAATGGAGGATGAAAACCAAAGTTAAAATGCATTCCTGATATGTATGATAGGTATGATGGATAGTTGACATTCATACTTCTGTGACAAAATAATAACTAAGAAAAAGCTATGGAAATTAATAACATTTTTCATCTTTTTTATCATTAATTTGATTCTTTTGATGATTGACAGACCCTTCATCATTGAGGTTATCGTAAAGTTTTGTATTAATTTAGCTACTTCAAATTCAAGTACTTTTAAATGTTTCACTTTCATTAACTTTGAACTGTTTCATTGGATTGTTAGATGTAAGAAAAAACAGTGATTGGTACTCTGTTTATTACTAATCTGAACACACCTTTAAATGGAAGTCATCTAGAAAATAAGTATGAAAAACGAAAGTGCTATCACTACACAAACATAAAAATGCAAAAACGGTTGACATACTCAACAAACAAAAACATACGGAACATGCATCATGACAAAATATATGTATATTTACCATGCTGCATTATCACATTCTAAGTACCTCTTTTTATCTCCATCTTCATTTTCATTTTCATACATACTTGCGTCACAGTCATGCATTCACAAAAACAATTTACAATGTGCTACAAACAAAAAAAGCATTCAAATACATTTCTCTCTCATGTCAATTCAAGGCATCAAGCATCAAATATATAGACAGAAACAAAAAAAATCGTTGCAAAATAATTTTAAAAAAGGACAAAAATAGAACTAAGTGTGCAATATGCATGATTTTATTGAGTTCTAAAATGCTGAAAAAGAAAGTTGTTATTGTGCATGGGCATTCACAATAAATAGAAAAATATAAACAAAAAAAAAGCATGCTTCATTCTTGTAAAAAAATCACTGCAAAACGATGTCAGATGAGAAGATTCAGTTCTTCAAAAATAATAGTTTTACACAAATTGTGATCAATTTATTTAAATAGTTTAAACACATTATTTTTACTTGAACTGTAATGTGAGTTTGATATTGATGTATCAGGTTGGAATACCCTACAGACAATATTGAAGAAATATTTAATGATAAAAGAATGCTACATTTATAAATAAATCTGTGAAATCAACTTCAGAAAGCATGCATACAAACATACCAACTTAATCACTTGCATGCCACTAGCAACACAATCAGAACACTTACCGGTACCGTAGACACGGATCTCGGCAACAGTCGTGGCATTACCGAGTGGGTTAGTAGCCTCACACACAAAGGTACCATGATCGTCTTTGGTAACCTCAGTAATGCAGAGCTGACTCACCCCATCATTGTAGTTAATCACCACATACCTCTCCCCCTTGAGGCCCTCCCCATTATGGTACCACTTGAAGGTTGGCTGTGGGGTGCCTGTGAACCTGCACTCCAGGTAAACGATCCCACCCGGAGACGCCTCCTGAGACACCAGCTCCTGGACCACTACTGGACCCTGCTTGTGCTCCGTGGTCACTTGGCGGATGATCTCCTCGGTTATCTTGGTGGCAGTGTCTTTGATCTGCACTTCGATATCCTCTGGTATTTCAGTGATCTTGGTGGTAATCGTAGTGGTTTTCTTTGTGGTGATCTCCTCAAAGGATTCTGGAGACTTCTCCAGGGTAATTTCAACTGGTGCAAACTCCTGAGGGCCTTCTATTTTTTTGGGAATGAACAAAGAAAATAGTGTTAGCTTAGCTCTTAATTTCAGAATGAAATTTCAATTTGTTATAATATGAATATAACTTATAATACCTAGTATTGATCAGACAATACTTGGTGATACCAAAACCCTCACCCTAACCTTAACCCTATAGAATTTATACCGACCTATAAATTACTGTGCACAGTGCTAATATCCCCATTTTTATTAAAAAACATAACTAAATGTTGTTAGTCCTTACTGATTCAAAAAATCCTACAGATCTTTTATTTTTTACAAATTATCAACAATATCCTTGGGTACTTTAAAATCCTTACTGTTATTAACCATCCACAATATTTGGGATGTCTAAAAATTGTAGTTTTGTCCAGGAAACCATTTTTCATTTCATTAAATTTCAATGACTTGCCTTTCATTAGAATACATCAAATTGATATGTTTTTACCTTCTTGATGCCAGAAGAACTTCGCATTGTTACATAATCATAAAACACCTAAAATCATAAAGTGCAAATTAAATAAATTTCAGCTCTGTTTAAAACAGGCAATGTGCAAACAGTGACAGCCACCATGTGTGAAAATAAGCATTTCATACAAAATCATAATAATAAATCATGCTGAAGCCCATTTCCGACCCTAACCCAATCTTAATCATCAACAGGAAAACCATCAAATTAATCTCATTAACCCATTTTCCCCCTTGAATATTTCTGATTAATATAGTACAGATGATGTGGTTTTATATATTTCTAAAATAAAGTCATAAGACAAACCACATGATGTGTTTTTATATATTTCTAATACTCAGGTCCAAACACAAACTATATGGTAGTAATATAAGAGAAAGGCCAGTAGATTTGTGATATATCTAAAACAGATGAAACTGATAGTTGATATTGACGTGCAATATCGAATTCACTGATGTAGGAGTACCAAAAGGCATGGCATTAATGTTTGTGAATACAGCAATCTTGGCGATATCTCCAATTTCCATATGCAGGTCTCATCTTGAGGGAAAAATTTATAATTTATATGATTTTGCTATTTCTCTTAGCAGGTCTGTTTGGTAAGCGCAAAATGTAGAACCTATCATTCATAAACTATAATAATGATTCATTACAGACACTGTAAGGAAAAATCAGGAAGGGGTGTAGGGTTCCCAAAAATACAAATACCAATATCAAAGAGAAAGGTTTTTTTTTTAAGAACAAAAAAAATCCTAGTTTAGAATGCTTTCAGCCATTTCAAGGAATACCTGTATGAACAGCCAGAACAAGTCAGCAGGATAATGGCAATCAATGATGCTACCTTCTGTTCAAGATATACCATCATGAACCAGCTAGAATGACAAATTACCTTCTTGGGACTACTCTACAAAGTTCTTTAATATTCACTTTCATTTCTATCTATCGCTATCCCTCTCTATCCCTCGCATTATCTTACATATCATTTGTCACTCTGACTCATACTCTCCTTGTGTCTCTAGATAACTTCATGTCATCTCTTTGTCTGTGATTTTGTGTCAAATATCTTTCATAAAAGTCTTCCCATACCCGAACAAAAATCATATCAAGCTTTGCATGCTCTACAGTAACATGCTTGTACTTGTCCAACTCCCTCCTTGTAAGAGGGTTTCTAGGAAGGAAGAACATTCCTTAATAGTCCCTTTCCTATGCTTTTCAAGACTGCTTCCTGAATTCAAAGAAGAGTATCTATTTTCACATTTTTTTAGGAACATGCTACAAAACAATATTGTGCATACATGTACCACTGACCAATACAAATCCACAAGATATATTGATCACACAGATTCACTTACTTCACAAAACAATTCATTGATGAAATAATAGAACAACACAGAACATCCAAAAGTCCATAATCTAAACATCCTTTTCGCTGAGAAAAAGCTCCAGTTCAAACACATGAGCCAAGACATAGAACATACACAAGTCATAGAGGTGGATCCATGTATCCGCTGCAGCTTCCACTTTTCTAACATACAGTTGCTATCATAACAATGCTTCCCAGGAATCATGGTTTTCAAATGATTCATCACCCTTTCTGAAAAATATGAGATCCACCTCTGCATGTTTCTCTAACAAAACAGCCCTTTCAACTCCATGGTCCATGCTGTGCTCTCTACAAGTGCGCATATTCATGCATTACATAATTCATATTGACAACTCAATTTCATGTCAATCTCAATTTGCTTGTTGTACATTTACATGCACATGAAGGGCTTTGACTCAACATTCTGCTACCGCACCTCTTCAGATCTGATCTCCTCTTTTTAACTTTCAGAGCCAATTTTCAAAAGAAAATGAAAACAGAAATAATTTATCCCTATCTCCATCTCACAAATGAAATCAATTGATGTTAGTAATATTTCTTTGTGTTTCACCTATTGTTGTACTCTTGCCACCTGGAGGAGTCAAAGCTGATCAGTAGGGCATAAATGCCTCAATCAGGCTCATGAACAGTCCTGGAGCCTTTAGTGAAGCTTTAACAACCTTCTTTAGGCATCTGCACAGACCATGTGCAAACAAGCTTTATACGAGCTTGCCATGCAGCATGCTTAATATTGCACATGCCTCTACTCACCACCTTTCTCAATCTCAAGTGTAATCTCAGGGTACTCTGCAACGTCAGCAACATCAAGGGCCACTTCCTCGCGATGCTTCTCCTGCGGAAGGACTTTTTGAATCTCAACACTTTTCTTCTCCACAGAGGTCACATCAACAGTTATTTCTTCCTTCTGTATTGGTTGAATTTCAAGCGATATTTCAGGCATCTCAGGGACCTGCTTGTCGATTGTAAGAATGGCCACTTCTGTTTTCTCTGTTGGTTTTTGCTTCTGTTCAATGTCAATAGAAACAGTCTCCCTTTGTTGAGGTATTTCTTTGGATGTCACAGTAATGTCTACTTCCTTTTTTTCTTCAAGCTCAATCTCAATCATCTCGGGAGCTTTTCCTTCAACAGTAATTTCAGTTGTTTCCCGTTCCTCCTTGGGTGTTGGTGCGATCTTGATATCAACTGGTTCCCTCTGTTCTGGACCCATGTCTATCACATCCAGTGGTATTTCGGTCACATCTTGAGGCTTTGCATCTACTGTAGTAATCTCCTGAGGAACGTCTTGAGGGGACCGTTCTTCTTTTTGCGGAAGTTCTAATACAAATCCTGGAAGTTCTTCCACTTCTTTTGGCCTGACTTCAGATGGTTCAACTTCACCTAGCCCCTCTATTTTTCCTATGATTTCTGTATGGGAAACTTCAAGCACGGTGGTTGGCAATTCCTCTATATCCTCTGGTCTAATTTGCAGTGAAACGACTTCCCCAGGTGCCACATACAACTGTTTTTCATCGATTTCAGGAAGTTCAACTGTCACACCTGGAAATTCCTCAACTTCTTCAGGTCTGACCTTGATTGCAGAAACATCTGATGGTGATTCGTGTAATGCGATTTCATCCTTCTGCGTTACTTCAACTACTGCAGCTGGCATTTCCTCTATCTTTTCTTCTTTGATCTCAATTGAGATAACTTCACTAGGCTGGCCATACAATTGTGTTTCTTTCATTTCTGGAAGTTCAATAGTAGTTGTAGGCAATTCTTCAACCATACTGGGTTTGATTTCACTTGGGACGAGTTGTTCTGATAATTGATCAGGTATTTTTTCTTCTTTTACAGGAACCTCAGCTCCTGCTGTGGGAAGTTCCCTAGCTTTCTCAGGTTGGACTTCAACAACCAATTCAACCTCGCTTGGAAATTCCAGAGGGATGTTTTCTTCCCGTTGGGTAATTTGAATAGTAGAAGTGATTTCCTCAGGTTGAGTACTTTCAAATTCTACAGTTGTGATGGCTTCTGTAACTTCATCACCTTCCAATGATTTTGTAACAGAAACACTGATCTCAGGTTGTTCAATATCTTCTTTCACTTCAGTTACTTGTTCTTTGGTAACCTCAACAGTGGTTGTTTCAATTTTCTTCTCTGTTACTTCAACACCTTTGGTAATATCAATCTTAAAAGTAGTAGTAACTGAACCATACTCATTGGAACCAACACATTCAAATTCCTTGTCATTTTCCTCTAGAGGACTAATAACAAGAACTGTATTACCATCTCTTTCTAACAGAGTAGTAAACCTCGGACCTTGAACTGGTCTACCATTGTGGAACCATCGAATAACAGGCTGAGGAGTGCCTCCTATTTGGCATCTCAACAAAACTGTTTCTCCAATTTCTTTTCCTGTACTTGTTAAAGGTTGCACGAGATGGGGAGCTTCAAACACCTCTTCCTCTAGTGGCATAACAACTTCAATAGTCTCTCTTTTCTCCACAACATCTGTAGTCTCTGTTTTCTGTATTTCAAGAGTAATTTCTCCATAGTCAGGTTGCTTACCTTCGAATTCTAGAGACACCTCTGATACTTCAGTCCCAACAGGTTGTTCTTCTTGGTCTACCTCAATAGCTGTGACCTCTCTTGATGTGATTTCCAATTTGACTTCAGTCTTCTCATCTTTATCCAATGGCATAACTTGGAGAGATATTTCAGGCATATCTGGCTGTCCTCTTTCGATCGAGATTGTTTCTGTTACTGATTTTACTTCAACGGACACAACATCTTCTGGACCTGTGTGTAGCTTTGTCTCTGTCATTTCAGGAAGGTCTACTGTCAAGGCAGGGAATTCTTCAACTTCCTCAGGTTTAATTTCAATTGCTGTTACTTCAGATGGTGCTTCATGAGGCGCAGTCTCCTCTCTGTGAGGTATTTCAACAACGGCAGTTGGAAGTTCTTGAACCTCTTCTGGCTTAATCTCAATGGAAACAACTTCACCAGGAGCTGTGTATTGTCGGGTCTCCCCAATTTCAGGAAGTTCAACAGTCATGCCTGGAATTTCTTCCATTTCTCCAGGCTTGATTTCAATTGATGTTACTTCAGATGGTGCTTCATGAGGCACAGTCTCCTCTCTGTGAGGTATTTCAACAACAGCAGTTGGA